TCGGTCCCCACTAAGAGCGCCCCTCTCTCTAGATTCTGGGCGGAAAAAGTTGGGGGGTGTCCTGGACAGCTTTCCGCCCCAAAATGATGCAAATCCATAGCCTAGGCCCGCAAATTTAGACTCTTGAGAGAAAAGATGGGGGGTGTTACTTTTTTCGGTCCCCTCTGAAATAGATTCGCAGCCGAATCCCTCTCCTCTGCCCTGTGCTACTTGTCTTCGGGCTGTAGCTGTTGGCAAAGAAAAACAACAGGCGCTACTGCTAAGTATCAGGCAGCTCTGAGAGGCCCTAGGCCATGGCAGGCATTTGATTCCCTCCGGGTGGACGGGGTGCGGCCTTTGGTCTTGTGTGGTTCGCTTTGCTGTCACTGTTTCAGGGCCCATGTGTCTGCCTTCTTGACTGCAGTGGTAGGCCGACCATGTTTCTCCCTTTACCTAGATCCCAAGCCAAAAGAGTTGAGACCTGTTCTGCATTTTTGTCCAAAATTAAAAAAAGTCCCCACCCCCAGCGCGCCCCTCTAGATTCCGAGCCGAAAAAGCTGAGCGGGGTGCTTTTCTTTTATGGTCTCCACTAAAATAAATTCGCCGCCTTAGTTTTACTGTCTTAGGAATTGCCACCGAAAGGCCACGCGCGTACCCTGGTAGCCTGTCACTACGCCACCCGCGACACGCGCCAAGGTATGCCGAGGAATGCACGGACACCAAAGGCGGCCGCAGCGCTAGGGAATGGCCTCCGCCGCGAAGTAAGAGCACCCACGCCGAAGACGACCCGCGCCGGAAACCTACCAAAGCCAGCCAGGGCCTTGGAGAAGTCTCGGAGTTTGTGGCGGGGGCTTCTCCAAAATGATGGACGACTGCCAAAAATGTGTGAAATTTGCCAAATTTGACCAGTATGGGCGAGCTCTTGCTGGCTTCCGCTTGCTCCTTGAGTGGGTCTCTCTCAACAGATTTGTCCATGGTGTTCCCTGCCCTCAAGTCCTGAAGGCTGCGCCATCGGTTAAGCTAAGAAAAAACCGCGCCGCAACACCGCCAAGCGCACCCCCGCCGCGGCTGCCAGCAGCCACCCGCGAACACCGGGCGGAGACAGTCCAAAGACTTCGCCCAGCTTGAGAGACACAGCGCGGCGCACGCCAGCCGCAGCCACCGTGGCGCGCCCTCGAATCACCGGCGGAGGAGGAAGGGAAGAGAGAGGAGCAGACAGCAGCGACATGCGAGCCAACCCGCGCAGAGCCCGCAGGGCTGGGCTCTCTGAGGAGCTTTCGCGGCTGTCGTCTTCCTCTGGCTCTCTTTTTCGCTCCATTCTCGCTCCCCGGTGATTCGAGGGCGCGCCGTGGTGGCTGCGGCTGGAGCATGGCCACGCACCGCCCGGCGGCCTGAGGGTGTTCCCCCCCCTCTTCTGCTAAGTCGTTCCACCTGTTTGGCCGTCGTTCTGTCTGTTCTGTCGTTCTGTCTGTCCCGTCGTCTTGCCTGTTCCGTCGTCTTGTCTGTCCCGTCGTCCTGTCTGTCCCGTCGTCCTGTCTGTTCCGTCGTTCTGGCTGTTCGGTCTTGTTTCTGTCTCTTCGGTCGTTCTCCTTGCTTGGTCGTCTTGTCTGTTTTGTTGCTCTGTTCGCTCCGTTGGTCGTTCTGTCTGCTGCGTCGTCCTGCTTGTTCGGCTGTCTTCTCTGTTCAGTCGCCGCGCCGATGTGCAAGCGGAGCAAAGGAGCGACGCACATGCGCACCGCGACAAAGCGACGCGGTGGCGGGGTGCGTGGCCTGTGCTCTCACTGTGGTGGGTGGCGAAACACGTCCAAAACCCCCAAGGCGGCGAAGGTTTTCCGGGTGCCGTTATCGGTTTCGCCTGGGTCGCTTATCCATCGGCTTCGGCTTTTGAACACTTAGGGAGCACACCCGCCAAAAAGCGAGACACACAGCGAGGCCTCACAGATGGGGAATGGCCACAACGCAAAACGCAAACGCGGGAAAAAGGCCAAAAAAGCGAAGACAAAACGCAAAGAGCTGCCGGCCGTTTTGCGAGTCCCTTAGCGGTTTCGGCTTGCCTAGGTTCTGTCCCTTAACAGTTTCGAACTTCATGCGGGTACCGGTTCCGAGTGGATCCCCGCGAAACTCCTAGGCGAAACCGCTAAGGGGCAGCGCTGCTTCGGTTCCCTTGTCGATTTCTCTGCCCCCTTTTTCCCCCGTTTGCCTCCCCCGGTCTTGCTCAAGGCGTGGCCGCGTTTTGCTCTTGAGCCGTCCGCCTTGTTATCGGTTTCGCGTGCTGCCTTGTCTTCTTTTCTGTGCTTTTCTGGCATCTGCTTATCGGTTTCGCTACGGCGGGGCAGCGATCCCGGGACACAGAGCGGGCATCTCTTGCAGCCTCGGGCCTGCGTGTGGCTCACTACACCGCGAAGACCTTGGGCAGGGGTGGCTTGGGTGGTGGATGGTTTGGCAGCCTCGCACTGGAAAGGGCTTCGGCAAGTTCTTAATCGGCGGCCGATGGCTCTCCGTGTCGTTTTAGCGTTCAAGCTTTTCGCGTCGATTCTCTGCTCCTGTTGTCTTCGGGTTTTTCCTTTTCCGGGAGACTCACCAACGAAGCAAAGCCACAAAATCACGCGCCGGCGCTTCATAAAATTCGCTTCCGTCCGGGGAGCTACGCCCGCAGTGCGCCTGGGCGCGTTCGTAAATATTGTCGTCCTGTAATTTTATGAAAAGAGGCATCGCTTAAACGCTTCAGACTCCCACGGACTCCCCCAGATGGGTGCGCGCTGCCCTCCTGGTTACTTTGTGAACGTTTTTTCTTCAGCTGATAAACTTCCCGAACAATTTTGAATTTCCCAACACTAACTCGGGCGAAGGTCTCACCCCGGCCCCATAGATTAAGAGGCAAAAACCATGCAACAAGAACGCGGCTTGAGCACCGCTTCGGGCGGTGGTTGAAGGACCACCGTGAGCAATAGCCGCAATAGTTTCCGCACGTCTGAAGCTGGAGGCCCTTACTACCTTGAAGCACTAAAGTAAGCGCCTGCTTTTCCACTGCGCCGCACTTCGTGGCACCGAGCAAAGGAGGTGGCAAGAAGCTCGGGCCACTGCTGGCACAGGCTCCGAAGTTGGACTGAAATGGATGCTGGCAGTTTGGGAAGTATATCGGCGCCGCCCCCTTCTTCAGCGCTGCGCCCTCGGTGGATTTGATGCCACTAGCGACGTTTCCGGGTATCAGACTCACTCAGCAAGCTTTCTCGCTTTGGAGAGGCACCGCTAGCAAGTGACTCACGGGCCTCGCTAGTGTATGGCCCTGAAAGTTAGAACGTCCAAGGGACTCCCCTCATGCTTACGCCGCAGGCTTCCAAATGAGGGGACACAAGTAGCCGCAGCGCATAGAGCTGAGGCTTTTGGCGCGTTCGCGTAGGACTCCGCTCACACTCTTCGAAGAGCTCCGCGGGGTCTTCCTGGCTGCTTTCCCCCGACTTTCGCAGCAGCTTCGCCGACGCCGTTCTCTTGTGGTCATCGGCGTTTCCCAAAGTCGGAGCTTCTCGCTTCTAATCGTCGGGCTTAGATGAGATGGCCCCACCTGCTTGCGATCGTCAGACTTTAAAAGCCTCTCAGGGACTATGCTGGGCCTGTTGTCTTCGGCTTGATTCACCGGCGACGCTTTAAAGCGCCCCCTCTCCTTAGCTAGCACCCACAGAAATCGAGAATCTCTCTGCGGAATCGCCTCCGCTTCGAGTGTTGTGCCCACTCACTAGATAGAAGACCCTCATCCATCCGCTGCGACGCACCTCCGTGCTTGCCATCCACAGGCGTTAGCAACCTCTTTGGGGATCCGTTCAGGCTGAGGCCAATGCCTTGGCCTGCTGTTGCTTCCTAAAATTCTTCCACTGCTAAGAAGCTGGCGCGGCGACGGGATACTTATGCGAGCCAGGTGTAGCCATTAGAGACACGCCACCAGTTTTCGCTAGTCGTCATATCTAAGCTACGAGCTGCTCGCCTTCGGTCTCCGTTCAGTTGTTCACCTCACTGATGACAGAAAAAGCAAAAGCCATAAAACTTGCGCTGGTGGAAACCCTTGCGAAGTCAGCCACTGGGGGCCTTTGCCTGGTGTGAGCGGATTCGCCATTTTCTTACAAACGCGCCCGGACTCTTATCCGTCATATTCTTACCAACAAAGAGCACCACCTGGCTCAAACTCAGAAACACCGCCCCAAGCTCGCAGGCTGTGCCCTTCCGGTTCAGCGAGGTGATCCGTAGCAGCATCCGCCCCCTCGTCCGATTGGTGAAGAACTCGAAAGGAATTGCTGCTCGTTTTGTTCTCTCACGGAGCGCGCTGTTATAATTCGCACCCTCGGTCCACCTCTCGGGGCTACTATGTCAGGCCACTCCACTGCCAGGAGCTGCCTACTCAAACTCTGGCGCGAGCTGTTCAAGCTGCTCCAACCAACTTAGACACAAGGCGCGCACCACCCCAACCCCAGCCCAGACAAAACCCCCCGCGCCCGAGTCTGCGCCCCCACCCCGATCGACACTGACGCGCCCACCCCCGTCCCAAAGACTCGAGTCCCACGCGCCCGCCCCTGCTCCAAAATCCCGCAACGTAAGACGAAACTCCGGCGGCAGGGGAAGGGCGTTCCGGGGAGGGTGTGGCATTTTGCTCTCTGTCTTTACAAAAGCTTCAGGCATACGCACTCGCTCGCCAGTCATGTAAAGAGAATGCGTCTAGCGTGAAAACTTGACCCGCAAAAGAAGTCCTTCGAGCATCCCCTCCGTGGATTCATGGCCATAGTTAGCGCGTGCCCTGTATGACGACACTGCAAAAGCGTCGCAGACGAAAGCTCCAGCGCTGTGGGGTTTGGGCGCTGTGTCTGGTATCTATTAGTTTGCTTGGGGTGGTTTTTTTTTGTCGTGATTATTGATGCTTATTGTTTCTTCGTAGCAGCGGGCAGCTCTTCGCGTGGCAGCTTTCTGGCTTCAGTGTTTTTTTTTCCATCTTCGTCAGGTAGGAACGGCGTGACCGTGCAAGCCAGTTCGAGCGGCCTCAAGACGCTGACAAAGGCAGGAACTGGCTGAATAGGTTGTGGCGTGTATACTCAAAAAAACTTCGGGAACAAGCAACTCGTGGCAGATCGACAAGACCAGCAGCATTTGTGCAAAATAGTTGCACGGACGAAAAGTGGACAACTCGTGATTATTTGCAGGCCCTTGAGGTTTCTGGGCGTGGTCTGCATCAGCCAACGGTGAGTGTGTGGGAGGACGTATTTTCTCATCTTTCGATGGAGGAGTGCGACTTTTGGTTACTGGGAAGATTCGGGAACGCCCTAGTCTCGTTGGATGAAGTCGAACGTGCTGAACCACTACTACATGTTTTGGAAAATGCCATGCGTCAGCGTATTAAGATGTTGCAAAGTCAACCAGGCAGCAATAGGAGATGTCGAGAGAAGATGCTTCTGCAGGCATGTCCACAGCAGAAGCAGAAGTTGCCGAAAACAAATGCCGAAGATGTGCGAATACACGGACAACTAGGGAGTAGTCCTCTTTCTTGCGAAGAGCAGCTCTCGAAAAAGGCAGAGCAGAGTGCCTCTGCTTGGATCGAAGCCGATCAATCTACTCCACAAGGCCTTGTCAAAAGTACAACTCAGCCTAAGAGAAGCAGCACAAAAAACGCAGTACCACTGCGAGGGCATCCGGAATTTCATCTGTGTCGCAGTTTACAAGCAATAGCCTATCTTCATAATATTATTGGAGGGAAAGATCAAGACCGCGTTGAAAAAAGGCCAGTGAATGAAGGGTCTTCGACTGCGACGCTTCAAGCGGGCACGATCCTTTGCCTAACGAACAGGACTTCATTGGCGAATCTTTTTCTTTCTCATCTTCACGCCCACGCACTGTTAAGTGGCCTTGTTCTCGTTACTCTCGCTGCATCACAGCAACGACGAGCAGCGTTCGCTTGTAGTAGTTTTTTTTTGGCACAACATAGTGACGCCAAGGTAAGAGGAATGAGGGGAGGACGAGAGGCTTTGTTGAACGGGTTAAGCCGGTCTGTGTTAAGGCGTCTTTGTCGTGACGGTCCGTCTTCCATCCTAAGCGTAAGTCCTTCAATAAATATGCTAAAGAGTACTAGTAGACACAAAGCATGTAGAACGGAGACTGGAGGAGATGTGCAACAATCTGAATGCGATTTTTTTCGGATCCTCAAGATGAGATTTTTCAACATGACGCAAGCAATTTTATCCAGTAAATCTAAAAATTCAATCTTCCAGTATAAGTCTAGCACTGGGCGGCTCACCCTTGAAAGCTACGCTAAAGGTGGAGTAAGTGATTATCCGTCTGCTGAGAGCCTTAGTATTAGGAAAAACCTCGCCTATCAGGCGTTACTAGATGAATCTGTCAGACGGAAAAGTAGACTTATAGAGAGATGAGCGAGGATCATCATCCCTGATCATACACAAGCACAATGAAAATGAGCGAGGATCTGTCATGAGGAGAGGGTGAGTTTTCTGTTTGAAAGGTAGCCACATCATGTTACGTCTGAGAAAATCTGTGTGAGGTTGCTCTGTCCGAGTGTGTTCCGAGACTGCGTAGGTGAAAATCTTTTGAATTTGATATATACGATTTATTTCATGGCGGTATCCTATGTTTTTTTCCAGCTCTTATGGTTTTTTCATTCCCAATTCCCACTCTCTCTTCACTTCTAAGTAGTGCTTCCCACTTCTGTTCTTTCTTCGTGTTGGATATACTTGAGATTGCATTCTGTTGTTTAATTACTAAAAGTCAATGTAATCTAGTCCCTATCTATCTACTAAATTTTTTTCCATACCAATTATATACATAGGAGTTTATCCTGTCATCCTCTCTTCTTCTCTGCTATTGTCTGCACCGAAGAGCAGAACAAAACACCAAGATGAGCAGCTCTTCGAATCGTGCTTCGATTGTCGGACGGCCCTATTTTTGGGGCAGGGATCCGTACGACGGTATGATTTCCCTAGTGGCGTACGTACACGGCTCTCTCTTAATCGTGTTCCACCTTCTCGGCGGACTCTACGCTCCCAGCGGAAACGGAGTTTTCCTGTATTTTGGGCTCAATGCCGGTTCAACCTCCTCCTCTTCATCATCAGGGGTACTTGCGAATGGTAAACCGGCTTTAAGCGGGTACTCGAACTTGGAGAATTATGGCGGAATTTTAACAGTCTTGTTAACTCATACTTTGTTAGGCATGTTGGGCGGAGCATTAATCTCGATGATTCGTCGCGTTGTGCACACAGAAGGTGGTGGAGTTGCTGGGGATGACACTGCGAAGTGGATGCAAAAGAAAGTCCTGGCTTTAGCTGGTGCGGTAACCTCTGGCGCGGTCACGACCTTAACATCTGGGCATGTCGTATCAGCGGAGTCGATATTCCATCACCACACTGAGGGGGGTCTGGCCTTTGTCGTCAGCTTTCTCTCTTACGCACTCTTCGTGAACCGACCGTGCGCAGTACATTTGGCCACCTTGTACGTAATCTTACTTTTCGTGTACCCGTTTCTTTTCGCATTTTATGGAAGGGCAACGGTTTTGACGACGTTTGCATCGGGTCCGATGGGGATGATTGTGTACCTCTTTGTGCTGAGCACGCTTGGAAAGATTTATCTAGACTGGGACATCCTAGGGGTTGCAGCAGGCGCAAACATCTTTGTTTTATCCGGATCGATTTTCTTCGTGCAGTTAAGGCGAGTTTTTTTTGTGGTTTGGCTCTTAATATAATATGTTCTCACGACTGTCAAAACGACTTTCAACAATTGCATCAAGTATGCAAAGCTTCTTGAAGTTGACCTTGACACTGAGTAGTTCTAAATCCGAACTGATAATGATGGTCATGGAAGATGTAAAAGCCTAGCTCTCGTCTCAGAGACTCTCTCTAACCTATAGCTTGATGATGGTTTTGCAAACGGTGTACCTCTTTGCAATTGGGCCATTGATGGCCAGCGGGGTTGCATTCGACTCAGACGCGACTCCGGAAAGACCTGCGACAAAGAAAATTGTTGAAGAGCTGGTATTTTTAAATGAGTAAAAGGAGAACTAGTCGGGAAAATCTTATTCGAGAACTCAAAACTATAACCGCGTAGCTAACTGAAGTAACCGAGTGTCTGAGAAGATTACTCTCTGGGACACTCGCTTATTTCAGTTTTTTGATCAGTCATGTTGCCGAATAGATTCGAATCATCAAGAGGAGAACTAGTTTTAGTCAGTCCAGCTGTGTTAGTGTGTAGTTTTACCATTCAGTCGGAAAATTTTAGCCGTAGGCTTGTGAAGGCGAGCTGCTCTTTAATACTAAAATGAGCTTTTCTTTTCTTATTTTTATAAGACGAGTTCGGGATAAGAAAGAAGATCAAGAAGACCATCAATGAAAAGACAAATTGCGTTGCCTTTGGATACAATTCCCAAACCCAAAAAAGCCAGAATTTTCGAGCTTTTTTGGCTTTTTGGTGTCTTAGTCGAAATCGTGCGAAAGGGCAAAAAAGATGGCAAACCCAGCTTTTGCGCCGGTTTTTTCTGTTTTTTCGTCGGATTGTGTCCCAAAAAAAAAAAAGCCCGCGAAATGCTCTTCTTGATCTTCTTACTTTTCCCGAACTCGTCATACAAGATCTTCTTCTACCCTAATTCCCCCAATGTCCTTCAATCACACAGCGTTCTTCTCGAGCTGCAGGTGCCACAACCGCTGCGCCATCACGCCCATTGACGCCCGAAGAACTTGCGGCCAGACAGAAAGAGCAAGAAAGCAGGGATGGTTATAGTGGTAAAACCATCGGAGGTCGCAGACTTTAAGATTCATCTTTTCTATGGCTCAAGTCTAGTTTGAGGAGTTTATGGCAATGAATTTAGTTTTTTCTGATAAGGCGAATAGGGGGATCGTCATTGTCAAAGTGCAAGTCGGGGAAATGGTAGTGATCGCGGGGGACACATAACGTGCTCTTTCCAGGACGTCAAGAAAAGCTGATTACTTATTTGTATTTTGTATCAGATGACTGTGATGATCGAAAGATGAAGGAGGACTGCGTTGAAAAGTGAAAAAAAGTGTTCAAGTGAAAAGTCAAAAAATTGGTCCTACGTCGACGTTCTTGGGTCCGCTAAAATGATCACGCAAGCCAAGAAAGCAGATGCTCAAGTGAGAGTAGAAGTGTCCACGTGGTCTAAGGATTGGATACTACAGGTTCTCAAGAGGCGTAGCTCTACAACATCGAAATCATACTGGCAGATCTTCAGATAGAGTTCAATGCAAGCGATCTGGACATTGTTAGATCTACGTTAACAAGCAAGGAACCTTCGAGAAGATCAACAATTATTTGTAGGGTTCCGTCGGAAAAAGATTTGATGATGTGAAGATGTGAAGATGGAGATGACACATCACCAACAGGAGCACTAGCCTACTGAAAAGAACAATGAATATCAATTGAATTCAGACAGGATTGGAACCATTGACTTTACAGTCTAGGGGCTGGTATGTTAGCCAATGATAGACTCATTGGAATGGAACCCCAGACTCGCGACCAGGATGCCTGAACTAGAGGACAACTTTGATGATCTCTTCGGAGTGGAGCCTCCCGAAGAGTGCCTAGCCCAAGACGCAGATCCAGGCGTAGCAGGTAGAGGAGATGCTAAAAGGCGAAAGACCGGACGAGCCCCAGGAAAACATGTTGAATCTTCCACGATGCTTCAGCAGAAAAGTAGCATAGTGGAACAAGAGCCGGATGCCTTTCGAACAGCATTGGAGGAATTTGATGGAGACCGTCTGACTGCTCTAAGCGAGGAGGCTTTGGCATCTTTTAACACTAAGTCCGCGAGGACGCTGAGGACAGCGACGACATTCTTGAAAGGAGGTAAAAGCAATAAGAATAATAAGGGTATTAAAGACAAAGAAGAGGCAGATGAAGAAGTTGCTTCATGTAGTAGTGCCTCGTCGAAACAAATATTCGGGGATGACGTAGCCAGTGTAGATGGAGGAAAAGCACCGTCGACTACGCATTCTCTTTTTAGCGGGTATGCTGGTGGAATGAGAGGTGGTGGAGGAGCAGGGGTCTACACGGACGAGGTACTGCAGGGGTCTACAAGTTGCGCTGCTTCAAAGGCTCCTGGAAAGGGGAAAGGGAAAGGTTCAACGGGTAAGAAGCGGTGTGTAAAGGACGAGGTGGAAGCGAACTCTTGTGTTTCCTTAACGAAGATCCGGAAGTCACATTTTGCTGGATCGTCTACTGCGAATGTTCACAAGAACAGGCAGAAGAAGTCCTCTTCCTCCTCTTCAGCTGAAGAAAGTGAACACGGCCGCGTGGACCACAGAAGTACCTCTAGTAGCTCTAGATATGAACAACTAGAAGCCACCAACAACATGAACAGTACCTCTAGCTCTAAATATGAACTAGAAGCCACCAGCACCAACATTTGTTCCTCCCGTCCTCCGATCGTGGCTCCCCGTGTTCACAACTGCGTCGCCTCTTTCGAAATGCGCACGAAGATCAACCTCCAGGACGCCTGTTTCAAGGCGAGGAACATCGAGTATAACGGCAAAAAGTCTCACAGCTTGATTGTTCGTCTGCAGGAGCCCAGAGCTGCGGGACTGGTGTACGAACACGGACGCGTGATGATCACTGGCGCGAAATCACCAGATGAGGCTAAGTTGGCGGGGAAAAAGATTGCCAAACTGTTTCAAGCGATCGGGTACAAGGATGCGAGGTTCGTGAACTATCAGCTGGTGAACCTAGTAGCGATAGCAGATCTCGGATTCCCTGTGCGGTTGGAACGTAAGACCATCATGTTAGACTACTCTATTCTGTACGCCTTGTTTTTGATCTTCAGTTAGTTGCTCGACACATCTCCTTCACCATCGCCGCTGCCTCTCCGCCTCACAAGCGGAGATGGTGGAGGAGATGTGAGCAACTAACTGTAGTAAAATCCTCCCTGGAATGAACACTCATTCACCATCCTCCCTGGATTGAACACTCCTACTACAGTTACTTGCTCGACACATCTCCTTCACCGTGTCCGCTGCCTCTCTGCTTCACCATACTTTTATACTTTCAGGCGTCGCTTTCGATTATCAAGGTCAGGCGAGCTATGAGCCTGAGCTTTTCTCAGGTTTGGTCTGGAAGCAGTGGGATCCTCAAGTTTCCGTGCTCATATTCGTCTCCGGTAAAATTGTTATGACCGGTACCAAATCACCGGATGATCTGTATGCGGTGCTTGACGAATTATACCCAAAATTGGCAAAGTATCAAAAGTAAACGTGCTGAAAAATGGGGTTTGATGCTTAGAGCAGCGAAGCTGCATGTCTATGTTTGCCTTAGTTCTTTTGACGATGAATGGCACCTGTGGACCTCAGGCACCTGTGGACCTCACTGTGACGATTTTTAAGTGGTACGCAAGAATTCTACTAATCTTAAATCTTTGTACTTGTACAGATATAGAGGCTTTCTTCACTATACTTTTAGAATGAGTCGTTCCTTGAATTTTAGTGGAGACTTCATCTCAATTCCCCCTCTCCCGAAGAGAGGCTAATACATAGTGAGCACTAACTAAGACACACCTCCACGAGAAGATGACTCGCGAGTCTAATACATAATGAAAAAGATGCTGGGAGTCAAAAGTGCTATGAGATAATTTGTTAGAGACAGTGGACTCCTCATTTTTTGTGTTCTAAGGACCCCAACTATCCCGTAACAAAAGTCAGAGAACGAGTCTGTGCTATCAGAGCAGAACGAGATCTTCATCGGATGTCTTGTGAGAAGGTGTCTTGTGCCTAGTAATGACAACCGAGAAGGTGTCTTCTCCCTAGTATTTTCAAGCGATAATCTGTGCATCCACAAATTTCGGACGATTGGAATTCATGATGGTACTCTCCGCCAGGTATCAAATCTAGATGCAGCTGGAGTATATAGAGGCCCCGCAGAGTATATAGAAGCCCCACCCCAGACGCAGCTATTGAGATTTTCAATTTTCTACTCCGGTGATAGATAGAATTCCTCCACGCTACTAATCTTACTAAGCTTGAGATACATCGCATTTTTTCACACGACGCTTGCTTGGCCAATCTTTCTGAGGTTTTCAAGTAAGATTAATGGCTGTTGACTTTTTGTTTTGGGACATTCTTGTACCTCTCGACTACGTACTAGTATTATTACAATCACCATCATCACTGTCATCATCACACTGCTCGCTACTTGTGGCGTCACACTTCGTCTACTTTTCTACGTCGCCCACAGAAAATGTCGTATGGTTGTCGGCCGCTTGCTATAGACCACCTTTCAGGTCTTGGTCTCTTTGTCATTCCGACGCAGCTGCGTGGGCTGCTTAGTAAGGTATAATCGTCGTGCTTTGATGTTGTAGTTAAGGAGAAAGCTATAATACGAATGTTGTTGTGTAGGTCTTTGTGTCGACCTTATGGATCTCGACACGCCGCATCAATCTACAACATGAACATCACGCGGCCTCTAGTTGTTCCTTTTTCCCACACTCTACTCAGCCTGTCACCTCTGCCGCCACTGTCATGACCATTTCCGCAAAAAAGCCTGTCGTGGAGCCAGAATATACAGTAAAGGTGCAGCGACTGTATGCGAAGAGAAAGCCGAATACCAAGGTTTCGTGGGGTGGCTATGGTTGTGTGCAGAAAATCTCTGGTATTCACGACGCTGTAACTACGGAGAACAAGAATGACACACAGACGAACAAGGGGAAAAATTATGACAGGAGAGTTTCACGTGAGTATTTCTTGTGAGGTGCATGTTGCTCATGCTTGCTTCTACGAACATGATAATGCTATATGAAATTGTGTAATAATTAGCCATGCTCGGCCTATACGAAATGGAATATGTTTACCTGCTCTTGTTATTTTGTTATGCCATGGCCAATCTGATCTCAAGATTGACGACTTCGAAAACCGTAAATTACACATCAGCTTGTAAGGCTCTCTCATGCCATGTACAACTAAGAAAGCCGCTTCAACGTTATGCCAAGAGAACTTCTCAGTTGAAGCGGCTTTCGACGTGCCACGCTTTCTTAGTATTCGTCCCTAGGCTTTCATACTATCGCGGCCGAGCCCTCCGGTCCAAAGCACAAGATACCTTTATCCCGGAAAACCCTCGATCCTAGGACAGGGAGTGTCATAGAAGTAATCCCGAACGAGCATTTCGAAGACCGAGCTGCATTTTGGAAAGCGTGGAGGTCGAACCTGAAGGACATGAGTTTATGACGTGACTCATTCCTACTTTGAGAGTTTTAGAACATGATTCGTAATGAGACAGATCCCTCTCATAATGATAACAATGAGACAGATATGTCGTGAAGAAGCTCCAGGCAGAGTATGAAATTTCCTATGTTGACATGTAGCCTCTCTAATTCCCGCCTACCTCGCGCAATACGAACAATTTGGGCCTGAAGTTGATAACATCAGTCTGGCGATTTTCGACTTGAAACGCTACGAAGATCATGGAAAGGTGTAGTAGCTTGTGGTTAAGGAGCACGAGCTCACAGTAATGCAATTCGCATGTTGAGTAGCTAATGTCTATAATTTGGATGTTTTATGATTATGCGTTCAGAGTAGACGGAAATGCGTTTATACCTTATATATAAATAGGTGTGGAAGATCCTTTGTGCTTACTTACTATTAAGAAGATCCGTATTATTGTCGAGCATATGAATGAATTAAGATTAACATTATTCAGTATGGAAGATGATGTAACGAGGGTGTAGCTTTAATCTTTGGTTGGTGAATCGTTGTTCTTAACGTTCTCCGACAAAAATAGTAGTTTTAGCTTTCTTAGAAGTTGAAGTTCTTGTTTCGCACTTTCTGGTCTCGCATTCCTAGAAGACTAGAGCATCACAAGTGAAAGGCGATGAATATTTAACAAGGTGCTGCACTCTTACAAGCAGAAGTAGATATCGACATATCATGCATTTCGACATATAGTTTTTAAAGAAAACATTGTAAGACCCAGTGCTGTGAATGTGAATGGCGATTCACTACATTGAAGACTAACCCCTCGTTTCGACTGGATGAGATGCGCTCGTTCTGGATGAGCGTCTCTGTTTCTGTATGAGAGTCGCTGGTTCTGTATGAGAGTCGCTGGTTAAGTGTGAGAGTGTCTGGTTCTTTTGTGGGTAGTCGGCTTGAGTCTAATACGGAGAAAGAGAGTTGTCTGTTTGTGTGCTGTTTCTAAGTCTGGTGTGAGTGTAGAGGATCAATTGCAGGCGCAGAGGCGCTTGAGATCAGATGGTGAGGTTCATCTCGGAGGTACTAACTTGCGTCCTCAGAGATTAAGATGAAAGAAAAGAACGAAGGCAAGAAAATCTGCTACCCAAACTAAGCTACCTTTTCCAGCAGGAGAGTCGTGCTCATGCTGGAATGATCTACACAGAATTAGAGAAAGCGTCGCCTTCTCACCTCCTTCATCCGCCTGTAGACTTTTTCGAATGAAATGAAAGAGCCGTAAGTTCAACGAGTTATTTCTTATCTATACCTTGGGTTGATCTTCTTGTTTGATTGTTTTCACTTTCAAAATAGATCATAATATCGGGAAGACGGACCAGATAGTCCTCTGGAAAAACACGCAAATACTTCTTGGCCGAGTATAGGTTTTGATTGCCTAAGGGATAGAAGTATTAAGAGAATAACCGAGTTGCCGCCTCGAGTGTTCTATTGATTTTAGGAAGGAAAATGGGTCGTTACCGGTGTCGTGCGGCGTTGCTTGCGCTCATCGCTTGTAGCGCTTCTCGCGGAGTGCAAAGTCGCTTGTTGTTGTGGAAGAAAAAGACACAGCGAGGATGCTGCGGAGATGGAACTACAAAAGCAGAAAAGCCAGAAAGACTGGCCGCTCCTGCGGTGACTGAAAGCAGTGAGAGATCTTCGCAACGAGTATCAAGCCCTGCTGGGCGAAACCAACAAAGTGCCTCTGCTCGTGCGGAGGCGGCGGTCGTATCTCCAACCGGTTCTGGCGCGTCACCGGCGGCTGCAGCATTTTCCTCTTCGTCGTCTCCAGGGTTGTCCTTTTCGTCGTCTCCAGCATTTTCCTCTTCGTCGTCTCCAGGGTTGTCGCCTACGTCGTCTCCGGCAGTGTCGCCGCCTTTGCCTGTAACGCCGTCTCCAGCGGTCTTGCCTACAAGAACTTTTTCATCACCGACGACGGCGACAGGAACAGGAACAGGGCCACGTCCGTTATCGCTATCGGCGCCTGCCTCGGGTTCCCCGGCGACATCATCTCCAGCGCCGGAGCCTTCGGCAAGGCCGGCGTCTTCGGCAGAGGCAGCGCCTCTGGGGCGGGGGCCTGTGGAGAAAAGGCTGGCCCCACCACTGTTGCCACCGTCGCGCCTGGAACAATCATCTCCAGCGACGCGGAAGCCCTCTGTAGATGTTAAGACGCTATACGGGAGGCCCTGGCAGATTGCCCATATTTTGGCTTATGAAGATCATAGTGGCTCTGGTTTCCTCGCTGAGGTGGATGGGGTGGGCATCGGCCTGATGACAAATCAGCATGTTGTTCCATCTAGGGAGTATGCAATATGGGATATAGAGCGCGTAACATTTCAAGTGCCTTCGAAACAGAGCTATAGGGAGGGCGATGGCAATGGTCGCAGTAACTCTTTTATCGACGTTTCCTTGGATCCCAGCCTCTTTTTTTACACCCCGGAGAGCGGGACGGTCAATGTTCCGGAAAATGTATGGACTCCGGATGGTCCTAATAGTTCGGGCTTCGGCGACCGAGAGAAGGTCGAAAAGCTTCATACCTGGCTTGTAGATCACATCAACGCCAGAGTTGGAACGCGGGAGTTAGGAGATGACTGGAGTTTTGTCGGCCTGCGCGAGGAGGACATTCGGAGGCTACGAGAAGAGGCAGGAATCACGCCCTTGACTCTGGATGCGGACTCGGCGTCCGCAGTTTTTCGTCAAGGTGGTTTCTTTGATACAAGTGTCAGTGTGGCACTTTCAAGGAGAGACTTATCGGGGGACCCGCGTTCCGGCAAAGTACTACGAGTCCTCGGAAGCTGCGGTGCCGCATACGACCAACGAAAGCGCCGAAGGGGCTGCTGTGGCGCCTCTGTTTAGTTTTGGTCATGGGGATATGAGACGGCGGTGCAATGTTCGCAACGCATTGACACAGATAGAGATCTCCAATCCACGAGGCCTGAGCGCTCAACCTCAAAATACAGAGAAGATAGGCGATCTGGGTCGGGGCGCTTCTGGATCCCCCGTGTTTCATTCTTCGTGTACACGTGAAGATGGGGAGAACATTATATCGTCGTCTACCTGTAAATTGAAATTAATTGGAATCTATCACACGTCATCGGATGAGGCGGAGGGGATTGCACCACAACACGCAAAAAGGCTGCACTACGCTGCGACCGTTCCGGAAATTTTGAGGCAATTACGAGCGCTACAACTACGACAAGAGCATCAACTACAAGAAGAGATGGCTCCTCCTGCCCAAGCTCTTAATCCCGGGGAAGCGCGTCAAGGTCACCAACATCATATGTTGACGCAAGATGCGTTGACGTTGGCGGCCCCTTCGCTTACCTTTCAGGCAGATCATGAGGGGAAATCTCTGCAGTCGCTTGTCGAGGAGAAGTTGCACTTTCAGTACCCTCCTGGCGACGAGCGCGAGACGCGCTCCAAACTTCTCCTGTTGACCACGCTGGAAGACTTCTATACGCGCTTCAGGAGGACAAGCGCGCTTTACTCATCCCGGCTGCAGGACGAGCCGGAGCCGGACAGCAAGATGAATACGGCTTCGCGGAAACCACGCATGCCCATCAAGTATAAAGCGAAGGACGCTGAGAGGGGCTTTGCTGTACACCTGTGGGGGGGGCGCGGGCATTGGGAAGACGGCGGTGGCACGGCTTGTCTGCAGTGAGTTGCGGAACAAGATGGGGAGTGATTTGGACTTTCGAGAGTATTCCGTCGGAGACGCTGGAGACAATCCCACCAATCTGTCCGTTAATCCGGAATCCGTAAAACTTTGGAAGACCACGAACTACCCCAATGTTCCGACAAATGAGAGCCGAGACATCTATGGGAAATTATCTCGTCTAGAGGGTTGGGGCGGCCGCGGAAAGATCAGTCAGCGCGGCTCGCATCGCTCTCCTTCTCCAGCAGCGTGCTTGTTTTACCTCGATGATGTGGTGCACTATGGAGCTTTCTCTGGGTTTATCGTCACGGGGGTTCTAGACTTCGCTTTGCGTGACTGTTCTTGCCTCGTCTGTGCGGTTCTGATCACTACCAATCGGCCGTATGGAGACCAAGAGCCAAGGTTTCCGCGCTATTTACAGAGCTAGTATGCCATGGAGCATCACGTGCAGAGCGTCCATGTCCCGACCGCGAATGACTTCCGCCGATCTGTTGCAAAGGTGCATCTGGAAGATTGGCGGGCGTGGCGCGCGTCACACCAACCACAGGGAGCTGAGAATCCCCCAGCCCTCAAATTGGTCCGCGAAAGCTCGCAATACGTTGCGCGCATTGACAATTGGGTCGCGCGCGTATTTTACAATTTTGCCGCTGGCTCGCCGAATTTCCAAACGTTCCTGACGGAGTACCTCGAGAAAAACAAGGAAGGCCGCGTTCGTACCATTCTATGGGATGATCTCAACGGAATGGGGGGAGGCAAAAGAGCTGTTTCGTGATTACATGGCGCGAGACGTTTGGTACAACAAGAATGGAGAGGCGATAAGCGTTGTTTTCACTACCAACAACCACCACAGCATGGAAGAGGTTTCTGCATCCGTGTGGGCCGACGGGAGGTTCGATATTAAGGGAGACAGCCATGCGACGCGACTTCTCTCCCGATGGAAGTCGCAGGAGTTCAGTTTCATAGACCTCTCGACGAAGCTGCCAATGCCAGCAAACGGTAAAGGCGGCGGCCCTCGCTCCAGTTCTTTTCGTGAAGAGATGACAAATGCGTTCCGATTGCGAGTGCCGGAAGTTCGCCGAATGATCACTGAGGATTTCTTCCGGAAGTATACTGCGTCCGAGCAGGTGGAGCAGGGTCGCGATGCTGTTGTTTTCAAAGTTGCAGAGGCAGTCGAAGCCATCGATACATGGAAAAAACGAGGGGGAAAATGTTGTACAGCCGAACGAGCTGCAGCTGAAGCTCACTTTCGACCCGTGTTAGACGCTCTAGCCTCCGGAACCAAACGCGTGTTGATTGAGTGGAATCTCGATCTTGCTACGATGAATGCTTTTGGTCGTTGGGAATCGTCTAGCCTGCCGCATGTTATTCTACAACAATGGGAAGACTGGCTTCTGCGGGAACATGCTGCGTACAGTTCATCCGCTGCGGATTATGTGGCGAAGCCCTGTCCAATTGTATTCCGAGTCGAAGAGGAAAGTACTCCTGTCGAAGACGTTCGTAAGTTCTTCTTCGACGATCTTGCCAGACAGCCTGATAAAGGTATCCAGAGCAGAGTGCAGGCTTTTCGGTCCATCTTCGAGGCCTCTGACACCAGCGTTGCAAAACATGGGCCATCCAAAGATCAAACATTGCGAACCGCGTCTACGCAGGACGCGATGACGAAGACCGATAGAGAGCAGGCCGCCGCCAATACAGAGCAACTCGTGGCGAAAGTCGAATGGTCTCCCGGTCAAATTAGTACTGCCAAGGAGATCAGACTCATGTGGGATTATCTTTACAATTCAGCGGACGGCCTGGGATTGAACAAAAAAGGAAGAACAGGTGCTGGTGCCTCGCCAGAGCAAGATATGCATATGGCACTGGCTCGAACTATTGTAATCAGCGGCCCGCCTGGTGTGGGAAAAACGCTCGCAGCGCTTGCAACCTTGACGGAACTGGCCAAAGACTCCTGAACGCGCCAGGCGTATAACCAAAGGAGGCTAAGCTCAAAAGATTGTGTGCGCGAACTTTGATCGAGGCCTCGTCAGCTCCGCCTGCAATAGGGAGACGGAGCTGCAGCACTGAGTTTGAATTTGAAGTACTGGCATCAACATGAGGGGCATATGCATAAGCAAGCAAGAATCTTCTTAACTGAATAAAGAAGCCCAACAAGGTACTTGAGCTTGCCCTTGAGAAAGTGTGATGGACGATTTTGGCCACCGTCGTCAGTGAAAAGAAGGCGAAAGAATTGCAAAGCGACAAGCTTGGCAAAGAACCGGTGGCGCCAAAGCCGTCCGGCTCTTTGACTCGAAAACACAGCGAAAGTAGGCGAGTAGCTAACTGAAGTAAAAGAATCGCCTACGTCTGCCGCTGCTAGGCTGTAGTCTTTCTCCATGTTGTACTTGCACATATGCACAATTGCACAGCAATTGATGAGTATTTGCACAATTGCGATTGGCGAGGGGCTCGCGCACTTTTGATGTCCATGACTTCTGAACAAGAATGATTTCAGTAAAATTTTATTCATTTTTTTCCGTAGCGATGGAGACTGTTCTAAGCTTACTAGTCTTAGTAAGTATCCGGCTCGCTACTCTACCCGCCCTCTGAGGCTTCGCTTGTTGTTGTTGTTCGAGAGCGTGTTGTTGCATACTTTTTAGTTGCTGTTGATGTTAGCCTCATTTTCTGACAACAGCAAAGAGGCGAATTTATTGCATTACAATCATTTTACTACGAAAATTTTTTTGTGAAGGGGTCGCTCCCATCAAAGAAGAGGTATGGCGATAAAGTAAGTCGCGCGCTAGAGTTAAACAAGCAGAGCTGCAATCGTATTTAGTTAAGGCTGTACTCTTCTACAACGGAGGCCGCGCAGCTGTTATAAGTGCTCACCTTTGATGTTGAGGCTTTCTGAAGGAGTCGCTCGTATAGAAGCGCGCACCGCTAGAAAGTAAGTCGCGCGCTAACGTTATACAAGCAGCGCTGCAACCGTATTTAGCTAAGGTTGTACTCTTCTGCAACGGAGACCGCGCAGCTGTTAGATAAGTGCTCACCTTTGCTGAGTCTTTGTGAAGGAGTCGCTCGTATAGAAGCGCGCACCGCTAAGAAGTGAGTCGCGCGCTGACGTTATAAAGCCTCGCTTTAGTCGTATTTAGTTAAGGTTGTGCTTGTGCTCTTCTACTACACCGGAGACCGTACAAGAACTGTTATCCCCGTCTTTGCTGGGGCAAGGACTTAAATAATTGTGATTACAAAGTCACCCAAGAGTGAGCGTCTTGCCATTGTTTTGTCGTCTAGCTCTAACGGTCCGCGACTAGCTACAACTACTTATCGGAGCCATTGCTTTAGAGTAAGCATCTACTTCAAGGTGAGCTACTCATCTTGTCTATCAACAGGAAAAAAAAGTAGAAGCGGCGCGGCCTCGTCATGAATAAAATTTTCTTTCTCGGAAAGACCTTAGCCAGATTGAGATAGACTGCGTTCTGGCTTGTTGGCCATTGGCGTCTAATAACTTTCATAAGGCTTGGGTTTAGATAATAGACATGCCTGCAAAGACTGCATGCGCATTCCTAGAAGACCGAGGCTTCACAGGTGAAATTGAGTGAATTTATCATGCGTGGACAGACTGCCGACTCATCTACACTGTACGAAAACACAAACATTAGAGGGATGACCCAACAAGAGACTGCTTCGCATTGAGCCCCTGTTCAGTTGTGTTCTTGAAAAGGCGGATCCGTTTGAAAATGCGGCGCGCGAGAAACATGGAGGCCCATCTAGGTCATCTGAACTACAGACGATCAATCCTTTCCTCGAGTCGTAGATTGCGTAAAAGTGGCGAACGATAGCTCTCTTCCTTTGGCTTATGCCTACTAGTGCTATTTGCGAGTGCTTTCGGAATATCCGGCCGCTGTCAGTGCAATGGAGTCTGGGTTCCTGCGTTGGCTACATTTGAACGACCTGTTTTCCCGAAAAAGCCACACCCTGCTCGCCCCGACTTGTGTGTCTACGCTATAGTTGAGGCGATCGGCAAATCGCTGGGGGCTGTGGCGTAGTCATTCCCCCAACCTCCTAGTTTCTTGATCGTTTTTAGGTCGGCGGGTTCGTAGAGAATAGAATGATGGAGGAACGCCTGCCGCCGGTTTGCGAACTGGATAAAGCTGAGGCCGTTCTTTCAGTAGCCTCAGGATACAAAAAAAGCCACACCTTGAGGGAAGTGCGCCAATCCCAATCCAAATGTGACGCTGTGAATCTACTGTTCCGCAAGACCACTCCTTGATGTAACTACAAGCTAGCCTTTGATCCATATGAACACGTGGATGAGATCGGGCTCTGAACTCTGAACTCGGTGTTGTTTGTACTGTCACAGATAGGTCACGAATGCAACTCAGGAGTCATCGTGAAGATTTGCAGGCATACTCAGGAGCTTTATTAATTTGTAATGTTCTTGAAAAGCGCATCTCAAGTCTTAGATGAAAAGCGCATCTCAAGTCTTGGAGCTTTTACGGCAGGAGTGGTCATTTATTGTGAGAACGGTCCTGTGGTTTACTTTGACTGTGGTTTTTGATCTTGTTAGTTTATGGACAAATTTTATTTCTGGGGCTTTTGTGCAACCATTTCGTGCAACATTTTTTCTCGTTTGATTATTAAGTATTTAGTCTCTAGAAATATTTTACTAGACTCTCTTCCAACCAAGTGCAACTACCATGAAGAACTTTTATCTTCTCGTCGCAGGCTTTAGTCTACTTGGAGGCTTTCGTCCTGTTCTTGCCGTTCTGCGCGCACGCTCTTCCTCTGCTTTGCTACCTTCATTAGGGCTACCGCCAAAGCATCCTTCCAGAGCAGTACCTGTCCCATCCTCCTCGAGGACTTCTTGTCTCAAAGGTGCGACCTCCTGTCTTACTTCTGCGGCTTCGCGACTCAAAGCGAATGCAAAAGTTCTATTCGGGCACTATGAGCGGCACCAAAGCTGGGCTTCCCCTGCTTCGGAAGATGCTCCGGAAGATGGCGTTGCTGCGGATGACCCTGTTGCTGCAGAATTCGCCGAACGTCTCGGCAATATTTTAGCCAGTACATATGATGCTAAGCATAAGTTGGGCGCGGGATTTGGAGGGGGAAAACAGAAGTTAAGGCTTGTTGTAAATTGACATCTACGTCCTTACACTGCAGGGAATGTCTATGATGCTTTGAGCCTATGTTGAGAAGAAGACCTGCTCTAACCACCTAAAATAGAACCACAGACTATATTTACAGTAGATGTTCACCTCCCAGCACGTCGAAGAAAATATGATACAACATTTAATCAAGTGCAAGAAAAAGCTGCTAAAGCCTCTAAAACAACATGGAGAGGAGCAACAGCAGCTACCTTCTCCTTCCAGAGGACCTCCTGTAGTTCCTCATGCTATAGTTCCTCATTATGGGCATGCACGAAGGATTCGCTTTCGACAACAACGTGTAGAGGAATACCTGGCGAGGAAGGTGTCGACCGCATATCGTGGGAACTATTGTGATCCTGTAGCCACTCCTTTGGAAGATGAGTTCGATGCTGAATGGGCGTATCGGCAAGCGATTGGCGATGACGCTCTGATGAAAACGATAGAAACAGACCTACGACCTTCGGAGGCGCAGCTTTTATTACGGCAAAAATGAAGATGAAGAACCATGAGTACAGAGTTTGAGTACTACTTCGAAAACAAAGCTTCAATTTTTAAGGTTTTCAAATTGAAGTATGTGAGTATGCACTGAAGATATTGATTTTTTCTTGCTTTCCTGGTAAGGTAGGCTCTCTACCTGCTCTTGTGAGGCAAAGCGAAGTGAACCCCGAAGTGTGCGTAATTATCGTCTAGAACAAACTAAAGATGATTTTTCTAATCCTAGCCGGCGCCCCGAACTGGATCCGTGAGGGAACATTAAGCCACTTGAGCACGGGAGGATTTGGAAAGGTGTTCAAATGGACACCAAGAGAAAAAAGGAATGTGAAGAAAAAGCGTCGTGATGTAACTGTTCACCAACTACACGTGGAGGAAGCAGAACCCGTTAACGGCGAGAAGGAAGAAGCAACTCAAAGCGCAGAAGCAGTAGTTGATATACAACAACCGGTAGTAGCTGTGGCAGGTCACTCGAGTGGTACTAGTAGTGCCCCAGCTCCGCAAGGTCGTGGTCTGCGACCGGGATCGTCGTCGGATGTTTTTACCACGGTCGATGTTGTTGGTGATCGTGGTGTAGGTGGATCTACTGTCAGTGGTCGTGGTGTAGGTGGATCTTCATCTTCCGGGCAATATGCGACTACTACCTCCAAGGCAGTGGGAACTCCCTCCAGAGTAGTTCCACGTAGCTACGCCACCAATACAGGTCTAACCAATGCGCGTCCAACCTCAGCAGATCGAAGAGTTCCTTTTCATCCAGAGGAACGTCAACATCTTAAAGAAGACGACGACTTGCGAGTAGACTCGCTTTCTGTCTTGTATGCGAGACAAATGAGCATCGAGAGTTGTGAGGCAGGCGGTTCTGGTCCATCCCCAGAGCCAGGGAGACTTTTCTCCAGGGATGGGGAAGGTCCCACGAGTTGTGGACTTCCCAAAAATTTTAAGGCATGTTCCAGTGAAGAATCCACAGTTGCGCCGGGGAGTTCAACTACTCGCGATACTCTAGCCACAACTGCACCCGGAGGTTGTGGTGGGGCGACGTGTTCCCGGGACTACAGTGCAGCGACGCGAGATACTCTGCCAACGACAACCCGTGACACACTACCTCCAGGTTACAGTGCTTCCCATCGTGATAGGTTTGGCGCATCTAGTATGGACAGCCTCGCTTCTGTTGCCAGTGCGGCGTCTAGTGGTAGAGAAAAGGAGGAGGATGCTCGGATGCTGAGCGAAGGAGTTGTACAACAATTATGTGGTCCAGGCCTACAACAACAAGGGGAGGATATTGATAACGAAGTACTACGAGAACTTCAACATCAACGTCCACCTCCGCAACAGGTACATCAACAAGAGAGCGATAATTATACCATCATCAAGCACGACCACAGCTGTTCTAAAAACGACAATAAGAAGGAGTCGACCCTGCTCTTGCGTGGGGAAGAAGGCGAGGGTGATGATGCTTCTAAAGTCGCTGACGATGTTGAAGGCGACGATGTTGAACAGCAAGAGGAAGATGACGCAGAGCTTCCTCCACGTTCCCTAGCTCTGAAGGTGATCACTATTTATGATTTGCGCCCTAATGCTTGAATTCGCTCAGTATTTTTAGAGGAGCAGGAGCATCGAAGAAGGGTCCATGAATTTTTCTAAAAAGCGTACAGAGCCAGCGAAAAATTAGTATCACAGTTTGAGTTTCAGGGTGATTTTGAATTGGTGGACATTCAGTAGGGCGATGATGACGTGGAATTATTATAATATGAGATCAGGGACCTCGACGGACAACTCTTTTACTTTACATAATATGAGAAACGGGGTTACTTACAATTTTATATTCATACTGAATATGAGTATGAGAAACTAGAGACTCGGTCAAGCTCCTCTAAGATAAAGAGCATCGCGCTTTTCCACCCTTGGTCACATCCTGGATGGACCCTTTGCGAAACACTCTGCGTGAAGCCTGCGTCAGTCTTCAGATATCAGAAAAGCAAGAGGAATTGCAGGAGCATTTGTTCGCCCAGACGCATGAAGTATGGGAATTTCATGAAGGCTTCGACTTCTTGGGTCCTAAATGGCGGCATTACGTCTTTGTCCAAGAATTATACGATGAAAATTTAGCAGACATGCTTCGACTAAGGCCGCATTCAATCCATCTTTCGGCCCATCTGTGAGCTGTTTTCAACGAGGAAAATTGACATCATAGATTTGAGGGCGGAAAAGATGTATTGTAGTGAGTTCTAATTCGACGCGAAACGTCACAGGGGTCGCCTCTTCCTTGGACCTCGTTTGCTTTTTTGGGGGATTCCGTGTTGCGCAGTCTCCAATTCCTGCATGAGGAGCTTCATCTCGCCCATCTAGATCTGAAACCCGCAAACATCTTTGGATGCAACACTCAGACGAGAAGTGTTGAAACTACAGTTAAGGCCCTTCTCCAAATTCATCGCCTAACTCTGGCGTGCTTTCTTCAAAGGGAACTCGCTCAAAGGTGCGCTTCTTCAAGAACATTAACTACATTTGTAGGTATAATAAGCTCTAAAACACGAAGTGCAACAGAAAGTGGCGCAACAGGAACTGGTACAACCGGGAGTGCAAGCCATGGTATGCCCATCTTCAACTGGGTTTTAGGGGATTTTGGATTGGCCCGATCTATCGCACGTCCTCCTGGGTCGTTAGCTGCGCCACAAGGGACCATGATATTTCTCGATCCAGCATCCTTTTTAACGCAATTTATGAATGCAAGCCCAATGGAACATATGAGCATGATGTGGCAGTGGAAGTTACGTGAGGAAGCAAGAAGGGGTGAAGACACGACTGTATCTGGAATGCATGGTAGAGTGACAACTGAAGAAGTAGCTGCCACATCTTCTTGTGTTGAACAAGAAAAGCAAAGTGCAGCCTCAAGCTCTAGTACTAGCTGTAGCAGTGGCGCTTCTGCTTCTGGAAAAGATGATTCCCAACCAAAACAATCACTTCTAGCATCTTCTGCAGATCTACGACGAGCTGAAGTAGCTGCTTCTGAAGGAAACAAGCCTGACCAACAAAGAGAACAAGAAAACAGTTCTTCCTCTTCATCTCCTGCTTAAGGCTACCGCAGAAGCATCCTCAGCATCATCCTCGGCTCTTTTTCAAGGGGAAAAAGAAGCCAAGCATGCTCTCAGGGATGCGACCGCGGTGGCTCTAATAACCTACTCGACCCCAACTACCGAATTTATTGACGTTTGCGGACATGGACACGTGGTCTGTGGGGTTGGTGTTGTACTTGGCAATAATAGCACGCCATTTCCAGGGGATGAGGAATTTGGCTTACTTCTGGGTCTGGCATCCAAAAATGTACGACAGAGAGGAAGCCAGGAGAGCTGCAGTCGCGGAAGCAATGGCAGAAAGAGTAGGAGAAAGAATAGAAGAAGCCTTCTCTGATATTCCAGGTTCACAGGAGCTCGCACAAGGACCTAATATCCGAGGTGCACAAGAGCTGGCACAGGCCACAGGCGCGGCTTCATCGACCACAGCAGCCGACTACGGACCTGCTCGAACAATTCCAGCTTCCACTACTGATGCCCGTGCAGCAGAGCCTTCAACCTCTACTCAAGTTGTAGTACCTGCGCCCACTTCTAACAAAGTTCCTGCACCCTCAACCTATACTCATGTTCCAGTACCTGGCTCTACTGCCACTTCTACCAAACCACAGATTCCAAGAACCCCTACCAGGCCACGAGCTTCACCAGCTTCTAAAGATCATGAGTTGTGGGCAAATAGTGGTTTGCGCTGGTGCGTGACGAAAAGTACTCCTCCTCCACTTCCTGTCCTAGAGGGGGAGCCAGACTATCTTCTCAGATTATGGCCAACATAATTTAGTATCCATGATAAGTGAACAGGCCTAGTACGCCTAAGCCACGACTTATTAATCGTTCATGTCTCTCAGCATCTTCATGTCTTTGGTACTTATAACATATTTATCAATATCCAGCTTTTGCTCTTCCCAGCATAGTTTTTAGATGAACAGAAAAGAAGAAACAGAAGGTAATGAGTCTCAGAGATGAAAGGGGCAACGCGCTGGATTGTTCAGGAGCACACTCTAATCAGAGGCAGTTTTTATTACAATGGTATCTTCCGATTCGCACTACAGTGTCATCCAAGACACAGGTCTTTGCGGAATTTAAGGGCTTTCCTGCGCGCAGTCCATGCAGAGTCAAAACTGTATGGAAGTCAATGATGAGAAAGGGGTCCGAAATAGGAACAGCATTGGATGTTGTTTATGAAGTTCTTGGGTGGAAAATGAAAAATGATGAAGATGTAACTTGAAGTTTTTAGGAAGATCATGTGATGTTGTACCTAGAACAAGGATGGAGAAATAAGGGACCTGGTAGGGCACTATCCCTATCCCATAAAATGCTTAATACAGAATAGAAAAATAGAAAATGTGATATGATGAGGAGGTTGATGTGGGACAACGGATCTTCAGCTTCTTCAATCTAACACAGGTTTAATTGCATTCAGAAAATGAAGTATCCGAAGTCATATAGTTCGTTCTTTCTGCTTGTGTAGAAACGTTTCTGAAACCCTTATTCTTACGGTGATTTGTTTGTGTGCTGGGTTTGATTCTTGTACGTGAAATCTTTTCGCATTCATCTTCATTCGTTAGGTACAACTTGGCCCGAAATTCATTACCGGGGTCCACCGATAGTGTGTTAAAGCGGAAGAACACGGTCTACTTACGTCAGAGGAAGTAGATCATAGGTAAATACTAATATAACTTTCACGTCGTGGAATCAATTGCATCGAGCATGTTGGTTCTCTGAAAGGACTAGAAGAACGACAAAAAACGATTCAAAAGCATAGTAGATTTAGAAAGAAATCTATAATTGCATTGTAGGTTGCTTATATTTGATCTGTTTATTCGTAGATGATGATAAAAAGTAGATGTGTATTTGTGTCGGAGTCGGATCGTCGTAACCAGGAGGGAGAGAGAGGAAGAAAAAGGGAAAATAGGGAAAGGCGTCGCGCATATGAATCAAGTCGCTCACTTTCTTGGGCCTTTGCGTGCATCAGCTAACAGCGTCAGCAGCGTTGTCCATTCCTAATCTTAATGTGCATGGGTCGAGACGTATCATCATCATCAGCCACTTTTTCCACTGAAAAAAAACAACAAAACAACGTGATGCTTGATGAGAAGATCAAAGCAACAGCAAGAAGGTCCAACCGATAGAAAACTACAGAGGTAATCATGGCGCGAGGTCGGAGCTATGATTCTGTGCCTGGGCTGAGCCTGCAGTCTCGTTGCGTGCTTTTATATCTTCAATTGGAGACTTTGATACATTATGTTGAACAAGAGACACCAATGCTGAACCTTGGAATCCGTGTAAAAAACGTGTATGGAATTCTTCACAAATCAGCAGGAACCTTGACGTGAGTAAGCCGCGAAGGAACATCAAAACCTACTATGAGTTCCACAAACACTCAAGGTGTGGGACATTTTTTTACAGTGAGCTCTTTCTTGTGTAGTTGAGAATGAATATGAATATGTTGTATTCGAGTTCTTTTTTTCGCTGTCATACATGCAACCTGGCCCTGTCAGCAGTGACGCGGGGCATCACATTAGAGACACCAAGCACATGGCAGTTTTTGTTGAGGTTGTAGCGGTAAACAGGAAGAAGACCCAACCAGATTAAACTGTGACAGCGGACTTTGAACTTGCATCGATTTGTTTCTATGTCAAGGATAGAACCGTGGCAGAAGTTCTAAATTTGTTTTTATTATATTGGCATTGTATTGCGGGGGAAAAAACTGATAATCACTCAAATTGGCCAAAACAAAAGCTCAGTAGCGGCAAGCTACCTGGAGGATCTAACGAAGGAGATTCGGCACTCATCTTGCTGACGGTAGCTGACTCAATTTTTATTAGAAGCATACTCAGCATCTGTCGTGTTGAGTGTGTGTGTGTTTATATTATCAAATGACTGAACATACCGTGCATGAAATGAAGGAGGTTTTCGCAATAGAAGCACATAGCTACGTCAATAGATGTGCCAGGGAATTCTACTAGGGGGCGGGGCTGACGTGGATCTTCCCTTGAACTTGTTCTATTTTATTTAAAATTGTGTCCCTAGCGACGACTACCCTTTCTTTGGTCGTCCCTGTCTATCCCCTTATCAGGGTTTGCGCTTCCTCTACTTGCCTTGAGGACGTACCAGGAACTGCTTCGTCTCGCCGATGGTCGAGAATGATCATCTGAGATGCACACATGACATGATGACAGACAGAGAATGTCGATTTGATAGTTGCATTTGTTTTAAATAAACTTGTGTCTTCGTTTTTTGACAATACAAAGGGACTTTATATCACCAGCACGGCACTAGCTCTTGTATTTGGCAATAACAACACTCCACAACTCATGAAGATGGCGTGTTTTGTTGTTGTCCACACGGACACGAAATTTCGATGGTGTTCGAAAGGCAAGAAGTTTTGGGATCACTCGGGGCATCAAATTTATTCTCACAGAAGGCAAAGAGGCGGTTCAGCGAAGGGGTGACGTGCTTTGGTTCTTCTGCTCATTGGTGTGTCAGCGTAACTAATTTCTAGGCTAATGGACGTTGCCTGGCGAATTACAGTTACGTGCCTTACTAGGCATCTTCACCATTCTACTAGTTTTCAATCACGCGCCAGGGGATGTATTTTTTAGGTTAAACATATGATGCCGTGTGATTTCTGAAAGTCACTGATTATGTTGACGTGAATTGATATAAAGTCTGATGACGAGATGAAAACAGAGAGCGATAAGACCACATGGTATTTCATTTACTAACTTCTTACTACCATCATACATATCAATATCTTTCAGCAGCATCAAAATGACGGAAACAAGATGATGCGCACTCGTCTCGACGTCTTGCTGCAGGAAGTGGGACTTCGAGTGGAAATGCACGTCGACAGAAGAGTTCGCTGACCTCTCACGTTCTACTGTGCTGGATCCCTCTCACGTTCTACTGTGCTGGATCCCTTGATCTTGCAAGCATCCAAACCGAAGAAAGAAACGATTTTCGTTTGTGTGCCTACGCCATCTTGTGTGCCTACGACCAAGATGAACACGACTTCTTGGCTCGCATCCTCTGCTGCAGAGGTTGCTGCATTGTTATTTGATCAGATTGATCAGGACAAAGATGGTTTCATATCGAGACATGAATTCACCAATATGCCATGGGATACCTTCCGGAGACTCTTTGTGGAGGGGATGGAGGTAGTTTGCAAGTAGTCTATGTTGAAGTTTTCAAGTAGTCAACATGAGATCGAGATATTGATATTTTGCTTCATCTAAGTCCACCTTCATGACTACTTACTCGGCGTGTCATGCACGTTCTCTTGGCTAAAATAAGCCATCTCTCTTCCCTCTCCCTCCCTCCTCCTCTCCGCCTCTCTTAGAACCTAAGCAAACATCACAATTTTTGAATCTGCAGAATCGCGCATTGTCTTTGCTGGACACGATGCTCCATCCATCGGAAATTCTACCAAAGGATGGAGGTGGCATATCCTCCAGTAGTATCTTTTGGTTCGTAAAGAACTACCTCTTTTTTGTGGTGTTTCTGCAAGTTTCGCTCTACCTGATTGAGAACTGGCGAGCGATGATGGGGCTGCGCTTTACCTGGTCGTTTAAAATTATGATTTGGATATAGGACTCGGTGAAGATGCTAAGTTGACAGTGACTAGAATGCTGCATGTTGTCCTCACGATGATTTCCCCTTGTCACCCTGTGCGTATCTGGATACATTTCTCTTCCAGTCACCTTTGCAGTTTGTGGCTATTGTAAAGAATCGAATAGCATTAATATAGTCCATCCTCGTTGTTTGATCCTCACCCTCACCTCGCCTCTTCAAACCAAGCGACGTGGATGAGAGCGATGAAAGCAGTTTGCAGCATTGTGGGAAAGCGGAAGCCTTTATTTACGACACGCCGAATACAGTGTACGAATACGCCAAGATGTGGTTTTTCATAGGAACCGGAATTGCCTTTGTGCGGTTTGTTTTCATGATCATATCTCTGGCAAGCGGCATCCTGTGTCCATGCATAGCGGTCTGGGCTCCACATGGAAGTTTGTGGTAGTTTGCTGCTTATTAGTAAGTAGAATTGTTGGCACTTAGTAGTATTTTCCAAAATCGATGAGTACTTCCATTCTTCTCTAGCCTTCCTCCATACAACTCTTCTCGTACTTGTACTTACATAAACACCTTTCTTGCAGTAGTTACATAAACCTTTCTTGCAACTTTTATTCGATTCTTTCATCTTCCAGGTTCCGTTTTTGGCTTGGCATGGCCAGGATATGCATGCGATCGATGTTGTTCTGGTTGAACTACTATCGTCTCGACATACACGGCCACTTCGACAAGAAAGCGAAGATTTTGGTGGCAAATCATCCAGCGATTTTGGAGGTCATTATCCTCTTCGCGGAATCAGGAGGTTGCTCTTTTGTGTCGTCGGTGAATAACCTTGCCTTCCCTGGTTTCGCGCAGATCGCGAATGCAGCGCAAGTTAAGGCTGTTGTAAAACTACTATCCTCATTTTCAGCACTAGTATCGATTCTTGACCTGTTTTTACTCTATCGAAGATCCTTGACCTGTTTTTACTCTATCGAAGATCCTTGACCTGCTTTTACTCTATCGAAGATTCTTGACCTGCTTTTACTCTATCGAAGATTCTTGGTAGTTACGTCCTGTCTGAAGCTGAAAAGGCGTCGCCTGATTTGTTTAACGCTAGTCAATCATTATCTCCACCTTGCACTCTATCTTCCCAAGTACTAACGCGGAATGCCTTGGTAAGCAGGTCTAATGACTCCGTAATCGTGTCACAGGGAGATCCAGAGACGAGACGGAACACACTGAGAGAAATTCTGACCAGAACAAGGGACCCACGCGCCAATCAGTTGATGATTTTCCCAGAAGGAACGACGACAAATAATCGCAGTTTCCTCAAGTTCAAAAAGGGAGCTTTTTCTCCGGGAGCCCCTGTGCATTATGGCTTAGTATTGTATTTGTAAATATGATGCGCTATCTTTCAGTTGTTCATCTGGTGCTGGTCGATCTTCTTGTAGTAGAAAAGCGGAACGAGGTATTAAGGACCCACACGAAAAGAGGGTCATACTTGACAAATGACAATGTGAGATATTAAGAGATGGATTTCGCAAGGTATAGTTCTAAGCATAGCCTGTTTGCTTTCGCTTCCCATACACAAACTTCAACCCTTGCTGGACCGGAGAAGCTTGTGGAGGCAACAACATGAGCATGGTATGCCTACGGACGGTCTGTCAATTCGCTAATCTTAAGGGTGTCCATATTGCATTCTGCACTTGCATCCTTGACCTTTTTCCAAGTGGAAAATGGGCCAAGGATGTTCTGAAGAATGTAATGCTTCAACCTCTAATAATCGAGTCCAGGTGAAAATTTTGCGCCGTTACGTCCCCTCTGAAGCTGAAAAGGCGTCGCCTGATTTGTTTAAGGCTAGTCAATCATTATCTGCTGTGGACTATGCTGAGAGGGTGACTTTTGAATGGGAGAAAGGGAAGAAATTTCAAGGGAATTCATTTAAAGGAGAGAAAGGGAACCCAATCAGCCAAGGAGAGTGATTGCCTATCTTTAATGTGTACGCTGAGAACGTGCGGAAAAGGATGGCTCTACACATAGAATGGCCTCTGTCCACTGCAGCGGCTGAGGACTACGCGGTGCAACAAAAATTAAGGCTGTTAATGAACTTTCAGTGGTATGTCTGATGAATCTCCGAGGATGTGCATGTCGAGCTTGAACTTGGTTTTTACAAGAAGAATCGCCATAATAATTCCTTCGTCTGAGAAGTACATGTTTTGTTTCCAACCACTGGTGCATTTTCCTACAGGTTTCAAGGTGAACAAATTCTCAAGAATAACAAAGCTCTATTCCTTATCAATCACACTTTTCCATATTCCAAGTACTTACTCGTCAAACAACTCTTCTCTCTAAGTTCTCTCTTCAAAGAGGAACTGTACAAAACTCGACGATCCGGAGTTGAGAACGCATCCGGAGTTGAGAACGCATCCGGAGTTGAGAACGCAGCTGATGAAAACCCTACTCCGTCTCCGTCGCCAACGAACAACGCTCTAGGTGCTGGTGAGTCTGCAAGTAGTTCGTCAGGTACAAGAACGAGAGAAAGAGAAGAAGGTGCTACCGGCGATGAAAAACAAGTCAAGAGCAATTCCTCGCAACCATTAATCGGAAGCAAGTCGAGTCGTGACAGTGAGGAAAGCACAACGACCTCTGGCAGTCAAGAGGACGAGGAAGATGTGCCACTTTCGAGGAGTAACGCGCGAAAATCAAGAGTAAGTGTAGCACAGCGGTTTGTGACGGCTAAAGAAGGTCAACAGTCGTCTGAGACGTCCTCCGCTGTGGATGAGTTCGCTTCTAGTATGTCGGAGAGCGAAAGCAATCAGGCTTCGTCAAGTGGCCGTCTTCAAACCGAAGTAGTGCTAGACGGTGGCGTCCAACTAGATGGTGATGGTGTTGTTAATGGGAGGACGAAACAAGGCACGGATACGGATTATAGTGGCAGCAAGGGAAGAGTACTAGACCACAAGGATAAAAATCAGAGCACGATTGTAAAACAGCAACCAGCGTCGCCGGCGTCTTCTGAGAACAATATATCCACCTCTCCGGAACAAGACGAGGGGGGCCCAACAATACCTCTCAAAGAATTAAAGGAGTTAAAGAACCTGATCGCCAAAGAGTCGAACCGTACGACTTCCAGAGAAAAAATAAAGCTTTTTGCGTCACAAGCGGCGAAAACATTACGGTTTAGTAGACACTCGATTAGACAGTAGATGTTATGAAGGAGCATCTTGGAACTGTCGGAACTGTCCCATAAGCAAGGGGAAAGCAGGTCCAAGAAAGATGAGTGATCTGAAGATGCTGGATCCTTTATTGGGTGAACCCATCTAAAGACAGCGCATTTCTGTTATTTCAACACCGCTATTGCAGCAGATAACCGGAGGAAGAACCTACAACTGGCAGTTGCAAAGTTTTTGCCTAAACAGTTTGTTGAAGGACCTGACGCTTTGGCAAGAACATTGCATCCACAGGGGGTCGTAGAGTCGAATTGGAGTGATCCTGTTAAGAGTTCATTATTATCGAACTTGAGAACTTGAATTAATATACATTTTCCAGGAGGTGGCATCCTGGACTTTTTTTCAAGGAAGTTGCAAACAAACAGATCAAGGATGTTGGTTCTGAAATAGAATTGTTCCGAAATTCTTCTAATTCTGAAGGAGGCTACGTGACGCCAGCAGGCATCCGGAACATGGCAGTATTCAAATATCAAGCGGGAAAATACAGCGAGCTAGACCTGATATTGAACCCGTGGTGGTTCTGGGTTTCTTCGAAGGTACCGAAGTGGATGTCACCAAATGGCGTCACCTTCGTTGGTTTTCTCACGATAACAGCTGGCCTAGGTGCACTTCTTTTCGTGCACTACTTCTTAGTCTTGACATCTGCAGGTGCAGCTTCGGCCTCCTCGGGTTCAGCTTCATCAATAGCGACAGCTGATGATCAGGTCGCTACTGGCATGCTAGGCGGTCTACGAGCATATCTGGCCACAGCATTACAAGGCATCGGGCGGCCTCCGTTTCATATATTTGCAGGAATATCGATCTTGATCTACCAAACCTTAGACGCAGCGGATGGAAAACATGCACGGGCGACTGGACAGAGTACACCACTAGTTAAGCCTAATCAGTCACAGTCACTAGTATCTGGTGTGAAGTACTATCCTGAGTCGTGGCTTCCTCCTTACAATATACAGAGGACAAACTACCAAGTGAGTGGAGCCCTCCTTGATTTAAAAGGGAACTAAAGGGGAAAACTCAAACTGAAGGCACCACTCGGCCACGGATTATAGTGATTGCCCAGGATAGAAGTGATTGCCTGGCTTTAAACTGGGGGCCCTCTTCGACCACGGATGTGATGCGATAGCGACTCTGTGGCTTTCCTTGTTCTGCCTCTTGTGTATCTACGAACCAGGCATGCCAGTGGGTTACTGTGAACAGTCTCCTGTTTCCTTCGGCATCTTTCTTCTAGCCCTGTACTCGATGTTCTTCTGTCAGTGGGAACACTATCATACTGGTGTTTTGCCAGCGGAAGGATGCACCGAAGTTAAGGCTAGTCCAAATTTACCTCTTAAGAGGTCGCGCACCTTGCTTCAATGTACTGTTTTGAAGGCGAAAATGCTCGAAGATGCGACTCTGTAGATGTCAATATGGGCAAGGTCTAATGACGCCCAGATCCTGAGTGCGTTCCTCGTTGTAGTCACAGGCTTTTCGGAGATACGCGCGACGATACTTCTACCATCTGACGAGATACCTTTGCCTGCCTTTATATCGGATGCGATTTTCGGCGAGTCTAGTGCTAGCATCGATGAGCAGACTGCGGGTGAAGGCCCGACTGCTAGTACAACTGCTGCTAGTACCGGTAGTGCTGGTATCCGCCTCTACAGAAAAGACATGATTTTGATTTCTGGTCTGTTTTTTGGCTTTTTCGTTATTGGTGGTAGCATCAGACGAGTCTTTTCCAAGTGGTGCGCGGGGGCGAAGAATGACCATCAGAAAGAACCTAGTAGTAGTACAGCTTCTTCGCCATCGTCTTCCCCAACGGATCATGGGAATGATGCACACGCCAATCCACTGGGAAATCCGGTGTTGACATTATGCCATCAAGCGGATATTTTCAAAAAAATTTATTAGCTAACGGTTACTGATCTTAGAAAGTCCTAGGTTCATCTTAGTACTAGCTAACGGTTAATTTTTCTCAGTGAAGACGGACCGTTCGACCTTTACTAACTCATTTCTCAGTGAAGACGGACCGTTCGATCGACAAGATGAACAGATGTTGGTCATCATCTCTCTTTAGGATCCTCGAATCTGAGAACATCCCCTTCTGTTTGTTCCTCTTTCATCTGCTCTCGTGCCCGTCTACTCGCACATGTTAATGTCTGCAGTGTGGTACTACTCCGACACAAGAAGTGGAGGCGCAAGCGAGACGCCGCATCTACTGCGGGAAAGCATATTGGGCTTGGCGCAGGTCGACCTCACCATTCGCATGATTATATCCGGAGTGTGTCTCATCAAATATCCGCTTTTCCATCTTACGCATGTGCCTTTGATGTTATGGAAGAAGCATGGAAGAAACTTTAACTTTCAAGTATGACGAGAAATAGACCTACTAACTTTAATCCTCTCCAACCATCTGACTCAATCTCGTCTTGGCCCTTCAATCGTTTGACATAGTCTGCGGGTTTTCAATAAGAGCATAGAAAAGCGTGTTTCATCTGCACTCCTTCTCTTTCCCTTCTAACCTTCGTTTACACCGCCTTTCTCCTTCTTCCTGCTGAATATGCGGACAGCCTCGATATGACGAGGTCGAACTGGGATTATCTCGGTTTGCTTGATAACTGGGTCTTCGTCCGTGATCTAGTGCAGACGTATTGCTATCCACTTTACGTGTCTACGTTGACGAGCAGCAGTTGGTCGATCTCTCAGTTTATTCCGAATTACTGGAGGCTACTGCTTTTGCTGTTGTGGGAGATACTGAGTGTTTTGTGGATTTTTATGGCCTAGTAGCGGCTAGGCAGAGAACTGGTTCTCTGTGACTCATCTCAAATTGATTAGTTCCCCAATAACTTTCCCTGGCACTTTCTTATCTCACGCTTCATCCGGTTTTATGGCCTAGTAGATTCGTAAACTGAAGAGAACATTAGTTGTAGTCTGAATCTCTGTTCAGAAGCACAATTATTCAAACTCAACTCGTTCCAGAGTTTTCCATTCGATGGATCAAGGACTACACCTCAGGAGCTACTTCTTCATTGATCATTCGATGATTGAAGCTCCTCTATTAATTTCTCACTCGTCTCCTGTTAAGAATACCAGTACTACTTCTAACCTTGCCGTCGACAGCATTTCACGAATTTGTGGGTATTTGCGGCTGCCGTGTTTTGCGCCCCTGAAGGAGCCATGGTCGGCCGATAGGGCCCTTGCCCGCAGGAAAAAGAGCGAAGACGGCCTTTTGTTATCGCCGAAAATGATGGCGACATGAACATGAACTAGGGTTTCCGTGTAAGCAAACAATTTTTTTATCTGTCACATGAATAAGTACATGGAAAAAGCAAAAGGCACCACGTCCAGAGCAAAAGGCATCACAGGTGGACTTCTCTCAATTCTCTGGTAGAGATGGTGAACCATATCATAACGAGGAATGATCACATCACAACATGGGGCAGCGAATTCTCGCGAGTACAAAGAATCAGAATACCTTATTCTCACTTGATCAGTAAAATAGGAATAAAATATTTTTCGCGACGTCTTGAGGCTACCTTCCTCTATTCGTTTTTATGGCGAGTTCTCTCATTCGTCATGTCAATCTGCTGAAACATAGAAGTGCTTTATTGAGTTTGAGAAAAGAACATATCGTTCTACTCTGGTAACGACCCTGGAAGACAGAGTGGGGAGATATTGTTTTTCTCGACTCATCTTTTCATCATTCCCAAAATGCTTTTGGCCTCCCTCCCTCATTCTGGTCTTTATTGCCTTATGAATGAATGAACGGGACGTGCGCGTCTCACAGGATGATACGAACAAAAGGACCAATGACAACAAGATCTTTATCTTATCCTCGAACCATATTCGTCACTCTTCAAAGTAGGAACAAAAAGTCGCTATTCAAATGTCGCTATTGTTGGACCACCAATCGAAGGCAATGAAAATGAGTAGAATCTTCAGTTTGTTCTTTCAAGAGTTCTCTATGTTTGTGAAAGTGATAATCGGATGAGTCGCACTAGTGATCATGATCAGCGATGGTTGTAATTATATCCTCCACGATATGTGAATGTACCCTTCTCTTGGTTCTGTCCTACTTCAGAACGCTAAATCGGACGTCAATCTGTTTGCTCTTGTCAGGGGCATATGAAGGAATCTTCGATCAATTCTGGAATGAGAATTTTTGAATCTGCACGCACGGGTTCATATCTGCGCGTGATCTGTTTCTAACATTATGTAACCCTCAAGATGGAACGAATCACTCTTGATTAACACAAAAAACTTCAAACTCTTCCTTGCAGGACTAATAGACTGTTGTGTAGATAGAATTAGCATGGCGTCACTGTAACACTTACATCGAGTGTTGTGACTGCTCGACAGATATTTTTGATGAAGAAGATGGGTCAATAGGATGAAGATATCACCCTAGTGCATGACAAGATGAAGAGTTGATGTTTTTTGGTGCCATAGGCACAACTACGTCTTGCACGATTTGGTTGGAACAAAGCGACACTTTTTTAAAGCTAAATATTCGGGTATCACCGACCTGCAAGAGAATATAACCTAGACTTTTTTTATCAGGAAGCAAACGACGACTACAACGACGGAACAAGATATAACCTAGACATTTTTTTTCAGGAAGCAATCGACGGAAAATCCTCCTTTTCTCATCCGCCTATCTTTCTAATCAACGAAAACGAGAACATCAAGATGCGAGGTTCTCTCGAGGCTGGTCTTCCAGCTGCTTTTGCGGAGAGGTTTACGGGCTTCGTGCCCACAACACCGGAAGCCTTACATGTGGTGATGAGCGGCAAAAATGACGAGGAAGCAGTGGAACACAAGACGAGTGCATTGTTTCATTGGTTTTTCGCTTTCCCGCTACACGAGTCGTGCCTTCTGTTTACACAGAAAAAGGTGGTACTAGCAGCGTCGGAGAAGAAGACCGCATATCTGGTTCCTATGATGTTGAAAGCATTGGACGTAAGGAGGAAGAGGCTAGCGGAATCGGGACACCAGATGCCGGAATTTGAAGTCATCTTAAGGCAAAGCTGTAAGTTGCTTTGATTCTTGTAGTTGTATAGCATCTCCCTTAGTTGTAGGACATGTTGAAAGCGTTGAGAGGTGAGCGGCACTAGACTTGTTTCTTTCAACAGTCAGGAACTGTGCTTACCTGTAGATGACAACGAGCTAGTGCGACTCCTTTTTTCATCTCTAATCCTTGCGATGAACAAAGACGGCGACGACTTCGAGACCGAGCTAAAGGAGTTTTTGGAGCAGGCTGAGGTACTTACTACTTCTGCATAGTCGTACCTACGTTTTTAGTGTCCAGTCATACCGGGATAAGGATGTTTTTACCATCATGGTATCGTATGGAGGTAGTTGAAGATTATTCAAAACTCATCTCCACAACCTCCTAACAGTAACAACTTCTGAGTACACGAACCATTTATCAATTTGTAGGTAACCACTTGCCTGCACATGCGCAAAGAGGAGCACATTGGCGACTTCGCAGCTAGTGTGGGCACTGCGCTCGCCGAGCGGTTCCAGGGCTTCGAGGATTTGCGACCTCTGGTGAGTGAACAGCTTGCAGTGAAGCAAATGGACGAGCTCCAACTAGTAAAAGTTGCTGCGATAGTTGGTGGTGCTTTCATGCAGAGGGTGATGATAGACACAGTAGTCAAAGCGATAGACGAAGACGTGGATTTGAAGAACGGGAATATTACGGGTGATCAAGAAATTGCATTCTGCACTGACATCCCTGACTCTTTCTCCACTGTCAGGTTTCCCCCTGACATCCCTGAAAGAAATCAAGGATGAGCTGAAGAATGTAATTGCGCAACCTCTAAGAATATAGCTGACCACGCTGAGCGTGAGTTTGTTGGGCCTAGGAAAAAGTTGACCGATTGGCAGCAGAAGCACAATTTTGACGCGGAAGAGTTGGACTTGATCTATGCTACGTGTCAGAGCGGAACGGAGTTTGACTGCAGACCAACTAGTGAACCGGGCAAAAAGAAGAAGATCGCGAGTAGAGGACCGATTGTTTTGAGTTTGGGACTCAAATATCGGGAATACTGCGCTAGCGTGACAAGAACGTTGCTGATTGACGCAACGGCTGAGCAGAAAGAAGCTTACACAGCCCTTCTACACGCACAGCATGCAATGATGGGAGCGTTGAAGAACCCGCTTTTGAGTTTCGCAGAGTTATACAACGTCGGCAAAAACGCGCTTCCAGAACCTCTTCAGAGCCGCTTCCTCCCGAGTGCAGGGTTTTGTCTAGGCTTGGAGTTTCGAGACAGCTTTTTGCAGGTGAATCCGAAGAGTGAGAAGCAGATCCGACAAGGGATGGTTCTCTGTATCTCCGTAGGTCTGTCCTCCACTGAAAAAGACCCGTGGGCTTTGTGGATCACTGATACCATAGCGATTTTACCTGGCCAAGCGCCTGCAGATGGAGGTCCAGTGCCCAATGTGGTAGTAGAAATGACGCAAGGGTGTAAGAAGGAAGAGAAAGAGGTCATCTTCGACTTCACCGATAGTACTAGTGCAGGAGCAACAGTAAGTGCTGTTGCAGCTGGTGCTACCAAGAATATGGCCGCTATTGGTGGTCCTGGTGGTGCTTCAGCTTCTCTTGGCGCAGCTGGCGGCGTTGGAGGTAATGTCGCACTAGGAACAGGAGCTGGTATGATGATGGGTAACGGTGCTACTGCTTCTTCTTCTAGTGCCGGCATGCCACCTCCTAGTGCTGGAGCTTTTGGTGGTGCTGCAGCACTGGGACTAGGCGGAGCAAAAGGGGGAGCGACTGTCATTAGCGGCAAACAGCAGCAGCAAGCAGCGTTACTGCAACAACAACAGCTCCGCATGCTGCAACTGCAAGCGAAGCAGGGCAAAGGAGGAAAAATGCCTATGTTAAACCCTTTGGGGATGAAAGGAGGTGTGCCTCCTGGAGTGCCAGGAGGAATTTCCGGAGCATCATCCTCAAATGCTGCAGCTGGCGATTCTGCACTGAACTTACAGCTAAGAGGCGCTCGCTCCCAACGCGCGTGTGCAGCACACATGTCGCAGCATATGAACGTGAATGCGGAACAGATGGCGAGACAGAAAGAATTGCGGGAAAAGAAGACGGCAGAACTCGCGCAGAGATTTCGTCGAGGCTACAAGGACGCGGACGACGCCGCTGGTGGCGGACAGTCGGGCGCGAAGAAAAAGCGCATGGACATCCAGGTCTATCGGACCGCTGGCGAATTGCCGGACTTTTCCAGTATAGGAAACGGCAAACAGAAGATCGACTTGTTCAAGCAACCTCGCGTCTTGCTAGATGAAACTCGCATGGCTCTGCTCTGTCCCATCAACGGCATTTTCGTGCCTTTCGGCATCAAAGTGATCAAGTCCATCACCGTGAGCCAAGATGAGTTAGAGCGCTACGTCTTGCGCGTGGTATTCTACACGCCAGGTGGTGGCGGGAGTACGTATGAGGATTACCCAGAAATGCCAGAAGAGTGGATAACGACGCAGAAAGCAGCTAGAGACAGACAGATTCAAGCACAAGAGGGCACTTCTGAGCTAACCAACGAGCAGGGAGGAGGAGCTGGAACGACGACCGAAGGAGGAGCCTCTTCATCATCCGGGAAGAAGTTGAAGAGTCCAAATAGGACAACAAAGAAGGGAGCAAAAGCAAGTCTAGGTTCTGAGCAGGATTCTGAGGACGAAGAAGAAGACGCTTGGATCCCCAGAAGACTCTTTATTAAGGAACTCACGTTCAAATCAGTGGACAGTGGCAATTTCGAATCGCTCGCTTTACGGTTCAAAGAAGCACAGAAAGCACAGAGAGGTCGTGAGCAAGAGGAGGAGGCGCAGCAAGGCTTAGTAGAACAGGAACCAGTTCAAGTCTTGTATCAGAGAACGCCTCCATGCTTGCGGGATATCCATGTGCGACCGATTTTGACGTCAAGGAAAGCGGTTGGGAGATTGGAGAGTCATAGGAACGGACTGAAGTTCATAGCTCAGCGGAATGAGTCGCTGGACATACTGTACAAGAATATCCGGCATGCCGTCTTCGAACCCTGCGTCGATAGTGTCAACACAGTGCTGCATTTTCAACTGAAGAATGAGGTATCTATCATTATCTATCATTTTCATTGTTAAGTGAAAGTGTATACTATAACTTTTTGTCTTCATGCTCCGTATCCACACGTGTTCTATTGACATTCAACTTTTTTGATTTCATGTTCAAAAACTCTATCTGTCATTTGAAGAAGAACGAGCATAGTAGCAACAAAGCACATGATGCACAAAAATCCTATGCGTCAGTATCCAGGATAGCTTATAATCTTCTCCGTCCCATAGGTGATCTTATATATAATGTCCCAGGTGATCATCAATAAGAAGCGAACGCGGATGGTGCAGTTCTTTTGTGAGGTGCTGAATACGACTGAAGATTTGACCAATGGAAGACGCCAAGCGGGAGACGAACGTATGGAGGATGAGCGCGAACGCATTCTCGTGAACAGGATAAACCAAGCCTTTCGCCAGTTCATCAACAACACATGGAATTTGATGAAGGAAGATGGCACCCCATTGACCTTCGAGTATCCCTACCAGAATCTGAAGTTTCAGGGCGTTCACCATCGAGCCTCCGTGGCCATCATGCCAACAGTCCACTGCTTCGTGGCTCTGCAGGAATGGCCCGCCTTTTGCCTTCCTTACAAGGACATAGAACTAGCAGTCTTCGAACGTTTCACGATGGATTTGAAGGAGTTCGACTTGATTTTCATCTTGAAGGACTACCAAAAGCCGGTAGTGAAAATAAGTGCGATCCCAAATCGCGAGTATGGAGAAAGGCTAAAGCAGATTTTCACGCAGAATGGACTAGTCTACTACACCTACGAGCAGCAAATGAAATGGACGGAGGTGATGAAGGAAGCGATTATTATGGCGAACAACTGATGCGGGTCATACTTCTATCGTGATACTACATAATAAAAGCAGATGCTTTATTGACTAGTAGAGTACTTAGCGGAAACATATAATAGATATATCCTCTCTTGACAGTACTTCGTTTCCATTTATCAGTTTCATGATGACTCGAATCGACCTAGTCACACTCTAAAATAAGCACGATCAGAACAGGAGAGTTCCAAACGACTGGTTGCTGGGAGACTTGGTTCGGAGGCGACGCCGATGCCGTATTTCCCCTTTTTTACTTTCTTCGTCCTTGGCTACAACTAGGTTTAGCTAGGGACAAACATGATGAATGCGTTGTGGATGTGATAAGTCAACTCAGAAAATGATTAAACTTGAAGTACAACGAGGATCTACAGTTCTTTCATCTCATCTGAAGACCCATGATGTATACTAGAAACAAAAGGAACAAATCATCTTTCTCAATTCAATTCTTCAAATCTACTAGGGCGCCGCGGCCGAAGAGGATAGTGACGAGACGGATAGTGCTTCCGAATTCAAACCCGATAGTGAAGACGACGATGACGAGGAGTTTGACCCTGCGTCTGAAGACGAGGACGAGGAGGAATCCGAGTACCAAGAAAATTCAGATGACGATTCGGACTCCAGTGCCATTGATCTCGAAGATATCCCAGACAGCGACGATGAGCGGCCTGCCTCCAGGAGACCAGCAGCTAGTCGAAGCAATCAGGCTTCAGCGTCTAGTAAGGCGAAGTCGACGAAAGTAGGAGTGATCGGAGGCAAGGGCGCTGGCAAAGGTGCTGCCAGCAGCGCGAGTAGGGCAGGACCACGAGCTGCGAATCCAGTACTAAAACCAAGAGCAGTACCACAACCGGGATCAACGATCGCCCAGCCCCAACAAGCCTACCAACGGAAAAAACCCAACGCCAGTACGAGGGCGTTCAAGTAGTAGGTCTAGGTTTTTTGAGCCACGGCTACTTGTTCTACTTCTCAAGTTCTTGGCCTCTCCACTAGATCGGAGAATTTTCAGGAGTAGCTCCTTGCAGAAAGCCGTTTCTTGGGAAGCTCGTTCGTCACATCTGATACTGCTTTGGGCTACAAAACCAGCTACAAAACCTATATCATGACTCACGAAAGAACACTCCCGTTACCATTACACACTGACGACAACACATCACTGAAATGTTAATCTCCAATAGATGGCACAATGAAATTTCTTCGCATGGAAATTCTCATCTATGCATATCCACGACTAGTGCAAAAAATGCAGGGCAATGCGAATAGGCCATACTCGGGAATGTTATGTGAAGGTTCCTCAGCTGAGGATACAGGTCAGACCCTTCGAGTGAAAAGTTACAGAGAGCACGAAATAGTCCATGGAAAGTTCAACCGGGGAATATCGGAAGAGACTGACAGCAAAAGACCATTCACAAAAAAAGTAGTCAAAAAAGAGACCGAAAAAGTGAATCTATAGGAGTCCACACAAAGAGTAGGAGCCCGCGGAAAGGACCCTGCATGGGATGGAAAGGACTACACTGCTAAAAATTACCAGAGTGAAAGTGTAAAAGTGCTAGCACTTCAGACAAAAAAGATGATGACTGTTAAAAGGAATTCGTACAGCACGCCTCGCGGAGGAGGCGAGGCGAGGTTAGACAAAGCCGAGAAAAATCGGTTACTCACCGATCGGGCTGCTTATCTCAACTTCCTGGAGGTCCAGCTCGAAAGGGTCAGCAGCAGCTGCTTGACGGTAGTTAAACTTGGGTATTAGCAGAATGATCTCGTCGTCAGAAAAGGATAACATTCTAGTAAGCAGAACAATCCGACGTTTTTTTCTTGATAAAAATTTGAGTTGCAGTATTGAGAACCGTAATTTCGCATATGATTCGGGACTCGGTCAGTGGAGTAGATTTTAAACATTTTCAGATCGACTAGCTAGAGCTTTTTTGACCCTACCTACTCAGAAATCAAACGCCCAGGTCCAAGGATTTTCAGAAAGGATAGAGCAAGTGCAGACGCAGGTCAACGGTATGGAAGAAAAGGTCCTCAACTGCGGACGCCTTATAAAGTTGATGCAGCAGTATAATGAGGAGGTACAGTTGTAGTTTCAGAATAGGTAGGTACAACTTCTTCAGGTACAGTTGTAGTTCCCGAATAGGTAGGTACAACTTCTTCAGGTACAGTTGTAGTTCCAGAATAGGTAGGTACAACTTCTTCTCCTGTAGTTTCTGAGTACTAAAAATTTACTTCATATTCGCCTAAGCAACTTCCTAACTAACACTAAGTAGACTAAGTACTTCATATGCGTTCGGATTCCGCTTCTTTTCAATAGGACCATTTCCGATTTTCTCGTCCTCCACATGATAGACAGACGATGAACTGCTTTGAAATATTGGTTAGCTTAGTATGGCGGATTTCATCTTCAAGCTTATGGCGGTATTGTATGTGTGCAACAGAAGTAACAGTACCTCTCCAGGATGATCATGTTTTAGAACGCCAGGTAAACCGAGTAGCGGAAAACATTAAAGTGCGAGTAAACGAGATGAATGAGGACATCGAGGTACGGACGAACGAGAAGCTGGAACAATTGCTGCAGAAAGTAGAGTTATGTCTAGGGTTCCAACAAACAGGATCGCGCACTTGCTGCGTTAACATCAAAGTGAAGCGTTCTTATAGGAGACGATGAATAATTCTGCTCTTTAAGTAGAAGCCGCCATTGAAGATAGCGTAAGGACTATATATATTCGAAAACTCAAAATAACCGAGTTACTGACTGAAATAAGGGAGGTAGCTTAACGTCAAGGCTACTCTTCCTCCTCGTCAGTATCTCGGTTATTCTGATCAGTTACTTGCTTATTTCAGTTTTTCGATTATTATGATTCTACTGATTACCCAAAGCATAAACTCTAATCACAAGCTCACTGTCTTCGCAACTAGGAGAGCATGGTTCGCTTTTAGCTGAACAGAGGCAAGATCACGATGAACATCTAGGGGCTCTACGAGAAGACGTGGAGAAATACCGAAATTTAGTGGAGATGGTAGACGCGGAGAATAAAGGGCTGCAGAAGCAAGCAGGGGAGCAATACGACATGATCAAGGCAAGCGAGAAGGTACTTAGTCATCGATGCGATCACTCGGATTGAGACAAGCGATTGAGAAATTATTATAAGTAGTGACGCAATAAAGGCAAAACCACGACCTCATGCGTGGATCAGGCGTCGTTTCTTGCAAGGACCCTCTTAAGGACATCTTCCTCTCCTCAGCTCTGCAACCGGTTAGCGGATGATGCAGTAGGTCTTATTGAGTCGAATGACAGAAGGTCTACGGATTTTTTGGATCAGCTAAAATCACGCCTAGATGCACAATTGCAAGACGTGCACGATAGAATAAGCAGACAACGTGAGGAAGCCACGCAGCATGTGATGGAGATGGTATGCTCTTCATTTGCCTGTCTTTGCATCAAAAACCTCTACCTACTCTTACTTGTGATTATGAAGCCCTACTTGCTTGCCAGACCCTACTTGCTTGCCAGACCCCACTTGCTTATGAAACCGGACCAAGGTCGAAAAGCGTCTGAATGTGCATTTTGCTGAGCAGCTTGGCAAAATGAGTGACGTGCTGAAGAAAGTAGTGACGAATCAGAGGACTCTACAACAGAAAGTCTCAGCGATGGAGAGCCACATGGAAATGATATCTTTCCAAGTGGATAAGAATTATGATTGCACCAGCTAGTTTAAGATCATTTTCAGATTCTGTAACCCCGCAAGAATCCATATTGAACACCGTGGTGTCCCTTTCGAGATGAATTTGGTATTCATGTACGTGTACTGAAAATTCGTAGCCGATTATTCACAGAGCACCTCTAACACAAGCCGAGAAGCCTGACCTCGCGCGCAACTTCAGTCTCGCCAAAACGGCGCGGATCGAGCCCTCTTTATGTGCAGTAGTCATTTGAATCCTCGAAATATCTGAGCAGGAAGGGGTAAAGAGTTTGATTGTGATACTAGATATCGGGAAAACCATGCGCTAGCGCCTCACGTTTGCGTTGGCTGTTGCCCCTTTTGTTCCGCCTCGCTGTCCACAAGGCTTTGTTCTCCCTCGCCTTCCTCTCCCTCCACCTCTTTGCGTCCAACTCCCTCCCTCTCCCTCCACCTCGTTGCCTCCAACTCCCTTCCTTTCCCTCCACCTCTTTGCCTCTCACGTACTCACAAACTAATCTCCGTCCTCGTCGCACACTGATCCTTATTTTTTACCAGAATCTCAATACGTATACGACACGCCCCCACTTCTTCTCCTGCATCACGAAAAAATTGAAAAGAGAAAGAACATTCTTAGACTATGACTTCTTTCATACAAAGAGCACAACGAACCGTCCGATGCGGTCACCTCCCAATCGGTCGCCTACATTTGGGAGTGCCACTGACCAGCTAATATCACCAACTGACGTAGACGCAGCCTTCCGATCCTTGACAATAACACCACCAGTTCAACAACAGCTCTTCGGGTCAAGCGGGGATTCACGAGGAGGAGTGGCTTTTATGTTCCATTAGATTTTGGATTTTGTAACTTTGAGTTGGTTTTTGTAGTGGAAGAGTATAACAGAAGGAAACGCGAGTAGCAACGACAACAACATACTCTCAACAACGAGTAGCACCACGGTAGAAACAGCGGATCGCCCTCACACACAGCCTCAACATCAGAGAAATCCGTAACACTCAGAAGAGACTCAGCGAAGTCGTAGGTCCAACCAGAACCGACTAACATCATCAAGCATGATTCACATAGTCAGTTTGCAGCTATAAAAATCCAGCGAGTAGTATGACAGCAACAGGGAACACACTCGTCCCCAGCACCGAGATGCCGGGTCTCAGTAAGGGCGCTCCCAGTGGAAGTCCTAATTTATGGAATGGAACATTTCATGTACGCATTTCTATTTCGCTTTGTTTTATTGTAGCAGCAATAGCTTCCAATCTAGATGTAGAATTACAGCTCGGATCTATCGTGTCTATTTTCCCATCGCTTACAAACAGTCAGAACGTAATTCATTAGACGCGTACGACGTATCACCATCAACAACATTCATACCATAGCTTTTCGCCGATGATTGGGGGATCCGGAACTCCAGCAAAAAATAGCCCACTCCTTGGTCCTCGGCAACATCCTGAAATATTAAGGCAAGTCGAGAAGCGCAATATTGACATTTTATAAGGACGAGGTTTATTAGCATATGCCCATTCTAGATTTTCCTATTCTAGATTCGCCTATTCTAGAAATGGAAATTCAAGTTATGGAATTTTTTTGTTCCTACGTTACTACTCTAGAACGAAGTAGTCTTATCCTTAACTAGAAATAGTCGCACCCACAACAGCCCTCTACATTCTTATGCTAGTCCCTCTTCTACAACTATCCTCTTCAAGTCGCACAAGAACAGCCTCATTCTTTTTATCCCTCTTCTAAAACTATCCTCTTCATCAAGTCGTGGAGGACCAGCTGCTGTGCCGCGTCTAGTACAATCAAAAGACGATATCTTGAATTTTGATGCGGCTTTTTCCATTCCTGGGGTCGGAACCTTTGGACCAGCGACAACACAACAGAGGCTGCGATCGCGTGCGGGATCTGCGAATTCAGACTAAGGCTTGATATACTGTATCGTTCATTTTCTTGAGAGTGTTTGAGTTTGAGCCCCTTTGTTTATTAAGGGGAAAACTACAGTAGTACATGTCAAAGAAGATGCTCGCTTCTCAAGAAAGATGAAGATCGGGAGTCTCCAATCAGATCGCTACTCAGATCGACCACCTAAGAGAAGAGGACCAACGATCGGACCCGCCAGTCGAGGCAACAAAGGCCCTGCTTCGACGGCTTCAAGTGTACAGGTTATGTGACTCGATCAATGACGAGGTGTAGTTGACACTGTAAGTATTTATAGTTTTGTTTTTGATGGTGAACCTGTGTAGTCTCGATGTTGAATTTTTTGCGTGACAGTGCGTACGACCACTACGTCATGATCACACCAACATTATTGTTACTGTTGTTGTTGTTGAAAAAGTTAGAGTTTGAACAACCCATCGCTTTGAAGATTCATTTGTTTTTGTATTTTGCTTACACAAGATACATGGACTCGTCCGAAGGCTATGACGCTTCTCTAACTTCTCAAGCAGTGGCACTGGCAAATTGCAGAACCGGATAAGCAGGCGCCAAGCGATGGAGGATTTGTATAGGGAGTTGCGGAGGCTGCAGAACGAAGAGTTGCTTGATGGCTCATGAGGTTTGGTTTGATTGTGGAGGTTTTCATCGTGGTCTCTTGATATATCAACACAGTTTTAGGATTAGGATTCCTTGCGCCACTTTGGAATTTAAAGCGTAGGTACGCATCATGATCGTTGAAATTAACGGAGTTGCCCATCCATTTTAGCCTTTTTTTTGCTGAGAACGAGCTTCTTTGTATCTAACTATCCTAATACATCGTGTGTTTCAACACTCTTTCAATTGATTATGCTGACCGAACTTGCTGTACTTGCTTCCGTTACGAGTTCGAACTTCTGCTGAAGACTTAACGCTTCGTCCGTATCTTCAATCTTGTTTGCTATTGTGGAAATTGAAAAATCGTTATATTCCAACGCTTTCCACACGGGCTATGAGTCATGATTAAGCGAATCCGAATGTTCACATCAAAGCGAAAGCTTCTACTTCGGCCTTTGCCACAGTGTTCATCGCAGTGAGTACGAAGACACTCGTGGAATGCGCCACCCGGTTCCGTTCGATCTCGGAAAGGCGACGTTCAACACTGCGGGTACATGAAGATCGCTCGACATGAAGATCGTTGGGCTACAGTGGATCTCCCGTTAGTCACAAGATCTTTTACCAATCACCTCAGAGGCAGAGAGATCAAACTAGTTTTTCTGTTGTGTCACACAGTGCTACATTACTGTCACAGCACGCAAGGAAAAATACCATGTCGAATAGTGGTAAGGGTGTCTGGCAGAATGCTAATACCCTTGCTATCAGAGGTTGCGGCGCCTACAGCGGACACCATGTGTCAAACAGTTACCGTGTAGCGTACACTGAAATTATGGAACATGATTTGTAGGATTCAGTGTGTCGTCCCGGACAAAGCGGCCTGGCCGCAGAGCCGTGGACCTTGAACTTTGAACCTTAATATCGCCGCTAAGTAAGTGAGATGCCAGCAGATGACCTGGCGAGGAACTTCAACTTCTACTCTGAGGCGCTTCCACTCTTGATCTCCCTGTTCTAAAAAAAGTGGGAGTCGCGCACTGAAAGCTTGGCGACCATGGCTAAGCCTCGAGCGAGCACAGTGGTGGCACGCGATGTTTCCACACTGGCCTCCGAAGGATGCGACACCGTTGATGGCCATTGAACCATTTGGTTATGTTGAGAGGATTTTGTTTTTTTCTGCGTACAACTGATAGATAGTTTTATTCAGGCTGCTGACTTGCGAGTCAAGAGCTTGAATAAGGAATAAGTACGCCTAGTTAGAATTTTAGTACTCGAGCTGAGCAAAAAACTCTCCTGCTTCTTCATAAGCTAAAGCAGCTCTTCGTCCATCGCGTGAGGAGTTCAAAGGAGACTCAAGGGTTGGGAGATCCGAGAGCACCATGTCAGCTAGACCTGAGGCCAGATTTATGATTCGATTTATGATTCCTAAGCAGTATCTTTATGTTTCTTTTGACTCTTTCATTGTTTTTAAGGCTGTAATGGTGCTTTCCTTGTATTGTTTGATTGTGAATCACATTTTGTGATATCACATTTTTCTATTATGATACATACTGGCCGAGTAGGCCAATTAGGACATCTTTACACCAAATTTCTATGATGAAGATACGGATATTGCGCAGTTCTACATAAGTAGCTCTAGGTACTCTAAAGTTAGTCTCCTTTATTTCTCCATAGTTCTAGGTACTACAAGTCATCTCCGCTTCTTCGTCACACTTCTAGGTATTTGTACAAGGAGTCTCCCCTTCATAGTTCTGAGTGCAAACTCTATAAGTAAGATCATACCCATGTCTTCATCTTCTTCATAGTATTGGGTACAGGAAGATCATATCCGCGAGCTAGGCGTGACGCGGGAAGACTCACGCGTATGGCCATCGCGGGAAAAGACAGCGGATAGCATAGAAGGTGCCACATTCCATAAGCCGCGAGCTTGTATTAAGGCAGGTTAAAATCATAGTTGTGCGATGATGTTGTTGTCCTCAGTTTTTGAATAGAGATCATGCAGCTATGAGATGGTAAGGGCGCTTGCGAGCGCGACACGCGTGAGGCGGCAGGGTCGCGCGCGAACATAATAATAATAATAATAACTTTTTGTGTCGAGGGCTAGGTTGAGCATGCATTTTCATGTTGTTGAGTCAATATGGTTCCAACAATTGCTGTTCTAAGTACAGCACATATCGAGAGCGTATGGACCCGACCCGAATAGTGCTCAAGGATGCTGAGGAAGTTGCCAGATTCTCCGCATTACCATCTGAGATCACTGGCGAGAAGATGGCGAATGACAAAGCGAAAAAAGCGCATGCGCTAGATCAGTTATGGAATCTCAATCTTTGTCTTTCAGTTTGATTGAATAATATGCTGATGTTCCTATGGGGATGGTCTGGATGTTAGTGGAGGCAGTGTGCACCGACATGAGCTCTGCTCGAGTAGAAGTAGCTCCCTGCGCTATTGCTTACCTCAAGGTTTGTCGAGTGCTGCCACTATCATAGAAATACTGTCAGGCCAAGCCTCTACGGTCATCATGAATGGTGGCAACAGGGACAACAGCATGCGTATGGGGATGGTGGAAATCTCAATAACCTGCCTCTAACTCACCGTGAAAATCTGAATATCCCTCTCCTTTGCCTGACGGATTACAGGCGACGCGTATTGGGCCATATGACACGAGAAGAATGGGAAGACTTTCGCACCGCGATTCCGAAATTGCGAGAACAGTTGCACGCTTTCGCGGTGGATACACCTCCACCCTCAGAAGACGTGGATAAGATTGAAAATTATGGTTTCGTGTCTGCTGCTTTGTGGGAGTAGGTCCGAGGAAATCATTGAAAAATGGAAAATGAGATCATTGAGAAGCGGTGCAGATTACAAACTATGTGTAGACAGTGTAATCGTGGAAGTCAAACCACAAAGATAGTATTCGCTAGACAGACTCGCTAGAAATAGATCCTACAGTGTTGTTGACAGTGATGTTTCTCATCATAGAACCTCCTAACCCGAAGATGCCGAATATTCTAAGTCCTAGACCAGCGCGTTTACGTTGGTGTGCGGAGGTATAAAATCGCCAGCGCAAAGAGTTGCACCATCACTGGCTACCATGGGCATAGACGTGTGCATGTGCATCCACACGCAGGATTTCAGCGAATGTTGCGCAGGAAAGGTTACATCAATTATGTGCACTGGTTCTTGCATTAATTAGTATTTTGTGATTGTACGATTGCTGTCTTAGTTGGGGGTGGATAAGGATATAATTATGTGACCTATCTTCATGAGGATGATCACGATACAATGCAACCCTCTAACCTCTGAAAGCGCATATTTTGGGTATGACCCGTGGATTCGAGGGCAGGAAGGTGCCGACACATCCCAACCAACAAGCAGCAACATATGTTATGAGAAATTTTCCATTTTGAAAACCTCTATTCTGTAGCGGAGTCTATATTTAATATATATGTTTGAGGGCTGGACGGTGCCTCCCCTGTGGTCTGGTCTGTGGTGGCGCGCGCGCGCGCTTTTCCGCGCGCTTTTCCGCGGATTCTAGTGGGGGAAGGCGGCAAAACGGGGCGCGGGCCTCCCCTTGCGCCTCTCAGCGGGTTCCGCAGGGGCCTCCTGGCTTCTGCTGACCCTCGCAGGCGGGAGGTCTCCGGGGTAAAAGGCCGCCGAGGGCGGCCACGGTCGCAAGAGCAAGCAAGCCGATGACCAAGGACCCGGAGGGTGCAGGCTGCACGGCTCAGGGGGTGCAGGCTGCACGGCTCAGGGGGTACAGGCTGCACGCCTTCGGGAGCCTGGCTTGACGTGACCGGCGCACTGCTGCGGCGGCGAGGCATCTCGGAGGCACTTAGGGCACGGGCGGGCACCTGGACGGGGGCGCGGGCGGTCCCTTGGGCCCCTTTTGAAGGCTCCCACCTACGTCGGAGGCCTGTAGGCAGCAGCCAGGCAGCTGGAAGGGAGCGGGGGAGGGGGGTCACTTGGCCCCCTTTTGAGGCCTTCCACCCCCGGCAGACGCCTTAAAAAGGGGTCCGGGGCGCACGGTGCCCCCCCTACGCTATATTTCCAAAATTGAGGATGGAGTTTTCTGTGTCGTGTAGCTTTAGATATTTGTAGGAACAGTCAAATTTAACGACTCAGCTTCTCTAACCACTGCCACTTTAGGGAGAAGGCGCTGAACACGAAAATGATGCCTCACGGATGGCTGCCCAGACCGAATAAGACATCATAAGAGGAAACGAATTGACCTTACACAAGGTTGGACCTTGCAAGAACGTCAAACGAAGATACATGAGAGCAGATACAGCGTATGAGATACTTACAGGATACAGCGCAAATGTACACGGATTCCATACCATCAAACGTCAATACCAGTTTTGAGGTCGAATCTGAAGAGCCTGAAAATGGCTTAGGGGCCTCTGCGTAAGCATAAAAGTCGAAGATTTAGAAGTCTTTAATGGGTGACGCTGAGGAAGTCCAATTAGTATGTTCGATCTCCTCGTGAGGCGCGACCTCTGTCTTTGACGAATTTACTTGTATCAATCTACATTCTTACTGCAGGCGTGCAACATGTCAATACAATCGGTACACATTCTTGAAGGTCCTGTGTCCAAACCTACTATCCGCATCGGTGCACGTTCCTGAAGGTCCTGTTTTCTTATCGGTACAGTTTCATGATCCTAATAAGAATATGCATCGGTGCTTTGACGACTAATGAAAACTACGCACGAACTCGACAATATTATGACATCCCTTTCTCCTCTAAAGGAGAATGGCATATCATTTGTTTCCTCCGTGATTTTCATTACAAGACTACCGTTTAGCCCTAAAGTAAATCAAGCCCAACAACTAAGCACCAATCCAAATCACCCTAAACTAAGCACGAATCTTTGTGTTGAAGCAAACATTGTCTTACGCCGTTTCTTCGTTAGTTTGAGAGAAAACCCAATCTTTCAGTACTCAACTGAAAACTTAAGTACCTAGGACGGAATGACTGAGCAGTGAATGAAGGGAGACTTTGCCACTAGTCCTGTCTGTTTATTCTCTAGTCGGGGGAGACTTTCTCTGTACTATACTTGTCTTGCGGCCTAGTAAGTTAAGGTCGCTCGGCGAGTCTTAACTTCTGGATGTAAGTTTGTAAGTACTAAAAGTATCTCCACTTTCTTCAATCATTTTACTTTTACAGCATGCACTTAGAGTAAGACAGCACTAGGTTACTAGTTTTAACCTCTATTCCTAAACTAAGAATCCCTTCACCCAACAACAACATACTACGAAAAAGATGGGGAAAAAGCAGCAGCGAAAAGGGGGAAACAAGAAGAGGATCTTTCGGTCCAAGATCTTCTTGGAGGATGACGTCTCTGAGAAGGAAGAGACGTTTTTAGAAAGGAAGCTGCCACCTAATCGTCCCACTTCTATTAACAGTGGACGGATGGGGTTGGGGACGCGGAGAGGAAACGGTTCAGGAGGTTCGGCGCAAGCAAAAAAACCAGCAGTGCCGACACAAGGAGTACTGGAACGAGTAGTGCCGAGACCAGGTGAGGCGCAAACAGTAAAGACGATGCAAGCAAAAGCGGCAGCTGTGGGCAAAACTAATGGACTGTGGAAGGCGCCAGCTGCGAGTAGAGCAGTGGCGAAACCATCGTGTGAGACATTATGGCGCGGAGAATCCTATCCTATGCTACCCTATCCTAAGAGTTGAGTACTTAATGCCGACAAGTAAAAGAACTTTTGGTGTCTCTAATGAATTTCACAGACGGGAGCGTGAGGGTAGCGCAGTTGCAGGAGTATCTCGACAAAGAGGTGGAAAACGAGTCAACGGAGAATGCTGAAGGAAGTAAGGCTTGCCGTAATTCTAATTCTGCTGAAGAAACTTTTTAAAGATTTGATAAAGGTAATCTTAGAAATTCGTTGAAAGAGATGGGGGCTATCAAAGACTTTCACTTTGATGAGGACCACCTTTTCTGTATAAGGGAAGGAAAGCATGACCTTGCTTTCATTGGAAAACAGTAAAATACGTTGTCAAAGATCAGACTCTGTGCTGCTCTAGATTCGTACTTATTTTGTAACAAGCTCTAATGAATACGTAACGGATGATAGCACGGTCAAGGAAACCGTAAAACACGTCTACGCCAAAGTCACCAAGCAGCTTAAAGATGCTTACAAAAAGCTACGGGAGCTGTCAGAAGAGCAAAATTTTGATTTAAGGGTTTTGATGACATCGCATTCTTTAGTACCATCCTTCAGTCGTTTTCAAGTAGGAAAAAAGGGTCAAGGATGATCTGAGGAATGCACTGAATATCGTAATTTCTAAAAGGTGCTCTGACTAACAGCGTCGTGGACATGCTGGTCGACGACATGACCAACAGCCTGGTGAAAGAGCTGTCTAACACAAACCTCAAGGTCAGAGGCGAAAGCGTCATCAGACAAGACCAGGAGAAGGAGACGATGGAAGGATTTCTACGTGAAGCGGTCAAGGACGACACATATTATAGATTAAGACGCACCAACATTTTTTTGCTAGATTTGCTAGATCTTAGTAAGATATGAAAGCCCAGAGGATTGATACGTACTACTGATTTGGACTAAGTAATGAAAAAGAAGTCAGTTTCATTTCCTTCTTTTCTAGTTAGGGCGTAACTGGAATTAAAAGACAGTCCTTCCTTCGAGTACATCTAGCCTATGCTAAGACTCTACTACATCTTTTTCCTAGGTAGGTACCAAAAGACTAAGGCCATTAAATGAAGAAGATGAGTAGATCTAGAAGATAGTGCTCCTGCTCTAGTCCTCCTCCTCCTTTTCGTCCTCGCTCCTCCTCCTCTTCCCCCTCCTCGTCTTCTTCTAACTAAAGGCCCTGTGCGGGACGCTCTCCTTCTTAGGGTTAAATCCGTTGGCAAAGATAACGTCCAAAAATTTTGGTCGAAGGTCATGAACGATACCAACCGCAGGCTCGGGAAATTGGTGGAAAAGCCTGCTCAACAAGAGACTGAGTACGCAGAAGACCCAGCTATTCTAGCTTAAGGCTCAAAGTAATTCATTTCCAACGGCCATTTTCTTCCTTCAGTTTCCTTCTTGGGATTCCGAAGAAATGCACCCAAGATTTGAGCTCTAACTAGGTTTGCTAGACCTCGATGATATTCTGGCGGGAATGGGCAAGCTTGAGTTGTTCATGCTAGACGCCGCTGCTGCGAAGAGTCAGAGTGCTGACAATGGCATTCAGTTGCAGACGCGGTTGAGCAACAACATCCGTAAGCAGATTGCAGACGGATTGCAGCTTTCTATTAGGGGCCGGCTATTGCTGTTTCTTTTGCCGTTTGTTTTGACTCTTCTGCGGTGTCGTAAGAGCATAACAAACGGTGAACAAAAACACCAAAGTAAACCCTAAGCACTCTAATCCTAGCGCAAGCAAAGAAGGGGCACTTGATGGTCATGGTGCTGAACAAGCAGGTGGTAGCATGAAGAAATTTGTTCGTAATTATGGGTGTAGGGAATGCATCTCCAAAGTCATCTGGAAGGAGAAAACAAGAAGAAAAAGAGACCCAGATGATCCCTAAGATGAAATCCCTCTAACGTAAGGAGCAACTGAAGCGCCTGCGGAAACGCGCGCCAGGCAAGCAGTCTGCGCTATTCGAACAGATACTCTCTACCTCCGATATTGAGAAGGAGCTGAATAGCTTAGGTGGCCTCAAGAAGGCAAAGCCCATTGATGATGAGATGAGATTTACAATATTTTATGGACGAAGTCTTTCTTGTCTGTAGAATCTTCATAGTGATAACTCATCAGCCAAGAATGATAATCGTAGACTAAGTTATAATGTCCTCATCATAGTGATAGCTTTTACGGTGAGGACCACGAACGATCGTATCACAAGCACACAGATAGATCCGAGCAATCTTTGGGGCTATAGTTTTAAGCTCTTTGCTTGCTATAAAGGTGTCACTTTTCTAAACTTTTTATCAAGAAAACGTGCATCATCCTAAGATCAAAGACATCGAACAGGGGACTACCAACTAAGAGATGCATTCACGACTTGATAGGAGAGACATCCAACTGATACACCCACTTGAAGAATATCGCTAATTCGTAAGACAGATAAAGGAAACTCTGTTGAATGTCGCGACCGAGAGTGCCAAAGAGAAGCATGCTAATACCGTTATGAGGAACGCGATTGAAATGACGGGCTGGAAGATGAAGATCTTCTTACATCTTCAAGCAAGAGGACCATAGGTCCTTTGACCGATACTAGACCTACACTAAGAAGATCTTCATATAAGTACCCTGCTCGTAATATGCTCGTGGATTTTTTTTTAAATTCTAAATAATAAGTTACGGAAAAAGGGAAATTCTTGAAAAAACGTGCGGGGAACAAGGGTTCGTACGCCTCGAAGACGCGCCTGAGTGGAGAGCGGCGGGCAACGGATGACCTGCAAGTGGCCAAAAAATATAGGACAAAGATGATGGAGGACCTAAGCCGGACATTGAAGGACTACACCAAGATGAAGTACGTTAGCCAGTTGACAACAAAGCAGATTGTCGGTGCGCAATTAAGGCATGGTCAACTACAGGTGAAAGAAATATAGTTCATCTTTTTGGAAGCTCACGGTTTCCACATGAATTATTCATTTACTTTCAAGACCTAGAACTCTCATAAAGTCGTGTAGAATTACATCGAGAGGAAAAAAATCTTGCTGTATCTGCTCTAACGTAAAAAACGGCTGAAAGCCTGTGGCGGAAGAACTTGCAAAAGTATTGTAAGATGAAGTTAAGGAGATTTTTGTTGAAACTTTGCTAGTGGCGCATCTTTTCGTAAGAGGCTCTTCAGTGGCGTCTTACGTCTGCCTGTGCTTGAGTGGACCGTAACCTAAGCTAAGCTAATGTAAAAGTTATAACAATGCGTCTTGTATATGGTTCGTTCGGATGGAGAAGTTCTTGGGACTCCTTGTTCTCGCAATTTTTTCATACGCGTATCATCTGTTCCCAGAAAGTAGATAAGTACTTTTGCAATTTATACCAGTATCTGTTCTGGATACGTTTGTCACCAGCTATACCTAGCATGCAGTGGGCGTCGGCATAGGTTGCTTCTAATTCGTGAGGAGGAAAATGTAAGGAAGATCAGCGCCGCACATGCAGCTGCGTCAACCCATAGCAGTCGTGCCGGAAGGAGCAGTAGTTTTTCTAGTTTCCTCGCTTCACCCGAAGATCATGATAGTAGAAGGAGTTTGCCCGATCACGACAGTGCTAGAAGTAGTTCTTCTAGTTTCCTTACACCTTCAGCCTCAGAGGCCGCCTACTCCGCAAAGATAACGGAAATGGCAGGAGCCACTTCCACTATAGACAGCGAGTCTATAGATAGCATAGTCGCAGTGGACTTAAACTTTCGCGATTCCAGCGCGATGGCTCTAAGAGAAGGAGCAGAGTTCGTTGGGGCAACATGGGACAGCTCGAGGTCGACGCCGCAACAGCTAGATCACGGATGGACGACCTTGTTCTCCTACACAAGCAGCAGCAACAGTTGCTTTTTTCTGTTATGGATTCCAACTCCAATCCTTCCACAGAGTACTCCTGGAGCAAATCAAAGAAACGCCTGAGTAAGTAACGCATTTGCGTTTTTCACTAAATGAATCCTCTAGTCCACTGAACCTCTGACTCACTGCACCTCTAGCGCACTGAACCTCTAGTCCACTGCACAAACCAGCTCACCACCTCTAATTTTTTGCGTTTTTCTCGCACCTATCCTGTTTATAGCCCTGCTCTGGTGGCTTCTTATGCGCAAGAAAAGCTGGAACAAGGAAAAGAGATCTACAGAGTTCTTTGGATCTTCAGAGCCTCTGTCGTGGTCAGAGTGTCCTGGTGAGGACGCCATACGGACGAGTCCCTAGGACAGACGGGCACTCATTGATGTCTACCTGTATGAATTAAGACGCAAATACAACTTCTCGAAGAGATAAATAGGAGTGGAATTGTGTGGTCCATGACAAGACTCCAGACATTATAGCAAACTGCTTATAAAAATTTGTTTTCATATAATCGAGCGGAGTACTCCTCTGCACAGATTCAGACAGTTTCTTTCTTTGAAGTGAAATAGTTTCTTGAATTCTAAGGCCAATGTGATTGTTTTCATATAATCGTTATTATCCTGGCCCTGGAGTTCGTCTAGATTCGTTTAGAATACCAGAAGAGACGCGTTGTTGTTGGAAGAACAAAGGAGACCGGAAGTGTCAAATTTGCAAAAAGTGGAAGATTGAGTTTCAAGATGACGCAACGACGGTGCAATCTATATCTAAGCGTATTGACTTACTTAATAAACACATGGAGAAGGGCAGAAAAAAGGTAAGGAAAGCATAATAAACACAAAGAAGACCTAATGCATCCTAGTTAATCATCCTAATTAATCATCACTTTCCTTTGCATCCTAATTGATGCCTGAGACAGTACCTCATGCTAGGTAAATGAATGAATGAATGAATTATCGAGATTATGAAAAAGAAAATCATTTTAGAAGCCTAAATCGTTGCATGATACCACCAGACCAATCAATAATTATAATTATTCATATGTAGAAGTCAGTTGTACTAAAACATTGAATATCAAACAGAACAAATGGAAACTGTATTTAACTTTGCGAAACATCCGTCCGAGCTCGATTGTATACAACTAGATTGGTTATATTATTGCCTTTTTGATGAGGGTGACTGATTTCATATCGCCTGTCGGTGTCGGACTGTATCATTATCAGCTGCTCCCAGACGGTAATACAAATTATCATACCTTATTGCTACTCAACAAGTTGTACTCAAACAGCAACTCCACTTCACTGTAAACAAACACAAAGTAAGTTGCAATTTGCTCACTGTCCTCAAACAGCTATCTAGGTACTAAAAAGATACAATCTACCAGGTACGTCCTTAAACTACTATCATAATTTGAGGACAAGTAACAAGGTGCGCTGGAACGAGTCTCGTGTTGGAGAAGGCTGGAAGGTGGTAGTCCGTAGACGTGTATGATCGCACGGATTCAGGTGTCTTCGGTAGATGCACCTCATGTTTCGGTATCTGTCTCTTTCAGATCTGTGGTTTGACTCGCAGTCTCTTTCAGCGCTGTGTCATCTGTCTTCGGTGACGACGTGGTCATCTTACCCATAGGTAAGTACCCGCCTACTCATCCTCTTTGTAGTCCCTTTTTATCACCTTCATTGGGAAGTATTGTACTAACACTCGAATTTTCGGTTATTGCGTAATACCGACACCCAGATAGAAGGCATAGGCACTCACACTTAACAATCGAGTTGAATGTAGAAGATACAACAGTGCATGACCATGAGCCAACTCCTACATCGAGCAAGAGTCGTGTAAGCGAATAGAGTACTCCTAATCATGATGAGGTTGAAGATATTGTGAAAATGAATCATTGGTAGGTGTTTCCAGAGCAGTGAAAGAATGGAGTCACGTCGTGGTAGTCAATCGGAATCTGAGGATTTCGAAGGCTTCGGAGAATCAGGATGGGGCACGAAAGGCGGACCAATGTTCACCACGCCAAATAAAGCGTATTTTGTTAAGGCTGGCATTTAACTTGTACTAGATGTTGAAGTTCGCTGCATAGCTCAACCACCGCTGGGAACACCAGACCACTTATAGGGGCAACCACGAATACCATTGATTTAACCATGATCGATGATGAAAGGCTAGTAACCATTGAAAGGCTAGCAATGGTTACAACTAGCTTTTCGTCATCTATAAGTAAAAGTATGTACTACTTATTAGAAGCAGCTTCGAATACATACTTTTACTTCTAGAATTTCGACGTTCGTTTTTCGAATTTTTTTTTGAGCTGAAGGTGGTCAGTTGCGACCTTCATTACAGTCCATCGACTCTTCATTAATAATCTAATGTGGTTTATTTAAACCTTGTCTAATCTCTGCGGTGGCCACACCAATGATCCTGAAACCGAGATTCGACTGACACAGGTGATAGAGGAGTTGATGGTGGAGAAACTGCATATGAAAAAAGAGGTGAAAAAATTGCAGGGTGAACTGCTTGACCGATCAAAATTGGCGAAAAAGTCTCTAGGGTCCGGAGGGCAGTTCAAAGGCCACATGATCGTGAATCAAGTGGGTGGTGGTATTTTTTTATCCTCGTCAACATTCATTGATTAGGGGAGCAGTGGTATTTCCAGACCGGACACTCTCGTGGGTTGTAAAACTAGACTCGCACCACAATGTAAGTGTATTGTACTTCTAAATCATCATCAGCAACTTCTTCTTCTTCGGCTGGTAGTGCAGATTCAATGCGATACTTTCCTCGAGAGAGTTTGACTTTCGTTGACGAGGAAATTGTAGTTGGTAGCTCTCATGGATGTGGTCACCATGACGATCGAGTGAAGCGATCGCCTCTTTCTACTCCATCTCTCGAATGATTTTCATGCATTTTCTTTACTGTGGTTTTTTCTTCATCATGAAATTAAGGTAGACTAAATGATAGACTTGGTCTTAAGCATGTGTTCTTTTTCACCAAAAATCATCATCAGCAACTTCTTCTTCTTCTTCTTACCGCCAGGTGGTAGCGCCTCCACCAGTATGCAGAACAGCCCAGTGAAAAAACTGACAAGACGAAGCGTGTCTACGAAACATCTTCTGCGAGACAACTTCTTGGAGCTAAAGGAAGATAATCCTGCTGAGTCACCGAACCACAGATCCTTACAGATTATGCATGAATTTGCTTAGGTTTTTCTTTCGCACAAAGACAGACTAAGTCGTGGTCGTGATTGAACTTCATAGACTTCCAGTAGTACTGGAGTAGCAGTACAACATTACTGGTTCTCCGTGATGTGTTTTTTCGCTACCCCTTGTTGGTTCGTAGTATTTAGTATCTGAACACTTCATGAATACATACAAGAGGAAAGACCAATCACTCTCTAACCCAAGGCGTTACGATCAAACTGCACGTGACTTGGACTCGAAGATGCAGGAGCTCTCAGATGCTCGAATGAGGATCGAGAGTCTCGAGCTAGAGCTAGTTTTTGCAAAAGCCGAGACAAAGAAGCAACAGGAGGAGAGGGCTATGATTAAGACTAGTTTTTATCTCTATTCGAAGTGTAATTATCACTATACTTTTTACAAGATCCCATGTTAATTTATATTGTATGCGGAGTGGAGTCCCACTTGATTTGTAAAGAGGAAACGAAGGGCCAGGGGGGAAAAGGGAAACTCACTCAGCCAGGCGTAGTTGTGAGAAACTATCTCGAATATGAGGAGTGCCGAAGGAAGAAGAGGCTCGACGCCTCAAAATGTTGGAAGTCAAGTGCGCGAAGATAACGCAGCAACCGACTTGAGAATACCAGTGCCAATAGCAGCAGTTGCAACAGGCGTGCCTGAATTTTATGACTCATAGATTTACAGATGTCTTAGGCAATGGAATTTCCCTATCCTATAGCCATTTTGGAACGATTGAGAAATACTAGAATTATAGCACGAAGACATAGGCACGTGTTGACATGTTCAACGAGCATCTTCAGAAAGACACGAAGACACACACTCTTAACATTTTCCACTGAAATCAATAATTGAAAATCTCTAAGATGAAGTACAGCAACCAGGAGCACCACCGGAACCTACGTCTTCGGGTAAAGAATTTCGCTTGCCACCAATAGAGAGTCCTCCAAAAAGAGGTCTCTTCATGGACTCGCCGCCAAAGATTAAGCCTGAATTTTCGTTGGAAGTTGTAGTAGTAGATTACTACTCTTCATAAGCATAACCATAAGGTGGTCAAGTACTCTTCATAATGTGCATCTACTTCTTGCTTAATATATCAAACAGCTCATCTACTTCATGGATAATTCTAGTATAAGTTGATTCTGCGTCTAAAATCCGTCGTGAAGGCAGGAATCCAGCACCTGACGTATTTTTAACGCCTATGGCCTCGTGGACCCCTAGGGAGAACGAGTGGACAGAGAGGCTACGAATACAGCAAGAACTGGCAGAGGACCTGGCGACGTCCTTGAAACTCCAGAAACAAGAGGCTGATGATAGAACAGCCGCTGTGAGGAAACTTGGGAAGAAGGTATTTCTAGTTATGTACGATTTCGGTTTTGTTTTGTGCTCGGAGAGGATTTCTACAAAGGCAGCTGTCATGTTGTATTTATCGTTTCTGAGTACAAATTCCAGCTTACTTTCAAACTTCAGGTCTTCCGAACCCTAGTGGCTACACAAAGCAAGGAAGCTGGAATTCTCGCTATCGAACACGCGTTCACGTCGTGGAGGAACTTAGTAGCGTCTCGACGTCAAGCCGCGAGATTGATAGAGGTAGACTTAATACTTATCTTGTGAACTTCTTTCAATCATCTCGTTCTTTTTCTTCGTACATTGCTTTTCTTTCATTTCAGTTCCCAAGAGAGAAGTAAATATGAGTACACATCACGTTTATCAAACAAAGGTTGAAGCCACTGCAGCGAAAGCGTCAGCGGCTGAAAAAAGCGCGCGGAGCGAAGTCGAAGAAACGAGGAGAGAGTTGCGAAGGATCGATGAGAAATACGCATCAGATTATGGCTGGTAATGATGATAGATAATCATAATGTTGGGCTGTTAGATAGACGTAGCAATAGCCTAGTACCTCTACGCAAAAGGACATTGCATTCTCTTGAAATTGTTTGAACCCGCCATTAATTCGCAGTGGGTATCAATCTGAGAGTAGAACAAGTACTACTACTACCTAAGGCAAGAAGAACTCATCTGTGGCAACAAGCACCAAGAATTACTTATGCTTGTCCAAATGTAGTCTAATCTCCAGTCGCTTATCTCCGACAGCAACTGGAGAAGGTGGAGCTTTCGGAAAAGCAGGCACGCGTAGAAGCATCCGCGAGTGCAACGAAAGTAGTCGAGAGTTCGAAACTTCTAGTCGAAAGCAACGAGAAAGCAGTCGCCAGCGCCAAAGAGGCAGCTGCAAGTGAGGCCAAAGCAGCAGAGGTAGCGGAAAAATGTGCGAGTGAAATAGAGGGTTTGCGGCAGCAGGTAGTGGAGGAGACAGCGACGCGCAAGAAGAGCGAAGAGGAACTTCTAGCTATGCAGGCAGCAAGGCAAAGAATCGAAGAAGAGCTGGAGGAAATGAGGGCAGCGCGACAAAAGAGCGAAGAGGAACTTTTACGACTGAAGATCAAGATTTAGATGAAGATAGTGATATATACCTAAGAGGAAGCAGTTGTAACCTGAGCGCCATGAGCACTGCGTTGGAGCTTAACTAATTATTGGGCAGTTGTGTTCTCGAAAACGAAAAGTGAAGATAAAAGGAGGGCTTGGCAAGAAAGTCATTATAACGTAAACATGCTCAAGATGGATCTGCCTAGAAGTAGGTAGGCAGAAGTAGGTACTCCATCATCCTCAGTTCTAACTCCAGAAGAGATGCGAAACCGATATAACCAGTTGCTCAAGCTAATGGACTCTTCTAGTAACGAACTGTCGGAGACGAAGAGGATTGCACGGGAACAGACGCTCTTGAAAGAGATAGCTGCACTAAAAAAGGAGAGAGGGATGGCGTGAATTATGTATTTGGAGGATGGTGAAAATTTCAATCTGATAGGAGTAGAGGACCATGTTAGAAGTACATTGTCACTTGTTCTTGCTGATTTGCTCAGAGACCATAGAAGTAGGTCACTGCTATTGTTTGTAATTCTTGTAAACATTGATTAATTTGCTACTAGGAAGGAGTACATTGTTATCATTCGTAGTGCTTGTAAAGAGAAGAGCATTGAATGATTAGTTATGCAGTATAAAGCTGATGTGCAGTCATGATCAGGACTAGGGGTCTTCAACACGCAACTTCTTCAATTTTAAGTACATAGTCATTGGTAGTTTTTGGAATCAAGTACAACATGTAGACAACATTGATTCGCGAGAATGTCTCAATCTTCTGTAACAAACATACATCTAGATTTAAACATCACAACATTTCAATGTGGACTTGTTCGTTTTCGGACTTCCTAATCATACTAGTGAATTTCGAGTACCAGTTGTACATTATGAATACGTGCAGATTTTCTAGAGTTCGCTGTAATCCTTCTTCAGGAGAAGAACAAAGCTTGAACAAAGACCGATACATTAGAATAGAACAAACACCGATACTAGAGTTTTATTTCCAAATAAACGATAAGGAACAACAACAAATAGTTGTATTGATAGATCAAATTAACGGGCTGAGCATGAATATGGGGAAACATTGTATAAAACTTTGAACTTTTCTTGCAGTTTTGTGTGTGTAAGAAAACTTGACCTTGATGATTCTGCCGAAGGTTGAAGAAGTTACGGCGCCACGAGCGAAATAAGGGACTTGTCTTGGACTGTGTCCGTATTCCTCAACTCCTTGACCTGTAAGGCATCGGTCCACTGACTAGTCCACGACAAGTCGGCCATCTGATCATGCCTACTGTGGGTTCCGTAGATTGTCATTCGGTCTAAGATCTTAGCCATGCTCTTCAGACTCATGCGCCATCTGTTGAAAAAACTCGGCTTCATTAGTACTTAACTCTGTCCTGTCCTTGTATCGTTCGCGGTTGTAAGTCTGGTGTCCCCAACCAATTTGGGCTGAATCGAGCCTCGTAATGCAATTATAGAAGTAAGGAGTAATACTGATGATCACGACCACTCAATTCTTGTCTCCAACTTCACTAAGGTCGTGTCCTTCACTGAACCAGAACTGAAAAGCGGTCCACCCCCACGTCCTCATGGATAAAAAAGTTTTGCCAAGCATTAGATCCAAAGGAAAGATGCTGCCATCTTCGCTCGCTGTCCTCTTCATACCAGGTCTCATGCTTGGTCGAGCTGGTTCCTTCGTTGTGCTGGGCTACCAAAGAGGACGAAGCCAACAAGAAGGGCAAAGCGGCTCGTCCGCTCGGCCGCGTGAGGAGCGTGATCATGGATTTTTCTACGATGATTATCTTCCAACAAGACGCGGCCCACCTGCTGAGAGTAGACGACCTGTCGAAGATCATTACTCTCAGCGGTTATCACCTGAGGAGGAACGATCGTTCGGTGAAGCTGGGACCGTTCAGCGCAGCGATTATACCAGGAGAAGGAGCTATCCTGATCCTTCTCGAGCAGAGCGCCGCCACGAGCTAGACCTGTTAGACGTTGATGAAAGGGGAAGGCTATCACAAGTTGAAAGAGCAGGAGGTGAGAAGCATAACAATTACAGACCGGAATATTATTCTGGCGAAGTAGAGAGTAGAAGACGACGGAGACGACGCTCAGGCTCGCAGCGTCAGCAACGACGTCAAGGACCTTCTGCTTTCATCGATGCCTTTGCTGGAAAACGGAAGCAGGTACTAGATGACTCTTCCCCTTGATTCTCTAGGTACTAGGTGTGTGGTGGACTTGAAGAGGGTACTCCATCTACAGTAGAACGTCATAGATTTTTTGGATTTGATTTATGCCTCTAGGATTGAGGGTCAACGTTGTCTCGTAATTTAGTTTTTCACCATTATACAGCAAACAAGCAAGGCGCACAAGAATCTGCCTGCTTATTTGTGGGACGAGGACTTTTCGAGGCCTTCCCCATCAAGTAATGGGGTCTATGCTCCTCCTTCAGACGCACAACCACAAGCACCACAAATAAATCAACAACAAGCATCATCTTCATCAAATAATCCTGTTCTTGATGGTGGAGGAGATGCGAGTGCGACGATGGCAGATAGGCTCAATAGCCTTGGACGGAACGGCAGACAGGCTCAAGAAACCGCAAGATTTCTGCCAGATTACTACGACATCGGGAGGACGCAACTTTCTAATTACGGAACAAATCCTGGAACAACGACGATGAGAGGTGCAGCTTTGAATTTTGACGAGGACACCAGGGGTCAGGCAAATGTACAACAGAGGACGAGTCTTCAAACAAGTCGAAGTGTAGTGACCACAGTTGCTCCATCATCAGCGGACCAGCAGGCGCTAGATGCATTGGCGGTCTTGAATGCAGATTTGACACGTGTCGATGTCGCTAGGCGAGAGGTACGCGCACTGCAGATGGGCCTAGAGGCGCAGAAGCTGTCGCTGCAAAAGAATGCCACAGTTAAGGTTGCTTGGGAGGATGTCTAAGAGTTGGAGTTTGGAGTTTCTCTCTTGTCCTATGTCTTTTTTTTATCGATTACAGTACAGCAAACATATTCGTCTTCGTCCAGCAAACATATTCGTCTTCGTCAATGGATAGTGCCGCATTTAACAATCAAGATTCCATCGTCGCTCTAATTCCCAACTCACCGCAGTCCAAGACATTCTCCTTGTGCAGAAAGCGCAACTGCTGAAACGGGAAGGTGTGAGAGATCCGTATGTTATTGACAGTGCGATTGCAGCGGCTGGCGGAGACCTGCTCGAAGGTGGAGCTGGAGATAAACAAGAAACGATTGTTTCGAATCTTTTTGTGTTGTTATGGATGGGCTTGTTTGATTTTGGAAAAATAGCAGACCACCTTGTCTAATGAACATCAAGATTACAGTACCCTCTCTAATCTTCGGTGCCGTCGGGATGCTCTTGCTGTTGTTCTGTATCGTCACTTCGATGCACGATGTTGATGACACGGCATCTAGGGATTTGATAGGTTTCTTAACGCCACAGGAGCGGCCTGCGCTGGAAGGTACAACTGGAGATGCTGGGACCGCTAGAAATATCGAAGCAGTACAACCTGGTGACCCGAACGCAGGTGCTACTGCGGCCCCTAGTATCAACACTACCGGAGCACGCCCGACGGGGTCTCCAACTACAGTTGCACACCCAGAGCCCTTCTCCGGTCCAGGGATGACTGCAAGTGGAGCTGTGGTCGCAACGAGTTCGATGTCAGCAAATGCGGACAGTGTTTCTAACATTGACGTTGTAAGAGAGGCACCGAACAACAATAACATAGCTGTGACATCAGGTGGAGCAGCCGCCGCGACTGATCATGTTGATCTTCGCCACAGTGGCAGTACCGGGCATGACCACTCTGCGAACCCGAACACAGCACTCCCTCAACATAGTAGCCCAGCACTTGTTCCTGCACAACATCAGCACCAGGACGTCGGCGGCACTACCCACCTAGGACCGGGAAGACCCCTGATGAATCATGTCGTGGAGGAGGAAAGCAGAAAGCAGCCATCAGATGCCGGTTCTTTTGATAGTATGTTGCCGCACAGTGATGCTGAGCCACCAGGAGATACTAGGTCTTTAAGTGGGACGGGGGATAGTTACTAAAAGTTCAAGTTGTCATATTATCAGGGATTCATGCTTTCTTTAGTTGGACACTCAGTCACAGATGTCATCTTGGAGGGTGCCTTTACATCTGTACATGATTGACGAGTACCGAGCTTCACAATGGTACTTGTGACATGAGTCCTGTATTCATGAGATCATAGGGAAAAGGACCTGACGCGCAGTTTTCGAGTATCGTGTCCCTGCAGTTGTTACTTCACCGATCGCTGGGAGTCGTCAAGCCCAATTCGTAGGGTCGTCTTCGCGATTATCTGTCAGCTAGAATCGTGCTCGTAGCTGCTGTATGGAAGTCACTTCAGTGGCATGATTCGTTCTTGCATCAAGTATGAAGGATACCATCTCCGCTCTTGGTCACAAATATTAGGACAATGACTACGACATAGAGAACTAGTGCTACTACACTGTTGGAACTGTATTATGATCATTACTAAATAGAGAACTGTTGGAACTGTATCATCCCGCCGGCAGGCTAGGAGTACTGCTAGGGACGCGAATGAATGAAAGCTACAACTTACACTGAAGCCTGTACTAATGAGTCCTTTTCGTCATTTACCCTTTTGTGAGCAGGAAGAGGATGGCAGGCGGCTTACAGCTTGCGGCACTAGAGGCATCGTTTCGAGAGGTTGCTGATTGGCCTCAGCCTTTTCTTGCTGCTGGACGGACGCTAGCCAGTAAGAACGAAGCCTACAGTCAAGGGTTTGCGGATGTGTTGTTAAGACTGTGATGTGGTGTTGGTAAGAGTAAGACTGTAATAGCTGTGCATCCACTACTAGACAGTGATAGAGAGATGTGGATATCTTAGCTGCAGAATCTGAGTACTACTTTTCGGTCTAAAGAAGTACTTCTATCCCCTCTAATCCAAGCAGCTCTCGATGGCGCAGGGAAAAACGTCAAGAACCTGTTGGCTAGAGTCAGTCAGGCTGCCGAATTGAGTCGGAGTCCCGTGGCGTTGCTGTTAGCAGAAAAGCCTTGCCCTAGCGTAGAAGAAGCGGCCAACGAAGGACATGACTGGCATATGCAGATTGGTACTAGAAGAAGATTTTGAGGAGTGGCATTGATTAGAAGATTTTTAAGAGTGGCATTGATTAGAAGATTTTTAAGAGTGGCGTTGATATATTATAAGTGTAAAAAAATGGTACTCGAAGAGAACTGGTGACACCTCCTGCGGCTTCGTTGGTACTAGAAAACTTATATATGATATAATTTCTAGCAGTTATGTTGAATCGATGGAATTTATAATGAACCTCCAGGTCGCGTAAAAAACTCGTTGCTAAAAGGAGCAAAGCATGGGGAGGCCAAGGTTGTAGGGATCATAGACAAAATGCGTGAGATAGCAAGACAGGCTATGGCGGATATAGAACGAAGTACAGCACAAAGTGCGACACAACAATGAAAGGTGAACTCCCAACAACATATTTACTTTAAAGTTTTCTAGTAGAGAGGTTTTTAGCACAAGTCTCGACTACAAAGAAAGGCAAAGGGTGCCGCTGTTGCTGCGCTCCCGTGTTCGCAGTTGCGATTCTGATGGTGGTTTATGGTTTCTTAAATATATGAACTTTGATGTTCTCAGTCGACTGAGCCATTTATTATGCGTTCCATAGTGTTTTAGCGGTTAGTCCTTCGTCCTGTCGGAGGTTGAACAAACTGTTACTGATATTCATGAATCTATATTCTGTAGCGAAGATGTATGAAGAGTGGTAGTTTCAAGTAAAGTGGAGCGAAAAATGAGAAAATTGTGGTAGCCTGCCAACAAAAAAGTGTAAAATAGAAAACCCGATTATAGGCGAGCGTTTGCGATTATGAGAAAGGCCTTTTTCGTGATTTAAAACACGACTTTTCTGGACGTTGCTTGCATCAATCTGTTCTTTCGTTGGTTGCCGACTATTTTCCGGTCGTATTCTCCATGCCCACACTGATTCATTCGTTCACGCGTTTAATTTTTGTTCGGGTCTGTTCTATGTTTTACACAATAACTATGAAAAACACAAAATGAACACGGTCGCGCGTCTTGGGATCTTTCCCTATTAGCAGCGGGCGACGGTCGATGGACTTCGATGCTGCATGACTAAGGGGAACTTGACACAGGAGTGAAAAGAGCCTGAATTCACGTCGCAGGATGTCGGCGAACAAGTTTTCGTTACCGCCCAATGTCAAGGGCACGCAACGCGGCGTGCTCTCTATCGCGGTGCAAGAGGCGGGTATTTATTTGAGTTTTGTCTCAAATATTTACAGGACAGCTCACCCACTGATCCGCATAAGTAGGAGTGCCATTCATTCTACAAATCGTTAATATCATAGAGGGGCCACAGAATCCTCCTTGCGGAACCCTCAGAAAACTATCCCACAACACTTTTCACCAAAGATGCACCCGTCTACCTTCTATGGTGGGGCGAAACGCGCGAAATGCGATTGACGCCGAAATCTATTGGAACGGTTTTCGATCAATCTTCTCTGGAAGTGCCAATCTTCACTTCCGTCGAGAGGTTCATCAGCTACCTGTTGGATGATCCTGTGATTTATGGACTGTGCGTAGTTTATTTTAGGTAGAATAATCCATAACCTAACATAACCTAACCTAACCTAACCTCCAGAGCCTTGAGGATTGTGTAGGATCCATAACCTAACATGACCTCAAGAAGCGATAGTGAGTCAAAGAAACATAAATTGAAATTGTGCATGCCCATGTCGTTTCCACATCAATCTCCGGCTTCTAGAAGAAATCGTATCAGTTAATAGAGAACTCTCCAGAAGTGCCAATCTTCACTTCAGTCGAGAGGTTCATCAGCTACCTATTGGATGATCCTGTGACTTACGGCACCAGGAGTTTTTGGTGATTTTCTTGACCTCATTACGCTTTTCTTGTAGAATTGAATGAAATGCATCAAAAAGAACAGCAGGTGCACATCAATCTACTCAGGAGTGAAAAACATGCTGTGTCATCAATTTCGTGGCCCTAGAAGAAATCGTATGAGTCAATAGAGTATTCTAATTCCGCGATGTCCGAGTGGGCGATGAAGTGGGAACGATTGACCTTCTACCCTTAAGGCTGATTTTTCATTGTTTTAGTCCAACTACAACGGAAGTAACAAAAGAAACGATACATCGATTGTACCTATCCGAGGAGCAACAGACAACCTAGTACATCACAATGTTTTCCTCTAAATCTCTTTGTCACGGATACGAATCTGATCCTCGACGGCAGATTCAGGATAGGAAATCTGAACGTAAGCCTGAGTATGAAAACTGTCTGGACAAACGTTGTGCAGCCAAGTCGTGCGACAGCTGCAGGTACTAGTTTACTCGAAGGAAGTTACAAGTTCAATACTGAGCGAAGGTTGATCTAAAGATTCTTGAAACGGAGAAAATTGGAACAATATTTGAGTAGTGTTTACATCACTTTTCCACGATGTTGGACTTGGAAGCAACTTCTTAACCAAACCTTGAAGGATGAGTGTGTCTTCATCACAAAACTTCATCTGCAGGGGTACTTAGTCTAGTATCTATTGTACTTTGATCTGAATCTACTCCTTTTGGATCAATTGTCACATCGAAGATCCATAAAAACTGCTCCCCAGCTCAAGGATCACGCGGATTCCAGAACTCTCCAGATCCTGTAAACGGCTCAGCCGCAGATCAGTGGGCAGCGCTTGCAGAACGCGCTGAGAAGTTGCGTGAGGACATGAATACGCGGAATATTACGATGAAGAAGAACTTCAAGCTTTCGAATATTACTTGGTCATCTAATTTGCCCTTTGTGTTTGCTTCATTTTCTGGCACTAGGCTTTTCGTCCTACGGTAGGAGCCTTTCGTCTAATCCCCATTTGCCAAGTCCTCCTTACGGAGGCAAGGACTGGAGTTCTTCCGGACTAGGTCTATCCGCGGTAGCTGGCGAGCCAACTGCAAGTGCTGGTGGAGAGCCTGTGTTGGAAAGCATCATCGCCAGTGATCCTCTACATACAGCCTCGCAAGTTGATGATGGAGCACAAGCAGAGCAACAATCTGGCAGTGGCAACAATCTGGCCTCTGATGGTGTCCATGCTTTCAACCTGGCTTTGTCACCGAGTCCTCACGTGACAATAGATTTGTCGTCGAACAGTAAGAACACCTCCACCAGTGAGAATGCGAGTGCAACTACAAGGATAGAACCTCCACAGCAAGCATCTTCAACCTCCAAGGCGATTCCGGCTCGAGCGGTGGTGGCATTGCAGTGGGTCAGCTTCAGAGGGATGAATGTCAAGCGTGCGTCAGTCCTTTTGAAAGGAAGTGACAGTATTGTTAAGGCGATATTCTTCGGAAGCTGAGCCTCGATGAATTACGTGATTAATGAACTTCTTGGTTTAATCATACTGCTGAAATTCAATGATGGTGCCAACTTAAAGGTTGGCGTTTAGGTCAAGCGACGCTTAAAGCAAGTAAAGCAACCGGTTAGTTTTCACCTCTTCACTATGTAACGCTATCCCTTCATCTTCATGCAAGTAGACAAAGTGTGCTCGTAGTCCTGACGTATAGATTCCCCGTTCTGCCCCATCCCCTTCCTCTAACCCCCGTGAAATGGTTTCCGCTCAATCCCTTCGCGCACAGACGATGCACGTGCAGAAAGAAGTGAAGAAGGAACTTGTTTCCAAGGTGTACTTCAGTCAAGAAGCTGCTCAACGAGACTACAGTCGTGGCGTACTCAGCAGCAACTCGCCAGCACTGACCTGTAAAGGCGGGCCTGCGGAATTGCGGTTCGAAATCGCACTGGATACTGCTGGAAGGAGTGGGGAAGGTTCTTGAAATTACTTTTTTCATTGCTCCAACCTAACACAATAGAAGTTTTCGTACTGATAGTAGCGAGGTTTTTGAAGGCAATAACGATGTATTTTCTAGTAATTATCGCAGGTACAGGCAGTTCTCTTATGGGTCCCTATACTGCTGCAGCTAGCTCCTCCGCAGCTGCCACGACTGCGGAGATGAAATCACGTGGCCCAGCCACGGTTCGTCTCCTCCACGTCACCGCCTATTCCTCTACTAGTGAGTTCAGTGCTCTAAAACTGATCGAAAACGGGTGTTCCGCTGAAGTACCCGTGAATTCAGACTGCCTCGATAGAGAAGAGTGGACTGTGCCCCTTTACTCGGGAAAGAAAATCGTGGGCAAAGCGTGTATGCGGGTCAAGTTGTTCCCGCTGAAACAACAGTTGCAGCTACAGCTTGGTGCAGTGGGGAATCTTGGGAGTCTGGACCCACGTTCGCTCTACGCCAGTTACAAGTTGCCTAACAGCGCTGGCAAAAGTAGTAGTAGAGCCACAGCTGAAATCGAGACTCCTTGGATGCCACCAGCGCACTTTAGGTACAGTGCCCAACACGCCTTCGACGCAGGCTCCGGACCAGGAAAACTCTTCCTCCAACTCTGGCAACAGTCGGCAACTTATGGAGTGTGGCTCATTTAACTTAGCATCTAAGATATATTCACATCAGCAGGTGAACTTATGTGATTACCAAATCTCAATCTCTCTATTGAGTTATCTTTTCCGCTAGAAGTTGGTGTCAGTAGTCATCCACCTTTCATTCCCCCGACGCAAGTGGCAAGACACTTTTAGGCTTGTGCAAGCTGCAAGTGCCATGGCCCGATGGTCGTATGAGCTGTGCTGCGTCAATTCAGCCAGTAGTAGCAACATCTGGGGCTTTGCCGTCTATAGATCTTAGTTTGCGCTGCTCCACAGCTTTCGCTGATGAACTTGAACCAACAACGGGAGGAGGGACGACAGTTGTTGGAAATAGCACGGCACGCGCAGAAAATGCATCTTCAAGTAGAGCTGCTCCAGTTGAAGATGTAGCACAAGAAAAATCTGCTTCTGCTGTTGTAAACAATTTACCATCGTCTTCAACACATGTTTCTGACATTGCTGGTCTAGAAGGACAACCACCGGTGGTAGTGCAACAACCGCAAGCGGCCTTTTCAGCGACTACAACCAATCTTCCGTTGAGCAATGCAACTATGGGTCAACAAGAACAATTTGGTGGTAGTAGTGGTAGTTCTGCATTCTTAACGTCGGGGCCACAACTAGCATCGAGGGAGGTGTTTCGCTCAGCATTGAGAGGCATGGTTGCGAATGCGATCGGGTCTGATACCGATTTCTTAGCAGATCCAGGACAACATCAAGACCCCACAACTGGAGGACAAGACGACGACGCTTTCGATCTAAGGACTTTGGATTAAGGCTTGCCCTAATTCATCTGGAGAAGCATCTTGGAGGTGTTCGGGGATGGTGTTCAGGGAAAACTACCTGTGGTACCAAGATGCTCTTCGGGATGAATCTTGGCAAGGTCTAATTAGGGAAACACCTAACTGCTTCAGGCTTGGCAAGAACACGAGCAGACGCGGTTGCCTTGAGTAATGAAATGGCTGTGGCGGCTGACGGGGAGCGTATATTTCGTGATCGAAACGGAGGTAACGAACGGATACCTGCGACGTTTGTTTAAGGCAGTGGCCACTCATTCTTGATATCAAGACTAGTCTAGAAGTCGATGAGTCGAATCTTCTTTATATTAATTGAAGTAACAAATACTTACAATAACCGAGTATCTGAGATTGTTATCTAGAATACTTGCCTATTTCAGTTTATCGTATACTCTTGAGTCAAACGACCCTCGAATCTCTCCGCGAATGGATCCGGAGGAGAGTGAGTCCTGTCCGCGACGCTCTTTCTCGTATAGTAGCACTCTCGGATGATCCGAATGGGCTTTTGGGTGAGGTCCTGCGCACTCTAGTGCTAGACCGTAGTCGGCTGCTCACCGAAGCAGAATTCGTGAATCTATTCCGGGAACGATTTGAAGACTCAATTTCCTCCGAAGTAGGGACACTGACGGTTTGCTGCCAAGAAATATACCGGAGTCTTTATGGCATGCTTGTTTTTTCCTCTTCCTCAAGTAGAAACAGATAGTCATAGCACTGTATTTCTCGTACATCAGCTACTATATTAAGAGGATGATGTCTCCGATTCATTTCCAACTGTACAACTCTGCCTACGCAAGTGGTTCTGCCATTCACCAAAGGTTATCTTGGACCTCTAAAATCAAGACGCCGACTCCTCAGCTTTGGATGCTGCCTGTTTGGGTGGACTCCTAGAGAGTTTCCTAGAGAGACGTCAAGACGATGATTTTAGAGCAAGGAGGGGTCTTGCGGCATTCGCAAGTACTACGCCAGCTTCCAAAGTGAAGCAACTCTTCAAGGCGTACGTTTTTGGGGTAGAGGCGTTAGTACCTCCAGCTGCGGACTCGTATAGAAGGATTATGTTGGTCGTGGTTCTTGTATCAGAACTCCAGCCCTATCGAAATGAGTGCTTGATGTACTTAGGTAAATGTATCTCGCAGGAGGAAATCTACTACAATACCTACAGCATTGTAGGGATTGCCTAGAAGTACAGCTGAAGTCATTTCTAAACAGCGGCCTTCGGTTGGCTACGTAGGAATACACGAGTCCTCGATCGCCTATGCAGGAGGAAGCGGAGGAACTTCTAGAGCACAGCAAGGTTCGCGACTATTGCAAGGGACGTGTAGCAGCAAGAACAAGGCAACTTCTCCGCAGAGCCGGTCGCCACGCACCAAAATCCCTTTCTCACAATCTGCGTTTGCGCATCTGGTACCTGCAAAAAATGGATCAAAAAACAGTGCCTCATCTTCTGGGGAAGAAGAAGGTCAACAACAATCCGTAGGACAAACGCAAAGACTTTTTCGCCTACCCAAACTAGAACGAAGGCGCATCTCTGTGGTGCACAGGAAGGCATTCGAGCACGTCTTGTGGGAAGAGGGCATAGTTGGATTGTCTCAGTCTGACGTTCGATGTTTAGCCGAATATCTAGAACCTTCAAGTCATCGAGGGCATGTCAATTTGGACCTTCTGACCTCAGAAATCCAAAGACTAGGCACAGAAAACGATGACATGGAAGTCGAGGGCGAGGAGGGAATCGGCAGTCCGAGAACTGTTGCTGGTAGTGTTTCTTTTGCTAGTAAAGGTAATTCTGTTTAGAGCTAGCCGCCTGATCGACATGACGAAGTGTCGTGTGTGCTATGCAGGTTGTATAAAAATCTAGTTAGGCACATTCATTCATTCATTCATAGTCGTTCATCCCCATCTCTTTCTAACAGGTTAGATTAGTTGTACTCAAACCTACGTAGGTCCATCGCAGACAACGATGCAACACCAGACAACGATGCAACAGACCACAGCAGCACAACACAAGACAGCAGCATTATCCCCTTCAAAAAGCGGTCTTCAGACGTTGCCAAAGCTGCCGTCCCATCCAGCCGCCGTCTCCATAGTGAAGGAGCTGCTATCCTTGGTCATTTCAGGGTGCGTCCAGATGCCGGATGCGATAGCGGTTCTAGATAATGCTGCGGGGATTATTGCGAGGTACTTACGCTGTTTTGTCGCATTCGTTATCTTACAACTTTTCTTACACTTAGACTCACGACAAGTACTAGGACAACGTTCAACACTTCATGTCCATCTATTTACACAGGAATCCCAACCGTGACGATGTTGCGATTGCTGTTGCAGCATGGCGAGAATTGTCGATTGTCTCGTCCGGTCTTGCTGCTGTCCTCGCTTTACAGTCTCTTTGCTCGTGGAGCAAGGCCCAGAGGAGAATGGAAGTCACTGAGGCCAACGTCAAGAAAATGCAGAAAGTTTTCTTCTACTTCTACGACTTCGAAAATAACTCGCTGTTTTTGAAACTTATGACGCTTCATTTTTGCCTCTGCATTCCCGCATCTTCTAAGCATGTACTATACCTCACCTGTCCATTCCTAGACCCTAAACCCTAAACCCTACCCTAAACCTGAACTTAACTGCACTAAGTTGACTAAACTAACTGCACCGAACTGACTTCACTGAACTCCTCTAGTTTTCTAACCATCTGTTCGAAGTGATTCTTGCCAGCCACGTGGATCCGATCAAAGCTTTTCACATCCTAGACACCGACAAGGATGGTCGCCTACGAATAGACGACTTCATCTTGATGTCCAAGAAGTTGGGTTTGCCCCTATCTGATAGCGATAAGGACTGCTACCAACGATACGGAAGCAAGGACTTCACTTTAGATTATGGCAATCACTTCAAACCCCACTGCAAGGAGTAAAAAAGCGGCAAGGTATCCACAATCACTTCAAACCCCACTACGCACAAGGAGTAAAAAATGATCGACAAGGTTGTATCCACGGACTGGATATCAACATCATGAGGTTGATTGTAAATATGGAAGCAAGGAAAAGGACTTATCATACAGAAGCAAAGAACGATTTAACGGCACCTCAAGTAGGTTTAACGCTTCCTCGGCCGTTTTCACAACCGCAGGAAATGTATCATCCCGCCGATGGCTAAGTATGGTCGTTTGGGACGCAGTATGATGAGGGATGTTGGTCGTAGATATCATCTTACATACTAGACCGTGGCATTTGCAAAGACATCTAATCAGAGGAGTTCCTCGAGAGCTTCAATCGCTTCCGGAGTCGACGGTTTGGCTACGTTGATGAAGTGCCGCATCAATTAGCGCCGACAGGAGGAGTTATGATATTTCAGAGCCAAGAATCTTGCTGCATATACTGATGAATAAGTCCCCCTAGTATCTTTTTCCAACAAATATAGCCGGTCGATGAAAAGGAAACACAAGAATGAGTACCCACAGTCTGAGAATTATTTTCCGCTACACTCTAATATACCCCCTCTCCCCGCAGGCATTGCCGCTTCGCCTTTCCATGTGGATCTGTCTCAGGTGGGTGACACAGCGCGTCGCGATTTGTTTTTGCGAACGAACCAGTATTGCTTTAATTTGCCGAGTTATTTTACGTTCGCTTTGCTAGAGACATACGAGGGAGAGGCAGAAGTGGAACTGGATTATGGAATTATACAAGTTTGGTGAACGACTTGAGCCTGGATTGAAGTGTCGGAGGGAGGAGCCAGGTTTGTCATGCTAGAGGGGGGTACTTGTATATTTTTGGGCCTTTATTTATTTTTTTTAGGCAATCTTGTATTTTGCAAAAGGACTAGACACGTAGTACATCAAGTAGTTTTATAACCCCTACTAGCAGGAGCAGACGATTTCTTCTTCTACGCGCTAATGAAAGCAAGACGAAGACTTGTACAATGCGGAGAGTCGCTCTTCTGTGTTGGAGGTATCGCGTTCTACGTTATTGCGCTTCGTCTACCAAGTTTTGGGAGGAGGGATCATGAGCCAGGCTGAAGCCCGTAGAACACTGGATATCATCGACGTCACGAACAAGGACAACGTTGCGGGTGAGGGGTACAAAGCGAGGTGTCCAGTTGCCTACAAAGACTTCCGGAGATATTGGCAACACGTAGACGGTAAGCGGGCAGTGGCAAAGCCGGGAGACCAGGAGACTTTAGCGACCCTAAGGGGAGATATTCGAGAGTTCCTTGACATTGCCACAGCAGCAGACCTCAACCTTGCAGAGACGGCCACTGTCGCTAAAGTAGACCTTACTGGTGCTATAACCGAGGATGGACTTGCACGTTTATTGCGGGAGCTTCGAGTGGCGGATTCAGTAGCCAGGCCTGTTTTCGAATGGGCTTGCGCAGTATGTGCCTTTCACGGGCTAGGCGTGCCGTCTTATTATGGGGAAAGGACGATAAGGAACTTTTTTAGATTTCATTTTCATTTCTATTTCACGTAGTAAAGCTCAAGATCGATAGAACAACAAGACCAACCTTACTTTAGGGAACACATGCACACCATTTTTTCGCTCACCAAAACAGTCTCTGTTTCTTGATGGCTCAATGTACCTCTTAGCCACCGCTTAACCACCGCACCCCACCTCCACCGTCACCTTCTAACACTCCAAGCGCCTTTTCAGTCGTACCTGCGTGAGGGCCTGCGTCCATCTGAGACGACATTTGGACGATTTGTTTGCTCTACTGATGTTCGCCGGACTGCAACGCATTGAGGATCTAGTAGATCCAGTGCCAGTCGGAGATCGCTTGAAATGTGACGAATTCAAGCAAAAAGTTGTCGAAGCGGCAGAGAACGAGGTAGTAGTGACAACATTTTCATTGTAAATACTTACTACTACTTTACAGTTAGTCTCTCCAATCAATACCCTAGTAAGTTGGTTTCAGCTAGTAGTGTTGACGGACTACTTTTACTGACTGGTACAGACGCCGTCCACTCACGGCGTAGCGAATATTTTGAGTATGGAGAGATGTCCTACTGACGATACTATTTTGACTGTTGAGAAAGCTGAAGTTGTTTTGAGCAAGCATTAGCATTGATCCCTGATATAAAAAATTTTGATCCGAATAGGCCCAATCCGAATCGACTAACATCATCACACGTAAATTATGTATGATATCTTCATTCTGCAAATCAATACCACACCAGGGCATTGCTTCGCGACTCGTGTCTCTCGATTGGGACGACGTTTTTGCTGCCGCGAGTTATAACGGTTGGGTCTGCCTGTCGGAACTCGCGTTGGTTAAGGCTGAATATATTAGCCATTTCTTTCCTAGATGAAAATTTGTTTCCGCATCCGCAAGATGCATGATCTTGATCAAAGACCTCCTGACATCCTGTGGACGGCGAATCAACACCTAACCTAACCCAACCTAACCCAACCTAACCCAACCTAACCCAACCTAACCCAACCTAACCCAACCTAACCCAACCTAACCCAACCTAACCTAACCTTACCCAACCCAACCTAACCTAACCTAACCTAACCTAACCTAACCTTAGCACTTTGAAACGTTGCCTAGTAACTACGGCTACACACTTCGAGGCGTCTTTTTCTAATCTGTCCTACAAGGAGTTTCAGATGCGATACGGCGTTTTGATGGCAGAACTTGCCAAACGCATGGATGCCCTCTCGATCAGTGCGCATGAACTCTTCGCAGCAGCAAGAAAAAGTACTGGGTCGTAGAGGACATGAAACTCTTTATACCCAGTATCCGACATGACCCAGCGTATGGGTACTCTTACATGCTCCGACAATGTTGGAACCGAAAATTCTTGAGTTCGTCGCACACGCGAAGACTTTCAGAGAAGGTTGACGTTGAGCATCTTAGAAGTGTGAGTACTATAGTAAGATTCATCAGATGCTTATGGTTATAATAGTTATCATAGAAGCCGTGTTAGTTGACTATGACTTAATACACAACGTTGTGTCCTCGCCAGAGAGTTATTTTTCCAAACCATTAGGGATTGGAATTTTCTCGTCTTGAATATTGTCTCTGCGAAGGAGAGATTGATACGTTACGGCGGTAAAAGAGTACCCTAGGAGGAGGCTAGGAGTGCTTCAGGCTTTTCGCGGGGTAGGAGAGCGAGAGATTGTAAACCCAAGGAACAAAAAAAATGGAGAACTACTTCTAGGGAGACGAATGAATGAATATCTTACTACAAGGCTTAATTATAGTATTTTCATCATGTGGTTGTGGAGGTATGGAAAACAAGAGGTGGTACATTTTTCAATGAATTGTAGGGTGCGTAAAGTTACACAACGCTGTGTTTTTTCAATGAATTGTAGAATACGTATAGTTTAGAGAGCACGAGAACGAAGATTACATCCTCATCCTCTAGCCTCGATTGCGACCCTCTTGAGGGAATCTTGGATATGGTAGACACCGCATTAATATACTTATTCCATTGTGCTCGGAGAGCCTACTGATCGGTCACTACGGTCATGCCTCCATTCCCAGACGAGAACGAGAATGAAAAAGAAGTGAAATAAAAATCAAGGTCGTTTTGCATCGGTGTCTACAAAAAGGTGGCCCTTCGTGTCATTGTCGTGTCTATCATAAACCTCGGTCGTGGTGCAAATAACATGTTCGTTGACGTGCTCCTATTGTGGTTAGATGTCTCAGCTCGTGTATCCTATTATATGTCTCATCTGATACGTGCTCTAAATCTTTGAGGACATCGGTCAGGACCTGTGACAACATGTAATATCGGAACTACAACATGCAATATCAGAACCGCACCCAAACGTCCCTCGAAGCTCCCACGTCCCACACCCCACGCCTTCGTGGAGAATGCTCTGCAAATATTGAGAATGCTCTGCAGATATTGAAATTCGTAGAACTCAAAGAAGATTCAGGGAAGTCGTAGGTCCAATCCGAACCGACTAACCTCATCATTGAGAATGCTTTTGCCATGCAGCGATCATTTTTGTGCTAGTGCTTTTCAGAACTTGTAGGTGCTTACACCAGGTGAATCAAATGGTGATGTGTAGATTGAACACCCGTTTGATTATCGAGATGGTTTAGTACGAGGAATGTCTTAATAGCAACCTTCAAGACCAGATGAAGCCTGAACAGTAGTACAACAGCGATATAGAAGCGATACAAAAGACAGTGAGACTTGAACAGTGATGGCCCGTCTACTTCTTTCCGAAAAATGAATACCAGCATTGATCTTGAAGATGTTTGCCTGAAGATATCGTAAGTGAAGGCTAAGGTTACAAAAAGCACCCTTCGAGTTATGCCAGGGTCGTACCTCCAAGGATCGTTCCATACAGGTGGCGTAGTCAGTCCAGCGATCGACTTGGAAACTTTTTCTAGGCTGCTAGCGAAGCTTCATGGAGGCACACAACAAGTGCGTGCTGAGCTTGATTAAGGCACAAATTGAATGAGGTCCTCTGGAAGTGGAAGTACTACAACATCATAACTGACAAGAACTACAACTAACGGCAGTATGTTTAGAAGGTTTGAAGAAAGTGCTGGTCCTCGATAGAATGATATTAAGAACGAAGATGTACCTACCAGGTTCAAAGAAAATCCTTGTCGACTCCTGTATTTGGTCGACCAAGTCATCAGGAAATACCTAGACGAGATGATGAAAAGTCTTATTCCTCTACAGGGCTCTAATTTCAGCGAGCAAGTTGGCATCTAGACAAAGCAGAAGCGGCTGGTACCATGATTCGGGCTGTAGCAAGCAAGCACCGCGGATTTTTGCCACCTTTTTTATGACACCAGGGTTACCATAGTGAATTAAGTTCAAGCTGAGTAAGTACTAAATAATAGATGGACGAGATTCCACAACCTTTTAGTATGCTTATATATAGTATCACGGGCGATTACGATCTACTAAGTAATAGGTAAGATACTGGTGACGCAGAACAATAGATATTTATACGTCTTTGGCCTTCCTCGGTTCATCAACATTATACGTTCTAATCTCCACCGACATGCGAGGACGACTTGGGGATCGGCAACGCGGCTTCTCTCATGGATACTGGCCTAGTAAGGCAAACTACGACTCGCTATTTCTGTGAGACAGAGACTGCACGACCCGGAGCAACCCTGATGATGAACGTCTCTTTTTAGATGATTGAGTAGGATTAAGTTGACTTGAATCTGAACCACGAATGACACAGCACACACATCATGACCCGGATGGACGCATACTACAGCTACAGCGGAGAGGAATCATTGCATTCTCAACAAAGCAAGATTAACACCAGCCAAAACTTCAATTTTTATCCCCCGTTTTATTAATCTTGATTTGATCACATGTTTGGACAGTAGTTAGGGTACAAGAAGAACTGGTGTTCAAAAGAAAGCATCCCTGATGAGCTGTTGCTTGCGTGGAGAGCAACACCGAGGGAGTGCAACGATTGACGGTCATCATGAAAGATGATAACAGGAACTTGCGCAGGACACAACTGAGGGAGTGAGTAGAATGAGCGTTGCAGCAAGGACGCGATTGTGAGTCTGTGGAGAGCGTATGGGAGACGGAGTACAACGATGATAAGAAACCCAATCATGAAGGATGCATGACCACTAAGTGCATGGTCACAGTCGCTTCTTTTTAGTCAGTCAAGTGCGATAGCAGTTGCATTCAGCGCCAATCCAAGACGATGGTACGCTTTCAGAACCGGCTAGTGCTATATAATCTTGCTTTTCTCGCTGACAACATCGAAGATGCATTTTGCGGTGTCCGGGTATAAGGGAATCTCCTTAAGAGAACGACCGAAGCAGCCTCTTTGTCTGCGAGGACTACTTGCTAGTACAATGGAACAAACCTTATTGCGTATTCGTATGGCATCAACAATGACATTTTCAACTACGAAGGAACGTCCACCTGGAACTGGCTAGGTCAGAGTAGGCAGTAGCATCACCTACTGCATGAAGTAGATTGCATGTGGCTCTTCAGCAGCCGCATGTGCTTATCTAAGCTTTAGATGGACCCCGAGCTAACCTAGCCTAACTAATCACACCATAAGAGCCTTTCACGTGCATACTACAAGAACCTTTCACGTGCATACTACAAGAACCTTCCACTTGCATACTACAAGAACCGGCCATGTACATACCACAAGAACCTTTCACATACGAGATGAGACTCGTGCATTGTTTTCTAGGGTAAAGATCTACCTGCTCTAAATATTCCCTCATTTGGTTTTCCCTGGTTTGGAGCATCTGCGCTGCTGGCGATAAACCTCGCGTTATTCGTTAAGGAGTACAGTAATTGAATATTCCTTTTCCTGCAGTAGAAAACGTAGATGTACTAGGTAGGCACTCCACCGCCTTGTGTCTTGATGTGTCGACGTCACATAGAGACGTCGCATAGATTCATCCCTGCTTTTCTACCTGAGGTAAAGACCACCCTTTGTAAGTTGGAAATTTCCCCTCACTAGTAGAAGAAGTGGCATAATTGCTCTGCTACATTGTTAGTACCCTCGCCTTTGAGTCTTGTACCTCTACTTCTACAAGGGTGATGGGGAGAAAAAAGACGAAGGCTCTCCCGAAGTCCGATTTTGTTTCACTTGGGGCAAGCTACGGTATCCATTGCGTAAGCGTCTCACCTATGCGGACTCACTAGGGACTCACTTTCAGAAGTAGAAGTACTCTAAAACTGAGCTGCGATAGTCGACTCGGGTGCTTTCGAAGACGAGCGTGCAGATTTTGCCACAAGTCTACGCTTTCCACTTTTATGGCTCTTCTTGTTGGATGAATTTACAACTTGGTTTAGAACCAACAGTATACTCCTGCTGGTTTTTCTCGGCTCGCTCCTCACGCTGACAGCCATATAGTACTCCCGTGTTGGTCCAGTGGAACTTACTTGATTTTTTACAACTAGTTAGAAGTAGAGACGTCCTCCAGCAGTTATCAACGCTGACCAGTTATTCTATCTAAAGGCAAGATGAAGAGGAGATGAGATTTTATCTTTTTTGTGTCTCTGAAACAGTCAACTTGTCCATTCACTTCAAGCACAGGGTTAGTAACGCTTCACTTTGTATTTTTATGTACCCCCTCCTCCTTTGCAACATGTATGTTGAACTTATCCCTAGAATGGGTAAACTACTTCTACTACTTTCTGTAGGATTTATGTAGTAGGGGATTTATGTTTATCACGACCCTCTTCTAATGTTCTACCTGGACGATGTTGGGGAAGATGTGCGTCCGCTCTCCAACATTGCGAGAAGAACAGAGCAAGAAGATGTGGCTGAAAGAACAGAAAAGGCTTCTAGAAGAACAGAAGAGGCTTCTAGAAGAACAGAAGAGGCTCCTATAAAGAGCCTCGAAGACACAAAAGAAAGGTTGGACGCAAGGAAAACGGGAGAGTCTTCTACATCCTCACAGACAGAACAGGGAGCAGTTCATTTCCATGGTGGATCATCACAGAAAGGGCAGGAAGCTGATGCTCGCGAGGCTGATGTCGCTCAAGAGGCTTCGTCAACTTATGGATTTTTTTTTTTGGATAGGTTTTCCATTTCCTACCCTTCTTTTCTTCTCAAGGATACTTATTTCCTTTTACCTTTCTTACTCAGGCTCTTCCGTGTACTATTAGTTTGCGTAGTTTGCTTCCAACATTTGAACAGTAGACACTACTCTAAAGTTTGCTCCCGAGCAGCAGTCCAAGTTTGCTCCCGAGCAGTAGTCCAGAGTTGTTTTGCACCAACGTGATGGAGCTTTCAGTGAAAGATGTCATTGCCGCACAAAGGGAAGCTCCGAAAGAGTGGCCACGATCCGTTGTACTCCCCTTGCTGCTTGGCACGCAACCAGGCAGTGGAACACAACCAGGCAGTAGAAGACACGATGACGACGAAGATATGGTCATTAAGGGCTGTGCAATTATACTGAGAGTAATATATTACTGGCCAGTGCTAGCGTCAGGAAGCTAAAGTTCAATTCTGTTAGGGCTTATACTGGCCGCCAGTTATATGCTGGAGTGGCAAGAAAAACTGTGCGAAAACTTTACTTAGATGCTAATCATGTCAAGATTGATGAGTAGTCAGATGTTGATGTCAACAGGAAGGATGACATATGGAATCAGAGAAGTAATGCTTATGTACTTAGTTGCATTACCTAGAATCAGAAGGTTTACTAGTTAAAACCGCTTCTATGCCATATGGCCCGTACTTGAGCAATCAACTACGATGAGAAACCAGCTACACACATGGCATCTATCGGGTTATCAATTCGCTGAAACAAGTAAGTATCATGTACTACGATGTTAATGATGAAGATGATCAAACTTCAAAGACTATTTTATCAACTGCAAGAATGAGGAAATTTTTTCTTTTTGTGTGATGATCTCTCGGCTGTCTATGTGGTAAAGATGTTCCCTCTACTTCGTTCTAAGAAGAGAAGCCGGAGAACTGCGGACGCAGATGACGCCCGTCGGCTTTTTCGACGTGATGGTCAAAAATTAGAGGATTTAGGCATGCCAGTTTCCTTGCTGGCTCAGGGCAACGCCCTGTGCGAGGAACTAACAGCCAGAGCGGAAGCAGAAAACCCCTTGGGCATGCGGCACAAAACAACTTCTGCGTCGATGAAGACGAAAGACGCACTTAACTACGTAAAGCCGCAGAAAGAGAATAGCAATTCTGGTTAAGGCACTCGATAATCCATCCTCAAATACGCGCGTTGATTGCTATTTTTTTGTTTCCTCACGTCCAGTCTGCTCTACGGCTGTTGTCTTTCAGTAGTCTCGTAGATGTTGTCCATCTTTGTGATCTTCAAATGATGTTGGCCTTGTTTCAAAAGCGCGAACTCTAATCTATCACGTCTGACGAGCCTCAGAACCGTGGACCGCATGGGCTGCTGCCACATTCGCCGCTTGCCGTCTCACACCAATGCGCGCGATTGAGTTCGGTAGTCGCAGCATTTGGAACAAATAAGGATGATCGAAAGATGAACGATCCAGTCTATTTCGAGATGCTTCCAAGACCATCGTTCACTTTTGGCAGCAATCCCGCTCCCGCCATCGTCTGTGGTGCTCGAAAGGGCGGGTTTTCGCAGAGGTCTTCTTAGGGACTTATTATACCGAGTTGCATCCCGCACCCACAGTGCGATCCTTGGGCCTTTTCCTACTAAAGAAAAGGCCACGGATCTGCTGAGAAATGTATGTCCGCTAATCTTGTTCTGTCTTGCTCGGATTTATCCAGTATTATTTTCTTCCAGAGATTTCGTTTGACACAGAGATTTCCAAGCTGCCGGTCCGCACATTTTTGCATCCTGGTTGGAGTCGGATATTATCCGTAGAATGCCGTTTTTGTCTGCCAAATCAGGACTATCGTTTGAGTGTACGAGATCTGGACCTTCGTCGCTGTCTCTACAACAATCCGCAATTGCCAGCTCTAGACGATGCGTTAGAGGCAGTAAAAGATCATCATAGAAGTGAGAAGAAGCACGAAGCGAGGAGGAGGAAGATGACACGGGATCATGACGATGCTCTTCGAGGAACAATTAGTGCTCGTGAAGAACAAGACAAAGATAGACTTACACCTCCAAACATGGGTGATGTTCCACAAGACCACGATGATGCTGATGAAGAAGGTAGACTGAATTCCAAAACAACGGGACTCCTTTCATCAACACTGTTAGCAGGAATAGAATCGGCGGCTTCGTTTCTTCAAGGGAGAAGAGATTTAGCGGAAGACTACCTAAAGCTGAGGAAGACACTGACACTAGAGGAAGGTGAAACAACAGCCATCGTCCATCCAGAATACGACTTAGGACATGACTGGATAGCGCACTGTCATTTGCCGAATCCATGTAGTGAAGGCACGCACGTGGGATACTTAGAGTTAAGGGCTTCCACGTGATGTACAACCGGTTACTGTAGTTTTTCCCTCAGCACATTCTAAAAGGACAACTAGGACAACTTAAACCTCACACATATCCCTCCAATCCCATTACATCCTCCATTCGCATCCTTGGCCGTGTCCTCTCAAGTTGTAGAGAACATGTCACAAGGACGTAATGCGGCAGCCTTTAATAGAGGAGCCGGAGGCAGAAACTGCTGGTAGCAGTACTGTGGCCGCTGGGGCAGAGGCTGGCAAGCATGGAGACGGTGGCGCCTTTAGATGGGTATCAAATCCAAGTATGGAACTGGTACTGGAGGCAGAGGTTTCTCAACACAAAGCAAGCGGAACTAGTGCTGCGTCTGAGTCGAAGCAACATGCCGGATCTTCTGTTCCTTATGCTGACAGTGCTGCAATGTGAGACTTAGACCTTCTAAGGTTTTTGCGTCTGTATTTGCTTCCTTTCCCACCACAGCACTGTACTGCATATATCGGCTCTCAGGAAGTACGTCACAGCCTCAGCGTCAAAGAAATTCGTAGAACTCCGAGGAGACTCAGGGAAGTCGTAAGTCCAATCCGAACCGACCAACGTCATCACGCAGGAAGTACTTCATTAAAACAGCCACTAACTGTCTTTTTCCTATGCCAGAGACAGTATTGATTGCAACAGATGACAGCAGCACTCAGCTTCTAACTTCCCTACTTAGACGTGACAGGATTGATCGCGACACCACCAAGGGTAGGAACTCGGTATCCTACGTGGACCACGTACCATAACCCGTTCTTCGTGCCGGTAACGACTTCTGCACCTTCAGAAGTCCAACATTTTTTTCATTATGGTGTTCAGTTGCCAATTCCATGTACGTAGGTAGCCTCCTTCGTTTAAGGAAGCTTCAACTTTCTTAACTACTTGCTGCGGTTTTGCTCCTGCCAGAATTGTACTATCCAAAATAAAGCAAGCGCGATTCATGGAGGAAACAAAAATTATGACTAAAAGGCTTACTAGAAAATGTTATTGCTTATAAGAAGCTTGCTCTAAGACCTCAGCCAAAACGGTACTCGCAGTCCAACAAGTCGTGGTAGCAGTGGTCGTGGCGTGCAGTCCCTGCAACGTCGCAGCCGACTTTTGTTCCCGTTATATTCGAATCATAGGATGGCTTCACAAGTTAAGGGTACCGGGAACCCATTTTTTGCATCATCTTTTTGCAACCATCTTTCTTCTCGGATTTTTAGAGTGAACGATAAGTACTCTAAGAGTATCAAAGATGAATGGCGATTGTTGACACCTCTAAACAAAAGCGTTCGATTTGGATGCATCATAAACTGGTTCTCTGTCTACATCCAGAGCCAACAGCTTATCCAAATAGTGGACTTTTAGTCGGATACGCGAACTTCCAATCTGCAGGTCCGGACACAGCGGCGTTTGTGTTTAAGGAAGATCTTCACACTAACTAATGAAAGCATCTTATCAAAAGAAAAAAACTGCTTATACTTATAAATTTTTTGATTTATAAGTATAAGTAGTTTTTTTCTTTTGATACATCTACAATCGAAACAATTCATCACCCTTCTTCTTATAGGATATCCTTTTCACTACTACCAGCTAAGGAACTGAGACTGACATGACAGCACGTAGTACACGACGTTCATCTACTTGGTGAGATTATTATTGTAGGCTCCTCGGATTCTATTTCGACCAATCTTTCCAATTCGGCAGCCGACAACATGTGCACGTGTGACAAACAAGAAAGTAAGTATCAGCTTCACATGATCAGCACTGCTACTTCGCTTCATCATCTTCTAAGCCTCTCGCAATTCTGTTCCCGATTCTGTGTTTGCCATTGTGCTGTTTAGCGGGTATCATTCTGCACAGACAGTTAAGGATTGAAGCGTTTCATTTCTGCCCCAGCCTTCTTCTCTTGAGATCGGTATTGAAGAATGAATTGCTTCAACCTCTAAGACAGAAGTGCATCAACCTAGCGAAACGCCACAAAGCTGTTAGATTTTGGGTAGAGAGGCAGCGACTACAGGAGGAGCTCTTAGCTGTACGGGAGCTAGGATTACGTATGCATGGTGGCGCCGAGTAGGAGGAGCAGAATATGACGTTGGAGTAGGTTTGGTGGGAACAGCGGCGTAGATCACATCACTTGATAGTAGCATAGAGGTAGAAGATTCTTGTTTGTCGGCTTGACACTTATCTTATCGTATCTTTGTAGGAGAATAGTAGCAACTTCAGGATGCCAATGTCCTTGCAGCATTTTTGAAGGAACCACTGTGGTCTGATGGAACATTGATTCTGACTTTCATGGTGGGAGTGTGTCAATGCAGCACGAGCTCCTCCTTCATTCTACCTGGAGCCGAGATTGATGTAGATCAGTCTCCCAGAGCATCTGTTCTTCTTGGGCTGAGGCTGTTTCACAACGCTTGAAGAGCTATGCCTCTAAATATCTTCGAAAGACCATGACGATGTGATCGAGAGATCCAAGAAGTCTGTATAGACGGTATAAGCTGCTGAGACTTGTCGTGGATTTGGTACAAGAACATCATCAACTTGAACGTGAAGTAGCAGTTGTAGAAGTTGTAGGAATCTCTAGTAGTTACTCAAGTTTTAGAGTCCTCCACTTGTTCCAAGAAGATCAAAAGATGGTGCTGTCTAAAATGGTTCTCGTTTTGTCGCTGGCCTTCGTGGCTGAGGCGATTTTCCTGCCTAAGGCTGGCAAGAAGGGAGACGACTGCGACTGCATCCTAGACTCTAAATCCGGAAAGATGGCGTCGCGTAAGGGTGACGACTGTGACTGCATCCTCGACGGAAAGAAGCAAACAGTAACACTGTCGGCTCAGAACAAGAAGGGAGATGACTGCGACTGCATCCTAGACTCGAAGTCGGGTAAAATGATCTCCAAAAAGGGTGACGACTGTGACTGCATCCTCGACGGAAAGAAGCAAATAGTAACACTGTCGGCTCAGAACAAAAAGGGAGACGACTGCGACTGCATCCTAGACTCGAAGTCGGGTAAGATGATCTCCAAGAAGGGTGACGACTGTGACTGCATCCTCGACGGAAAGAAAGCGAAAACTGCTTTCGTACTGAAACAAGAAATGCCCTTTTGCCATTTTAAAATTCCCTCTCAGTTTTTGTTTTGTGTTAGATTGTACCACTATAGAGAAGTCAGATGATATTACACTACACTGTTCCTTTTTCCAATCTTACTAAGGTCGATGCTGCTCCGTTGAAGAAGGGAGACGATTGTGATTGCATCTTGGATTCGAAGTCGGGGAAAATGATCTCCAAGAAGGGTGACGACTGTGACTGCATCTTAGATGGTGCCAAACCGAAGGGAATGGCGTTGGTATTGTAAATTGTGATTTTTTTTGAATAGGTTAAATTGCTGCAAGATTATAGAGAATGTGGTTCTTTGGTTTTTGAAAACCAACTATATGATTTTCACAGAAATATTATCAACATGAAAATGTACAGTTGTTTCTCCCTTTCCATGCAACCCAATGCGCACATGTTGAATTTCTTTATCTTAGACTTCATTCTGATTTGAGATCATGATCATCTTTCAAAATATCAAGTTTCCTATTTTTCAGAACAACTCGACAACAACAACAAACCATTTATTCTCTCAGTCCTCGGCGAAGAAGGGCGATGACTGCGACTGCATCCTCGACTCCAAGTCGGGGAAAATGGTATCGAAGAAGGGCGATGACTGCGACTGCATCCTGGATGGATTTTGAGGAGCATTTTTTTGATGTTGTACAGTCAGAAGGAGTGTTGAAAATGTAAGTTTTTTTGGTGTTGTACAGTCAGAAGGAGTGTTGAAAATGTAAGCGTAAAAGAATGAAAGAATTTGAAGTTTTTCTCGTATAACGTCAAAAATGTTGGTTCAATTTACAATGTTGTTCCATGTTCTGCAGAAGTTGTGTAATATCGTACGTTATTTTCATCGAAGTTGTTTTTTCCTTTCTCATTCTCACATGTTTGTTGTCAGACGGAGTTGGAAGCAAGTATAGAATTGACATTTTTTTCTTCTATCTTGTCCTGACAGTCAATGCTTTTGTCTTTTGATTCCTTATTTCATCTACAACATTCTTGTCAACGAATTTCGTGTTCATGGAAGAGACACGCCTACGACGACTTCCGGCAAAAGCAAAACAGTGAGAGAAGAGAGGAAAGAGAGAGATGTAGAACCCAAAACGCCAGGCGCGATCAAAGGAGAGATCACGCAAAACGGCAGCGCATATCAATGAGAGATCACACTGACCCTTATCCTCAAATGCGCGGCAGTCTGCACTGATAACTGTGCGAGATTAATTGTATCGAATTGTATTGTATCACTGTTCTCAAACAAGGAAACCTAATAGGGACAGAACGTTCGTTCAGTTTTGCGCCAGAAGTAATGCATCAAGAAGAACACGAGTATTTTGCAAAAGGCAGGTTTTGCTACTAGTTTCCAAGCAAGAACAAGATGAAAATGGCGAAGATTACGACACTAGTGTGAGGTGCGTCAAACCAAGTACAACAACAAGTTTCGCGGTCAGGAACGTCAAACATTTCCACTACGAGAACTACCAATAGTAGACGAGGACCATCACAACAAGCACTAACAATTTGTTCTACAGTCTCCTACGAGAATCTTCTTCTCTTCATATTGCCTAAACGACAATGGGTAATTGTCAGGGCAAGGATGGGACGCGCAAATCGCTGTCCTTTTACATGGGGTCTCTTCGCGGCTCTGAAGTCCGTAAAGACTTGCTGGAGGATCGTCTTTTTTTATGGCGACAACAAACTCAAAGTTAAAAACTTTAACTTTTTTTTGCAGAAACTTAAACTTTTATTTATCTCGTAGACTTATGCTTTCAAGCACTGTATAACTTTGCAATAAGGAAGTAGAGTCTATCATGATTGCGCCCCCAATTGAAGATGCTTTACCCCGTGAGTGGGTACATCAATCATCAATCACTTACATGATGACGTTAATCTACTCGGCGATTGCCTAAGATTTCATCAATCAATTACATACTAGCTTAAAGTTGAATTCCAACTCAAACCTGACGCTTTCCTCATCGATCCTCGCTTCGCGTTAGAGTTGAATTCCAACTCAAACCTGAAGCTTTCCTCATCGATCCCCCTCTTCTAATTCGTGGTGAGAATCTGAAATTCCTCGAACGTGTGGCGCTTTTCTCTCGGTTGCCGACTCCGGAGATGCCTCGTCTCAACAATGCTATGACCACTCGCAACTTCCAGCCGGGTGAGAAGGTTATCAGCGAAGGCGACCATGCTACTGAATTCTTCTTGGTCAAGACAGGGGAAGCGGCGGTACAACGTTGTTCTTCATTCTTCTTGTTTTCTGAGGTGGATATTGATATTCTAAGAAAATCAAAAGCATTTCTTATTGGACTTTTCACAGCAATCCCTCTCCCCTAGGTCTTTTCCGGCGACACCAGAATTGCGGTTTTGAAATGTGGCGATTATTTTGGAGAATCTTCTCTTCTGGAGGAAGGTAAGAGGAATGCCACGATTGTCGCGGAAGGAAAACTGGTGGTTTTGTCTATCACACGTGAGACCTTTGAGTCCCTCGAGTTGCACAAGAAGTTGCGTTTGCCTCGTCGTCGCGCTGTGTTGGACAACCCCGTGGCAGCAGCACCACAAGGTACTAGAGCTTTATAGATTGTCTGAAATGATTGAAAATCCCGTGGCTGCGGCTCTTCAAGGTCTTATAATTGAGAAGGCTGAAACAAGATTTGGATCATGTCGGATCTAATTGCTGTTTTAATATGCAATTCGTACTAGTTGTAGCTTGATGTCGAAAAAAAACATTCTCCTCAATGCAACATTTTCCTCAAAGCCACCGAACGAAATGAGAAACATTTACCTTATGAATCTCATCTGTTCCACCTCGAATCTGTCTTTCTCCTTCTCCCCTCCTCAACACTTACCCCATGAGTGGGTACATCAATCAATCAATCAATCTATCAATCAACAGCTGCTCCTGCAGCTTCCGACTCGTCGAAGGTGGCTAAGACTCCAGAGGAATTGGTTTTCGTGGAACAAGGTGTCCGCGAAAACAAGTTTCTCAAGGGTTTGATTTTTATGAGGAAAATAGATGGAGATTATAGGTTCGAAAAATTAGACTCAAGATCTTCAACTGTAGGACAACAAAAGACCTCTCCGATATTCTGTCGACCCGGCACTCAGTGCGTAGAACCACAGACCGTACTCTTCGTTTCTAGTCTCGTCCTCCTAGTACTGCAAAGCACTGTCTTTCTCCAAATAGAATGAACCGCTCTTTCTCTCGTTCCTAGAGTAACCACTCCCTTTCGGAGAATAAACCCCGCTGCTCTTCCCCCTAAGCCCTAGGTACACGCCCTTCTTCTCTTTGTTTTCCTCTCTAAGTTCTCCTCCGAGCAAGCCATGGAGATTGCTGAAACTGCTTACAAGATGCCTGTCCCTGAACCTGGTACTGTGGTCGTCGCGGAGGGCGATATCAATGCGGACAAGTTCTATGTGATTGCGGAAGGTGAGTTTGCCTGTCGTCGCACGGGTCATACCAATACCCAGCACTACGGACCTGGGGACAGCTTTGGTGAGTTGGCCTTGTTGTATAATGCGCCAAGGGCAGCAACGGTTACTGCTATGACAAAGGGAGTATTCTGTTACGAAGAGGCTTGAGTGATTTAGACAGACATGTAAATTCATTCCCTTGAAGATTTCCCTACTTCTCGATAGTACAACCGTACATGACTTTTACACAAATTATGATCTCCTGCGAAATTCACAAAAGCTACTCACTATAATTTTCACTATATCTTACTCCTCTTACTCCAGTACCTCTTTTTACTCCAGTACCTCTTACTCCAGTACCTCTTACTCTTCCTCTTCCTCCTCCATCTTCTAATCACTGGTGATTGATCGTGCCCACTTTCGCAGGATCTTGCAGAAGCAGGTGAGCTCCAGACTGAAGTTCTACATGAAGCTGATCCAGCGTGTCGAGATCCTATCTACGCTGTTGCAGGACGAGCGAGACGCTCTTATCGAAAGCTTCACCGAGATGCAGTATAAGAAGGTACTTTTCGTGCTATTGCTGCTTATATATTACCGCTATAATTTACCTGTTTTTTGACCTACTTTTTCAGTGCTACAGCTACTGCTACATATATCGGAAACACATCAAGAAAGTACAATTTGTTATGGTCAAACAATCTTCCGAATGAAAAATGCGTGCGCACATCCTACAAACACCAGGGCCAAGACATCATCAGGGAAGGGAGCGTCGGAGACACCTTTTTTCTTCTGTTTCATGGTTCTGTCGTCGTCAGGACAGAATCCCAAGGACCGGTGCGAACCATGATTAAGGCTAGTAGAGGACTTCTAAAGTATATCTTATAGAAGTCGCCTTAGTATTTGTCATGACTAATATGATCTTGATCCTTGTGCTGTTGGTTCACCACTTTTTCTACCTGGAGGAGAGAAATCTCCACCCAAAGGTCGGATATTTTGACATCACTCGTCCTAAACCAGATGCAAGAATTGCAAACTAACTACACAGTTGTATCATCCTTTGCGGCTAGCCGTGCTTCATCTCCTCCTCTAATGTCGCGGCTAATGTGGCGGCTAACGATTTTCCGTATTTTGGGGAGCAGGCCTTGATGCGTGATGACGTCCGCAACGCGACCATCACTGTGGCTTCTGTTATGATATTTCAAGACGTTACTTATTCTGGAGATCTGACATCCTTCATGATCAGTGTCAAGGGGAGCAACTTATAACTATTATTTCAAGTAGACGTTATTACAACTTTAATACTTTTATATTTCAAGACGTTATTCTGGAGATCAACCAAGCAGAAACTACTTGATCTGATAGCCTTCCTGATCAGTGTCTCTCTTCCACATTCATGGTCTTCCTTACTTATATGATGAGTGTCATTTCCTTGTAAAATGGTAGGTCTTCAGAGGAATGCGTGGTGCTCGTCTGTTCCACTCAAGTGCGCAGATCTTCGATGCTAATGCCTCCCATAAATCTGATCGTTGAAGCAAAATATTATCTTCCTTGAATTCTTCTTGATTTTATTGAGCTGAAAGGCAGTGCTATGGGAATACTATACAACATGGGTATTGAATTAGGTCGCTCCCCCACCAATATTACTTCATCATTACGAGGAGGACTACACACAGTATATTACAACATCATCTAACTCCCACACCGCGGGCGTCTTATGCCTCACCAGACACACGTTCGAGACGTTGTTGGGACCTTTGCGCGATATCATTCGCCAGGCTTCGGATGCTAGAGTCGGGGGATGCGAGAATATGGCCGAACCTTAGTTTGAATAGGATATCTTTTATAGACTTTTTTCTGATCAAGGACAACTTCTACTTGGAAGTACTTCTTCTAACTGTCAATTATATAGTACATTTGTAAAAAAAATTTGCTTACAGATCATGCTAGCACTAGTATCTTCGTTCTAACCTTCCCTGTCGTCAATCGCATGTGCGAAACTACCAGAAGAATCGGGCCACGACGCAGCTGTCTGGAATGAAAGCTGCGTGTCCGAAATTTGGGCAGCTGAAAGAACTTGGCGTTTTGGGATTTGGTGGATTTTTATGAGTGGTAGAAATTATTTAGAGGTTGTTCTCTTCTCTCCCATCGTCCTTTTCTCTTCATTCTGTCCCTTGCTCTCAGGACAACACTGTTTCATCCCTGAAACACTGTGAAACTGAACACCTACTTACACACCTACATCAACTGTTTGTTTCCCCTTTCTCTATCATCTCTTCTAACCTTCGGCTCCGTGACCCTGCAGCAGGACGCTTCGACGCGTCGGCTCTTTGCATTGAAAAAAATCAGCAAGGGCTACGTGATACAGCAGAGTTTGCAGAAGCAGATCTGCAACGAAAGGCTGATTCTATCGATGACCGATAGTCAGTTCATTGTTATGACAGCACAACAACAACTTTTTTCTAACCCCAACAACTTTCACCAGCGCTTGAACTTCTCCCTCAGAAGTCCCATCGCTGTGCCACTCCCTCACCACACTCCCTCACCACTATATTTCTAATCTCCTCAAGTTCCACTGCACATACAACGCCCAGAAGTCCCATCGCTGTGCCACTCCCTCACCACACTCTCTCACCACTATATTTCTAATCTCCTCAAGTTCCACTGCACATACAACGTCGGCGACGACTTGTATTTCTTGTTGGACGCCGCTCTGGGTGGGGAGCTGTTTGCGTTGTATAATAGCAAGGACTTCCATGGCTCGATGTCGCATTGCGTTTTTTACTCAGCATGCGTTGTCAAGGCCTTCGAACACCTCCACGAACGCCGTATCTTGTATCGGGATTTGAATTATGACGATCAGTTTGGATTTTTGTAACCCATGCTTCTCTAGTACGACGGAAAATAGACAAGCGTATAAACAACTACTTACCCTTCTTAAGAACAGCGAACTAGGTCTCAGTATTCTCTTTTCTCGTCGCTTCCTTCCCCTTCATACTCTACCGGAGAACCTGCTCTTGGATCCCAAGGGATGGTTGAAGATTACGGATATGGGTTTGGCCAAATTTACGGTGTCTCGTACCTACACTACCTGTGGAACCCCAGACTATTTTGCGCCGGAGATTGTCCGCAGCACTGGACATACACATGCAGTGGACTGGTGGACTCTGGGCATCTTGGTAGTTATACATAGTTATAATCGGTTACTTTTTTAATATTTTGTGCTTGTGCAACCAACAAGGAAGAAGGAAAATAGAATACCAATGTAGAAGACGTCAAAGAGATTCTTTACTCGCTCCTGTACAATACCCCGCAGATCTACGAACTCCTCACGGGCGCACCGCCATTTGAGGGCCATCCTATGGAGCGATACAAGAAGATCCTGAATGGTGTCGCGAAAGCCCCGTTTCCGTCCAAGGTTTTTACGCCTCACGCACAAAACCTGGTGCTCAGCTTGTGCGCGCAAGATCCGTCAGAGCGATTGCCCGTACGGCCAGGCGGCGTCGTGCAGAACTTGTACTTAATATTCGTCATCTAACTACCATCTTCACGTGATCATTCTTATTCACAAATCTACTCCTCTACCACACGTTGACTTCTAGGTACCGCCATCCCTTCTGCAAAATGTACTCCTCTACCACACCACACCACTCTCTGCTTACCACACGCTAGGTACACCCACCCCTTCTACGACTTCGAGAAGTGGAGCAAGCTGTCTGCGAAAAAACTGCAGCCACCGTATGTGCCGAACCCGAAGACGAAACTGGAGATGTTCAAGAACGTCGCTGAACCGGGTGAAGTGGCTACCTATCCATACGTCGATCCAGGTACTGGATGGGATGCGGATTTCTAGATGAGTTTAGACTCTAGAGACGTAGACTAAGTAGCTACAGCTAGACTACTTTTCTAGTAAGATCACGAAGAAGAAAAGAGGTTTTTGATTCATACATTGAGGAGTTGAGTCTAATTATTATTTGACACACTGTTGGAACTGTATCATCCCGCTGGTGGGCTAGGAGGACTACTGGGGATGCGAATGAATGAATTATTGAGAGTTATGTAGTTGCTAAGCGCTTCTACTTCTATTTGTTTTCTCGACGAGAATCTCAAATACCAGATTGTTCTACTTAGAATGTGAAGGCACATACTTACAATAGTACAGATTGTTGGACACGCGTCTGGTAGCCTACGCTGAGGCTTCGCTAAATGATACTCATGATAAACATTTACTCAGCTAGGCATAATCCTACTGTCGGGAAAAGAGCAGTCGTGAGAGGAGAGTAAACTGTAAAATATGGTGTGCCTACTCTTAGAAATAAGTTACTAAAGGCGATGAAGATATAAAAACTTGTCAGGTAGATAGAACAGCTGTGCAAGATCCATGACCTACCCATAAGCTTATGCGGTCTGCGTTGGTTTGATCTATGATCATTCACGTGTAATCTCTTTTTGTGCAAATCAATGTGACCTATTTCCATATAGACGAGATTAGGATTTTTCGTTTGGGGTGATGCGTGTAGTCCCAATAGTACTCAGCGACGACAGTCGAAGTTTTTTGTCAGCTTTTTTTCTCGGTCCATAGTGACAGATGGTAAGGGCGCTCGCGAGCGCGACACGTGCGAGGTGGTAGGGGCGCGCGCGAACATAGTAATAATAATCTGGGTAATACTCACCTTCTAAGTTGCAGCTGTAGGCATTCATAATTCAGTTTCTTTCAGTTTCGCTCTCGCACTTGTCAGTACTACTACACTAGTTGAACATCGACAGATGGACGAAGGACGTTTCACATTCACAGATAGAAGAAAGATACCCGTTCGTGTCTAAAGTTTTCCAAGAAGTAGGAATCATTTGACATATTTAATCATGATTGCTGAGGATGATTTTGCCGAAAAGCATTGTCGGGCACGGGGGCACAGGGGCTGTGTAAAAAGGTTGTTTTTGGCTTCAACATAAGGCTGATATGTATTTCCAGCTACTATCATAGTTAGTACCTTCTTTTTGAGAGCATTCCGCGATTCTCACTTCGCTGCACAGGATTGCGCACGTGACGGTACTACACTAAACGAACATAGATGAAGCTCCAAGCAGTATCATATGAGTAAATTCGTGTCTCACTACATACAACTTTCTTATAGAGAGATAACATTGAATATCAGTATTAAATTGTTTCGGAGGGGGGGTTGGTAGTTTTTTTTTCGAGGTGGTATAGTGATTTTTGATGGCCTTCTCGATGAGCGGCATCAGAGATCGGTGTACTGGGAGCGAAAGTAGGGTTTAATAGCAGTCAGGGACTGCGGATTGAAGACAGGTTTGAACAGAAATGAAGAAGAAGAATAACACAGAAGACGAGTGCACCAACATATCTAGCTGATACATGATTTACTACAGCTGTGTTGTGCTTTTGCGGGAAAGAATCTCGCCACAAGAGCACACCGGAATGAATCTGGTAGTGGACGACTTGGTAGGTTGGAACACATGACTCCATCGAATTAATCCTAATGTAATTCTCCACAATCCCGTGCATTGTGCGCGTGGCTGAACGTAGAAAAAAAAACTACAAAAAGTGGCTGCGTCGGGGAACCCCTGAATCATGAATCGGAAGAAAAATACTTTCGATTGAACTTCCTTGAAGATGCTCGTGAAGTTTGAGCGAGGAATCAAAATGAAATTCCCACGATAGTAAAGAGACTTCGGGAAAAGGAATAGTGAATGAAACTTGGCATTCCCGAAGCCTCTGTGCTACGAGCGGATGGTGAATTATTAGTAGAAAAGAGCGGATGTTGGCGAAGTAGAGTGCCGGGTCGGCGCATCATCGTCCTATGCTAACTGATTTCGCATCAAAATGAAATTCCCACGATAGTACTACAGTAGTACAGTCATGAACGTAGAAAAGAATGGATGGTGAAGTAGAGTGCCTTGCAGCAAGAAAAGGTGATTCTATCTTGGGTGGTGATTTTTGCGCCAGGTACTACGATCCTCCGAGTGAATTATCAATTGCACAATTGCTGTGGAGATATCATTGAGAAAATGCTATGAAAGAGGTCTATTTTGACGCTGCGTCTGCGCACCCGTTTTGAATTCCCTGAGCAAGTCTCTCCGTACCTGATAATGTGACTTTGATGATTCCAACCCTGGGCAGCACAGGGCCTTATGGCTAGAACTTGATAGCCCTTTTTACCAAGAAGATTCAAATTATAGTCAATCCTATGAAGATAGCTTCTAGAAGTACTACCTACAACGTCGTGCATTGGAAGTAATCCCACTGTCCACCAGTCAAGGCACTAGCACTTACTATCTTTTAGACAAAAAAACATGGTCGCCATGGGGATGTCCCCAAGGGGGATGTCCGACGTCTCAGGCCTAGAAGCCTATTACGTCAACAAAACCGCTGAGCTGGAAGCTGAAGTCCGCGATAAAGAAGCCACTACCAGGAGACTGGAGGCACAGCGAAACGAACTCAACTCGAAGGTTCGTCAACTCAAAGAGGAGCTGTCATTACTTTATGGACAAAGAAATTGATAAGTTTTAGGGCTTGGGGAGAAGATCTGGAAGTATTTTCATCAAGCGACTCTCATCAGCTTCCTCCCCTTTCATCCCTCCCTCGAGTCCGGATCGCAAGTCGGTGAAGTAGCACGTACGATGGGTAAGAAGAAGGTGTTGGTGAAAGTCGGCCAAGACGGAAAATTCGTGGTCGAGATCGCTCCGGAGGTGGATATCGCCGCTCTTAAACCGAATACCCGAGTGTGTTTGAAAAGCGACACTTATCATTATGGCTTGTTACTTTTGAAATAGGATGATCTTATGCTTTTCCTCTAGTCACTGGAGCAGCTGGTAGTCTACTCCTTGTTGTAGATGCGGCTATGTTGCAGATGATCGATGCAACGAATGTTAGTCCTCTTAGGATTTGTCAATAACAACCGAATGGCCTCATAGGTAGACGCGAAATGCTACTACAAAAGAGGTACCATGACATGACAGGACAGGAACTATAACCAATACCGAACACGCCCATGGTCTTCACAAAATTACAGAACACCTTTCTCACAAGCATTCTGATTCTGAACAAATTTCTCCCATAGGATCCATCCTCTTTCTCGTCCATAGGATCCATCCTCTTTCTCGTCCATAGGATCCATCCTCTTTCTCGTCCATAGGATCCATCCTCTTTCTCGTCCATAGGATCCATCCTCTTGCTCTAACCTGCACTCCACCGCATCCTTCCTAGTAAAGTCGATCCTCTGGTTTCCTTGATGAAGGTTGAGAAGGTACCAGACTCCACCTACGAAATGGTGGGCGGACTGGATAAGCAGGTCAAGGAGATCAAAGAGGTGATCGAATTGCCGATTAAACACCCAGAGTTGTTCGAGTCACTTGGTATTCCACAGCCAAAGGGAGTCCTGCTGTACGGTCCACCTGGAACTGGGAAGACGCTATTGGCGAGAGCAGTGGCGCACCACACGAGTTGTTGCTTTATCCGAGTGTCAGGATCGGAACTTGTGCAGAAGTAATGCAGAATTATTCTTTATTACCCTATTTTTTGTTTTTTTCAAGATGGAGCTACGCTCTTGCCCTTCCTGCGTTGGTCTCATACATGTACATCGCCTCTCAACTATGTTTCTTTTAGAAGACCTCAAATCATTCTAGAAGACCTCAAATTAATCCTTCTGTCTTGCGCATGTTTTACGTTCGACAAGGACTACACTGCTCACTCATTAAAACAGGTACATCGGAGAAGGTTCTCGTATGGTTCGTGAGTTGTTCGTTATGGCTCGTGAGCAAGCACCCGCAATTATCTTCATGGATGAGATAGACTCGATTGGGTCTCAGCGTAGTGACGACGGCGGTGGTGGCGGTGATTCAGAGGTCCAACGAACGATGTTGGAGTTGTTGAATCAGTTGGACGGTTTCGAAGGCAAGACGAATATCAAGGTGATTATGGCGACGAACAGGATCGATATCTTGGATGAAGCGCTGCTGCGACCAGGACGAATTGATAGGAAGGTATCCACTGATAAATTATAGGATATGATCTTCGATCAGCTCCACTGATAAATAGGATATGTTCTTCGATCTTGTTTTCAACTAAACGATCTTGCTGTTTTCAACTAAAGTTCAATCTGATTGGTGTTCACTGGTTTTTACAACTACTACACCGCGGCTGGTGAACTACTAGTAGAATCTCTGCTCTCACTTTTCACTGACTTGATATCTTGTACACTCCTTAGTCACTCTCCTGTCACTGACCCCATGCGTCAGGTTGAGATCCCACATCCGAATGAGGACGCTCGATTGGATATCCTGAAGATCCACAGTAGGAAAATGAATTTGATGCGAGGAATTGACCTACGGAAAATCGCGAAGCAAATGAACGGGACTAATGGTGCAGAGGGTAAAGCTGTTTGCACCGAAGCAGGTATGTTTGCACTCAGGGAACGCAGAGTGCATGTCACACAGGACGATTTGCAGATGGCGGTGGTGAAAGTAATGCGTAAGGACGCTGATGCGAATATGAGTGTGAATATGCTTACTCGTTAAGTGTTGTTATGACCCAAATATTTTTGTTGAATACAAACGACTAGCCGCGACTGTTCGTTCGCATTTTCGTGTGAAAATACTAGTACTAAACGACGATTTCACGAATTGGAAGTTCTACTGTAGAGCAATGGTAGGACCCTGCTTTTTTTGAATTTTTTCGTCATGTCTGATTCTCATCCAAGTAGTACAGACAGCTAAGTAGCAACCTCTGAGTCGTGATCGTGTATCTTACAGGATGGACTATGGAGGCACCGACCTGCTGTTACAGGATGGACTATGGATTTGAACATTCTACCGACACTACAGGCATACAAATAGGATTTCCTCCCCTCCCCTGATGAACACCCCTCCACAAAACTGGACAAAAGGACACTTTTTGAAATAAAGCAAACGTTCAGGATCACTACGTCTGCAAGACCTTGAGGGATGCTTGAAAGACCAACAACTAATTATATTATGACTTCCGGAAATACATCTTCCGAAGCATCTCGGGCCTCCGTGTAAGGGGAAAACGGGTCCAAGATGACTTTCAAGATGGATTCCCGGAAGGTCTAATCATAATAATACCGATCTGTTCATGTTGTTCTCTGCCATGTTTGTATGACCTTCGGTGTCTTGATCTATTTGTTACGAATTCCCTAGGACGAGGGCTACTTCGGTACTGTCGATGGATCAAGTCTTCGGTTGGGAACTACAAGAAGATCTGATCAGTTGAAACAGTAGATGAAGATCGGCTGAGGGCTAAGGACCTAAGACGCACAGGATCTGAGGCTATTGAGAGAAAAAGAGCCCTTTAAGGAGTCGGACATTGCGGTGCCACAAGGGACACATTTGTAGAGAGGAGATGCAATTGCGCTTCTATTGAGAAGGTACAATCTGACGGAATTACCTCTGCGTAGAGTTAGATAGAGTATCAAATCCGTTCCGGTAAATATTTACCAACCACATCACACCACACACACGCGGGACACAGTTACCCTACACCATAGTGCCACCAGTCTTTGAACTGTATTCAGAGGACTACTCATCCTTTACGACTAGACGAACAGCGGACCTCCACTCGCAAACCGTTCAAATCAGACGCTAAAAAATGTCTCCTCTTCAAATATGTCACTTTGCTCAAATCGCGGTTTTCATTGGTTTATATTTCTTGGCAACGGTGCAAAACCCGGATGAATTATGGTTACGTCGTGGAACAGTCGGGCACCGGTGGGGCATCCCGAGTCTACATGCTACCACGGATGAGGCGGAGCAGGTTGCAAGTGGCAAAGGAAGGAATGTTGTGCAAGAAGTAGAAAGTGGAGGTGGCGCGGGCTATGAAGGAAGTTAGGATTGAGGCACAGTCTTCTGTTGACTGACGCTCGGGTACTAAGGTTCTAGAAGGACATGTTTTTGTCTCATATTCACCTCGAAGTAGAACCTCAACCCGTCAGATTTAAGAATACCCCTCTTCTAAGTATGCGATCGAACAGCAAGACCGACTGACAGCCCTCCGACTTTGTCACTCTTCTTGCAGATATCCAGAAGAGGAGCGGGAAAACGCAACTTGTCCTTGCATCTGCCTTTGTACGATTTCAAGAGCATTACGAGGGCACAGACAGTCGCTTCCGGCACAAATTTTCAACCGGTTCAGCGGCCTGAACATCCCGCTAGAACCAAGGAGCAGATCTTGAATTGAAAGTAACGGTGGGTAGAAGAAGAAAGCAGATTGGAGAATGTTCAAGATTGTTCTGTATTGCAAGTCCGCTTCTGGATCAATGCTACCGACTGACGAGGAACAGGGGAAATAGATATCCAGAAGAGGAGCAGAAGCAGTATGACCAGTGTAATCGCTACCACAGCGACTGATGGAGTAAAGGAAGTAGACGCCGTCACGTCGGATGAAAAGTTATGCTGGAGCACGCGCCTTGCAGACAAAATGTTGAGCGAGCGCGTGATTCGTTTACGGATATACGTTGTTACTAGTTAGTTGTACCAGGTTACCTTTTGCGTGAATTAGTCTTACGTGAATCAGAGTATCATGACCATCGAGTGAGGAAGTAGGGACCCTTGGAAGTGTTGGGACAGGATAAAGCCATGTGGTGCCACTGCATTATCATCCTAACGAATATCGTTCTGAAAAAAATATTAGGACAAACCACGACGTCTAACAACTCTCTCCTGGGACGCCGAAGAAGAGGTTCCGAAGAAGATAATTGGGCGTAAAAAGGCGATGCTAGATGGATGGTATCATAAGATTGCCACGATGCTTCCTCAGGTGCCGCAGGAGGTGACTGCCGAACTCAGGATGAATCCAGATTATGGAGGAACGATGGTCGTTACAGATGTGTACTACTACTATGCTGAATAACTACGTCTACGCACTGGCTCTGTAGGTACTTGAAACTCGACGAAGTAGGTGTTGATGAATGTGAATCAGTGAGCGCATAACTCATACTGTCTGCTTCTTCTAGTACAACAATCACTTGACATCTGTTGTCTTGCACATCACTTGACATCTGTTGTCTGCACCAGGGGCCCCATATGGTTTCTTCTGGCGCTACAACTGCCTGTCCTTACTACTTCGGTGGTTTGAGTGGTAGTATTTGTAGCTTTCTTCTTCTTCCGCGCTGTTTGTATCTTGTGATTTCGATCATGACTACATTCAGGGACATTTGTCCCTACGGGTGCTGTTAGGAGCGACACTACCAGGGACATACACATGACATAACTCCTACTGTCTTCTTCTCCTTCTTCTTCTAAGCAGAGTCCATCGTCCTCGATATTGGTGCGAATGCTGGAGCTTTTACGGATCTCGTACGAAGGCATTGCAGGAGGTGTAAGATTTTCGCTTTTGAGTGCGTACCCGATTATGCACAATACATCAGGGAGCGGAAAAGGCAGGACCGCTTTATGGACTGAAGAACCTTCTTCACCCAGATCCAGCGTAGCAAGGTCACTGTGCCAGTTAAATGACAGCGAGACGGTATTCCACGATTGAGAAATTGACTGTTAGGCTGAGTTCGACCATGCCTCTTAGAGAAAAAGGACAGCAAGACTCATATCCATGAGTAGCTACTCACTGCAGTCAACACCTTTTCTGTCCCTCTTCATGCCTCTACTCACCGTGGTCAACAGTTGCGCCTCCGACACGAATGATCCATATGACATGAAAAAGTGTCCTCATACTCAGAAAATTAGCTGCTTTGCTACTAAGATCCTGTAGCTAACTTCCTGAGTATGAGTACACTTATTCGCTTCATATGAAACGCGTTGAAATCAAACAAGTTCGCTTATACGAGGCGATTGTTGGTGGGGGTGCAGGTGTTATGGCATCAAAGGACTTCTGGAAACAAGGCTCGGTGAAGGACGAGATATAGAGGATACACGATCTGCTCCCACTTCGAGGTGCTCTCTCTCGAGACCTGACGGGAGATTTTAAGCTCGTGGAGATACAAGACTCTGCACTGCTAGGTGCTTCCCTGAAGAGCCTGAAACCTCTCCCGCAAATGTCTGCTTTCTCCCTAGTATGTAAGCAACTAACTCCCTTGAAAGATGAACCACACATCTTTGCACTCCTTCGAAGCTAGATAGTCCACACTTCTCTGCTCTTGAGAACATAGTTCTCTAAGACACGTCGCAGTCAGCAACATCAAAAGCATGTCGGCTTGATAAAAGTGGATACGGAAGGTGCCGAACATCACGTACTTCGAGGGATGCAAGGCTTTTTGCTGCAGTTGCAAAAAAGACAGAAAATGCCAGTGCTGATGGTATGGATTGAATAGTGGCTAGCGGTGTTTCTCGCCAAGTAGATATAGCGAGATTTCTCTTTGCTTTTGGAGACCGTTAGGCACGGGCTTCTTTCCTGCTCGCCATCGAAGAGAGGGTAGCAGATATTCTTGGATTGAAAAGTGAAACAAACGTGCGAAAATGTCAATCGCTATTCCACCTCACATTCCCCTCCCACTTTCTAATCCCCGTCGAGTTTGGTTGGGGACGACAGCATCCACATCTAAACTTGGAATTAGAAATGTTTGATTTTCTGGTGCAAGACCTTGGCTACATCAGTCGTCCTATTACGGCAAAAGTCCTTGTTACATCACGTGGCGAGCAAGCTTGATATTGCCGTAGCGTTTCCTATGGCGTTTCCTCAGCCTATCGTTGACCATCCGTCGACATCATCATTCTAATCCAAAGGACTACCGCGATATCGACGGGACGAGCGACCTCCTGTTCGTGTTGGAGAAAGAAATGCAGACAGGAGTAATATGTTATGCTTCGAAGAAGATAATGCTGAAAACGTTTTTGATATAGATTTGTTATTTTTTGTTTGGTAGTACTTTTTTTTAACTGGGCACGTATGTGGAAGCTGCCTTTTATTTTACATAAATCCCCTCTACATTCTAAGATGAACTCGGTCTATGACAAACAGCAGTGCACGACACAAAAGTGTTTAGAGGACGCTTTGACCCTGCTTTTCACGAGTAGCACACTGTGACATTTCCGTGGCAACGAGGATCTTCCAAACATAATTTGTCTGCAAAGAATTTTTGATGGATCTGTTCAGCTTCAAGAATAATGAGATCAATATTGCGTTGGAATTCAAATCTTCCCTGAAGTCAAATCTTTTTCCTGTGTGAAGACTCTCTGAGCGGAGCAATGGATCCTCATGACACTCAGAATGATATGATCGTACTCGTCTGTCGAAGCAAAACGAACCATGTGGTCCGGTGGTTCATTTACGACGATCCGATTGACGCTAATTGATCATGATGCGACACTGAGTGCCGCTGGTCGTGGTGGTTCTTGTCTGGTGGCTGGGGCCTTGACGATCCCCAGTAAATGGATTAGCTTCTTCTACGCGAAAAGCTTGACGCCATAAATCTAAATGCACTGCCGCAACACCTCTGTAAAACTCAATTGCTGGATGTTCTGGCTTCTTGCGCATCTTCCTCTATTTTCGTTTTTTTCTCGACCAGATTGTTCGATATAAAAAAAACGCGATTAAATCTTTTAGTAGATTTACAAGTTCCACAACTTCACTTAGAATTTTCTATCATTTCACTTCTTTTTTGAAGTAAACAACCACTAGAACAAAATGACGGAGGGAAAGGAGCATTTGTCTATCGTGATCTGCGGTCACGTCGATTCCGGTAAATCGACCACCACCGGTCACCTGCTCTTCGAGTTGGGTAAGACGATTCTTTTCTAAAACGTTTCTGTTTGTTTTAGAGAGCAGAATGCCCTTGTAGTTTTCATTAAATTATGGCAAGTCTTCGGATTCTGAACTTTTGCAGCTTTTCTTGACGGAGGGCCGAGAGGTGGTTTAGAAAGGACACAGTAATTTAAAAATCTCGAAAATCGTTTACTCATATACTTTCAGGTGGTATCCCGGAGCGTGAGTTGGAGAAGCTGAAGGCTGAGGCTGACCGTCTGGGTAAGTCTTCCTTCGCTTTCGCGTTTTACATGGACCGCCAGAAGGAGGAGCGTGAGCGTGGTGTGACCATTTCCGTCACCACTAAGGAATTCTTCACGGAGAAGTGGCACTACACCATCATCGATGCCCCGGGTCACCGCGATTTCATTAAGAACATGATCACCGGTGCTTCGCAGGCCGATGTCGCCCTTATCATGGTCCCGGCTGATGGTACTATTCATCAACTACATTTCGTCTTTATTTGTCGCTGCTATACTCGACAAACAGTTCTGCAATCTACAAAATATGGTGAATTCGAACCAAAACAATCGATGTCTCTGGTGTAAGCTGGAGCACTACGCTTATCTTGATCTGCTCAATGAGATTGCAGTCACTTACAGTTTTTCTTTTGGATTTGAGAAATACTGGAAATTTGAAAACAGTTTTTTGCCATCGATCCGACCACAGGTAACTTCACCACTGCCATCCAGCGTGGAAACCACAAGGCTGGTGAGATCCAGGGTCAGACCCGTCAGCACTCCCGTCTGATCAACTTGTTGGGCGTGAAGCAGATCATCATTGGTATCAACAAGATGGATTGCGACACCGCTGGTTACAAGCAGACCCGTTATGACGAGATCGCCAACGAGATGCGCAACATGCTTGCCAAGGTCGGCTGGAAGAAGGACTTCCTGGAGAACCAGGTGCCGTACATGCCGATCTCCGGTTGGTGCGGTGACAACTTGGTGAAGAAGACTACCAACATGTCCTGGTGGAAGGGCGCTGATGTCAAGGTCGGCTCTGAGACCGTCCACGTCGACACCCTGTACGACTGCCTGAACAACATGTGCCGCGTTCCGGAGCGCCCGATCGACGCCCCGATGCGCCTCCCGATCTCCGGTATCTACAAGATCAAGGGTGTCGGTGATGTGCTTGCCGGCCGTGTCGAACAGGGTATCGTCAAGCCCAACGAGGAAGTCATCTTTTTGCCGACCCACACCGCCGCCAACGCCTGCGCCGGAAAGGTGTTCCAGATCGAGATGCACCACAAGTCGGTGCCGGAGGCCAAGCCAGGTGACAACGTCGGTATGAACGTGAAGAACTTGGATAAGCAGAACATGCCGCGTTCCGGTGACGTCATGATCTACAAGAAGGACACCACCCTCTCCGCCGTTAAGGCCTTCGATGCTCAGATTCAGGTCCTCGATATCCCGAACGAGATCAAGATCGGCTACTCCCCGATCGGTTTCGTGCGCTGCGGACGCGCTGCCTGCCGTATCTCTGCTCTGAAGTGGAAGATGGGTAAGGAGACTGGTGGTAAGAAGATGGAGGAGCCGCACTCCTTGAAGTCCAACGAGATGGCCCAGGTGACCTTCGAGCCGCAACAGCCGCTCGTCGCTGACTCCTTCAAGAACTGCGAGGGTCTCTCCCGTGTCGCGTTCATGGACGGAAACGGTGTGGTCATGTTGGGAAAGGTGGTCTCTGTCGAGGCCAAGGTCTTCGAGGCCAAGAAGAAGTAAACACATCATCATTCCATGAAGATGGAGCACGGAAGTGCGTGACGAATCAAACAACTCTAACGTGTACCTACAACTCTTATGAGCTAGGTCACGTACAAATACAAGATCTACTTGTGTACTAAAAAACATCATACTAATATCTCATCATCATAAGACGAAGATGGAAAACACAATACTCTACACAAATTGATGGAGATGAATCTTCATTAACTGACGACATAGGAAGGTCGCAAACTTTCATCTAAGCACGCACTATCATAGGAGTACAAGAGCGTGAAAGTAGAATCTATCATGTAGGAGATGTCAACTAATCATGTTAGAATTCATAATTTTCCGTTTTTCATCAACATTTAGATTTGCAAGTCATGATCATCAACAAGGTGTTATCGCCCTGCTACTACACTTTCGTGACTTGCCTCTCGCGTTGTTGTAATGCAGACGTTAGAGATGTTGATGAAATAATCTGATGTAAGGAGATTATCCTTATCTACTATAACTGAAGATCTTAACATATCAGAAACGAATGCTTATCCACTTCTCATGATGCAGGAGATGAATATGTTGCATTTTACCATACGCTGCTCGTACGGGAGGTTCCGCCATATTCGTGACCTTCACGACGAATCCAGGTGCTACGTATCAATGGCACTCACAGACTTTACACTGCGCCTTCAAAACAACATACTTCTCTAAATATCATTGTGATGTTAGAATTTGTATTCGGCTGCATTGAAAGCTACTCGTAAAACACGCAACTCGACGACGTAAAACTTACAAACTCGGTTTCTCTGGAGCGAGGCGCTTTTCTGTACTACGCACGTGGCCACCGGACTGCGATCTCATTGATCAAGCCAAGGAATGCTCTCACCAGATTATCTTTTCACCAAGATCATCCGACTCTTGAACACGATGGCAATCGGTCAAGCACTCAATCAAATGTTAAAGATCCCCACTAATTTTCCAGCACAGATCTCTATGGAATGATCCCAGCTCAATCGATGTGCCTGTGCTTCATGATCTTATGAAAAAAGACAGATCATGGAGTGGCTTGCTGCATTCAGAGACTGAAAGAAAAATTTGAGCAAGCGTTGAAGCGCCACAAAAAACGATCATTGTTCTGCCCCGCAACAAAAGAAGACAGATTTTTTCCCCCGATGTCTGAGACAGCACAGTTTGCATATTTCTGTACGTAGGCCGCCCTCACCATTTTCTCCTTGTCCACCACAGGAACCTTGTTATGGTTGACGGAATGTTGCATGCTTGAATGAGTATTTTTCTACTCACGACCAAACAACGCCATTGATTCTTCTTTCTATGTCTACGGCCTTCATGATAGATAGACAGATAGATAGATACTGTGGTAGTACTCTAAGAAGAAATGACGACCGAAGCAAGCCGCGCGGCATCTGAGGGCCCAACTGCTCCAAAGATGAGTAGTAGCAGTTCATCTTCCTCCCGATTCCTCCACTACGAGGGTGCAAACTACTTCCGACAGCGACTCGTTCTAGCCACCTTGTCTGGAAGAGGGGTCATCATCAAGAAGATTCGGTCAGATGACCTCCACGCGCCTGGGCTGAAGGATTACGAGACGAGCTTTCTGCGGTTGCTTGACAAAATCACTGATGGTGCACGAATCCAGATCAACAATACAGGAACGCAGTTGAAATATGACCCAGGCCAATTAGTAGGCTGTCCCGCAGACGGTCGCAGTCTGGTCCACGAGTGTCCGCCATCCAGAGGGCTCGGATATTGGCTAGAGGCTCTAGCACTTTTGTTGCCTTTCGCGAGAAACGTTTCGAAGATACGACTGCTTGGTGTGACGAACAAATGCGCAACTACGACGAGTGTAGATGTACTATCGGGAGCTGGAGGAGAACAAGATATGCTCAGCAGTGGCGACCAGACAAGTGCTCAAGTCCAAGATTTGAGCGTGGACAGTTTCCGCAGCGTCACGTTGCCTTGGCTACAGAAGCTCTTCTCTCCAAGGAAAACCTCTGCAAATCCTAACCAGCAAGACCAGTCTCTCACCATAAACCAAGGAAGCAAGAATCCAGATTCCGTGGTCTTGCATAGCAACCAGACCAATTTCGCTTCTGATCAGTTGTCGTTCAAGGTTATTCGCAGGTCTTGCGGCGCAGTCGTTGGAGGAAACAGCAAAGACGCTACTAACTCTGCAACATCGACGTCAAATGGAACTCCTACGTCAACCTCCACTGGCGAAGTTTGGTTTCAATGCCCCACTTTGGTGCGCGTTCGTCCTCTCAACTTAGTCGGTGATTTCCGGTGTAAACGGGTTCGAGGAGTGGCTTTCACGAGTGGAGTGACGCCTCAGTTTGCGACACGCATGTGCGATGCAGCTAGAGGCGTTTTGAACGACTTCTTGCCTGACGTATGGATCTTCGCAGACCACGATAAAGCACATGCAAATAAAGGAGGAACTCAAGGAGGGGAGAAAAGCAGAGGGTATTTCTATCTCTTCCAACCGGAATATTTTGAAGTTGCCTTTCTAGCCAGCGGTAAAACTTCTATAACGTCGAGTTTGAGAAACACCGTCTTGTTAGTTTTTAGTGTCCTATCCTCATTCACCTTCCTATACTCGTCTCGCATCCGCAGGTTCGGTCTCTCTCTCGTTGCCGAGTCTATCGATGGCACTTACAAGAGTGTGGATGTCTGTAGTAGCGGCACTCTCGCTGCAGCCGAGCGTGCCCTGATAGAAGATGCGGAGACAGCCGTTCCTGGTTCCGATGATGGCGATTCAATGGAAGTAGATAGCGAAGAAGAAGGTGATCGAAATAAAGCCTCTGCTTCTTCTAAACCGGGGAACAAGGCTGACGTTTCTGACGTCCCCCACGCTCTAGGTCGTGCTGGCGCAGCACGATTACTCGCAGAACTGTCTCTTGGTGGTTGCGTCGATTCTGGACATCAAATTCTTCTCTTGCACTACTTGGCCCTAGCAGAGGAGGATGAGGCGAGTCGGGTGCGTGTAGGAAAATTGACCCCAGCCGCTATTGAGTATTTACGGTACATCAAGGACTTCCTGAACGTGCAATTCAAGATTCGGCAAGATGTCGATGATTCGGTTCTCCTTTCCTGCGTAGGAGTGGGACTGGCAAATATCAGTCGACCGACTTTCTAGTGCTGGGTTGTTATGCTTATGTTTCTGGGAGACACTGAAATAAAACTGGAAGAGTTCTAGCACGTGATTTGCTTCGAGCACATGATTTGCCTAAATTTTTATGCTAAAAATGATGAACCCAAAAATCATTCAATGCCAACTTCCTGAGAAGAAAATCAACATCAAAACTACACGCATCAACAAGATTATGGACGATTCGAAAACGCAACAAAGGCGATCTAGGACTGGTTTCAATTGCAACCAAACCACATCGACATCAACACTTTTACTTTGCCAAAATATAACGTGAACAAGGATTTGAAGACCTAAAATAGGACGTGAACTCTGCTGAGCAGGGAACTCTAACTGTGACACTGTTGTGTTGGACCAGTGTTATAAGAGGCATCTGTCAAGCAGAGAGATGAAGGATCCATGTAATTATCGTTTTCCACTGCTTATCTGTGCTGAAAACTCTCAGGAGAGTAGATGAGAAAACACTGAAGATGAAAGTTGGATGTAAGAACCCAGATTCAACCTGAAAGTTCTACACACACGACTTGTCGTTGTCGTTATGATTTTTTATCAGTCTGTTTCTCAGCCAACTACAAGTCTCACCCTGGAACCATTCATCACCACCACTAACAGGAATTTCCTCGGTTTCTCCGATGGACCTCTGAGGTTTTTGGTGCTGCTAACTGAGTCAAGCGACTACTTCACTCGACTGCGGAGTACCACTGAAAAACCGATAATACTGCATCTACTTCCTTGTACTTCTAGGGATTACACTTCAAAACGATTTCGACGTGGTATTTTCAACAAGCAATAATTGCAAACGATTTTTTGAGTTTCAATGTGAAAAGATATATAGGCTGCAATGAATGACAATAATGAACGTGTAATTATTTCTTGAGAACAATATTCGACAAAAATACGAGCAACAAGATGAAGACGACACTCTCCCGACGTTCTTCTGCGTTTCGTTCCTCAAGCTTTCGTCCGATTATGGCTCTATCCCTCAAGGTCCTGATGGCTATAGCCAGCTGCGATCCAGGACAAACAAGCAGCATGCTGTTTGCAAGCGCCTTGTTGTCCCCATCACGATGGCTCCTGCGGAAAGATTCTGGTACAGGAGATCACAGTACCAAGAATACGAAGAAAGCTGGAGGAGGTAAGAAGAAGCAGCATTATATTAAGGGTTGGAAGTTGACCTATCATCTAAGGTCTATGCGCATCTCTATGGCTTCTTCAAGCAGGAAAGCCATAGATATGCGAGCTAGAGACGCCAACTTTCTACCCCTAAAAATTATAGGAATACTAGGAAAGGGACAGGCGAACTTGAACGTGAACAACAAGTAGATGGAGGTGAGCGACAACATGTAGAACATGAACATGATGGAGGAAAGGGGAACAAAGGTAAAAAACAATGCCGACAGGGAGATATTTTTAGCGGAAAGGGGAAAAAAGCTGGTCACAAAGGTGAGGGAAAAGGGGATGGCAAAGGGTATGGAAAAGGTACTACGGGTGGCTTGTTGCAAAAAGGAATGACTTCACGACCACATTCTGGTGCGCGCGATGGCGGGAGCGTTCTTACAGAAGATCGCTTTCCATCGAGTGCAGTAGAGGTGAACAAGCAAGAACCTCTTCATCACGAGCAGGTAGTTTACTATACACCGGAAGAAGAAGAACCAACGGGACGAGAAGGCTTTGACCACAACAAGGAGGACACCAGCACAACGATAACAAGGAGGACAGGTACTTCTACTCCTATGAAAGAGAAAGAAGTAGAAGAAGCACCTTCCGCTCCTGCCGAACAGCCTGAAGCTGAGGCGGAGGAACAGCTAAAGCAAGTGCAGGATACACCTCTGGGTGTGGAAGAAAGTGTTAAACGAGGCCTGCAAAAAGCATCTTCCTCTGGAGCTGGCCAAAACAAGTTGTTGATGAGTAGAAGTGATACAAGAACTCCTTCTAGTACACTAGGCGCTGGCTCCTCTCTGGGATCGTCGGGCAAGAAGTTGTGGGCCGACGCGATTGAGGGTGACTTATGAAAGATTCAGGATTCTCGCAGGGTAATTAAATGTTCTTATTGCGAGGAATATAGACCCAGGTCCCAAAAAAAAAAGTTCTTCTTCTGTACTGGATGAATGATCTAGAGCGAAGAGATTTCTACTTCAATGCTTAAGGTTAAGGTTGAGGGTCCACTGCTTCACGGCCAAGCCGCACTTGCTAGGACTAAATATAGACTTCAACGAAAAAGTACAACAACTAGTTCTTTAGAAGTTGAAGTGCTCCTTCTAGTTCTAACCGCTCCAGACCTTCCAGACGTGCTTTGGGCGATGGACGTGGCGACCCCTACTGAAGAAGAAGAGAAAAAACCATTTCCAGTAGGTCGAAAAGCCGCTTCTCCACCAACGCAGAAGGGCAACAGTCATCCTGAAGGAGATCAACAGAGCCACACACGCGACGACACAAGAACCAAAGCCTTAGATGGAAAAGGAAGACAAGGGAAAGGTCGTAAGCAAGGAAAAGCAACTCAAGAAGATGCAGCGTCGGGATCCCTTGGGGGCGGGTCTCAGCAGGTCAGATACAATCTTTGATGTGAGTAACCTAGGCGCTAGTAACACTGAAAGAAAAAAAAGAGCACTGAAAATAAGTAATATGTGTTCAACTAGAAAAATAAAGATAAGAGGAGAGCTAAAAACAAGAAACGTCAAAAGCTTGATCCGATCATCCTTCTTAGTACAATAAACTCGGCATGCGTGAAATTATGAAATATTGGCATAAGTTCCATCCGAACCTATGATAATTGTATCGCCAGCAATTCTTCTTTAACATCCACATTCTTCTAGGTTGATTACGCTGACTGGTCCTCACAAGTACACGATGCTACTTCTTCGCAGAAGCAGGGTACTCAGCTTTTAAAAAAGAAAGGTTCATCTTGGACCTCTCAGAAACCTCTAAAAGGGTGGAAGAACAACGCAGGAGGGCCTCGCGCTGCCTCTATGTCGGAGTGCCCTGACGAATGGCAGTGGGGTGCTGATGGTTCTGCATACAACTATGACCACTACAACGGCAGTTACCTTCGCGCTCACCCTGCTGTAAACGCACAGTGGGATCAAGGGACGCAGACAAAGGGACCGAGGTGGCCCAAGAGAAAAAAAGGAGCGCAAACTGATCTTAAGGCGGAAATTTCTAAATACAGTGGTTCATCCCGCATCCTGTCTTCTTCCATCTTCCATGTTTGCTTTCTACTTCTCGCCAAAAATCGATACAGCCATTCTTCTTCGTGTAGACGATGTCCGTCTAGACCACGCTGAAACTAAGTAAATACTTACATCTACATTTCTTGCTCTTCTTTCTAAGGTGAAAAGAACCGTGCTCGACAGTCTTTCGAGCAGTGACGGCGATCAGGCGAGATATTCGAACCTCTGGTATCCGATGATGAAGATGATGCAAAGTCCAGCGGCAGCGTTTTGGTCTTCGAACAATATGGAGGATGCGGTGATGGGATCTCCCATGTTACCAGCTTCGTCCTCCAACAACATGCAGTACTTGATGAACTTTGGTTGCGTTCCATATTGTTCGCCTACTTCCGCCTCAGTTTTTCAAACAGCTAGTGGGGGATGTGTTTCCTACCAGCAGCAACCACAGGATGGTACTTCTTCTGTCCTCACCGGTTCTCCTGTTTGTGCGAGCAGTGGTTATAATGCTGTTACAGTTACTGCTTCACCACCTTTAGCTCTCCAGCATCAATCAGTACCAGCATCTCAATCTGCATCCGGTGGCGTAGCACCAGTTGGTGACGGTGGTTCACCGCAAGTAGTAGTGCAGGAGCAAAAAGCACAACAAGCTCAGCAATCCTTATTACGAAAGGCACAATCTCCACCTCAATCCGCCGACCCGGTGAAGGACAGTTCGGCTCAGCAAAGACAGGATTGGTCCCGTGCACCAGGAGGCAAGACAGTGACGACGGCTTCAAATGTACCTGGCGGACTTCAATATCAAGCGCCAGTACCCGCTGCACCTGAGAGACGAGCTCAACCTAAGAATGGAGGTCCCGTTGTCTCGTCTGGATCTCCTTCTGCACGTCCTTTTGCCCTTCCTGTTGAACAACTAAACGGTCCTTTTCCCCTTCCCCCAGCTGCTGCATCTGCAGAATCAACTACCTGTGACCCAACTACCTGTTCGCGAGAAAAGAAGCCTCAACGCCTTTTTAGCAGTCAGCCTGTGACTAGTAGTCCCACGACAAGAAGTTCTAACTCGCAGGATCGCTCTACAACTCCTCAGGACCACTCATCTATCCTGAACGTTACGAACGAACAAGAACAACAACATCGTCAAGCTCAAGTAAAAGGAAGTGGGAATTATGTTTTCTGCTTACCAGATCAAGCTGGTCTATCGGAGATGGAGGGATGGTTGCTTACCCGCACGTTTGGCTTCAAATCGACGAGGGACGACCGAAAAGGAGTGTGGCTGGGATTTCCATGGACCGCACATGGACGACAAAGATTTGCGAAGCATGGCTTTCATATTATGGCTCCTTTCTACTTGGAGAAGCAAAATCCTTACCGCGGTCAAGAATAGTTTTTACCTGTACTCCCTAAGATTCTTTTTGATTTTGGTAAGAGATTCCAAAAGAAATAAAGTTAGAACTCTGGACTCAGGAGCTCGCCCCTTTTTCGAGATCGTCAGAAGGACCATTCATTTTTATATTTATAGTTTTAGACTTCATTCTTGCGCGAATAGTTATAGCCTGAGGGAAACAGTAATATCTTGGGCCTTGTACTAGTAGGAGTCCACCTCTTCCCTCTTTTAATAAGAAGTTAGCGGCAAAGTCTCTTGCGGCTACTTTCAACGAAGCTGTGACGGCTTTGAGAGATGGCAGTTTTGTAGGAATGCAAATGCCGGAAAGACGTACCGAGGAGATTAAGGCGTCAGCTCGTGAAAATTAATCTTCAGGAGAAGCTGCTTCTTCTTTTTCATTCTCAGGAGGTGTTGTTGGGAAAGGACTAGTACCAGGAGCCAGAAGATGCCGCTAGGCAGTCTGCACTGTAGGTACGTTGTGCGAGATAAATTGTCTTGTATTGATGAATTTGCCTACTTATACGCTTACCTTGTCGCAGGTGAGCTAACTCCTATAATCCTATCCTAATTTGACACGAGCACGAGAGGACCTCTAGCTACCTCTAAGAGTTTCAACACCGGCAACATTGTTCCGTTGTCCGCACTTCGACTTGTAGCGAAGGAGATCGATGTTAGCAGCTTGCATGAAGAGGATCTAGTAGCTTTGGAGGATCTCCTTGAACGTTTGCCACCCCATCTGAATGCGCCGGACGGCAGCTGGCAGCAAGTCGCATTGTCGTACTATTACGGAATACCAGTTGCCATCAATGCACCTACGAAATCTCGCGTTGTACCTTCTGCGGAGGACGACCAACAGGGTCCTTTTGATGATACGAAGTTGAGGCCTAACCCGATCAAAGACGACGCTAGTCAGCCTCGTTTGAAGGACAACGGCAACCACGGTGATCCGAACGAGACTAAAGCAGAGACCACTAAAGCAGCTGCAAACTACAAACTACCTGCGGAGTTGACTGGAACATCTACCTATGGTGGCACGTTTTTTGCTCCTTACAACGGCGATGACGGTTATGGAGGTGGGGCGCCAGCAATGACTTTGAATTATCAACATGGTGGAGGGGTATCATCTTCTCCCACGTTGCCATCCACATCTGCAATGCCTATGACTCTGCCTTCTCTTTCTTGTGCTGTTTCTGCTACGCCCGGAGGTGCAGCACAAGTACCTCCCAGCACTCACATTAGCGCATTTCTTACGCCTGTGCCGATTTTCAGTCCTGTGCTGCAACATGTTAGCGCTGGTCTTCAACCGAGTTGGAGTTCTCAAAGTGTTCATCCTCAAGCTTCTCCTGAAGGAGATGGAAGTCGTGCGGTACAAGAAGTATCACGCAGTGGGCTGATGCACACAGCGGCAGCTTACCCCACAGCAGTACAAGAGCTGTGTCAGGTGATGAGGGAACTAGGAAATCTAGGGCCTTCGAATAGCCACCTCCTCGGAAATCTAGGACCTTCGACTACCCACGATACAGGAGTTTATGCGGCATATTTTATGAGACGGGAATAAGTAATTAGTTATTAGATGGACTAGTAGTTTGAGAAAGGGTAGTTTGAGAAAGGTTAAGGTGGTACATCCATGCTGTTTGTAATCGGTTTGATAAGAACTCATGCTGTTTCACCTCGTTCTGTTATCTTTCCTTTAATAAGCTCTCAAAGTTTATTACTTATGTAGATCCTCTACCTCTAACGGGCGTAATTTGTTCGGAACACATGATCCTGGTGAAGCATCTTCAAGTGCGCAAGGGGGTGAAGACTATCATAATTGGCCAGCATGGTCGTGGTCAGCGTGAGCTGAGTCGCACCAGGCATGAGATGAATTAGCGGATACTCAAATGATTTATGACGGTCGTTCATTTTCATGCGACTTTCATTCTACAACTGCCATCAATAATGTATGCGTAAGATGACGTAGGGAGACTTAGATGTAGTACTAACACCCGCTCGTCATTGTTGAGAACGGGGTATCTCACCACATTGAACTGGGTGTCGATCAACGATTGCTGTTGTGAAGGTGATAATAGACGACTTCCTGACATCTTCCGTGGACAGAAGTGGTGGTCGATGCCGATAGCGATCGTTCTCCCTGAAAATTACACAAGCAACCGTTGCTTTTGGTACTAGAGGAAGTGTCCCACTCGCCTGCTTCTGCTAGGGACGGCCAAGGACTAGGTGGACTTGGATCTAACTGAGGAATCATAATCAACATATTGTAGACCACGGGAAGACCTGAAGACTTCACTTGTTGCAGCGTTGATCAATTCATTTTTTTCTTTTGGTATGATGATGCAAAAGATCACGCGTCGAATATTCTCATGATGTCGTGTTGGAGCAACCTTTTTGAAAACAACATAGTTCTTGTACTTCTAAAGCCGCTTTGTGCAATCACGCTCGTCCTTCACCGATGCTCTTTTTTAACGCAAGCATCTGTACATCCAGCACCGACCACCTAATCCGGAGGTGAGAATATAGCTGAAGACGAGGCTTGAAATGAATGCCACAACTATGATTAGGAGCAGGATTTCTGAAATCCGATTTCATTTGTTTTGTAGTTTTGTGAGTACCTAGGCTTTTGGCGTCGTGCTGTGCATCTAAGTAGTATTTGTGAGTCTGATCACTCTCGGGTAGTTATTTGATCCAAGTAATCTCCTTGTTTCATTATTTTCCAAGATGTTAGGAATATTCACCGACTAAAAGGCCGCCCATACGATCACACCATCAGCATACTTTTCCATGTAAGTAGCAGCTATATGAGTTTTTCAATCAACAAAAAAAAATAGATAGCTTTAAACTGGATGTGGCGGGTTGAAGAACAAGCTTCAATCTGCTGCGGAGTATTGGTACGGACCCGACTTTTCATCAGAAGTCGATAATTGAATATAGATTGGATACCCCTAAGAGGGTCTCGGAGGGCTCCCAGGAGGGAAGACGTAAAAAAGTACTCGTGTCATGTCTGTTGTTTGTCAAAACAACAAAAAAGAAGTGTCACATAAAACAAACCAAACAGTCTAAATGTGAAAAGCCCTCTTTTGCAACTTCTTTCCCTGCACTACCCATTACAAGGCGTCCCCCACACACCAAACAAAAAAATACCTCGCGAACACGTGAATGAATGAATAACGGAGCTCGTCTGTCTAATAGTACTCAGTATAATGGCCATGATGAATCCTGAATGAAAAGCTTCGGTATTTGCAGCCTAGAAATGATATATTCATCTAGGACCACGGTCACATCGTCCAAAGACCTTTTTAACCCTTCTAAGATCCAACTACTCGACCCTCTTGCCGCATGTTGTCGCTACTCGTGTATTATAGTCTTTTTTTCAGCGTGGCTTTGTTCTATTTTTGCTCGAGCTACGCATATGTTCCATTTCAACTGCTGCTCGTAAGTAGTGCAAAGATTCTCTCTCCAAAGAAATTTCAACTGACATGGTCAGGAGACGAGAATCAGGAAGATGCTAAAACATGAACCATGGCAAGAGAGACCGAGAATGATTGATAGACCTCTGTGTAAGTTTTGCTTCAAAAATTGCCAGTAAGGGTCGAACCTGAAGGACAAGAAACTGAGAACCATGCCGCCTAAAGAGTAGAGGACTTTGATACTCCAGGAGGACGTTGAAACTGAGAATTGGTATGTACTTCTTGTTCTTCTACGAACTGTTGTAAAAATAGATACCTTCTTTATGATTTCTCTCCGTCTACTTCTTCTATCGGTAGTAGTTCTTGTATGATTATGGATCGTACTAGGCGGTATGATCTACCATGTTGGCAGTGTCGCGGAATGCATGCTAAATTTGGAGGTCCTTACTCTGTGTCTAGTGGAGTGAATCCAGCTTGTTCTTGTCTGTGAAGAGAGTCCCCGATAATTGTCTCGTTGTGAGGTGAAACTGTTTGTTTGCCTGGCGCTTTGTCCTGTACTATGCTTTTGAAAAAGAGAGATCCTGTATGGAAGTAACCCCGATCTAAGTAACTTGGAAATTCCGGTCCTGGCGTCTATTCCGATCTAATCTAATCGAAGATCCAGATGAAATGAATGAAGATCATCCCATGAATGAAGATCATCCCGATCTTTTTCAGGATCAATGAATCTCAGGATCCTTCTGTGTTCACCAGGTATGTAAAAGTTGGTAGCCGGGTCAAGTTGCACTGAATGGAGAGAGAGAGAGAGATAGTAGAGAGAGCAAACACAGTTGCAAAGGTGGAGATCAACAGACCTGGTACTGTATTATGAATTATGGCGAAGAGTATCTTCATTGTATAAATTGCTAGATAAGGATACCCCAAAGTCCTATCCAAAGGCGCTATCATACGATCAAATCTAAATGAATGTCAGGTGAATTCGTGAACGCTTTGAATTCGACAGCTTTTTTCGTTGTTTTGACCCGCCTACAAAGAAATCTCCACAGCTATATTTACGGCATAGGCAAGAACAAGAAATATTTACGGCATAGATAGTTGTACTAGGAATCGAGTTCATCTTCATCTCATTGAAATTACTAGCTATAATATATACTTCTATCAGTGCATGATCTGCCTGCGCTTGCTGTCGACACCACGCGTGTAGATCTAGCAAAGGCACCCTATCCTATCCTATCAGATCCAATCTGTATACTGATCTTCGTATTTACTAGTCTATAGGCCATTTTATTACTAATCTACTGTGCAGCCACCTCATTATATTCTCCGTATCGAGCACAGTCTCCATTTGATTCCAATCTACCATCTGTCCATCACAACTAAACAATAATTAAAGCTGTCTTCTTTACCCCAAGAAAGGGTGCACTACTAAACCTTCCATTTTTTCACTAATCCAATGAACAAAAGCTAGTTCTTCCTTTAGTAAGCAAAGCTAGTTCTTCCTTTAAAGAAAAAAGAATGAAATCATTTACGCGTGATGCCCTCCTTGGCGGCTTGCTTCTCCAAGGATTCGTTGAGGTCGAAGCGTCCTATGGATCTGCAGGATCTTCCGGAGGCTCCTCTGGCGGTGGTTTCTTGGTTAAGGGTTCCGACATTGCATTCTTCACTACCATCCTTCGCGCGTTTTCCAGTAGGAAAAGGGTCAAGGATCATGTCCTGAAGAATGTAATTCCGTAACCTCTAACTTAGGAGGTGGAGGCTCTTCTGGGCCGCAAGCGAAGGATGACGGTCAACAGGCTCCATTTGACGTAGAAAAAACAACGGACCTCTTCCGGAAAATCTTAAGTACTTCTGGGGTGGGTATATATACATTCGAGTTCTTGCATGGAGGGCTATCTACTGCTGTCCCGCAAGAGGAACCTGCTCCTGTTTCTGATTTTTCTCGCCCTGCTCCTTTCGTTTCTGGCGACGAAGCAGCTGGGGCAGTGCAGCCTTGTCTGCCACCTGCTGTCTTGCGAGAGGAACCTGCTCCTGTTTCTGATTTTTCTCCCCCTGCTCCTTTCGTTTCTGGCGACGAAGCAGCTGGGGCAGTGCAGCCTTGTCTGCGGTGTCCGTTGGGACATGTCTTGGAGGGGCCTCGCATTGTTGCTAACGCAGCTGACATGTACCTCTGTGACTATCCCCAGCATTCCACAATCAACAATTGTGCGAGCAGGTTAAGGCTTCGTTTGAAAGTCTTCCATTCTGAGAGCTTCTCCTGAGTTATAAATCTTGATCTTCCACGTAGGTATTTGAGAAGCATCCATCACCATCTTGGACGACCCGGCTGTCGTCCGATATATTCCAAGTAACAGTCTCGCTGTGATGGATCGGTAGAAGGTATTCTAAATAACAGTGTATCTGAGATGGATCTTCACTAAATAAGTATGCAGTTACGTGATGCGGATAGGCGACGAAAATCGTTGTAAATAAGTAGATAAAAACCTCCCCTTGATTAGTTGACGTTTTTGACGACAATTGTTCTCCATGCGGTAGTGCATGTAGGTATGACTACTCAAGAGACTTCTGCTATGAGCCACTTGCTCTCAACATAATCGTTCTGAAACAAGTGGGAGACTCCTGTTTCATTTTGCCAGGAGTTTAGAAGGGCTACTTGAGTAGACGCCATGATGATGATGATGATGAGACTTCCTACATGTTCTCATTCTCAAAATGTTGAAAATGGAAAATTTCGACTTGCTCGAGCTCTAAGAAACAGGATCGGCCTAGGTAATACCGTGTCCATTTGTAGGAAAGGGGCATGTAATTACGACATCTGTGGAAACTGTGCAGCGGACTCTGTGGAAACGGAAAAGCAGGCGGACTCGCACGACCAGAGGCAGGATCTTCCTCCTGATTTGATGCTCGCAGTTAGTACCGATCAACGACATGGGGGGCCTCCACCAGCACCAGGGCAGCCGACACATAACCTGTGCTGTTTGCAGGGGCATGAGTTGAGGTCGGCCAAAGTTGGGCGTCGAGAAGCTGGTTGTTTCGAGTGCGACCGGTGCAAGAAATTACGGCTTGTCTCCATAGGATAGGATATCCATGATCATGTGTCGTAGGAAAGCAAAGTGTCTCTAAGATGAAGTCCAAGGTCCCACCAGGACTAGGCGATTTAAAAAAAATACTATGCTGGTGAACACATAGCTGTTAACATGGATCCCCATCAATCACTTCGAAATGGATCCCCATCAATACATCATATTCGACATGGATCCACCCCATCCCCCATAATGACTATTTTGTCCCGCCAGCAAGCTAGTAGGACACTATGACGATGAAATTGGCGGAATTTCGCTCTAACCGACTTAATCGGTGTAGGTGATACACGCCTCTTTTGTCGCGATCCTTCCTCCAGATGCGATTACGACATCTGTAGCGTTTGCGCTGACCCTGGCCCTGAAAGCAGGAAGATCGGCTGCGTCTGTCTTGCTGGACATGAGTTGCAGCAGGCCACAGTTCGTCCTGGGGAAACAGGTCCGGGGCTCGGGTACGTGTGCGATGATCCCCAGCATCCTGGTGACAGAAGGATCCCCGTAGGTGCTATTCGCTTCTTTTGTCGACACCAGGGATTATGCGCGTACGACATTTGTCAGGATTGTCGGCAGAGGGGACAGCTCGAAGCTTCTGATGCTCCTGGCTCTGAAACGTTTTGGCTCGACGCTTTCCGCATGTACGCTCTTATTCGCAAGAACAACGTCGATGTCATCTTCTCCGAAGAAAGCGATTCCAAAGATGGTAGCGTGATCTCGGGATATTCTATTCTGAGTCTGCTACTGAACTACGCCTGGACCTATCAACTTTTCGAAAAACCCGATGTCGAAGAATTCTTCGCCAAGTCAATTATGCTGCGCAATCAGACCGAGAACCGGGAAGGCGTCATCAATAAACGTACTCCATCTACATCTACTATACTGTAAGTAATTTAGGACGACCAGAAAGACCTAGTACTACTTGCACAAATCCACTTCTGAATATTCCCCACCACCAAGGACATTTGAGAATTATGTCGTGTTTCGCTTAATCACATCAGATGAAGTTCTTGATGCTGTAACAATTGAGAATGAAGATATACGAAATGGCATGACCAATTATATGAACAATCTTAAAGAACAACTAACATCGCCGTCCTTAGTGGCAGATGGTAGGTGCGCTGAGAACGTGACGGGTGTGCGTCGTTAGGGTCGCACGCGAACGCAATAATGCGAACAACGTGTACCTGACAGGGTATAGTCATCTGATCATCTACCACAGGTTTTTCGTGTTCTGGCGAAACTCTTAAGACACGCGGGCCAGATTATCTGCAAAAGCTTCGAAGCCTTCTCATGGAAGCCTCCTTGTCTCCCACTTCGCAAAGTCATGCGCAACAAGCAACGCAAGGCGCGACTGGGCCCTTTCCCGCCAGAGTAGGAGACGGAGGTGCAGCAACGGCTGTTGTAGGTGGAGGTACGCCTATTTTTTGCAAGATGTCGTGATGTCACTTCTACTATAATAAATATGTGATCTGTCTCAACACTACTTTCCATTTCATACACTCTTTGGATAAAAATGTTATCATACTTCGAGGGCTCCTAACTATGCTTCTTTAGATCAACATTCGGTGTGCTTCTATTCGATTTTTCTATATGGAAAGTGACTCATCCAGATCCACAAAATCTTGTTACAACATAGGTCCTAGTCTACTAGTTTAGGATAGCTCTGTCTTTTTCACAGTTCTTTTGCTCTGTAAGGATGAAATATAGAGGACTTTACTGAGATGTTTTAGGAAAAGTTTTCACTGCTAGGTGCGCCCTTCCGCGAGGCGAGTAGGATTTGGGCGGGTTCCGAGATTAAGGCCCAAATTATGCTTCACGTACCTGACGGCTTGAAATCTAGCGTTGCGGATTTGGGATCGCCAGACACAGAAACAATTATGGCTCTCGAGGAAAGCGAAGCTTTTCGTTTAAGCAGGTTTGAGCGAGTGAGTCGGTGAGCGCATTACTTTCATCCAAGCAGGGGGCCGCGCATCCTACACGCGGGCACTGCCTCGTCCATTCCACAAGCTCCCTTCATCCTTTCTCCAAGCTCCATTCAGACGAAAGAAAATGTTTTTGTCCCACCCACCCACCACGATCTCTGTCCGCCTAGTAGGCTAGTCTAGAATGCTGGCCAGCGGGCAAAACAATTGTTCTCTAATTACGAGCGAGCTGCAATCAACGGTTGGATTTCTGAGCAGACGCAGGAGATGATCCCGAATTTCTTCAGGCACGGGGAGTTACCTATTGAAGATCCCAACGCTGTAGCGATAGTTCACGCAGTAGCCTTCAAAGGTGAATGGGTGGTTAAGTTTCCCGAAGAGGAAACCGTGCCAGAAGGTTTCCACGTCTCCAGTAGCGAGGTGGTCACGGTCATGATGATGAATCAGAACTTTTCTCGGCAGGACATGAAGCAGCATGGCATTCACTTTTAAGGCTTCCCCTAAGTAAACATCCATCTTCGGAAGCATCCACAAGAGGAGGCTTTTCCGGTCTCAAGGGGAAAAGACACTTGGGATGCATCTTGAGATGGATTAGGACGAGCTCTAACACTTCTACGACTACGGTGACGTAAACTTCAAGCAGACTGCTCCACGAATGCAACTTCTTCGTCTGCCGTTCCAAGGAGATTGGGAGATGGTAGTTGCGAAGCCGGAGCTGATCGAGATCGACGGCAAGTTAAGGCACAATGAATATAATCGTGAAGTCATTTTGATTTTTACAGCCCATCGGTTTCTGTAAAAATAGCTCATCACTAGAAGACATTGTAATAATACTTCGCGCTTTATAGTTTACAACCCATTAATAGATATTTTTTGCCTACATCAAAACCATTTTTTGATCCTTAGACTCTCCTACATCAATTTCTTTCTTCGTTATTCTTTGCTCAGGACCGCTTTTTTTACATACAACTCATTTTTTTACATACAACTCATTAGCTCTAAGACAGAAAGAAGAACCATTGACCGCCTTGACGAACTTGGCGAACGCCTTTGGAGCAGGAGATGGCGCGGGAACCTTGGAGAAGCAACCGTTTTCATTCGCTGATTTGTTCGCTCAGTCGACAGAAACCAAGTGCAAAATTGTAAGCGTGAAACTGCCGAGATGGAGGCTCGAATACGCAGCGGATGATGTGCTTGAAAAAATCCCAGAGGGATTCAAAAATAGAAATGGAAAATTCAAGGGCCGAATGGCGATGATATTAAGGGTTACAACCGAATGGCATCCTTCACTACCATTCTTGACTTATTTTCCAATTGGAAAGAAGTCAAGGATGGTCTGAAGAATGTAAAAATTCCGTACCCCGCTCTAATGATGCGGCATATGGCAGTAATAGAGGTGAACGAGGAGGGTGCAAAGGGTGCAGCAGTTACTGGTGGGGCTACACGCGGAGACGTGTCAGGGATGTTTTATGTCGACAGACCTGTCCTGTACGCGATACGCAACAAGAAGACTGACACCGTGGTCTTTTTTGGTGACCTCATTCGACCGGAACCGGCTTTGGAGGAAACCGAAAGTGACAGAGAGGCCCGCCTGTTTTGGGGCAGACCACCATAACTTTCCAACAAAAATTTTCACTCGCCGTTACGATTAGAGTAAACATAATGGCTATATGTGTGGGACACCATGATGATGATAATGCGGGAGGACATTACCTCAAAAATTATATATGAGGAGGTATATTAAAGCTGCAGTCTCCTACACTCTACACAGGTCGCCCATCATCCTCGGAGGCGAGCAGGTGCCGGTGGGGCCCGTTGTGCAGGATCCATAACCTAACCTAACCACACTCTTTGGATAACAGATTATCTGTTGCCTCCTCGTGCTGCGTTCTTCTACGTGATCAGATCAGAGGACACCTCGACAATTCGTGCGTGATTCAAGATTGTGTGATAAAACTGCAGTAGAAAAGTAATATATAGATACTTAGAGTTGTAATATATACTTAGATTGTGTGATAAAACTGCAGTAGAAAAGAATACCACGAGGGCAACATTGAATATGATTAGAGAAAACAAGAGAATCCATTCCCTCGATCATATTCAAGCGGGTCGCGTTCGATGATTCTGTCGCCGTGTCCGAAAATTCACGAAGGACCTGTTTCAACTTTTCCGGCGGCCATCCGAAAAGTTGAAATTAGTTTCCAGGTCAAAAATGTAAGCTGTCCATTCATATTAGGGACGAGGATGCATCTAGCCCGAGTACCGAAAGAAGAAACAACTCTTTTTCCCCTGAGTGGGTACATAACTACTTAGACTCGTCTTGCTGAAGATCTCTTGATGAAGATTCCTCTTCCTGGAATCCAAAAACCTTTCTTTTCTCCTAGGCGAAGGCTTAGGAGGCAGGATTATTAGTCTAATTGAGGAAGAATCTAGAGTGACGGGTTGTGGTACCCCGGTACAGGAACTGTCTACGTACGTGATGGATAATATGATCGACTTTTTCTACCATCACTTGGTCGTGATCATGTGTTCCCTTGCTTTGTTCTGGCTGTGGTTTTTGATGAAGATTGCACGAGAGAGCAGCCTAGATCTGGAAGTGGATAGAAAAAACCTTACCCTTGAAAGTATCGGTGCTGGTGAAATTGAGTTGACAGATTGTCGAGAGAAAATTGAAACGATCACGACCACTATGTACATGATCTACTGGATTGCTTTTCTTTGACACATCAAACCAGACAACAAGGTCAAGGACAGCTTCTAACTACGATTATCATTCCTCTAAGATTTTTTCCAGGGTGTGCTTGTGTATCGAGAACAAGCAAGAGTGAGTTGAGGTTGAGCGTACTCTTTATTCCAGCAACCTTGGGATATTGAATCAACATTAGGACATACATTGATTCTCTTCGCAATAATATTTGTGTTTTCTTAGAGTTAGAAGTGCATACTATTTCTGACCACGACGACAGATTCAGATCACAAGTAGAAGGATTCATTAAGACTTCGCGTGAAAGGATTCACGCAACTAGAATGAAGGCGTTAGTGCGAAGTGCTCTCCTCTTGCACGGTGGTGCAGCATTGATTGGTACAGTGTACGAAGCGGTTGTGGAAAGACTTCTCTCTACTTCGAGGACGAGGACCAGCTTTCCTACTACTTCCACGTCTACTATTCCTTCCGAGACCACCAGTACTACTTCCAAGACCACCAGTTGTACTTCCAGGTGGTCTACTAGTTCGTCCTTAGCAGGTAGAACAGGAAGGGATCACCACCTCAACCTGGTACTAGGGGTATCAGCTCAACAGGCAAAGGATGACTTTAAGGCAGCCGCTGAAGCATTCCTTTTTTCCTGCATCATTTGTGGTATCTACTAGTACTATCTATGCGCTGTTCTTGAAGATACTGTTGGGTAACTCATATATTACCCCGGCATAAGACCACCTGTTATGATAGAACGAATTGCATAGAAGACATCCCGAGGGATAACACTCGCCCCCGCCTCTTGCTGCCCCAGTATCTCGTATCCCGTGACCTGAGTAGCGATTTGCTGCAGGTGTTGACAGTTGTGTTGGTCTTCTGTGCGTTTGCGGTTTGTTTCCTACCGCTGAAGCATTCTTCTACCTTGATCTTCAAAGAGTCTACTCGATAAGTCTTATTTAATAAGACTTATTACTCCCAAAATAAGTAAAAAAGTAAGGACGATGCGAACGCAGTACTACTCTAATGACGTGTATGCCACATTAGGAGTTTCGAAAGACGCGAGTGATGTTGAAATCAAAAAAGCGTATCGAAAACTTGCACTCAAGCTCCATCCGGACAAGAATCCCGATAACCGGGAACAGTCGGAAACAGAGTTTAAAAAGGTAAATGAGTTTGAGTCAGTTGTATGCGCTTTTTTAGATTACGTATCCCTTTGTAGGAAAGAATGTTGCTACTAGAGATGCTGGTGGCAGCGTGAATGAATGAATGAAAGAAGCAGGGTTTAAAAAGGTAGTAAATGAGTAAGCATGCTTCTTTGTAGCTAGCTGTGGCTGTGCATTTTGATTTTGATCATCATGTTGCCATAATTTATTCATGGTTCTCCTCGTGTGCATTAACTTTAACGTCGTCCTTGATCTTCATCAAGATCAAGAAAATTGAACGAGCATCTTTTTCTTCGAAATGAGTCGAATATTCTTACTTGACCAGCGTAGAATTGACCAGCTGGACCAGCATTACAACCTCGAATACACTGTCTGACCTAGTACAACTTCGAACCACCACATACACTGACAGGTGACTGCCGCTTACGAGATTTTGAAAGATCCTGAAATTAAGGCTCGGAAGTTGACCTCTCTATGAGCCTCTTTATGGTTTCTTCAAGTAGGAAAGCCATGGACAGGCGACCTAGATTGGTCAACTTTCAGCCCCTAATGAAAAGCGTAAGCAATATGACCAAGGTGGCATTGACTTTGGGAGTGCTGATTTCGCGCACACGAACTTCGATGATATCATGAAAGGCTTCGGTTTCGGCGGTGGCGGTGGTGGCTTTTCTTTCATTATGGTCTTGCAGTTAATTAGAGATGCTACACCCCGAGAGTGGGTACTGGTACATCAATCAATCAATGAATCAATCACTTGAAGTAGTAGTGTCGTAGACTGACACACACTTGGCGTGAGTACATTATTTCTCTCATCTCTCTCAGCAACATTGTTTTGGTAATTATTATTTATATCCTTTTGTTGTTCCCATAGAAGAGTTGTAGTGCTACAAGGGAAAACAAAGGTCGTGTAGTTTCACCGAGCTATTGAACGGGCTGAGGAGCTATTGAACCCGCTGAGGAGATCGACGATTCAAGCACAGAAGATGATTCTTCAAGCACCTCCACACTGCTGCCTGTTTCTACAATTATCCATGATGTTGATTTCGTCTAATATCCACGTCGATGACATTTTCAAGGGTGCGTTCGGTGGAGAGGATCCTTTTGGCGACATGGAGACGCTAATGAAACAAATGGAACAAGAACTTAACTTCGGAGACGCTGGTCAGGAGGACCAGCAGGGTCAGGAGAACAAAGGGAATGGACAACAGCAGAAGCATTATGAACAAGAGTTATTTGAAGGGTTATTTGAAGGGGCAATCTTCAAATAGCAGAGTAGTTTATAGCACGCATGGTGCATGGAGTAGCATGGAGTGCATGGAGCGCAGAGCTTTAAGGGGCGCAAGAAGCTCCCCCTTTAGCTCCATGCTACTCCATGTGATCCATGCACTCCATGCCATGCGAGCCGTGAAACCTTATAAACTGCTCTGAAATAGGTTTTTTACGCCGTAGTTGCAACCTCCACAGTTCTCAACCTCCACAGGGTGTCTGTCACAAGACCTTTTCAGTTTGACAGGTGTTATCATCTACAGTTTCGATAGGAGAAGACAACGAAGTTTTCGATAGGTACGCCGATTCTACCTCTACTACTCAACAAGTACAGCGCTAACAAATACAACAGCGTCGTGATCCGATGGCTGATCTTTTTGGCGGTATGGGTGGGTTTGCCGGTATGGGAGGTGGAGGCGGTGATGACCCTTTTGCTGGTTTGTTTATGATGAAAGGACCTTAGACTTGGCGACTGGAGGATCTTAAAGGAGTACTTGTGATTGAATTATTTTATGACGCCGCAGACGAGTGGCGTAGGTGTCTCGCTCTCAAACTGCATTCAATATCGCGAACACCAGTAGACAACTGACTTTTGTAGCTGACTTTTGTAGAATTTAGATTTACGAGATTCATCAGGATCACAAGTACTAGTTCCTTCTACTCCTAAGCCAATCCCATCCTATCCCTGTCTCCACTCTAGTGCTAGTTCCTTCTACTCCTAAGCCAATCCCATCCTATCCTTCTCTCCACTCTAATCTCGTCGGCGGTATGGGAGGTGGCTTTGACTTCGGCAACTTGGGCGGCGGGGGTGGCGGTAGCTCGAGCTTTGTGATGGAAACGAGTTTTTCTTCTGGTGGCACAACAACGACAAGGCATATTATGGAATGGATTCACACTTACATACACACTCGTTCTTTGCAAGAACAAGATGAAGATATGCTAGTTTGTAATTTTCCGTAGCACATCAACCAAAAGTAGTAGAACTGTCTAGATTTGATTTAAGAACTCAGGATAAGAAGCGTCGTTCCACCTCCACTTCCTTTCCTTCTTCATAGCCAAAAAAACTACGACAACGACGATGCAGAATGGCAAGAGGGTTACCAAGACGATCGAGAAGCGGAATGGCGGACCTGCGCAAGCCACTATAGAGATGGAGAAGGGTGGCAAAAAAGTGCGAAAAACGCGATCCGAAAAGATGAAAGAACTTGATGGAGAACTGTAGGAGTTGTGCTGAGAAGGACACGACGAAGGATGATGGAGAAACTAAGGTAATTGTTGGACACAAAGGTAGGTGCTGAGTGTTGTTAATAGTCGCGACACATCAAAGAGATGATGGAGACGGTGACAGCATCTGTGTGTAATATGCATGTTGAACAACGAATGAAGATCAAAATGCTCCTCCTGCGATCATGGATGTAATGAGCTTTTCCTTTTCGGAGGACGTTGTGACCTTCCATCTCGAACCGAATGATGAATTCGCTAATATGTGAAAAATTTCTTGAATACGAATACTTGGTGATGCATAACTCTCGCAGAGCTGTCAAGCAAATTCTGCGCTATGTAAATTACCTAGAGACTTTCCCTACATATGAACCTAAATCAGTGATGGAGCGTGCTAGTGGTGTCATAATTCTCGTACCCCCCAAATGGTTCAACGTCAAAAGCTAAAGAGGAACTGCCTGAAGGAATGACAATATCGTGTTCATCGCGGCCTACTAGAAAGTATCGCGTCTCTGACTCTGGTTCTGAAAGAATCGAGGTTGCTTTGGATCTGGAACTTCTGAATGTGATGATCTGCGAATGGGATTCTGATGAATTCATGGGCATAGTTTGACATCCTCGAAAACCCTATCCAGGAGTAGTCACCTGTGCCTTGGTCTCTGGCGGCAAGATTCAGATGTGCAGTTTTTGGATAGATGAGAGTAACACGACCCTAAGTACCTGTTGTACCTGTTCAGTTTGATTCATTTAGAGTACTATTGGTAACCGACCTACTACCTACTTCTAAAAACAAGGATGACAAGAAGTATATAAGGCGGCAATAGTGCACGTTCATCAAGTTACAACGCTCAACGAAGTAGACATCATATATTTTGGAACAAGAACAAGATGGGCAGCGACATCATTCTCGATCCTGCGATCAGGGATCATGCCTTGATTGCAATTTTCCTGGTCTTTTTGTTCGTCAATCTGATTCGCCAGAATCTGTTGGTTCTCACGAAGGATGAGCCGAAGATTGAGATGAAGGTGCTGAAACAGAACAATGTTTTGGGCAGATGTAGGATGCTGAAAAGCGGTGGAGGACGTTTTTTAACCGAAGATAGTTTCCGGAATCGAAGAGCGTTTTACTGTAAGAAAGACACGGGACTTCTATTGAACCCGCCACAACAGAAGAAGGGACTGGAAGCGATGGAACAACAGGCCGTAAACTATTTTTTTAGATGCATGTAGAGGTAAATCATATATTCTTGATTGGAATTCTTGTGTTTAGGAGAACCCCCACAACTACATCGTTGTCGTGATTTTTTTTCAACATAAGTACTTTTATACTAAATTAGCAGTTGTTGACGAGCAGTTCTCCTTGGTAGTGTTGCATTTGGATAGCCACAACACCAAAGTACAAGTAGAACACCAACAAAACAAACAGGATCCAGCCCAGATGGCAGGCATGCTGAAATCGCAAATGATTTTCATCATTTCTCAAGGTGCTACTGGTTATTGGGTCAACTTCCTTTTTACAGGATTCTTAGTTGGGAAAACTCCATTTCCTCTGACCTTCCGATTCAAAAGCATGCTTCAAAGGGGTGTTGATGTCGATAACCTTGAGCCAGGATACATAAGCGGGCTCTGTTGGTACTTCATCATCATGATGGGGATTGGCGGAATCCAGACGTTTCTTTATGACGAGAAGAAAGTTGTCTGTCATACATACTTAGTTACAGCGAACTCCTCTAACCAAATTAATATGGTGCCCTTCTTCGGGAGTGAAGTACTGTACTAAATCGTCCCATCGACAGTTTCGGAATACTGCTCAGGGCGAAATTCCATTCCGCGTGTGGTTTTTAGTAGAAGCAGTTGCTTTTAAAATTCGAAATCGCCTCTTTCTTTTGCCGCACTTCCTCTGTAGGTGCCTGCGTGTAGCTGTACATCAATATACTCACCTCTCCCATTCCCCCTCATCCTCCATCCTCTAATCCCTCCTGTCCCTGTTCGAGGAAGAAGGCAAGGTTATCGAGCAAGGTGGCATGGATGACCCGATGCAGATGATGATGGGCGTCGCCCCCCAGCAGATGCAAAACCCACTGATGGGCGCACCGGACACCGCGAAGATCTACCAACAGGAAAAGGAAGCACTAGACATCTACTACTTCGAGTCAGTGCTTGATGGGATCGAGACAGAATTATGGAAAAAGTGGAAAAGGAGTGGGCCTGTGCACTAGAAGTCGTGGAGTCGTTAGACGGAAGCAGATTCTTGATGGGAAGTAGAAAGGCGTAGTTGGCTGCACGACGTAGGGAACTACAACTACGTCTCTTCTGAATTTTTCTTCACGCACCAGACTCAACTGTGGTCCATTAACTTTCTTGTTGTACTATCCCCCCCAACAACAAAAAGGATATCCTCCCATCCTCTTTCCTCTACTTTCTTGACAAAAATATTTTGACACGGTGAAAGAATTGATGAAGCGTCGTAGCTGTTGATTCTTTCAGAGCTGCTCGTGTGACAGCAATCGCATGTGATGATGTAGAGTGGCACGCAAATTGCAGTGTCATCTTCATCCTGTTGTGTTCTTTTCTCCTTTGGTTTCTAAAGATCATGTGGTCGATGTAAGTGTTGTTGGACGAGGAGAGATCTTCTTGCTTCAATGATCTGTGTACTATAATTAGATCAACTCAGTGTTGACCCAAACCCAATGCACTATGATCCTCGTAAAAGTTACAAATCCTGAGATCATACAGTTACACCTGCTGTTTGTCACTGTCTTTGAACAAAAAGTAACAAAATGGAGCTCCTCGAAAACACAAGCCAATCCGCTGCAGCGAGTAGCTCTTCGAGTTGTACCAGTGGCGCTTTTTCTAGTGCTGGCTCTTCCTCTTCTAGTATCAGTGGTGCTCTTTCTAGTGCTGGCTCTTCCTCTTCTAGTACATCCTCTTCAGATGTCAAAAACAACACTGTAGATGACGTCTTGCAGATGTTAAATTCTGCTTTGGACTGCATTGCTGAGGCTCTGGGTTTCGACTCCTGCAGTTCGTCGACCAAAACGAAGAAGTTTAGTACAAATACCTCTAATGCAAATGCAAAAACATCAACTTCGGCATCATCAACAAGAACATCAGTGATTCCATTCTGTTGTTTTTTTGCACTCGTATGTGCAGTGTTGGTCTTCTACGATACGTGTAACATACCGCGTTCAAAACGACAGGAATGCGGTATGGGTGGACTGCAAGGTGCAATATCAGGTATGGTTCCTTCTCTATTTCCACCACCAAGTAGGTTCCAAGTCGACGACCCGTACTCGATGCCGTTCGATAGCATGGCTGGCCTCGATGCTGCAGAGGACCCCTATCAGGCATTGTTTAAGGCTTAAGTACCCTAATATTAAGGTTCAACTTTCATTGACCCCTCGAGAGAACGGGGGAAAATGAAGGGAAAAGGGGAGGGCTTTGAAGGTGGTCTCTTCCGTTCAGAATCAGTGGCCACTGACTGCTGACCTTTAATAATAGTTCATGATATTGATGAGAGACATCCTGATGAGAGTTCGACTAATAATCCATCTCTAGAGGAGAGAGGCTTTTCAAGGGGAAAATGGTTCCTCCGGGATGTATCTCGGGATGGATTAGAGTCATATGCTCTAACTCACACAGTGGGAATGCTCTAGCAATGCCAGTCACAAGTCCGATGCAATGTACTGGAATTGCGAGGTTGTTCGATCATAAAGGAAGAAAGATCTTTCTACGTACTTTTTCTGGTTGGATGAGTCTGGGAGCTGTTGCATGGCTTACATCAGGGTACGGAAGCTCTTCCCTACTGGTCTACTTCCTCTTGTCAACCGCTGCAACGTTTCATCAAGCAAGCTGTTGCTTCGAGATACCAGAGGGTAGTATGCAACACATGATGCCCCAAGGTCCTGCCTGTTATTGTTCTTGATGGAAAGCGAGGAACCAAAGCATGCTAGAGCAGAAGTTGGAGTTCATCTAGTATCATTGGTAGAAAAGTCGGAGTAGTCCCTAGTTCTGGTACTGTTGGTGCGGCTGAGCCTCTCCCGCAAGAAGATGACCACCTACATACTAGTTAGTACGTTCCTCTTTGAAAAATAATGATTTATCGGTGTCGTAGCTCTTCTCAGAAGGTACTACTTCACTGAACGGCCTCATACATAGATGCATAATGCTATACAAGAGACAACATGACATGACAACGCTCTTTCTTTCGTGTTGTTGATATCACAAAACAAGTGGGAGAAGAAACTGAAACACTCCTGTGACAAGAAGTTTTGCTGTCGACAAGCGGGACACGCTGTGGTATCATGTTCACAAAAGATGGAACAAGGATGCACGTTTTAACGATTTTTTCATTAACCCTTTGCATGCGCAAGCGAAAGCGTGCATTGTATTTGCATCTACTCACCCCAAAATGAATCAACATTCAAAAATCAAAGAATGACGAAGAACCCATCGTCCTTTCCAAACAGACGAAGGAAATCAAAAGAAGGTTCTGACTTGATTCTTGTACCTGCAATTTTGATTATAATTATCGAAATATTTTTTCCTTAAGACACTCCCTGGTTTTGATTTATCGGAACTCGCTCGCAAAATACGCCGGTAGGTTTTGACTTATCGGAACTCGCTCGCACTACAAAAGAAAAAAAAGCGAGATTAATTGTATTGTATTGTGCCCCGTGAGTGGGTACATCTGTCTATACCATTGATTTACAAGGAAATACATGTCTTGCTCTTGTTGCTCGAAGATGAAGTTTCTCTCGAAGAACATTTTCGATGTCACGACACTCTCCGTCATGTGGCTTTGTCTTTTCGGGCCACCGATGATGGTACATGCTAGTGCTTCTTCGTCAGGAGCTCCGTGGCAAGGATCAGCGTCATCTTCCTCATTACCCAGCAGTCATCAACTTCAACTAAATGGTTCTCTTGCTGTCACAGCAGACGAGATCTACGATGCCTGGCAAGGGTTGCATCAAGGCCATGTAGCGCAAAAGCTGAACTCTCTGGGCGTTTTCGCAAGTGGGATGAAGAAAGACCGCGAGATGAAGATGAAAAGCATCATCGAGGACTACCCGAGTGAAGATACAAGACGAGGAAGAACCGTTGATGTTACAAATGGTGCGACGACGGACAAAGGCGATGACACAAGTAGAGCGAAAATTGCTCTTAGCAGTGATGGTGCAACGAGAACAGCCTCTACCAGTGTAGAGGAACAAGCAGGAGCACACGAACGATACTATTTTTTAAGAGATACCCAGCGCAAGGCGTTTGACATCATGAAGAATAGGGAACGTGGACTTCAGGACAAAAACCTGTTCCTTTTATCGCGCAAGATTAAGGCTAGTTCCCCATCACTGTCCCCTGTGGACCGACAATATTCTTTAATGGATTCCCTTTAAAAATTATCATGGCGGAAACCCATTATTAAGGTGAAAGAAGGCATGTCACTCTGCATGATGGAGAGTGAAAAAAAAGTCCTTTAACAAAAGTTTGCACCTGCGAAGAGGAGCTTTTCTAGCACTGGGAAAAGAAGCCTTGCCATTAGCGACCCTCGTTGCCCACTTTGCCGAAAGGTGCATTTATGGCTCGATATAATTCAACATGATTTCCAAAGTTCTTCCCTTCTTGAGATTCTGAAGAGATGAGCAGCGAGCTTGAGAAATGGAATAGATATTTTTGAGCTCACTCTAATGCATTCTCAGACTGAAGAGCGCGAGTGCCAAAAGAGAACAAAAAGTTCAAGAAGATTACGAACTATTTGCGTATAAAACGAGTCTTACTAAACTGGGCCAAGCTGGTCGGAAGAAAACATTTTCGCGCTCAAAGCCGTACTTATGAAGAACTAGAAGAAAAAATTGACTACAAGAAGTTGATCATGAGGTTGACATTCACGATTCCTCGCAGCAACATCTTTCTTTCTCAGATATCGTATGCTTTACATTTCTTCCTATCATGATCAGCTAAAGGAATCAACACTCGTGCGTCCTACAATCTAGAAATTTCATGTTTCTCTTCTACCCATCATGAATAAGAATACTACATGTAGTTTAGGAGGTAGCTTGTTCTGATCTAAGGTATGCGGGGAAGCAGTTGCCTCGTCTCGTGGGCGTGTCAAGTCATCTAACCAGCCAAGCTCAGATACATCGTTATGGTCAAGTTTTTCGCATCTCAACAGTTCTGAGCATCTTCTCAGTACCTTTTCAGGTAGAGATAAGTGCGAAATAAAGGGGGTCACCTTTATTTTCCCAAACTAAAAATGGGGGGGAAAAAGCAAGGTACCAACTTACTACATGAAGAAAATGGGGTTAGTTTTAATAGTAGACACTGAGAACAAGCGCAAGGTGATAAAACACACACCCACAGCGCTTCGATTATAATTTCGCCGCACACGGTCACGGCTTGACATGCGCTTCTAAAATAACGCAGGATTTGTGTCGCATTTGCACGTAGCATTAAGGAGGTATCCGCCACCGCTGGAGGTAGGCCCCGGTGTATCTTCCATGGAGGGTAGCTTCCGAAACTGGTTGATGACAGTCGATCAAATACATGGGGTAGAGAGGGAGGAAGACGAGATGACGGAGCAACAAGAAGGAGCCACTGGTTCAATTAGGGGCACGAGTAGGTTTCTTTTGGTGTTTTTCTGTATTTATACCGTTGTAGAAGTTTTGCCTTTGTTAAGCGCAGGGAAGAAGAGCACTGGCACCCTTAACCATGTGGGCAGTTAACATCACCAAAATCCTACCTGCTCCAATACAACTGAACAAACGCAGCTGTCGTCCCGCTCGTCCCTTTCCACATCCCAAGGAGCTGCTGTGGACTCCTCGTCTGGCCATAACACATTGGCAGATCGTTTGCGTGATCATGAAAAGCGACGAAGGCATACTGTAGTGGGCAGAGGAAGCGTATCGCAGCCTGAGCCTGCAGATTCGGACGGGCAGCACCTTGTTTTGCGGATCGACGTGGTAAATGGGCTTATCCTGATCGACGGTCGAAGTGGGAACGTCTCCATCTTGGACATAGATGCCTACGACAGAGCATTGGTCTGGCATGCGGCGGATATCGACCACGATCAGAATCGTAATCCTGAAGAGTTAAGGGTTGAAACATTTCATATTTGTACGCATGACTTGGCACATTTCAAGAAGAAACGTGTCAAATATGTAGGGCAAATATGAACTGTTTCAACCTTTAAAAGAGGGTGAATTTTTTGCGCCTACTCCTATCGGCCCCACGAGTAGATACAAGTGTCTTCCTAAAAAGGGAATTTTTCCAGCTCGAGGAAGGCAAGGCGCCTGTTTGCTGAGCAAACTCGTCCAAAGTCTGAAAAAAAAGCTGAACAACGTCTCCAGTGATAATGATAACGAGTTTTTTGACGGAACAAACAGAATCGAAAACGGGCCTCACACTGAAGAAAGTTTTCGTCGGGATGTTGAAGCGGGAGTTAAGTTAAGGGTCGTTGGAAGTTGGCATCTCTACTTTTATGCGCATCTCATCTTTGCGCTTCTTTAAGTACTTAGGAAAGCCATAGATGTGCGATTGCGAGCCAGAGAAGCGGTGAACTTTCAACCCCTAATGAAGCGAATCGCGGAGAAAGAAGGAGTTCGCTTTGAGGCGGAATACATCGAGTATGATTTGGAATCTCAACATGGAAAATTGGAAAATGCTAACCCTTCACACAGGACGACCCAATGCTTCCATCTGCGTGCGGATGTGGACACTTCTGTCCTCGCAAGCGATCAAAAGAAAAGTACGTCTTGTTTATTCGCGCAGAAGAAGATTCCTAGAGGCCACACCACGGAGGACAGCGACACCTCTAATCAGACTCCACCGGAAGAAGATGTCATTGTCGCGGATCTTCCTCATCCGGATAATTTGACGGCTAGTGAAAGAGCGAAAGTTCTGCACGAAATGCGCGTAAACGGGCAAAAAGTGGAGACACTCCAACATGATTGGGATCACCATTGGACGGGCCATGGGTGGGAACAAGATTATGAGCGAAAATACTTGAATAGCAATGGAATTGCTTCATTCTACTTCTATCAATTGTTCCTTATTTGATAATCTACTACATATCAACGAATGGTTTCATCCTTGCGTCAATTTGTCATTGCTTCTGTCTACTCACGCCTACCCGTTATTGACTACTCCTTGTAAGATGAATATTGACATCAACAAAGAAAAGCATTACATATAGCATACTTATTTTGCCTCCAATGCTAGTACGAGTATCGTCGTGCTCCTAGACTTGAAAACGGAAAATTTGCGGACGCCTATACCAATCGCTACGGAAGAGCTTGGTGGTGGACATTTAGTATACCGAAGTAGTCACGACGTCGACGCCGAAGAAGATGCTATGGAGTTGTACAATAAACATTGATTTTGTTAATTTTTGTTTTAGAATTTTCTTGTTTCCAGTAAAAGACAAGAACTGTAGGTGCATACAGATGAATGAACGACCAGACATGCTTGATGATAAATTGGCGCTAAATTTTTTACAATGTACAACAAATCCAAAAGCTATATCTTATACGTATCGCGTGCGACAACTACAACATCCGCCAATTGATTAGAGCCTCGTTCACTTCCTTGAATCTTGGCGTGCAAGAGCTCCCATAATCCTAACGGCGTCAGCGGGGTAACGAAATCAATCCAAACCTTCACGTGCATGAGTCTAGTCGTCTACTTGTTTGCCTGAAGCTATCGATGAGGTTGATCATGCTCCTCGATTCTACTGCCGCAACAACATGATGCACCAAACACAAACAGGACCAAAATGGCCCGGTTTTCACTTACCAAATAACTTGCAGCAACTACGTAATCTGCTTGGCAATCTCAATCTTCCTATGTGTTCAACTTCAACCTTTGCATCTTCAAAGCATAAAGTCAATCATACCATCGGTAAACTACACAGTGAGACCTTGAGACACCAACGCTGAGCATGAGGAGTTCTTAGTCTTAGGTCATCGACGAGTGGCTTCGCAAGAGCGAGAAGCTCTGGCTCATTGATTTCCGAGGAGTGAAAAAATCTGGAGCATGAAAAAAATGTGGAGACAGGATAAGCAGTAGATGAAATGGCAAAGAGATCACCCTTATTAGTTCTCAAGTTTCAAGGCAGAAGATTCGTTTAAAGTTCTTCCAATCTGAACAAGTGGTGGTCGTCAAATCATAAACAAGGATAAGAAAACAATGTTACGCGCGCAAGAAAATTTCTGCAGAACTCCTCAGAGACTAGCTCTCTTGATCGCCTGCGACTATACTACCTGCTTCTCAACGTCCTCTTCCGACAAGAACGCTCTTAATCTTAACGACAACCTTAACGTCAGCATGCGTCCTTCTCAACGTCCTGGTCTTACTGGCGCCGCGAGTAATGATGTCGAATTATGGCGGCAGGCGCTGCGGAGAGACTTTGGTTTTGCAGAAGAAGATATCTTTGTTTTGACAGAAGAAAATCGTTCACAGCCTACAAAAAAAAATTGTCTGCACTATTTGAAAACACTTCTTAAGCGATTGCGACCAGGAGATGTTTTTTTCCTGGCCATAAGCGGTTGCGGGACAGCGGTTTCAAGGGTTGCAGGTGCGGCTAGTAAGGCTCCGCCTGACGAGTCTTCATGCGAACAAGAAAGATATACAGCCCATGAAAGTAGAAGAATTGCAACCGGTTTCGTCACTTCCCCTGATATTACGGTCAGCTTTTATCCATCTTTCTCGGCATCTCGCTACCCGTTTCCCTTGTATTTCATGGGAAAGGGGTCGAGATGAGGGGGCCGAGATGGATTGGAGCTGCCTTGTAATGCTAGGAAAATGATATACGATGACGAATTCCGAGAAACGTTTGACTCCCACATGCCACCTGGTGTGTTGTTCACAGCAGTATTGGATTTTGGATACGCAGGAGAGGTTGCGAGCAAGATACTTGGACTTGCTGTTGCAAAGGCTGTTGAAGGTCCTTCTAATCTCGTCTTACCTTTGGACAGGGACAGAGAGAAAGACTACAAAAAAACACCTGTAATACAGGAGTCTACAACGACTCGGGCGAAGACCTGGCAACTCTATCCCCATGCGATGGCTCAACCACGGATACTTCCAAACGAGTTGCGAGATAGTGTTGATTACAGCAGCACGACTACTATCAAAGATGATGTCGGCAAAGTAAAAGAGCGCGCCTGTTCATCAAGCATGCACCAAGTGACGTCTTTTATTCTCGTGCCGACCCATACCCCGCTGGAACTGAGCATATGCAGTGCGCCACAAGGCTTGTGCTCTTTTTTAGCCCGACAGAGCTTATTACAGGGCATGCCCAACCATTCCTACGCTGAGTGGCGCTGTAGCATACAGCAATTACAGACTGAAGTAGAACGGCAATATCTCCCACGACTCGAGTCACTTGTGGAGCTGTTGCATAATGTTGATCCAGAAGATGCTTTGGTTCTGGATGCGAGATATGCTACAGTTGCGGCGTCTCGGATTCTGCTAGACTACAACGAAACTCGTCGCCCACAAGACTACAATAACTTGCTGACGGCAGGGCAGAGGAATAGTTGCACGCAACGCTATCCAGCGTTGAGCAGGGGAAAAAGACACGACCTACTTCCGATGATGACAACAACGAGGTCATGTGGATCTTTCGACGAAATGCTTCCTGCTACTCTGCCAGGAGGCATTTCGTCTAAAGGCAGTCTCGAGAGTCTTTACCCAATGGCATCTGTCCCGCTTGGATGGGCTCCCTTGGGTGAGTCGCCAAGCTTTCCCCCAGACGTCGATCTACTCTCTGGACAAAGCGAGCATCACAGAGATATAATTTGTGATGTTTCGCATGAGATGAGTAAAAAAAGCAGTAGGACATCATCTAGATCTCCATCAAGGATGGTTGCACTCGACGCAACGAGCAACGAAAACCGAGACACAATAGACATACTTCCAGACAAAAGCTCTTACTCAACGAGACTGAACTTGAATGAGGACATGAACGATTTTTTCCTAAGAAAAATTGCGGAGGCAGCTGGTGCTGCGTCTGGTGGTGGATAAGTATAGAGCAAACCAATACCAAAAAGCACAAGCAATGACTTCAAAGGTCACTCCAGACTCAATCCTCATTTTGAAAATATGAGAGTGATTGCGATGACATCTTGCTCAGCAACTAAAATTCGGTTTGAAGTGACACTTCACGTTTTCGGTTCTCTTGCTCTTCTTGTATCAATCTGTACCGCGAGAAAGAGAGAAAGACGAGATTAAAGTGATGATGCGCAGCACCTGATTCTTAAAGAGAGTCTACACTGCAAAATTAGTCCTGAAAGTTACTTTTCTGAATTGCAGAATCTTCGAAAATCTTTGGACTACGCCATGTGTCTGTTCTGAGAGAGGAGTGAGAAGAGTCTTCTGCCAATCTGTCGTTGACTGAAAAGTAGTGGTTGTGCATCTGTTGACGTTGAGAGTGAGTGCTTTATTGTCTTGGCCTTTCATCTTGACAAGAAATTCCTGTTTCATGCAAAAATGATTTTAATCCTCCTGTCAATCTGTCGCTGTCAGGCAACCCATGATGTTCCCCCCATAATTCCCAATTGAACTTTTCTTGAATTCCTTTTTAGTATACACCCGCATGCTATTTTTACAGGCCGTGATTCATGTACAGTATTTTTTAGCGAACTGTTTTTCGTAGAGGTGGCACATAGCACCAATGTCATTAAGAGGACCTTTTCAATTGACTTAAACCCTAAAAATGGCATCCTCTGGTGGGCGTGGCGGTTACGCCCGCTTCAACCAGGACAATGTGCAAGCGGGTGCTAAAAGGGGCATGGCCAGGTTCAAATTGGCCACGAACTTGGTTACTAGGATCACTGCCAAAGCGGATTACCTCCTCGACGATGCCCGTGAATATCGGTCTGCCTATTCCAAAGTCCAGGCTCAGAGAAACAAGGCCAAAGGCTTCGTGAGGAAAGTTACTGGGGCTTTGATTGAGTCGGAGAACGATGACGGAGTGAATTCCGACATCGAGATTCTAGAGAAGGTAGATAAGTGGAGCGCGAAAAAGACACATGTGGCACAGACAGAAGGACGTGCGAGGACGGAAGAATTAGGGACCACTGCTGGACGGCGGAAAGAGATTGAGTTTATGCGTGCTGCTCAAAGGGACAGGGAGGAGGCGAAGAAAATAGAACAAATCGTCGCGCAAAGTCGTGCCGAAGAAGCTCGCAATCTTCCTATGCAAAAGCAGGTGCTTCGTGGCTGCAATTTGGCGTATGCGCATTTCACGACGGAATATCTTGGTTTTGAGAAGAAGAAGAAGCCGATCTCTGTACAAGAGCATTTAGATGCACAGAAAGTGTTGCAGTTGAGATCGGTGAAAAAGCAGCGCTCAGTCGTGATGGCTTATGACGTTGACGATCACGCAGACTCGGATGTAGAAAATTTTGGTCGCGGGACACCCAAGTACGAGGAACAGCGAGAAGCGTCAAGGCAAAACAAGTACATCGACACTCAACTCATGCTAGAACGGAAAAAAGCCGCTTTGAGAGAAGACCCCTTTGGCGCAGCTGCGAGAGAAGAAGCGGAAAAAAGGCAAGCGGAGGAACAGGCAGAACAAGATGCTGAGAACGCACAAAAACGCTTGGAGGATCAGCGACGAAAGCAAGAACAAAGCAGTCGTCGCATGGACACCAAAGTGCCAACGTATTTGCCTCTGCAAGAGCCTTTGAGTGAATACGTCGAACGACTGGATAAATGCACCCAAAACTTCCTCAGAATGGAAGTCAAAAAAATGACAGCGTTTGTGAAACAAGTAGGTGGGGATTCCGACGACTTGTTGCGAATCGTGGGTGAGTTGATGGAGAAACCGCAAGTGCAAATGCGACTTCTGGGTTTGAAGAACAAGGCGAAGACGGTGTCGGAAATTCTAGGCGCAGTCGAGCGCGGGAAATTCACTGGTTTTGGTTTCGGCGCTAACAAGTGGATTTTGATGACGCCAAGACCCAGAAATACGTCTGGCATTGTCAAGATTAAAGCTCGCAATAGAGCTTTAGCCAATGTTCTGGGCAGTGCAATGGCAGGAGCTGGAGGAAAAAATGCCGCTGCCGTAAAAGGTTTGTCTAAAGGGTTTTCTATTCACATGGGCTCCGATGCCAGCCAAAAAGACGCAGGGATGGACACCATTTATTCCGTCTACAAATACGAGTGCACAGCGATAAAAGATCCTCAGGAGATATCGAAATTCGAGAGACGCAGATCGATTTTCCTGATGATGCTGCCTTATTGCAAGAAGTACCACAACTTGGATACTCTGTCAAGGGTGAAGAAGGAAATTGAAGTAAATACGAAGAAGGAGGAGAAGAAGTACGCCTATGCAGCACCAGAGCAGCTGGAAATGATTCGAGCGCAGAAACTACAGTTATGTTGAATGAAGGACTTTTGTGGATTCTATTTCTGACTCTACTGATTGGTTCGAGCTCTTCTAATCCAAGAAGCCTTCGGTCTGCAAGGAACTAGAGATGTACCCGACGTTACAGAGAGTTATTACTCGCATGAGTGACTGCCTTCGGGGGTGAACAAGAATCACTCCTGATTGTACGTGAACAGCAGTTAGCTATAAGCTTGAATTTTGCTAAGTAACGGCGTGGCAGCGAACAAGGGTCGTGGCTACATACGGTTATACTTGACAGTCTATCAATTAGTTTTCGTGCTTTTCCAACTGGAAGGTACACGAAGGCTAATAAGACCTCTTTACTACTCGCAACAGTAGGCCACAGAGGTACCATGACATGACATCGCTCCTCTAATCCAAGAAGTCTTCGGTCTGAAAGGAACGGGAGATGTACCCGACGTTGCGGAGCTGTATCCTGTTGGTATGAGACCTGGGGTCGTCTTCTCGCACTACAAAGAGCATATTTTGCAGGTTCTAGAGCGCCTCAATAAGGTAAGAATGAAGTTAGACGGCGAAGACATTACCCCTGTACCGTCGGATGAGGAGAGCGAGGGCGACCAAGATGGGAGCAAAAGAGGGATCGATACAGAAGGCAAAGATGGAGAGGAGAAAAAGGAAGGCGAAGCGGGTTCTTCCGACGATGATAGTGCCAGCGATACTGATTATGTACACATGGGCATTATGGATAAGATGAGAAACGCGTCCGGTCGCGTTGCAAAAGGCCCCGTAGGTCGGGCATTCCAGAAAACAAGGAGAACTATGAGGCAAATCGCGAATTCCAACGTCGTTAGAGTCCTCTTGCGAGGGAAGAAGATGAAGAAAGCTGGAGCAGGTAGTCCTGAAGACGATGCTACAATTGGGGGAGAAGGTACTTCTGGCGAAGAAGGTGAAGAGGATCCTAAGCCCAAGGCTGACGCGGTATTATCGGATGGTACTGCAGGCACAGCGGAAGAAATGCAAGAAGCAGTGGACAAGATGCTCAAAGAGGCTAAGAAGAACCGAGAAGGAGCTGCTAAAGACCTCGTAGATTTGAAAAAGAAAATGATCCGCCACTCCAAACTTGCGCAAGCTCTTGCGGCGAAGAAAGACGCGAGGAAGGCGCATGTGGACCACTTTGGAGGAGGACAACATGAATCCGATGCAGACCAGATCGCGAACAATATGACACCAGCGAATATTGATGGACAACGACAACCCCAGGAGTTGTTTAGGTTTGAAGTGGCGAACGAACTGATAAACTGGGATGCGATTTCTGTAGCTATCGAATTTGTGTTGAGCAATCTAAGGGACCGCATGGCTAGGGGCCAATTGGTAGATCGTGAACTAGAGCGAGAACTGGATTTGATGAAGGCTTGGGGTAGAGCTATGAGCGAGATGGCCATCGAGAATAAGAAAAACGCGATCTTTGAAAAAGTGGAGAAGGAGATGCAACGAAGACGTCAAGCTGAGGAAGCGGCGAAAGAAAGAGAAAGGCGGAAGAAGGAACGCGAAGAGCAAAGTATTGCTGGAACCATCGATGCTGCTGAAAGGGATTACCAAGACTCTGTAGACCTACTGTTAGAAGTTTTCGCGGCCGACATAAGAGCTCGAAGTGTTTTAGCGAAGCGAGGGATGGAATTAGAAGTGGGACCTGAGGTCACGAAGCGAGACGTGACAAGAGGAACGATCGCAGGTGGGGTGACGGTAGCGCTGAACTTGGCGGCCAAAGCAGATGGGCAAAACAAGTTACTTGCGGCGATGAACAATGCCAGGAATAGACAGGTAAAGATTTAGCTATCAGTGGAGGGTAGTCTACTTTGCTTCTAGAAAGTCCCTGACCCTTCATCAGCGGTTTTCTTTTTCGAGTCATGTTTTTTAGTTCGCGATCGCTGCGAAGGTGTCACGTCGCAATCCTTATAATTTTGTTCATCGAAAAACAAGATCAACCAGATCTTATCGCGTCATCTGTCAAACACTTAGACATGATAGCATTTACATTGCAAGTTTGAGTGCCGCTTGACGCGCAGAATACAACATCTTTCTCCACGGTCAATTTACCCGTGTCATTGTCGGGAATTGTATCACTATCAAGAGATGACCAGGAAATCTAAACTCCACCATCCAAACCAGGGCGTCGTCAAAGCAGCCATGGAATTCGAGGAGTCTGAGCGGGCTATTCTCCAGGCTAAGCTGGACCGTTTAAAGGATCTCAAAGTCGTAACTCGCAAGACTTCCAAATGGGGCCGAATTCGAACTATGGTCGCTCTCAGCGATCACCAGGCTGAAGTGAAGAAAGAACAGCGCGCCCACTCTCGCTGGGGATCACTCAGAACAGGGATCCGAATGTCTAGGAGTGGCAGTGCTGGAGAGGGAGACGACGGTGAGGGAGGAAATATAGGCGGGTCATCTAGAGATAGTCTTGAAAGAAATGCTACAGATAGTAGTAAGAAAATCGGTGGTGGATTTTTAGCTGCGATTCAAAAAATTGGCACTATGGGTAGTCGGACTCTGTTACAGAAAACTAGTCCCGGAGGTGATAGTGCAACTGGTGGTGGACAAGACAAGGGAGGCCCAGGTGGTGCTACTAAAGGGAAAAGTGGAGCCCCTTCTAAAGATGGGATGAACTCTGAAACGAAAGGGTTTTTGGCTGCTGTACGAAATCTAGATGGACCAAAAGATTCCAAAAGCGCGCCTGGGGGCGGTGGCCTTGCAGGTCCTGTTGGTGCTGCGCGTGGCGCGAAGGACTCAAATAAGGGTCCTGTTCCCCCTAGTGGTGGGGGTGGCCTGGCAGGGCTTGTTGGTGCTGCGCGAGGACAAAAGGAGACGAAAGAGGCAGCTGGGGCTCGCGGTTTGGCGGGGCTGGTTGGTGCTGCACGTGGAGCTAAGGAATCAAAAGGCCCTTCTTCTAGTGGCGGCGGTGGCTTAGCAGGGCTGGTTGGTGCTGCCCGTAAGCGAGACTCTTCGGAGGGACAGCATGCTGCCCTTGATGATAGTGTTGAAGGACCTACAAGGGAAGCACTTTTAGAAGTAGACGAGGATGAAGAGAACAATAGTGCTACCAAAAGGGTCGAGCCAATGCCTGACGTGGTTCCCAAAAGCGATTCGGCTGAGAATTCAGGCGAAGAGTCGATTGCTTCCGACAAGACCGAACAACCTCAGGAAAAAGAAGATCAAGTTGAGGAAAACAAAACTGCGCCCGATTCACAAGGCACACCACCTCAACCACAGGTCGAGAACGCTGCAGACTCAACTCCTAAGCCAGAAGAACCGTTAGCGATTTATTCCACAGAGAGAATAGATGGTGATGTTCCAGCGCCACCGGCACAAACAAGCGCCTCTCGCCCCATGTCTGCTGGGTTCCGACGACGTGTGTATTTCGAGGGCCAAGAAATGCCGGTAGGACCAGATCATGATAGGGCGTCTTCATCAGGTTCGAGTGAGGAGGACGGGGAATCCTCTCAAGATAGTGCATCGAAAGGAGGTCATCAGAAGCGAAGTTCCTCTAGAGACATTGCGGGAGAAGTAGGACCAAGAGATGGGGGTGAGCTTGAAGGAAGTGCTGGTCGTAGTTCAAACCCCTTCTCCTCTGCTCTTCGAAATCTAAAAAACTTAGTGGGGAACAACACGAATGTGAGTGAGGCTTGCGCAGATATGTGGGTCGCCATGGACCAAGACGACAGCCGCAGTCGCGAAATCCAACGGTGGCTAGCCAGGAGTGGAAAGCGTGTAGGCTTCAAACTCGGCCACAACGGTGTGAGAAAGGCAGCTCACAAAACGAAGAAATTGTTTACCTTGCAAACGCTGAACAAGGTACGACGCGGTGGGCCACATCTGATCCGCACAGTTGCAGCCGGATTTCGAGACTTCTTCTTGCCAGAGGACGTGAGAACCGCCATTCGGGATTCCTTGGCGGCGTCTCATCGCATGCGACAATTGCAAGATTTCGCTGTTTGCCCATTGAGTGTGGCGGAATACTTGGATAAACTGTACGTGAGGATGGAGTTCAGGGCTCAAAAGGGGAACATCACGACGAATTTCCCCTTACCAGACCAGCGATTCTTGTGCTTCGAGTTCCAAGTCTTTGAAATGGTGGACGAACTCTCTGTAGTCCAGATTGGTTTCGCGACCAAACCGGGGTCAGGGTCGAAACTACCTGGGGAATTCAAGCAGTCTTTAGGTTATAACAACATTGGCAGATGCTTCAAGTTCGACTCCGAAGACGTGCATTCGGAGGTCTGCGAGACCGATAAGGGGTTCCACAATGAGGATATCGTCACCTGCATTGTGGACCGAAAAGTCGGACTCTTTAATTTCTATGTGAATCGCGAACCGGTTTTCAAAAAGTACCAGTTCTTCGACCCATTGCACTTAGCTGCTGCTGATCCGGTGTACGTTTGCTTAGGGGTGAAAGAGTCCGCAGTGATACGGATTGACTTTGGCGGATACGGCTATTCCCCAGTGACGAACGCAGTGATCTGGCGTGAAATCCGCTTGAGGGAAGAGGGCATGGACTGGAAAAACTGTGTGTTTGGAGAATATGTGGATGATAGAGAACTAGTGGACGTGATCACATTAAGGAAGAACTACTTCAAAGCACTTCAGTGGCAACAGAGGAATCGGGAGGAGGCGGCTGTGTTGGCCTCGCAACCTAAGGGGGAAGAGGTGGAGATCGTGCGTGCTGGAGCAAAAGAACTGTGGGAACAACTTGTGATGAAAGTTATGGCACTTGTTGGACTTGTTTCATTTCTTTAAAATTCGCTATTTTCCTCCTTTCCTTGTCTCAGTTTTTCGTCTACTAGGGCGATGTCCACTACGAAGAACTGAATCCTGCTACCAGAGTCATATACATGCAGTAGAAGTGCCACTCCCAGTTTCAAGGTGTTGGTGAACCTAAATGCAGTTCTTCTAACCCCTGTAAAATCGGTACCCCTGCCGACGCTGCCAAGGTTCAAAAGCGCTTAACCGATGAAAAAGTCCGTTTATATGACAAAAGACATGCGCGGATGCCTTCGGAGGCTGTGGATAGGCAGATTTTCCTTATGCAAATGACGTCCATGCTTAGTCGGGATGAGGTCACTGCCCAAGTCGGAGACGCTATGGGCATAATTGCGGAACGTGGAGAAAAATTCAGGGAATTGATCGAGAAGCAGATCATTGATTCCCAACTTTTGGAAACATTGTTTACGCCTGAGAACTCTGATGAGGAATCCAGTCCTGCGGGCGGTGGCTCGCCTACCTCTCCAGGCGGCCTATATGACGACAAGATGTTTAGTGACGACTCAGACGACAGCGACGACAAGAAAAAGCAAGCATCAGTTCCAACTGGACAAAGACCGGCAAGTCGTGCATCGGATAGGGATGATCTCGAATGTCGATTGGTAAAGACTCAGAGGTTTGAAGATGCTTGGCGGGAAGAAACGAAGCCCCAACAAATGCGATGTCGCAGAAAAGGTTGTGATTGTCCTGGTTTCGTCGTGAATTTAGAATACGAGGACCGCGATATCTGCAACCGTTGCGGACATCGGGAGTCGTGTCACAAGCCGTTGCGGGAGTTGTCGAGGCCGCAAACCTCGGAATCTAAACACGCAGCGATGCATACGGATGTAGACTTGTTTGATTTCTTGTCTGGTCGTCACGCGAGAGTATTTAGGTGGCGGGCGTTTACGTTGGGGAGTCCGTTGGATCACAACGATAGCCTACGAGCTCAAGCGTCTTTGGCAAGGAAGAAAGGAATTTACTCAAGGGAAATGGCGATATCTCGGATGCACAGCAGACCCGGAGCTGCTGAGGCTGGTGGCTTGACCAAGTCGCAGTCAATGCGGCCAGCGCAAATTCTAAATACACAAGCATCTTTGCGAAAACAAGCTTCGAATGAACTAGTTGCTGCTGGTGGAGAGCCAGGCGATGACGAACAGGGGGGCGATCAGCACCAACTTTCCAGAAATTCGAAGTCCAAAAAGGCCAAGAAAGAAGCCGAGCTTGCTCACATGATAGAGCAACAGCTCATGCAGTTAGGTCCTGTCGTTGGCGATGGGTCAGGCGTGAATTTAGAACACCTACACAGGTTCGCACCAGAACGGTGTTTTTACCATGTTGATTCGAGTAATGTTTTCACCGACAGTATGTTCGGTGACGCTAAAAAGCCTCTCAGTAGGCCTTGGACGCACGACGGGCTCCAGGGAGAACGCCACAAAGCTTGGCAGGAAGCCGAAAGAATTCGTAAAGAGGCCGCTGAGCGAGAGCGGATTCGCAAAGAGCGCGAAAGACTGGCGCGCAGACGACGAAAACGAGGCAATAAGAGTTCTGTTGGTGGAGCGAGCGCAGCAGGTTCTATGGATGCTGCTGCGATCAAGGCAGCTTTTGGTGAGGGCGTTGATCTAGCTGGAGAAGCCGCCAAAGCGGCGAAAGCTAAACTGTTGAAACATGATCCAAAGGGCACACTGTCTTTGGAGGAAATGGTGGCTCAACCAGGGGTTCTTGGGGGTGGTGATGGAGCTACTGCTGAAGGAGACACGGGCAAATCACTGAGTCGTAGTGGATCAAGAGAGGGAAAAATGGTGAGTCGTAGTAACACTAAAGAAGGTTGTCGCAGCGATGCAACGGGTGACGATTTAGAAGATGGGGATGATTTAGAAGATTTAGATGACATCGAGGAAGGAGATGAAGATGACGCAAAGAGTGAGAAGAGCCACCACAGTCACGGAGGCGGAAGTAATAAAGCCCCCAGCCTGATAGGTATGGTTGTTGGCGAAGGTGAGAAGAACAGAAAATCGCCAGTCTTATCAGAAAAGGCACCTTCTGCAGCTGGTCGACCAACTACACCAGCGACTGGGGCTGGTAGTCCGGTTAGGGCTCGGGGGAAGAAGATTTAGTCCTAACCGAACTTTCTCCACTACGAGACATTTCTCCACTACGAGACATTTCTCCACTACGAGACATTTCTCCACTACGAGACATTTCTCGACTACGAGACATTTCTCCACTACGAGACATTTCCACCATGTTCTAGAGCCCATGCGAACTTCTTTTTAGCTCGACATGTTAAAGTAAAATGCTTTCCGGGTGGGTTCTCAACAAAGATCCAGTGTTTCTCAAGGTGTTCAGAATGTCTGTTGAGATCCAGTTGTATGAATGAGGCTCGGACAGGGTCTGTGCAAAGTAAAGATCCCGCTTTTTCGCTGAATTTAGAGCAGGATCGTTGAGATCATGGATCGTTGGTAACACTCTCAATCGAGAAGATCTAAAAGTGAGTGTCAATGTCTAAAGAAATTGTATTGGCTCTGCTTGCTCTTCTCATCGGTCTACCTGGATCTACTGCGCTATCTTGACAGGTGCATTTTGCGGATCTCCAAAACGATGATCTACCAGTTGTTTAGACAGACCACGGTGCGTTTCCTTCAGGATCAAGATGATGCAATAAGTAGCGATCAGATCATCTACTTATCATCTAAAGATCAGTTTTCTCCAAGACACCAGTTCCTGAATTCCGATAATTCAGTGGATCTGATCAGTTTGCGAGATCCCGAAACTCATTTAGACGGCTCGCTTGTGGGGTCTTTCTTCGTCAGTCGATCCTCTACTTGTCTACTACTTCAACATTTTTGTTTTCGACGTGACTTTTTCTAAACCGTAACCTGTTCAATCTCTGCCACTAAACCTAAATTCCTCCAGGGAAAACGAAGAAAAAAGCCCACCTTATTCTCAGGGGGTCTTTAGAGTCGACTTAAAGTTGCCTTTTCAAAAATGGCTTCCACTGACCGAGTCCAGACCTTCGGCCGCAAGAAGAGCGCCGTCGCGGTCGCTCTCATCAAGAGCGGAAAGGGACAGTTCCGTATCAACGGCATGCCCATCGATTCCCTCACCCCGGAGATCATGCGCGTGAAAGGTACATCTTTTTGAGATTTAGGCTTGAGCTTTTTAGTTGTTTTAGATCATTGATCTGAAGCCTACAGAAGTACTTCCCCTGTTTTCCGTAGAGGTTTTCTTGCAATTAGCGCTTTACGAAATTTAGACAAATCATCATAGCATGAGATGCCTCGTACATCTAAGACGACTACAGCAAACAAACGCCTCCCACGCCGATTCTGAGCACTCTCAAACTTCTCAGTACGTTTAGCCTCGTGATCGTACGTATTCACTTCAAAATCTATCTCCAAATAAAACTTCAAAAACAGTGTACGAGCCCCTCCTCCTCCTCGGAAAGGGAAAGGAAGGCGAGCCAGGAAAGTGGGGATCCCTCGACTTCAAGATCCGCGTTAAGGGTGGAGGCTACGTCTCCCAGATCTACGCTATCCGCCAGGCTATCTCTCGTGGGCTCATCGCTTTCAACCAGAAGTATACTATCTGACTTTCTTTTAGATGTGATTGATACTCTTGCTTGACGTCGAATTCGCATCTTAACTGAACATATGTTTACTACTTTCGTTCTTAGCTCTGGGAGACGAAACAGAAAGGATGCTGGAAAATAGATCTAAATAAGGGAGAAGAAAACCCTCATTTTTGACTTTGCAGCATGATAGTACATCTTCTTCCTACTGAATTCGTACGATACAATATGTCCACGGCCCACCTCACATTTCCCAAAATCCCTTAAACAGGTACGTTGACGAGGCCACCAAGAAGGAGATCAAGGATGCCTTGACCGCCTACGACAAGTCCCTCGTCGTCTCTGACCCGCGTCGTTGCGAGCCGAAGAAGTTCGGTGGTCGTGGTGCCCGTGCACGCTTCCAGAAGTCTTACCGTTAAGCGGTTCTGCTTCCAGAAGTATCGCTTCAAGGGAAATGCGTCGGTGGTGCTAAGCATCAACCGTGGATGTTGTGGAGTGTTTTTTGTGGCTTTATCATCATTTCGACATGCGGACAGGACGAGGAAGCTGTTTGGCGACGGGGATGAGGATTGTGTCGTTGGCTTCTATAGTTGACGAGCTTGCGTGCTGAATGAACATTCTTGAACCTGAAAAGAACGTATGAGATATGATGTAGCCAGAAAATAGAAGGCAATCCGCAGTCGACAAACAAAAGAAAGCGCGGAGCGGACTCTGTGGAGTTGGGTAGCGTTGGGATTTTGAATTGCTCTACCAGTGTTCCTTCAACGTTTGAAATTCGTTGTCTGTCAATCAATCTGTAATCGGTCTACCCACTCTCCTTTCCCTTATTTTTGAAAAGGGCAATATCGTGCTGCATGCGTCGAAGCGAAAGACTTCGATTTCGTAAAAGTCTCGTCCATACGAGAAATGTGAGCTTAATCACCCGATGCGCAAATTCCCGAACCCGCCTATTGATGGGAGGTCCATGTCTAAATTAGTTATGAATGCCCCTTCTCTCCCCACTGTCCCCTTTTCGAATACCCCGACCTTTCGTGAATTATAACGAGATGCCTTTTTCTCCAAGTGACATTCATACAGTCTTCGAGTTGCCAAGGCTAGATCCACTGCGTGGCTTGCTGGCGCGTACGCACACACCTCTATATTGGAAATCTCGTTATCGCGTGGCAAAACTTCCGCCTCCGTGTGTTATGAAGAGGGGGCTTCATGTGCAGATGGCGGATTGCTTCTAGAAAAAATCTTGTGGCGGTGCCCGCAGCCGAGCCTTCGAAGATGCAAAGATTTGCTGGCCATAACCTAATGGGTGAAGTAGAAACGCTAGGTAAACGTCGTGGCCCATGTCACGACAGTCTTGACTCAATACACAACCACTCACTCTTCGCCATCTGGCATGCAGGCTCATGCTCCACGTCGCGACTTTTCTGAACAGATATCCATGGGGTAATGTGCCTACTTACTACGTCTGTCGAGGATTCGAAAACTAGGTGTTCAGTCACAACATGTCTGCATGGCGTCGATTCAGTAAACACTCTGTTCTGACTGTTGATTTGGAGGATGGGGCAATTTCCTGTTCTTCTTTCGCGACGCGACTCGCACCTTATCAAACATCTTCAAGTATGTTCTGCCACGTAGAAAATTGCTCATGCGCCATGCAGGAGGACTCACTGCTTTGCTGTGTGTAGGGAAAGACGTCCTCGTCTCTGACCCAAGACAGATGGTGTCGTTTGATGAAAACAATCGCAGTAAAAAAATCCTGATATTAGTGTCGCTGTCTTGAAGAGGTGGACGTGGATGGAAACGGAGGGACTTTATTTAGCAGGTAGTCCTTGGTATAGTCATTGCCAATCCCCGAAAGAAAATGCGCGTTTGAAAATGAGAAAATGATGAAGGCGTTTCAGTTCCTAGTGACGCGTGCAACTACAACGTAGACTGCTGCAACCACTCTCCTTGCAGCAGTGTCTCTCCCGGGCGGCGGCATTCATCTACGTTGCTTGAAACCCTCTAAGTTAGGTTCGGTATCGTCTCTCCAGACGCGTAACGTAGAGAGAGACAGCTTCGGAACATCGACAAAATCCAACTTTCCTCGTCTTTTCGCCAACGAACTGCTGAGTCACAGCCAGTGGCCTGGCAGTATCTCATTCTCTTAAGGCGGTACCTAATGCATCTTCGAGCGCATCCTTGGTGCGTACTATGGAAGAGTATCCACCTAAGGGAATAATACTCTCCTCCATACTTATTCTCAAGGAGGCACTTGAGAGATGAAGCGCGGACAGCTTCTAACTCTCACTTCCAGGCCAAGGCGAAAATCAAAACGCCACCACAATGTCCGGGGCGCCCCCTTCCTCGCTGAAGCGAGACTATGACCATCTGTTTAAGCTTGTGCTCATCGGAGATAGTGGCGTCGGGAAGAGTTGTTTGCTCTTGCGATTTGCGGATGATCAGTTCACTGAGAGCTACATCACAACGATTGGCGTGGATTTTCGGTTTAAGACAATCTTAAGGCATTTGGTACTTCGACGAGTAGAATCGTATCGTCAAGGCATTTGGTACTTGGAATGATTTCGGAAAAGACGAGATCTCAACTACGGTGTGACTAATGCGCTTGGGTCAGAACAATGATCTCTGCAAGTACTACTTCCTCTGGTCATAAAGCTCTACTGCTCTCCCTCGTGGGAGTGACGTAAAAAGTACGCAAAAACCGCATTCCCGACACTCCTCTAAAAATCAGCGTGGGTGGAAAAACGGTGAAATTGCAGATATGGGATACAGCTGGACAGGAAAGGTTTCGGACCATCACAAGTGCGTATTACAGAGGAGCGGATGGCATCGTTATCGTCTACGATTGCGGAGATAGGGATAGCTTCAGTATAATTGCTGTTATCTTTCAAGGGGTTGGGTAGATATTTTGCAAGTCCTTCTTTGGCTCGGGATAGCCTCACTTTCCCCTTCCTCCCTTCCGTACTTACTCGCCCGCTGTCCTCCGTGTCTAAGTGCTTTCAGTCCCGTCGCCTTGCATCTTCTTGAGTACTACTACAGCTACATCTCATACTAATCATTCTTTTCCGCTTTTAATCGTTGTTCTTTTCATGTGATATGATCAATTCCCGTGAGTCCTCAGGTGTCTCCCCGGCCCACAGAAGAGGACTCGAGGGAATTGATCACACCCCACTAGAGGTGATTAAAGTTTCTTGAAGCGCTTTCCATCTTTCGTCTCCTCAAAAATAGATAACGTCCAGTCATGGGTTGAAGAAGTGAACAAATATGCGAATGCGACCACAAGCATGTTGCTAGTTGCCAATAAGAGCGACTGTGGAGAGGATCGAAAGGTGTCTGCAGAAGAGGGACTTCAAAAAGCGAGACAGTTGGGTCTCGGTTTTCTCGAGACTAGTGCGAAAACCGGAGACGGCGTTGAGCAAGCTTTCGATGTGATGAGTGGAAACCTGATAAAGATCCGACAGGAACTATGAAACGAAAATAAAGTGCACTCACACTCAAGAAATTGGCTACAACGATTTAAGTAGGAAAGTAGCCACTTTATTTTAAGTGGCTACAACGATTTGAGTAGGAAAATAATAGCCACTTTTTTTTGGGACGGTGTGAGTGCACTTTCTTCTTTCATAGGAGCAGCAAAGTGGTGCAAGAGCATCTGGAGGCGGCAATGTCCGGTTAGGAGGAGGCGCTGGAACCTCGAATGAACCCTCACCTCCACCAGGTGGACAACTAGGACAGGGGTGTTGTAATGGTTGATCGGCGACTTGGGCAAGCAATGGCAATGATAATATCGGAATGAATTGTTCAATAATAATGCAGTTTATCGTGTCTTGAAGTCGAGGTCGGATGGGGTCGACCGACAGGGAGAGACTGACCTCGACATCGCTTCATACGAAAAATACTTAACTACACTAGTACATCCACAAAATTTATTGTTCAAACAGCACATTCACAATCTTCACATTCGCAAGGGAGCTCCAAACTAACTCCGGCACAGGAATACAGACAGACGAAACAAAGTAGATTCCATGATGGAAATTTGTGATTTCTATATTTCACGATTCGTAAGTTCATGAAGATCTAGTACAGCATTGCACAAAGAAGAAGAACGTGGGATCCCACCGAGACTGAGACCCCACCGAGACTGAGATCCCGCCGAGACTGAGACCCCACCGAGACTGAGATCCCACCGAGACTGAGATCCCACCGAGACTGAGATCCCACCGAGACTGAGATCCCACCGAGACTGAAGACGTACTGAGTTCCACTTAACAAGGCACATCAAGACGTCGGAAAACGAAGCTCTAAAAGTTACTGTTCCACCGTTGGGTTCTGCAATCTGAAAACGTAGACTTTCGCTTTTGCAGCAAATAAGACTTTTAGTTTTTGAGTGATCATGTAGCTTCTTCCTATCCTCCAGCACTTCCCATCTTTTCCCGCGAAAAATTTCACTCAGGGCCTATATATTTGTCATTTAACTTGTTGCTTTGGAGCGCATCAGTTAGCTAGTTGATTGATGCGTAGTTCAATAGTCTTGCTTGATTTGCTCCACCTTGTTGCACAACATCGATCAACCTATTCAAGACTTGTACTAGTAACTAAGAACTAACTGCTTCGCAAGCATGGCGTATTTTCGAGGAGGTGTCATTACCCACCTATTTTTAGTTGTGGTAACGATGCTGCGTGATGGCGTTGCCGCGTCTATATTTCGTAGTCATCAAGGTCACCCGGCAGGAGCGCGTTTATTGACAGCGCCACGACAGCTGGAGATGGTATCCGCAACGAGGCTGGACGCTCATGTTCAAGGAGAAGGAAAAAGTGTTCCCGGTGCTGGTCCTCGTCCACACCACGACGAATACAAGAAGATGATCGAGGACCGCAGCAAGAGTCCGACGACGACGGCGAATGAGGACCAGCATAAGAAGTTGTTCCGAATCCGTGCCGAAGATGTGGCTATGTTTGACCTGCTGAAATCCCAAAACTACGATGGTGGGATTGAGATTCCAGAACCTATGACGTGCCCGATCTGTCTCACGGTAGCAAGAGAACATCAAGATGGGGAGTCTACTTCGTTGTACTATAGTTAAGGCTACAAGAGATCCATCTTCTCAAGCTTCTGCCTGGGTCACGTTTTTCAATGGAAAAGGGGACCCGAGGCACTGCTGCGGATGAACTTCCCTTAGTTCTAATATAGGCATCTCTGTGGGCATGCTTTGTGTGCGAAATGCAAAAATAAGATGTTCAAAAATGCAAGAAAGAAAGCGAAAGACGAAGGACGGGAAGCGAAAAGATATGGGAACGGTCGGAGCGGCAACGGGATTGCAGTGAGGACTGCGAGGACTGTTTATGCAGCGGAGCAACGCTGTGTAGTGTGTCGGCAAGGTGGAAGGCTTGAAGACCTCGTGCCGACACAAGAACAGGAAAACTTACGAAAGCTACTATTTATGTTCTAGAATAAAGGTTGTCAAAGTGGACGAAGCACGCAATCCGGCTCAGACGAGTCAAGCACTGAGGAGGAAACTAGCACAGAAGATGAAGATGCCTTCCCTACTGAAGAGTTCTTGCCACGGCGATGGCAGCCAGTGGAAGTACCCCTTACAGTCGCAAGAGACGTGGATGCTCGGTTTTTTGAGAGTAGTACTGAAGGTGGAAAAGATGGCCGCGTCTTAGAGGCAGCTGTCCGTGAGAACTTGTGGAAGAATCTGGAGAGAGAGATGCAGTATGAAAAAAAAACTTGGCTTGAACATGTCCGAAAGCACCAGGGAAATCAAGCCAATATTATTACTGGGCATAGCAGGGATACTCCTAATCCTATGATTAGAAGCACCGAACAGCAGACGAGTGGTGCTCGTACTTCTGCTTCCAGTTCCAGTTCCATGTTCTTGCAGCCACGGCAGCAGGAGGAGCCGCCTTTGCAGCTGACATCGGGATTGTATATCCGGCAACGAAAAATGTTAGACTTGGTACAGAAAGTGGGTGCCGTGAAAGCAAGTGAGTTCGTAGTAGAAATTCTACGAGCCCCTGTGGCGGATTCTGTGTCTAAATTCCTAGATAGTGTGTTATCAGCTGAACCTGAAGAGTTAGAAGCTGCCGAGCATCGACACAGCATTTGGAGTGGTATTGTGCAAAGTCGGGAGCGTATCAACCAGGTTTATTTCCAGCCCCGCAGGGATCTGGTAGTGAGCTACATTGTCACTACCCCAGATGGTCACCAGCATCGCGTGGCCATGCGGGCTCGACGTGACCCTATTATAGAGCTCGAGGATTGTGAGAACCCATGCGAGCTTTGCTGCGTTCTTTCGTGTATCTGCTGTCCTCATAGCTGTGGCATTTGTGTTTACACGCAATTTGAGCATTCGCGATACCGGAACCCGTATTGCCACGAAACTGTAATGCCGATTTTGCTAGACTGCAGCACTGTGGCTGCGTGTGGGGCCCTTGCGATTGGCGCAAGCCTCACTTCGACAACGGCGTGTCTCACTAGTTCTTGTACTGGCGCATGTTGTCCTAGCGCATGTTGTAGTGCAGTACATCCACCTTGGTGTAACACGACGTTGACGCTTTCGTCTATTCTTCTTGCTTCGCCTCTAGTGCGCTTTTGCGCTTTCGGGAAGAATTTTTCATCTCGTACTAGCACTGAAGAAAGCCACATCTTTTCTGAAGAAAGTTTAACTAACTTTGCACGCGAAATGGTCAGGGAAATAGCAACACCCTACGTAGCCTTGGAACAAGATCTTCGTCAAGCTTATCGTTTCGTTTGTTGTGGAGGAAGAAAAAATGAAGAAGAAAAAGCAGAACTGCATCGCCTCAAGACAGCCAAGATTGCAACAGCCTTGAGGAAGTCCTTGCTCAGAAGTGGAAGCGGAGATCGTGGCCGAGATCATGTCGATTTGCGAGAATCATCTTCATCTTTATCTGGTGGACGTGGAGATGACGCAGAGCAGCTTTCAATTTCAGCAGGTGGAAGCAGTACTAGCTGCAACAATGTGCTCTCGGAGTTCATATCATCATTATCTTCGTCATCCTCGTCTGATGCTGCTGGTGGTGAGGTCCCTCTTCGTCGAGATTTGACTGCACAAAATTTGGTAGAAGACTTGCGATTGGCGCTGTTGTGGGTAGAGCAGCCCGTAGTTCACAAGTAGGGCCAGCAAATGACAGAAGCAAGTTTCTTCAACAGAGAAGTTTTCTAAAAGATCGTTTGGGGACACGATATTCTCTTAAGGGTACAAGAACTCCATTTTCACTGTGATCTTGGTCCCGTTTTTAAAGGGAAAAGGAGACCCAAGATGCTGCTGAGGATGAGCGTCCATTAGTTCTAATTCTCTGGAAAGATGAGTAAAAAATCAACGCATGATCGTGTAGTGTGCTAGTGGTCTTTTCAACCCCTGGAGTGGGTACATTCATTCATTCACTCACTCACTCACTCACTCGCTATTCTTCCTGCACAAGGTAAAATGCTTTAAATAATGGTCGTCGAGTGCTGCAGCATGCTTTGAATAAATGTGTTTAATTCTGCATTATTTGGAATGGTCGTGAACAGTATTGTAATTGTAGTGATGTGATGTGATGCGGAGTCCACAGTCCATATTCACTATGCCGTACCATAGTGAAAAGTATTGTAGCTCGTGAAGGAAAAACAAAAAGTGTTCAACGGTTAAACAACAACATCAGCAGGACTCATGGCACCAGGACGAAAGGTGAGAGTGTCCTAGAAGAGGCTTCGTTTATTGCTTCGTTTCCTTTTCGAACGAGATATCTGCTATCACGACCTCCAAGCCCAGTCTTCCTTCTCCTTTGTCGGCTGCAGTTTCCAGGTTTCACTTTCCGAATACGTCCTCAGTGTTTTTGCAGCAAAGAAATCTTGAGCATGCTGCAGTTGTTGTTGTTCTTGATACATAAGATGTTGTTGATTTTTGGGTATTGCGCTACCACACATCTGAAAAGACTACAGTACTGAACAAGATCTTTATAATCGTTCGTGCCTCATGAAAAGTCTCTAAGATTCTTACAAGATCGCTCGTGCCTTTTTTGAAGTCTTTATCGTTTTTGAGTAAGTGTAAGAAACAGTACAAACGATTATACTAACAGGACGAGGGGCGAGTGTTTGTACTTATGTTGAGTTGTATCTTCAGGTGTGTTTTGGTTTTCCAGGAATTCTTAAAGGTGGAAGCTTGTTCGTGCTCCTGGTTCATGTTCGACATTGGTCCTCGTTAAATTTTTGACCTCACAATTCCTTGGAGTTGGAATCAGAATCTTCCATTTCAATAAACTAGAAGTAGAGAGGACGCATTATTGATTCTGGTGTAGTTTCATCCCTTTCCACACAAGAAGATGAAAAAATGGCTTCGAAGTTATGGGATGTGTTTCCGCTGGTGCCGCCTGATGGCAATTGGATGACGCCCTCAATGCGAGCTGGTTTGCCTACCTCTGCTAGACTAAGATTTAAAATTGAAGTTGATAAAACGAACAACAACAAGAAGAACCACCACAACCGCGACTAGTACTACATGAAGCTGCTTCTTCATCTCCCAATCTATGATGTGAAAGTGAAAGATCGTGGAAAGAAAGTGAACAGAGAATTCATTGGAAAGAAGAAGAATACCTTCAGAGTGAGATGAATATTAGGATAGAACAAGAGTGAAAAATGAAAAACAACTCCTCGTCCTCTAGGGGTAGCAGAAAGTTGGAAGGAAGAGCGGTCATTCCGATATCGTGGATGCAGATTTATCGAGCGGTTTTTATCGCACCTGGACCTCGATCTGAAAATGGTGCAAAGTCTGGCGGCTACCGCGTTCTTCTACTTTCAGCTTTTTCACGCATTTATACTTATGGCTGGAAAGTAGACTGAATATAATTCTACTGATTAATATAATGATTTGGTCATGTGATTTCCTTCTTTTGTCGTAGTAATAAATGTGGGAAGTTGCTATTGCTATGTATAATAGTTCCGTTTAAGTATCGCACAGGTTCAGGTATTAACACGTGGTAGAGGCAGACCGTCGGGGTGTACTGAGACGATGACGAGATACAACTGGCAGCCCGTGACTTGGTAGATCACACATGGGGTACATGACATGACATCGAAGAGTTTTACAACTAAAGACCGACTCGTTAGCACCGAGTCCAAGTCAGGTTGAGGCTCAGTATATATAAGTACACTTAGAAGTTCTTCTAACAAACCATTCGGCCGGGAAGATTTGGGCGTCACTGCCCTTGCCTGTGTATTCTTGGCATGCAAGGTCGGAGAGCATACTCGAAAAATTCGACCGCTCATGAACGCTTACAACGCCGAGTTGGCAAGCGGCGCACAGAACCGCGTTGCATCCGACAGAGATGGAGACACCGGATCGGAAACTCTGTACTGAATCTACTTGCAACGAACTAGAAGTGAAGAGTAGAGGGTTTATCTCGCTCCCAGTAGTTTTCTTTACTAGTATAGATTTGACTGAGCGGCCTTCTTGACTCGTCCTCTCCCACATCAGATGCAACGCCGACGAGGAGAGTGCGATACGGGAACAAGTGCACAAGATTGAGTTTTTTCTGCTTCGTGCGATGCACTTTCATCTCGAGATGCCTGCGGCCGAAGGCCATTTCATGCTCGAAATATACTGCAATCGCTTGATCTGCCTTTTTGGAGGTGCTGGAGAATTCGATATCATCGAAGGTGAAGCGGCATTACGAGAACGAGAGCGACAAGAACGACAAGAAGACAAAGACGGGCACGACGATGAACAAGACGAGCACAAGGAGCATGACGATGGCCATCACGATTCTGATTCAACGTTGATGCATGTTGAGTTGAAAGACGGCGTTGGAGCAAGGTGGGAAGAGTATCGGCCTCCGGTCTGGGAAAAACGGAGTGATACCACGATACTGCCTGTTCGAACGATGCAGAATACACTAAAAAAAATGCTCCGATCAAAAGGAGATCCTTCGGGTACTACATTTCTTTCTGGGAAAGCTGTACACGCTCTTATTCGTTATACGAAAGTTACTTTACACACTAACCACGTTTTGGGGAACTATCGCTCAGAAGTTCCTTCAAGTTTGACACTGTGGTCGAATGCAATTATATATATGTTACAAAAAGGTACCTCCACGGCCAATTCGAATACAATGAACGGAGTTCCATTTGACGATGATCGGGTCCTTTCAGAGATACGGAAGACTGCAGGAAATTTTTACACCGACGCTTTCCGAACGTGGATCGTTCTGCGGTATATGCCGTTCAAGATTGCCGCAGCAGCCCTCTTCATGAGCATCATTTTTCGATGTCAAAACTATGACCTACAAAACTTTGGTGTTGGTCGTGTCTCTCTCCTGTGTGTTTCCTTCTTCGTATAGCAGGGTTCCGTTCCGTTCCAAAAAATCCGTTCGTTGCTTGGATCCTAGCCTTCGTTGCTTGGGTCCTTAGAGGTTGAAGATAGCTCCTGAGGGTTCTAACTATTGCATCCTGAGTGGTGCGAAAAACTGTTGGAATGGGCTACCGCAGATACTGACGAAAAACTCAATGGCGACAGTGATCGCCGTAAGCAGAAAGACCTTCAAATGGCTGAGGACCACGAGAGCAGCACGAGAAAAAAGGGTGGTGCAACGTTGACAGCGAGGACTCTGTCGCCGTCGAAGCCATCTGCATCGTCACCAGCACGTAGTACACGATCTGCCGAGGCGCAGCCCCCGTTGAAGAATGTGGTATACGATCTGATAGCGGTTTTGGAACCGAGCTTGACATGGACTGAAGTAAACGAAATTCAGGAGGAAATCGTCGCCATGTTGTTTGCTCGATCTCATAAAAGCGCTGAAGTGTTGAAAAAACCAATGCTAAAAAGGAAAAGCAGCAGTAGCACTGCTCAGACATCTTCGAGGATGCAGACGCAATCGACAGCTACAATAGCTTCATCTCCCGATAGAATTATGAAGAAGACAACAACCGCAGCCACGTCTGGAACAAGCGGAGCAGGGACCTCCTTGTTGATGAATTTAGGCGTTCCAAGACCTAACATTCCTCAATTAAAAAACGTTCCGAACAACGGCCCATCGTCCCTTCCGAACAACGTTCCGATGCAACATCAACTTGCTGCACTTCAAAATGAAGTGGAACAACAACGTCTTCCGCGAGAACAACAAGGTGGTGCGACATCTTCATCGAGGAGAAAGTTTAATAGTACAAATCCTGGTGCTTCTGGTGCTGCTGTAAATGTAATGAACCTCAGCACGACCCCTGGTGGAGCTAGTATTAACATGAATTTGGATTTGCCCCCACCTCCTGCTCCACCGCCTCCATTGGCTAAGAAACTGCCATCAGCGAGCAAACGGCAAGCAGCACATGTCGATATGGACCCACGAAAAAATAAAAGGCCACGAATAGAACTAGGACAGCTGCGAGAACTAGAAGCAGTACGAGAAGAGAATCCGAATCGGCCAACACGACGGCGAGTGGATGTCGTGGAGGAAGAGGAAAAGGTCAGCGATCCTCGTTCAAGAAGCGCATTTCCGGAATTGAAGAGCGTGAAAAATTTCGTCCCTGCGATAGTCGGAAGTTGTCCGGCGACGCCAGAGCCGGCAGAAAGGGGAGGGCGAGAGGAGGACAATTTGCCTGTAGTGGTGGATGCGTTTAATAGGGCTACTTACAATCATGGTGCTGAATAATGGATGCATGCATAGTTGTCCGTGTGTATACGAGATGAACGTTCGATTGAATCGCTAGAGTTGAACTACAAGACTCCTGATCTTCTTGCAGACTCATCCAGACCATCCCTGCTCATCTAATTCTGCTGCAGAATCAACACTGCGACTGCCCATTGAAAGCCAGAACGGCACTATTATAACTTCTGTGCGAGAAGTCGTGGACCACTCGTCTGAAGAGCATTACGAAACGTTTCCGATGGCATCGACTGCTGGCCCTGTCGTCATAGAGGAAACTGGAAATGACGACCACAACATTCACGAGATCGTTGAAGAGGAATTTAATCCGGAAGCAGAAGATCCTCTGGGGCTTTTGGGAGGAGGAGGAGAAAGGGCCACTGGTCGTGGAAGAGACGGAGCACACCCAATTATCGAAAGCTGCAGGTATCTTCCAGGAGTAGTACACGATGCTCCTGCGTCTTCATCATCATGGCAACAAGAGCATAGTGCTAGACAGGCTGACGAGCACCAAAACCAATCTCCTTCATCGCGGCAGCAAGAGCATAGTGCCAGACAGGCTGCCGAGTACCAAAACCAATCTCCTTCATCGCGACAGCAACATTGTGCTAGAGAGGCTGCCGAGCACCAAAACCAATCTCCTTCATCGCGGCAACAAGAGCATAGTGCTAGACAGGTTGACGAGCACCAAAACCAATCTCCTTCATCGCACCAGAGGCGAATCGGGCATCCCGCACAACAGCAAGAAGCTGAGCAGCCGCTAGAACGGAGTTCCAGATCCAGGCCTTCGCGCAGCTCCCTCTCATCTACAAGTCGTACTTCGTCTTCCTCAACACCATCATCTTCAAAAAGTCGTTTCTCCAGAAGTCTCCTGTCGCCAGAGAAGGGGTGAAATGGACATTGATGGTCACGACGGCACTCTCTGCATACCTTCATGTACATAATTTTTGAGACACGTGATTTTTATACGGATATGATCATGAAGAAGATGAACAACAACAATACGCGCTTCTTTCGAGTACGAAGCCGCGGCCCAATGAAATTCCTGAGAAACTCATGATTACGCGCACAACATTGCGCACATCGATCTAGTGATTCCATATACAAGACGCAAAAGAAAATTTGAAGACGCAAATAACAACAATTGCGCGTTTATCGTCTATGGTTGTCCAATTGTTCAGCAGCATAGCGAGGAAGTGCTTGTATCAGTTCGTTCAGCTTGTGGAATGCCGAGCGGGGTTGAAGGATAGAAGAGAGACAGAGAGGAGTAAGGCGAGCGTAGTAGAATCGGAGTTGTATGGGGATTCTTCTCTGTCACTCTCGCGTCGGAAAATCACTCTGATGCTTCTGAACCATCGGTCTCGCAGCATCAATCAGTTCATGATCTCTCAATTTTAAGCACATCCAATGATCGTGATCTAAAAGATGTGTCTCAAAAAATGCAGTCATCCCTTGCCCCTCCCCCACCTTGGATGTAAAAACGGTGTACATGTAAGTGTGAATGCCCCTATCCCTCTGCTAACCAGCAACATAAATTGAAAAAGAAGCGGAACGCGTATCATGTTGAGTCTTTTGCTGCACGTACCAATGGACCCTAATGCGGCTGTGGTTGTCAGGTGATCAATGAACGCCATCCACCGCTGATGCACTAGAACTTACACAGCAGCATGGTGCAGACGGGCGTGTGCGAGTCATGGTGGACGGATCATGCTCATGAACAGGCGTCGTGTGATTTCAACGACCGTGTGGCTGCCAGGTGAATGAAAACGCGCGACTATGACTAGGGCTACAGCACGATGGTCCGGCCACCTCTCTATGATTGACCACTGGGATGAACCAACATACAAGATGTCTCCACTTGGTACGTCCACGAAGCCCAGGTGCGGAAGCGACTCCAGCGGGGCCTAGTTAGTGTGCACCGCGGAGGCCACGCCCCACAAGGGCAGCTCCAGAGCTTGAAAAGCCAGCCACTGGCACTGGCAAGGGAGCCGAAGATGAATTCCATCGCCTTCGCACTCCTCTACGGGTTCTTTTCGCTCCTTTTCGTCTTCATCAACCTAGAAGCTCTCTACATCCCGATTGTCACCTCTGTTGGCAGTGCTGTGCTGACTAAGCTCGAGAAAGCTCCCTTCAGTCTAGACCCAGTTCTGCAGTTGGAAAACATAGTTTCGTCTGTCGATGTCTACCGATTTGTCCAGAACTCGTTCTTACCAGTGCTGTACTCGGAAGTGCCAGAGTTAAGATGATAGATTGTCGGTGTACTACTAAGTTGTTGTTGTTCTTAAAATACTATCCAAGAATTAATACGTATACGAACAAGGAATACCAGCGTTAAACGCTTTCGTTCGCATGGATGGCTGTATAGAAGAAAACGAAGTAAATATGCTGTTAAACACGCTTCCATCATCTTCTAACCTAAGAAGGCGATGAAATTGGATTTTGCACAGCGTCGAGGAGATGCGGGATCGCGGAGGGCGGTTGTCAATCCGACAGCAGCTTCTGCCTTGGTGCAGGGGAGCTTAGTTATGGATTTCTTGCCGTTTTCTATTCCCTATTTGTGGGTTCGAAGGACGAGGCACGACGCCGGACAACCAAGTGTAATTCGTTGCGGTAAATTATCTTCAAGTAACCCAGCCACGCTCCTCTACACTTCTTCCCCGCTAGTACTCTACTTCTCTGTCCTATGTCTGCCATCCCTCTCCTACAGCTCTGGCCTCTTCTAACCTTTCTGCGGAGATACAAGCGCTGGAATGGCAAGGACCTTGGTCGGAGGTTATGCATGGGAGAAAGAGGAGCTTCTGGATTGGTGTTTTCATCAAGGATTAAGGCTTCACCTAATCCATCGCCCATCTTCACAAGCATCTTCAAGACTTTCGAATCAAGGGGAAAGCGTTCTCGGGATGCTCTTACTTTGAGATGGATTAGGGAGGTGAGCTCTAAAAGGAGCGGTTAACTTTGACATAAACAAGATATGTCATCCACTGACGGGCCGCATAGCCACGTGTCGGCAAACCGAGCCTCTTTGCCCCGATCCGCGGAACCCTGGGCAAGAAATCGAATATCTAGACGGCGTCGCATTTACCTCGACACAAGCTGCCTTTGGTCTGGGTTATTCGAACATTACTGTGGCCAATAGCTGTCCTGCCTTCATGTCCAGTGACACTGCCTGTTGCTCAGCGCACTTTCATCCGGAGAAAGCAATTTCACCGTTTTCTCCCGAATTCTCGACTCAAGTTCTGTCCGTGGCTAGCGATGTGAATAAGACAAGGGAAGAGCTGTTGAGTACCAGTGAAACTTGGAGTGAGGCTTATGACCATATTCATGCTGAGCTTTCTTGAATGTTTGGAGATGCCTCCTCTACGTCAACATCGTGTGAAGGAGGGCAGCCACTTTTTGATGACTATGTATCTTTGCAGAAAGCTCCTGAGTAGATGAATCTTTCGCAAGCGGAGCTCAGAAATTTTCCACGGCAGACTATCTAAACCTTTCCTTTCCAAGACCTCTCCTCTTCTAACGGTTACGGATTGCCAAGACTCGCAAAGCGACCGTCCGTCTTGCCGGCTACAACAAAATCCTCTTGCTCCGCTTCACTCTGAAGCGCTACCGCTTTCTTTGGAATGACAATGAAGTCTTTAAGAACGTTTTTCCTTGGAGATTTCGAGCGAAAGACGTTTTCCCAGGTATGGATAATGGAGATAATGAAGCCAAGACGGACTTCACAGGACCCCAAATTAAGGCTAGAAGTACTTGACGAGAGCATTACTTACTCTTACGCTGCTCACCCAACCTACTACCAAAAAAAACCAACCTTTTTTTTCGATCTACTACCACCTGGAGGTCTTTTTTTGGAGGGAAAAACGGGACCAAGAAAAAAATGGTGACCGGAAAAATGGATTTACTTAATAGAAGGGGCACGTTCTAATGAATCTGGTCGAGTGTACCGGTACCAACCCGGTGACGGCTACGCACAAGGAGGTGGCTATGTCTTGGTTTTTGACGTTGCCAAGGTCACAGAGGACGAATTACGCCGAGAACTCCAGAAACTCTACTACGATGGTTGGTTTGACTTGCAGATGGCTACTTTTAGCGTCGATTTCCTGTTGTTTAACGGCAACTGGCGACAGTTCTTGCAACTTGGGTACAATTGGCGTATTCCTTTTTCTGGCCTGGCGAAGAGGACAAACATTTACTTCGGAGTATCTCTGGACCTGTACAACAACACTGTGCCTGGGGTCACGGTGCGGATTGTCTTGGAGATTTTGGTGTACACGATTCTTGTTTAAGGCTGGCGTTGGATTCATGACTCAGCTATAGTTCATGACTCAGCTATAGTTCATGACTCAGTTAGTTCATGACTCCTGTTGATGACGAGATCCACCAGGTGGACAACAAGTGGAAAACTATTTCTAAGGCACCCTTTTCGTCATCCTAGAAGTGAACAAAGCCAGATTCGTGGGTGTCTCTTTGTACTTTTCGAAGCCATCGACTTGGGTGAGCAACGCGGGACTTCTGCTCAGTTGGGTCGTCGTCATCTTCCAGTTTGCCAGGAATGCGAGTCAGCCAAGTTTCGCCTACCTTTTCCAAGAAAAGACGGCGGCGGGAGCTGTTATGAGAGCAGAGATGAGCTGATACGTTGACTCGGCTATAGGTCTTCTGCTGAGAAGACCTCTCCTGAAACAGGAGGCTAGTACAGGCTACTGGGAAATGTAGTAGAGATCACAGCACGTCGTCGACAAAACTATTGTGATTTGTACTTCGTGGTCGTCTAACACGCCCGTTACCACCAGCGCTCTCGACGATGCAAAAAACATGGCAACGGATTTCAAAAATTTTGAGGTTTTTGCAACATTCGCTTTTATGGTCCAGACCCTCACGGCGATCAATCTAACGGTCGTGTTTGCGAAAGCTGTGGTTTTGTTATGGGTCTTTTTTCGATGATTCATAGTTCCTACTTATCAAAAAGACCACCTTTATTAGATCGATGAACAAGCACTCCTTTTTTTATCCAAAAGACCTTTTTATCTAACATAGCATTATCGCGAACCTTAATATATGCCTCTAATCTGCGTCTCCGACTTGTCGCCTTGGCTTGCACTTATCTCCAACGTCCTTAGTCGGGCAGCTCCCTACCTGATCTACTTCACCTCGATGTTTTTCATCATCTTCTGCGGCTTCGTCCTTTTCGGACATTTTCTGTTCGGACAGCAAATTTTGCTGTTGTCAAACCTATTGGATGCCACGCTGTTCCTGTTTGCGCTCCTGTGCGGCGGCTCGGCTGTCAAAACAGAGGATTTTACAGCTGCAGACGGGATTTTGGGACCGATTTACATCGTCTTTTTCTACGTAGTGATGATATTCACACTGTTATGTTGGAAGGAGGAGGAGGAGGATTCATGGTACTATAAATTAGAGGTAGAGCGTAATTCATTGTGACAAAACTTTGTAGACTGGTGACCTCGGCTTGACTTGTATGATTTTTTGGTTTCTACTTCACACACTTGGCTTCGATCCAGAAATCAGGTCTTTATCACACAGTAAAAGCAAAAACAGTTAAACTTCCTCTCCCAGCACACACTTCCCCTCTCTGCCCTTTTCATTCCCCATGAACGTGTTTTTGAGCATTCTTCTGGGGAGCTACGATGTGGAGAAATTCGAATTGGAGAGACGCATAGAAGCTGGCACCACGACAAACGCAGCAGAGGACGCATCGGCAATGCTGAAGCGGGTTCTGATTGAGTCGATTTTGGTGCCGATTATGTTGAAAGGAATAGTCGTCTTTCAGCATCAATGAATTTTTGTTTAAGTAGAACTAACTTTTCAAAGGCTACCTTTTCTTCCTAGAAGATGAGCTCTCGCAAGAAGTTAGTAGAGAAAACGCACTTGCAAAGAGGGCCCTTCATTCCCCTATCCGACATTGTACGCAGTACACGGCGTGCGGTCTTTGGTCCTTCCGCAGATGAGCTGGAGCTAGAAGGTGGCACTCCCCAACTAGACGATGAAACCGCAGAAGCAGCTGGAGGAGGTGGAGAGAATGCGAGCGCAGCTCCTGTGGGATTTATGCTGATTTAGATTTTCTTTTTATTAAGTAATTGTTCTAGACAATGTTGACGCGTTCAACGTCATCGTGGCGCCAAATTGGATTCGGATGTCATCCTCCTGATGATTTTTAGAAGTCGAGGATGAACAATGAATAGATCGTCAGACGGTCTTTGATTCTCCTTGAAGATTCTAACTTTCCTTTTCTCGCTGCCTCACCTGTGAAGGGACTCGATGAGGAGACGCAGGCGGATGACTCGGGCACGCGGCCAAACTCTCCGACTTATGTTCACGCGGTCATGGGTGCAAGAAGAGACTTTTCAAAGTTTCATTTTACCTTTCTAATATCAACCATATCTCTTCTAATCCCATTCATCCTTCTTCAACCTCTAAAAATCCCACAGCAAGTCAAAATTGGGTCGTGCAGCAAGCAGCGGGTCATCAAGGGGAATGTCTGGGTTGTTGGTGTCCCAGGACGAAGAGAAAGGAGCAGGTAGGAAATTCAATCCGAGGCTGGCTTGGAAGACTGCAATAACAGCTGCCAAAGAGAAGGCACAGAAGACGCGTGCATCGTTTAGGAAGAAGTTATGAAGATGCGATGAATGGGTGTAGTAGATATGGAGGGACATCGACATCATTGCGATGAATGGGTGTAATCATCATTGCGATGAATGGGTGTAAAAATAGATGGGAGCATACATGAAGTGAGCATATTTTTTTTCACAGGAATTGGAAACTACTTCCGCAAAGTTGTAATGAATTTACTTAATGATGAGTCCCCTCCCCTCCCCGCTCGCACCAATCATGATGTTAAGCCTCTTCTAACAAACAAGGAGGTAGTCGCCGCTTATATCGAGAGCACAGGATTGAAGGCATATTTTGGTCGGCAGGGGGGACGAAGAGGCAAGCGAAGAAGGGGCGAGGAAGCAGTGGACGACGAGGGGGAAGGTGATTTGATGAGCGTAACGAATTCGTATCTAGTTGTACTCTCAGACCACGTCTCTACGGTCATCATGAACGATGGAAACAGGGACAACAGCATGCATAGTACTAGTTGTTCTAGTAGGCGAGCAGGACTGTAGTCTTCTCCATTTTTAGTACTAAAAGAACTAGGTCCTTTCTCCATGCTTCTGTTCACTTTCTTCGTACTTTGTTCTTCCAGGTACGCGTGGAGGTTTAGCTATAATAACGGACGATCCAAATGAGGAGGCACAGGAGGAGGAGCCGCCAGCGGATCGGATGGTTATCGTGTCTCTTCTCAATCTCTTGCTTTTCGTCGTTCTCTTCGTCATTTTGATGGGCTTGCAGGTCCGTGGCCGCGAGTCTCTCCTTATCGGGCAAGCGAACCTCGCGGATCCCTTAGAGGCGCCGAACTGGGTGGATGCGCCTCCGTTACGTGTGGTCAATTTCGAGGATATCCAGAGTATGCATGACGTCTTCGAATGGAGTAAAACAGCGCTAACGAGAAATCTCTACGCCCAAAGCGTTTGTTTGCCGAGATCGGGAGTGGGGGCGCCGAGGGTGATAAATTTACGAAAATTATCAGAGTGAAAGAAGTAGCTACTTGGTCACTTGTTCTTTGTGGGAAGGTTTGCAACTAGAATTGCATGATAGATGAATGCTCCTCTCATATCCAAGTCGCAATGTGGGTGCATTATCGGCAGACGATGCGCTGAACATTATGTGCGATCCAGCCACGGAGATGGAGGTTAATAGAGTAGCGGATTCAAATTCCGGTTTCCAATACACGACGTTCGTGAGGCTGACGATACAGCAAGCCTGCTATGAAGCCAATCCAGATCCGACATACGAAAGCCAGTATCCTTACTTATGGTGTGGAGCAGCTTGAGGAACCATCAATAAGAATTTGAATTCATCTTGTTTGGGTACTTAGATGAAAATGGTAGGATCTTCCTCTACTAGAGCACGACAGATAATTCTTCAACAGCGTTGTCCTCCTCTAACCCCCCTCCGTTCCAACGGCATTGGGCAAGTGTGCGGCACTGTATCTTGCTCTCAGAATACATGTTTAGATGCACATGGCGTAGATAACGCGCGTCCGAGTTACACAGGTCTGTCGGGTACGGAATACACTTTCAAGGATCCCGAGAAACTGGGCACTTTCGGCCTGAGCGGAGGATATCAGATATACTTTTATGGATGATATGAGTAACAGCTCGAGAACCCACTTTGACTAGTTTCTTGTTGTTCTTTTACAAACCTCTAGAATTCACTGATTGTCGTAGCTCTAGTGCGGATTGGGATGCGTCTCTCTCCTTGGCGTATTTCGTCCACAAGCCTCATCGCCGTTGGAGAATCCATTTACCATTTTCTAACCAAAAGGCAAAAATGCAAGCACCGCGCTTACGAAACTAGAGAACTTGAAGACGGACTTGCTTTTTACAGAGTTAGAGGTGTCGAGTATGGTTTTCGACTACGTCACTCAGAACAGTAACATGGACCTCTACGTGTACACGTCGGTGAGCTTCTCTTATGAGCGTGGGGTTCTTGTTGAAATGAAAGGAATTGTGCAAGCCTCGCACACGAGATCAATTCTGGATGCTTGAAGATTAAGATCCGTCTGTCCTTGATCAGCAAAAAATTCCTCAAATTATCTGAGTTCTGAACACACGACTCATCTAATTGACCCAACTGGAGACAGGGGAGCTCGTCAAAAAAGCTGAGTCGATTCCACTGCCATTGTCTGTCTTCGACGAAGGCAATTACTATGCCTCAGAACGCAGCGCGCTCTTTCTCATGTTCCTGCTGTATCTGATCTTTATGGTGGTTGGAAACTAGAGCAAGAGGTCTAGTCACTGTCAAACGAGGACGGACGAGCTCACTGTCACTGTAAATTAACTGTCAAACGAGGACGGAGCTCACTGTCGCTAAATTAACTGTCACACGAGGACGGAGCTCACTGTCGCTAAATCGCTTCAAACAAGTCCAAGTGTTCTTTCCACGTCCACCTTCCACCTTCTAACTCTCGCGCCCTGATCTACCTGCACCAAGAGATCAAGACCATGCTGAAACAGCAAGCGGAGACGTTTTCTGAGTATCGAGCCAACCCCTACGGAATCCCCAAGCCGCACATTTTCCAATTCTTATTGGACCACTACTCAAAATCGCCTTTCAATATGCTTGAAACGGCGTCGACGATAATTATGAAGGTGGATTTGATCTTGATGTACTCAATCCGATCTGATGATGGGCGTATCTCTGGACATTGTCACGACTGAGAGCCACACGACCTGCAAGTAGACACAACGAGTCTGTTACCTGATTCAGCTTTTTTTTCCTTGTTCTTCTCTTCCTCTAACACCAGCAGCCTAGTGATTTTGCTTTTCTTCGCCCTCTACCTCGCACACGCTTTTCGAGCTTCCTGGTCAATAACTGCGAATATGAACGAACGGTTCTCGATACCAAACAGTGAGGTGAAAATGTGGGAGATGAACCGTGAAAGCTCACCAGACCGCTTGACAGACGAGGACGGTTACATCTTCCTGCAATTTGAAGTCCTGCGGTCGAACTATCAAACGATCGTCACCGTCGCAAGCATCAACTCGTTGTTTTTGACGTTGAAAGTAGTGAAATTCGTGTTGGGTTGGCGGATATTCTTCTCGGTTGCGAGCACATTGAGCAAAGCATTGCCCTTGATCATGGTCTTCACAGTCGTGTTGACCTTACAGCTAGTGGGTTTCGCATTGTTGTTTCACGTCGAGTTTGGCACGGGCATTCCGGAACTGGGAACGCCAGTGCGCAGTGTCGATACCATGTTCCGGTTTTTGCTTTTATGGTTTTTTTTTTCGAGTGCATAATTTCTTCGTATCTCATGATGATATTCCGTTCTCCTTCTCTGTGCTTATTGTGCAGCCATTAGTACACACCTTCTGACAGGACTCTGACTCTGTGGTGGTCACATTCTTCTAATGCCCGGCGATTTCGACGACACCCTGAAGCGCATGATGGATCGTGGAGAGGCCGTCACAAGCATCATGTTCATCCTTTTCATGCTTTTTTTCTACTTCCTGCTAATGCAGATGTATCTGGCAACCATGATGTCGACGTACAGCGCTTGCGCTAGTAAGGAAACCTTGGCATACGCCAAAGAAATAGTACAAACGCATGGCGCACAAGACGATCGGAAGAAACTAGAAGAAAAAAGGGCAAGATCACAAGAAAGAGGGAGGAGGAAACAGTATTTCTTATAGATATTTCTAGTTGGTCTAAAACAATAAGCGTGCTAGTTCGTCTAATAAACAATAAGTATCGTCTTAGTGAAGTTCGCTGGTCTCGTTGTTAAACGCCGTCTACTTATTCCATTCATCACTATCATAAATATTTCTTTAGTTCTTCTTTAGTTCTTGTTTGTCGTCGTCGTGTTTCTTGGTTGTCGCAGAAAATTACAGTCAAGTACTTACACCAGTGACAAATTTGAAATAATCGTGATCTTCAAGAACGTGCTGTCTTTTATATGCCTTGACTGGGTACACAACTACTACTACTACTACTACTACTGTTAAGGCTCAACTTTCAATGGTCATTGGAGTTGGTCACTGAGATCGAAAAGGCCACCCCTTGAGAGAACAGGGGAAAACAAAGGGAAAGGGGAGAGCTTTGAAGGGGGTCCCTTCCGTTCAGAGTCAGTGACCATTGAAGGGTGAGCTTTAATACTGCTTCAAGTCTCCTAGTTCACGACTCACGAACAAATTTTAAGTATACAACTACTACTGCTTCAAGTCTCCTAGTTCACTATTCGCGAACAAATTGGAGGTAGTCGTGATCTTGCGAACAACCTCCACCACTCTTTAGGGCAAGGGACGTGGTGATGGCAGAAGGCGACCCCCAAACGACCCTCCTAGTCGCAAGAACGCTTAATTGCCTTCAAAATTTGAAAAAAATCATGAGTGGCCCAGGTGAGGGAGGCGCATCGTCATCAGGAGGTGTTATGGATGGAGGTGTTATGGCATTGCAGCTCAGTTGATGATTTGTCGTGTCAGAATAATTTTTTGCCAGTTGCTTCGTATCTTCAAATCGGATAAAGTTGAAGCACCAGCTCATGTCGACGTATTGAATACCCATAGAAGTACATGAATGCGTCAATACCTTCTTCATACTCAGTGGCGAATTAGCATTAGGCGACAAGAAGGGCAGCGAGATGGGAGGTAAGAAGGGAGCGGAATTTTGGCGAGCAAATGGCGGCTTCGCAGAGGTGAACAGAGACGTCGTCGATGCTGTCAGTCGGTTCGAAGTTCTATGTTTTTTTTTTGTTTCCTAGTTGGGCGTGCTCCAACGGTAGTATTCATAACTTCAAGAAATAATCCAAAAACCGCGTAGGAGTCTTTCTTCATCTTCTAAGCCCCGAATCCGATGTGAAAACCGTCATACCAAGAGGCTATCTTTCCCTCTCACCCGAGGATCAGACTGGGGAACTCAAAGTTTTGCTGTCGCATTTGGATTCTCTAGTGGCGATGAGGAATCGCGCAGGCGCACACGCGCAAGAACCGATGATGAGTGAGGAAGCGAAAAACGATTTCTACTTCAGGAGTTTGAGGACTACTATTGTTAAGGGTTGAGGTTCTGCATTGTTCTTAGCAGAAGGCGCCTGTGTGTGAAGTTGTTATTGTCTTTCAGAAAACTAGATTCATTTTTTCCGGAGTTTCTTTGAGGGACAGCACTACTATATATTGTCAAGGTTTGAGGTTCTGCATTGTTCTTAGAAGATTGCGAAAGGCAGTCCATCATCATCATTATCATCATCATCATCATCGTCACCATGAAGGTTTTTATAGCTCAGAGTTTTTTCTAAGACTATCGAATCGATGTTCACGAAGAAAGGGGCGCGGCTTTTCCAGAAAGACAACACATACTTTGCGCAGGTAATATTCAAGCACAACATTACTTAGCGCTCGACCAACTCATCGCTATTTGGATACATGATTTTTCCGCAATGACTTGCAGTATGCTCCTTCGTAGTACATCATGCGCAAGGAACTTCACTCCCAACCACAGTTTGTTACTGTCTTCATCTACTTACTCAACAACATTACAACAGACGCTGCAATTGGAAGATTTCGCCGATGTTGGCGAAATGGCAAGCTTTTTAGCCGGACATCAAGTCTATGGAGAAGAGCTTTGGCTCGATGCGCTGATCGTCGCTTTGGAGAGCCAAGACTGCACTTTCGTGAATCGACTTTTCACGTCCTTTAACAAGCACAAAATGGATGATCCCTCTCGAATGGGAGTGCGGGTTCTCGAGAAATTGAGACGACCCCTATACGAAGGTGGCGACCGCGTCCTCACGCTCTTCGAACTCAAAGCCAAAGCGGAGTACTACACCAATTTGAAAGAAGAGTATGGCTGGTTTTTGATGTCATATAAAAATTTATTATTTTTCAGGGGAGTAGAGACACGAATGAATGAATTGGTCGTTACTTGGAGGATAGAGGTAGAGCAAAATGATGTAAAACTGCAAGCCTCGTCTAAGAACCAGCAGAACTTCGGCGAACGCTGTGCTCAGTCCAAAACAGGATTTTGCATGAGTATGCGAGCGAGCTTCAGACGTTCATGAAGGGTCATTTCGCGGAGCACAAACGATTGGAGCAAAAGAAGCTGCATTTGATAGGCGAATTGAGGAAAATGATGTAGAAGTTGTACTATGACCTAGATGTAGTTAATGTTTTTAGGTTTATTTTCCTGTGCTGCTGCTGTTGACTCGACGATCTTTTTCCTTACGAATGAATACTTCATGAAGTACAACTAATGGATTGTTCGAGCAGAATTATTCCCTGTGATTTGTGACTAGACAAGAATTCTACTACGTGGAGACAAGAAAGAAATATGATTCCATCTGCTGTTATCTCTTTTCCTGCTGTTGATTTGCCGTTATGATCTATCAGATAGATCCTATGAATACTTGGAGCGACGAAAGAAAAAGACCACAGAGACCCTGCTGTTGTATTTTACGTCTGGAGAAACAGGATCAAGAAAGTAAGTACTTACTTAAGCGTGTTATGTATGGTGATAGCACCTGATGCCGTTACCGAAGAAATTACCTGATAGAGAATACGGCACCTTCGCTGGTGTAAGAACTACCAATCACTGACGACAAAAAAGTGTTTCTTTCTCGTACGAACCGAAAAGGTTAATGATCAACGTTGAAACACGAGGTCTTCGCCTCGGCCTCAGACGATCATCTGCATCAATTATTCCAGTTATAAGCTCGATCATCTAATCATGATGGGACAATTCTAGTAGGCTTTTTTCAATGTTGAGCTTGAGTAACCTCTTGGTTTTTTGATCCCTTGATCGTCTCGTGAATAAGAATAAGAATCAAGAATATTTTTGCAGTTATTGTGTCTTACTTCTCTATTTCTTGTTTTGTTCGGTTTCTTTGATCTTTGGGTGACTGCATACCCATCCTTGTTTTTCGAATACCTTGCTTCAGTATTAATACCCCTTGGCCCCTTGCGCTTGCTTCCTTCGTTCCTTGCCTCGTGTCAAGCTTCTGCTCGTGATCAGGGATTTGCAGTACGCAACTTGCGTGTGGGTCAAGTTCTTGCAGGCAATAGATAACGGAAGTAACGAGATCTCTTTGGTCTCCTGTCGACGCCGCACTTCGTCCTCGTCTTCCTTGTGCACGATTTGTGCCCTTCCAAGAACAAACACTTCGCATTATCCTGCAAGAACAGCATGATGGCAAGAGCTTGCACACCCACTACACCTGCAGTTGTGGTCCGGCAGTTGTGGTCCGTCTCTTTGGTGCTTGTCGGCCGCTACTTCGTAACTTTCACAGAAGGGGTTCCAGTTTCCTGCAGTTCGTGCTTCGAGTTCGTGCCTTCTTTGCGGCAGGCACGCCGCGCAAGCCGGCAAGAGGTCAACATTGTCGTGCCTAGCGAACGACCGAGAGATGAGGTGACGCTGGCTGAATACAGCTTATGGGCTGAAGTATCATCTTGTTGAATGTATGAGCTTCTCCATTTGTTCCTGTTAGACTTTGACCACGACTAGTACAGTACTTCTGACTTTTCTCTAAAACCTGAACCCGACCACCTCGGCGCCCCCAACATGGTCAACGCATCTTGTGTCATGGCGCCTGCAGCCCGTCGCGACAGTAACGGCCCTCTCGTGTCTAGATCAAGAACGGAGTCAACGACCGCTTCTTTGCTCAGTGCGCGATCATCTTCGGAAGACTACTATGAGGACTTTATGCAGCATGGCGGAGACAGCAGAAATAGTCTACTTAGAAGTAGAAATAGTATCGATAGACCGCCAGGAGTAGATGATGAAGAACACATTCTTACCACCAGAAGCGGCAATCGGCGTCAAAGGTCGTCTTCGAGTTCGGGCCATCAGTCGAATATATTGTGTGGTCTCGCTTCATCCTCAAGCTCCATGAATTATATTGCTCCCGGAGGCGCTTCTCCCTCGACGGAGGTCGCGCAGCCTCCACTGCTGTTTACGGCTTTCGACTTGACGAATTCTTTGTAATAGATCACTTCGGTCTTACCTAGGAATACGTTGTTCGAGTTTAAGCAAGGTCCTAGCGAAGGTCGTCGCTGTCTAACCTCCCTCTCTGGCCAGTCGAACGTCGAAATGGAAATACTGGCTTTTCCAGCTCATCTGCCACTGTAGCGCGATCCTCTGCCCATCAAATGGATGTTGTAGACCACCAAACGCAAACTTCTCCCGATGACGAAATACCTCGTCAAGAAACGCGTCTTCCATCAAGAACTCGGACGCTTGCAACGACGTCAGATGATATTACTAGAGGCTCTCCTGCCTTTTCTGCGCAACATCTACAGCGCACATCGTCGAGCGAGAATATCGCGTCCAGTGTTTTTCCGTTTCTTGTGAGAAGCTCTATCACCAGCCCGTCCTCCAGCACGCTTAATCGACAGGAAACCTCCCCCGAAAGCAACTATTCTGCACCTGTCCTTCCTGCAGCAGGAGGACAACTACACCTTCCAGAATCTCGTACTTCTTCTACTAGATCTCGAATTGAAAACGAAGGTGAACCACTACATAGTACTAATGCACCATATGATTATGCAGATCCAGACGCACAAGAAGAAAGGAGGATGGAGCTGGAAGAAAAAATTGTGGACGACGATAAGCCACAATTAAGGGTTGGAAGTTGACCTATCATCTAAGAGCATCTCTATGGCTTCTTCAAGTAGGAAACCCATAGATAATATGCGAGCTAGAGACGCCAACTTTCAACCCCTAACACAAGACTCCTCCTATGTCTATTGTCCTCCACCAAATGCTCCAGTGGACTACAATCCCTGCGTGATCTGCCTCAATTCCGACGATCTAGTGCCGCAAATCCCCTGCGTAGAGATGCTACCAGATTCGGACTTGAGGAGACTGATGAGCCGATGCGCGCACTTCAACCACGTTCATCAGGACTGTCTGCGCGCGTTGCTCTTTGCGACTTCGCAATACGGCTTGACTTGATTTTCTTGGATATTTGCAACCTAGTAGTTTCCTCCTTAATCAAATTCTTCAAAGATACATATCACGCAGAAGCCATGCGGACTCTACCCGAGCAAGAGGTTGAAAAATAAATGCGCTCCCACTTTGGAGCGACGTGCTTACTTCATCTACCTCTAATCACAACAATCCGAGACAGACGAAAATCCAGCGGCACTGATAGCACGCTGTCCGCTGTGTAGGGAACCGCTTTTGGAGCCGGATGACGCCTCTTCCGCAAGTACTGCTGCCATATGAAGCTATCTTTATCTTTATTAAGGTGAACCGGTACCCCATAGCGAATAAACCTGGGCACACAACCAGAGAGCTGATCACTCACCGGAGGCGTTGCGCAGGGCTCCGGCCTGCCTTCGAAGGTAAGACCTATGGGGCTGACAGGGCGACGATACCGCCGACGCTTACTTAGTTAGTTTTAGCAGATAGGAGGATACTTGGGGATAGTTACCCTTTTCTCTTTTCTAGCTTCCTCTGGTCTTTCTTTTTTCTAGTTAGGTCTGCTCCACCACAATTTATTAAGTAGACCTCAGATTTTTTGCAAGTATTTACTGTTCGTAAACCTCAGGTTCAGAATATTACTATTAGTAGCGCGTTTCTTAGGCGCCATTGTCCCCACTTGCTCAACATTTCTACAAGCGATTTTCATGATTGCCTACGAGGGAGCTAACGCCAAGCCTAGTTTCTTGATTTTGTTCATACTACCTTGGTGGACCAGCTGCACCAGGGGGAGACCCCGTTGTGCGTTCTCGGACTCCGGTTGTTGTAGATCCACGAATGTTATTAAGTGTTTGTTCCAAATTGCATTCCTCACTACCAGCGTCCTTGCCTTACTTTCCAATTCATAGGAAAGACGTCTTCAAGGATGTTGATCTGAAGAATGTAATTGCGCAGCCTCTAAGAATGGCTTCGCAATCGCAAGGGGAGTCCTCTAGTCCAGGAGTTGCTAGGAGTCTCAGTCGAAGCAACACTGTGTTTCTTCCAACTGGACCGCCTACGCGTAGCGATAGAATGTCCTTCTTCCGATCGACACAGCTTTGCAGACTCAAGAGCACATTGTTGCAGTATGGTTTAAGGCATAAATAAGTAAAAATGAACCAAAACTCGATACATAAAACAATGTTCTGGCAGCTATGCTTTTAAAGACTCGTTGTTCCAAGGTGGATGAAGAATAGAATCTATCAGAAGGACCGCAAGACACATTCCAATCAAATAGACCAAAACCCTCTCTTGCCTTTGTGCTCAATTACCCTCTAGCACGTGGTGTGTATTATTCCTGCTTTCATAGCAAGGTCTCCGACCACACTTTGCATTTGCACCGCAAAACCGACAGCTCGATACGGACATCCCTCCGAATGCTTTCGGGGCCAGCAGTAGTATTATGAAAAATGCTTGTATAATTTGATGTCAGAGGTGGTATTGACAGATGATGTCCTGGATATTGTTTAGGCTCCAGAGTAGTATGTGAATGTGTATGACTGCTCGAAACTTATGGATGCCTATGCCTATACTAGACATATCTACTTGGGCTTGGATTTACCGAAGTAGTTCATCTACTCACTAGAAGTAAGTATCATCTATGATACATGGAGATGGAGGAGATGATCATAATGGATTTAGGTTTCCGTTTCATCCTGTCGAGGTTCTTCTTGACTACTTATTTAATCCAATCGACGACCATCCGCATACCTCCTTCCTTTCCGTTCATGTTGAGCAGCTATAGGGTAGCACGACGCAATTCGGCGGGAAGGCGAATTACAATGGGAGTTACATCACGGATTGCGCCACAAAGAGAGTGAGAACAAGTTGTGAGAGAAGTTGTTTAGACCATGATAATTGTAGGTTGAGACGAGAACCTGATAGTTGACATAAAAAGAACGACCTTGAGTGAAAAAGAGGACTTGACAACACTGGCACTATAAAGGCAACCGGTGGTAACGACCACAGTTGACTCCTGTAGGTCCAACTCATTTATTAGATCATGTCTATTGTGAAAGAATTTGGAATTTCTGTACTGCTCGACTGAAGTAGAAGACCTTGTTTGCAAATTGTCCCAAGATGACCTTGACCTCCAGCTCTGAGTCTGAACATATAAGGATGAAGATGATGTAGTAGTTACTTCTACCAGCTGTATCTTCCTACTACTGGATGCAGATGATTTAATTTTTGTTCTCGTGACCGGCCACAAATAGACGAATTTATCATGTTTGCAGAAGGAAATGTGATACGCTTTGTTTGGAATGAAAACTTAGTTCTTGTGCTCGAGCTTGGCGTTACCTTGTTCATTGGTCGAAGAGACGACTTTTCTTAGCCGTCTCAAAGACTGAGGTCAAATGAAGAGGTCAAGAATGTCTACAACGACAACAGGGAGCGAGAAATCACGTGAGTATCTTCTACGATCAATAAAGCCAGTCTAAGGTCTAGAAATTACAATAGTTCTTCGCAAGATATCTACACTCGCGTAATATAATTGTGCGGCGATTTTTTTTCTACCAAGACGAGGAGCTCCTGAAGTTCCTACCCCCCGTGAAAAAAGAAGATCATCTTCACCGACGAAGTTAGTTTTAGGTGCAAAAACAATACCGAAGATCTTCTTACAAGCGACGCAAAAAAAGATCATCCGCTACTGCTCTCCGACAATTCCTGTAAGAAAAGATCCATCTTCGCCATTTATCCTTTTGATCATGGTCTTCATCTCTCTCAGTCTTACTCTTACTCTTTTCAATTTTATGACCCTGAACTAGCTTGCAAATCTTCAGAGATCGATGTTCATCATTTGACTGGTGCTTCCTGTATCATTTTTTCATTTGATGACAAGAAGAAGCGATATGGCCACAGCCTGCTCTTCTTTGAAACGATAAAGATTTTTATTTTAGTACGCGAATATTTCAGATTATAACTGGTGTAGAAGTCATCAACTTAACAAAATTTTCGTCCATATTTTTCATCGCTATATATCATCTATCTATGTCTATGATCAACAAATGAACGAGCCTATCAAGAGCCGTATCTGTAGTCAATTTAACTTTCTTCTTTAGTACTCAAACTACTCATCACTACAATTATCAATCATCTGTGTGAGTCCTTAAGATCGCAATGAATTATTGCTTCTTTTGAGCGTATTGATTCACACATCACATCGTAAAAGAGGCACGACGCATAATAGGTTTACGAAAAACAGGAAGTCTCGATGAAAATTGAAATTTTATACCTGGAGAACAAGTGATTGAACCGAAGCTCTTTCTTATGCATGTCTTTGCACTTCGACGTGTGCGTCGATATGGTCGCGAGAAAAGATAATAATAGATAATAGTAGTTCTTCTCTTTTAGTTGTATGCAGATGCAGAATTATTAAGTATTCGATCTTGTTGTAGAACTAGAATCATTCTTTAGACACTAAAAATTCAATTATTTCAAAGATCAAGGTAAAATCACTACAATTACAAGACCATAAAAGTTAAAGTTATAGAACAAGAGTAAGAAAAAATGTCGAATCCTTCGTCCACAACTGCTAGAGGTCCCACCATCTTCACGAGCCGTGTCGATGGTGGTTCATCTTATACGCAGCAACAACCTCTTCATGGTCCTCGTAGTGCACGCACAACCACGATGAGAATGATGTTGTGTGTGGTTTTAGCAGCCTTTGCGGGGATCGACGAAACGCGTGCGGTAAGGCTTGGGAAGGCGAACAGTCAGAACAACTGGGGGTTGCTCAATAGTCTGAATATCAGCGTGGGCAAACAGCAGCAGCAGCAGCAGGAGCAGCAAGCTTATCGTTACGAAGCACAACCAGCATCAATGTTGGCACCGCAGGCTCCTCACGCTGGTGAGCAATCTGCACAACAACGACCCCAACAACCGTCACTGATGAATTTGAATACCGGTCTACTGGCACAGCAACAAGGACAAGTACAACATCAGTTGCCATTATTGAGTACCGCTGGTCTAATCGCACACGGCGCAGACGCGCAACAAGAACAGCACCCACAAAATGAATATCTGGAGATGGAGGACAACTACAACCTCATGCGTGACAGTAACACTCCCCCAGCGCTACAACCTCATGCTGAAGCATCTTCGGGGCCACAAGAAGCACGTCGAACGGCGGATTGTGAGCTCTGTTGCGAGCGTCGTATTGGTCAAGTGGACACTCTAGAGGATTTTGGAGGTAGAAAACGGTATGGGAAGGGGAAACTAGCCAGCTTACGAAAGTGCCTCGTTTGTCCTTGCAACTCAAAAAGTGCTAATGGACCACCTTTCGGAGATGAGAGCAGTCCTACAAGTGCCGAAACTCCTAAAGATACTACAGGTGAACTTGTTCTGCATTGCAATAATTATTGCGGTCGCTGCTTGAGAAAGCATTTCCGTAGGAAAATGCGTGTTGGAGAGAAGCCTGGGTGTCCCGCGTGCTGCGAGCCTTGCAACTTAGTAGGTGTGCCCGTTGAGCTGCTTCTAACAGGAGACAAAGACCTAGATTGTGTTTATGAAACTTTTATAAAACGGACGTACAACCTCGAACTCGTTGAGCACCCGGAAACTTCGTCGAGCTCAAGCAGGAAGCACAAAAATCCTCGAACTACATCTGCATCTGGTCGTGGACAAAAAGGCTCTCGCTGCCGGACGATTATTTGCGGCTATAGAAACACTCCAGAAGTACCAGTATCGACAGCAAGAGACTTGCAACAGCTGCTGACGTGTGTGCAGGCGAACAGGAGAAGAATGAGGAGGAGTCAAGATGAAGAAGCCACAGCAGGTGGAGATCATTCTAATGCAGTAGCTTCGGATGAAGAGGAAGATTCTGTAGCTTCGGATGAAGAAGAAGGATCTTATGTGGGAGCAGTAGCTTCGGATGAAGAAGAAGAAGAATTAAGGGTAGGTTAAAGGTGCTTTTCTTACCGCTTTTTATGCCTCTCCTAAGGGAGAAAGGCATAACAAGCGGGGTAAGCGAGCACCAAAAACCTACCTCTAAAAGAAGAAGGCGAGAGCAAGACCATAATGTCCTCACCTGCAGAGATCCAAGCGGGTGATCAAGAGATCGATGACGAAATCTCTTCGGATGTGTCAAAATGCGACTTGGATGCACTGACTCTTGCGATTGTGCGGGATGGGCAACTTGAAGCATCTGACTCTGAACCTGGAAGTGCTTTTGAAGAAGGTTTTGAATAAGCTTATACTGGATGAAGTGACCACTTCGACTAATATTTTATTGTTCGGGTATCTTCGAGATCTTTACCATGATGCTTTACGTTCTTTACTCGAGGTGATTGCTTGACATTCATCAGGCATGGTGGGATAATTTTCTACCTGTGTCATTGGTTCACTGTTGTATTACGTTTAGTATTTCACTCCGATGCTCCTCCATTTCCATCCTCTTTTATCAAGTGATTTTTTTAGTTTTTCTTTGAGATCAGGATGTAGTTCAAATTGAATTGTAGAAGAACAAGTAAGAGGAATATTTTCTGAGTGTTTACTTGGGAGCGTTAGTCGTAGCTTTAGTGCATGAACGGTCTGGTTGGGGACTGGGGGTATTTTTCTTAGACTCGTCTACTCAGTCTTCAGTAGACTTTCAGTTAATTAGTGTCAGTAAAAATCTTAATTAGTAGCTTCTTGAGGAAGAAATGACTCTATTTCTATGACTATGGATTAGAAAGGAGCTTCCACAGCCATTGCATAACAAACCAGGTATTATAGTTCGTGACATTATGCATTATTGGAACGTTGCTCCTTCCGTACCGCATGCTAGGTAAATGAAGGAATGAATGAATAACATGTCGTATACTTGATCTTGAATAATGATTTCGTCATTTTCTTGTTTGTAATTGAGCAGAATGAATATCATGTGATCTATATCGTAGTCGTAATGTTGAAGATAATTTGTCCGATAGCATCGTATCTTCCCAACACAAACTCGTCATTGTAGTGTTTGGAAGTTACGGGGGTCGTCTGTAGTATGATCATGATTATGATCTAGATTGGGACGTTTCAGTGCTCCAGTCCGTAGTGTATTGACCACGGTGATCATGTTGTGAAACAGGGAAGGCAGGGAGACCGAATCTATATATCAGGTAACACATCACGGAGCCCATATCTGTATATCACGTAAGGGTAGCACAGGATTACAGTCATATTAGGATTGTTGGTTGTGTTGACATTTATTACGAAGAGACGCTGCTGGAAGCAGTAGCAGTAGAAGCGAACGCACGTCCTCGTTCGCGTTGGTGTGAAGGGGAGAAGAAGTGAACACTGCAAGAACACCACCACAACTCTGCTGCATATTGCCTTCTTGGCGTGGACGTCGAAGCGGTCTGTTCCTTCATGAATATTGAATATGATGTGTATTCTTCTTGAAGATCGAATCTTAGCGTGTTCATCTTGCGAGCTGCTTCTTTCATCGGGAGACCACCTTGTGGTCCTGATGGTTAGGAATGAATGAATAAATAACGAGAGGATCAACGCTCTCGCCTGTCTTTTGTTCACTTCGTAATGTCTGAGAGTGACTTCTTTTTTCCTCATCTGTCTTGCACTGGCGGCCGCGGTGTAAGTCATGCGCTAGCGATGCTGGCTCCGGCTCTTCAAGATAAAAGACCGCGTCTCCCTACTCCATTTTCTGATTGAGAGACCAAGAAGATGATGAGCTACGATCTTCTAGCAGTACCTGTGATTTCACGACTACAGTTTAGGGAGCAGCTTCTAGTCGGTCTTTCCATTCCTCATAATGAAGCGACAAACATTGCTTCATTCTCCCCTAGTTTCTAAGTAAACATAAGCAACATGATTAACGACCACGAGGGAAAATAAAGATGACGCTGCGTCCTCGTCCTTGCTTTGTCATCCCGCGTCGGCCTTACTCGGCCAGCAGTGCGGCGTTCAACGGTGCTCCTTCAACAAGCTCACTAGAAACGACTGTGCTGATAGAAGGGTCTCATAGTTCTACCGTAGGGCGGGTACCTTCGACTGGTAGCGCGTCGCTTCCAACGACCACAACCTTCACTTCGAGCAGCCCTTCGACTTCCACGTGGCAGTCGCCAACCAGTACAACTATAGATCCTTGTTCAGTTGTAGCAGCCGAAAGACAACAGGGCGCTGTCCCTACAACGGACTACGCTGAAGATGTTGGTCGATTATGCATGGATTTCCACGCAGCCTTCTTGCGTGGTGCCCTTTGTGACACGCTTCTTTCGAATTTGTACGTGCAAAGGCATTTACTGCGTCCGGGTGAAGCGGCCACGATATTGAATTTATGTCGAGTGCTCAGGTCTTGATCTTCGCATAACGAAAAAACTCAAATTGGCCCTTCGGATTTCATCACAATTTCTCGTCAGCAAGGCTGTGTCTCTGTCCTACGCCTAGTAGAATTAAGGGTAGGTTAAAGGTGCTTTTCTTACCGCTTTTTATGCCTCTCCTAAGGGAAAAAGGCATAACAAGCGGGGTAAGGGAGCACCAAAAACCTACCTCTAATAGAAGATAAATTACTCCGCCTTCGTCCTCATCGTACTTACTTGTTTAAGAACACAGTCAACATGCTTAGCAGTGCATTCAACATTGGTACAGCCTCCACCCTTGCCTTTCATTCTACCATCTAGCCCGACTCCGCGTCATGAATCCACGGAACAAGCAGCAGACATCCTGCAGTTCTCGAGGTGTAGGCCAACAGCTATGGGATGGCGTCGTTGCGGATAGTCTCAAGAATCTTTCGCTGTGTGAAAGTGGTGACACATTGGCAACGCTGGCGAATGCGTTCGCGGTTGCAAACCAAAGAGATGAAGCGTTTTTAAAACGTTTGGGGGATGAAGTGACTTATGAACTTGCTATTGGGATAGGCTTAGGGTCAGGCATTACGCATGACAGTATGAAGATATCAGGGCTTAGGGTTAGCAGTCGTCAGGGAAATCTTAGGCAGATTGCCGAATAGATTCGCGCCATCATGAAGATATCAGTAGGTAGGCGAAAAACGCCGCAGGCAGAGGCACATCAACAACTCGATCTAAATAATAATGAGGAGGATCTTCATCAGTTCCTCAATATTTAGTGTCCCGCCGTGATCACTTTTTACCTGATCTAAAGAAAACAGCGACTACGAGACTTCGAAGACTGGCGTTCACTGGTAAAGGAGACAGGCATGCGGGGACAAGAAGATGGAGTCGGAGATGAAGTTAATAATACGAGCAACGGTACAACAGCCTCGAGACGACGTCTAGACCGCGTCGTGGACAATCAAGTGTTGATCTCCCCTAGAAGTGTTGCGATGCTGGTCAACGCTTTCGGAAGGCTCCAAATTCCCCACCAGGAAATGCTCGAAGCGGTGTCGGAGTATCTCGTGAATCGGCTTGTTCCATTAGAAGACGAACAGAACAAGAGGACGAGCAAGAAAAAATTGATAGAGGAAGATGAGAATCTCATTGAAAGTGTGAACGAAGTGCCGGCGTTACATGAGCAGATCAACTTTGTGACTCCTGAGAAGCTGAATGCAGTGGATGTTGCAAATCTCGTCAATGGCTTCGCTAAATTGAACTACTTTCATTATGGGTGTACGGAATTCATTTCCTTCTCCAAAGTCACCTGGAAAAAAAGACAAGAGGAAAAAGGGAGCCAGGTGATCCCTGAGATGAATTTCCAATACCTCTAATTTCAACATGAGGAGCTTTTCTGTGCTTTGCCCTACGAGCGTTTGGCGCCTACGTTCGAGCAAGCGCATTTGGCGATGATCGCAAACGCTCTAGCCAAGTTTTCTAGTGCCACAAAGGTGTCTTGTTCTCCGATTGTGCAAATTCTGTGTGAGAGGGCTAGGGCAATTTGTATGGCAAAGCAAGAGGATAACTGGCCTGCCTGGAGAATGTCGAAGAAAATGGAAGTTGCTAGAATGATGGAGACGTCCTTGACCTCGACTGCTTTGACAAGTACTAGTACTGGTAGTCGTGCAGAAGGTGGGAAAACATCAAGTACAAGTACAACGCCTCCTCCTAGTCCTAGTGGAAAGAAGACCAACAAGGACAAGAGAGCCAACAATTCTTCACCTGCCAGTACAACTTCTAGAACATCTTCATCTTCTGGTTTATTCTTAGCACCGAATTACCTTCCGAGCTTCGTTCATGCAATCGCCACGAAGATGCAAATCGTCAACCAAGAGCTGAGAGAAGTGACGTTTTTGAGTCTAGCGCGTGCAGACCCCGCAGCTTTCGAGATATGCGATTTGGTGATGCTTTTGCCTTGTCTTCCGCGTCTGTTTCCGGGTGGATGGAAGTTTCGTGGGACTAATGAAAATGCTCCGTCTTCATCCAGAATAACATCAACATCCAACACAACAACTACATCGAAAATCATCCAGAACAACAAGAAGACTCTGATGAATATACCACCATCCGTAGCTGAAGTAGTCGCTCCGCTCTTCCTACAAGCAGTAAAGGGTCCGAGAAGAGGGCTAGTGGAGTACCAGGGTCACGCACTGGCTAGTATAATGTGGGCAGCTGCGGTTTTGCGTCTAGGGGACACAAGATTTTGGATTCCGTCACTGGAATTCTGTGCGTTGCAGATGCAAACGACCGCAGATCAACCTGTAGCTGTGACAATATCAGCATCACCGAATAGACGTAGAGAAGCCCGTAATGCGGTGATAGGGAACCAGAAGATGAACATTATGGCAAGATAACTGAACTCGAAGGTCGAATGAGGCTACTTAACAAGATAAAGTACAACTAGCTGTAGCTACTACTACTACTTAGATGAACCAATTATACCAAGAAATATTAGCAATAACGATGCATCAATTTCAATGGCAATGGGTCCAGCTCTAACATTCTGGGCAAGCAGGCTTCTGTCTTGTTTTACTTATCGCCGCAGACGGTTCTGGGTCCGGAGTTCGCCCTATCTGCAGTGCGGTCTATTCAAGCCGGTGTTAGTTCCTCTGAAGATGGCGAAACGCAAACACGTGAGCCACCTGCTACTAGAAGAAGTCTCGTTTCATCTGGTAAGGGGCAAGACTTAGCAATACCTTCTCTCCAAGTACAAGAACAATCGATGAGTCGGGGAGCTGATGTTGGTCAACAAAGTACAACTAGGAATGCCCATGCTGAACAAGTGATAGGTGTAGTCCAGCGTTACATAGACGGAAGCGTTCGCGTCATACAGGAGCTTGAAGATATAAAGGTGCTTGCCCAGTGTGCACTTGGGGCGGCTAAGTGGGCTCTCGTAATCGGCCAGAACGCACATGTTTTATCCGTGTCCCAGTTTTTCGATGCCGTGTCAATGTTAAGGATTTGTTTTTTGATGTCTTCTGGACGAAAATTTCCCGTGCTCCAGGAAATTCAACTAACTGAAGCTCCTGTGAACTACATGCCAGGATGATGAAAACTGTACCTAGCATGACTTCTATCTGCTCTAATATTCTCAGCAAAGAGAATACTCACGACGACTCCTGGCACTACGTCTTCAACATCATCTTCGACGGGAAGTTCAGCTAGAACAAGCGCGACTACTACTACTACTAGACTGCAAGATCTGGCACAGTTAGCCACGGCTTTCCGCATAATGGATATTCCGGATCAGAGTTTGTTCGATAGCATCGGCATGGCATTTGAGGGCTTAGCGCTTCCTGTTGGTATCCAAGGTCCTGACGAGGATGAAGAGTTTAGTAGAAGAGGGAGAAAGCCGAAGATGCCGACGTCATGTCGTGGAGAGAGTGACGAAGCTAGTAATAGTAGAAAGGAAGTAGAAAATAAGTCTACACCAGGACTAGATACTCCAGAATGTAACACGGGGTCCACTCCGAAATCCCATTTTGTTAACAAAATCCTTAATGACGCAGCAAGAACAACTACAACCTCTTCCGCCTTTTCGCAACAAAAGAAGTATGAGGCTGCGGTTTTAGACGCCTTTGTGGCCTTAGAGTTGAAGCACAGCAGTTATGCGACGTTAAATGACCGCGTGATGGAGAGGAGATTGGAGACGCAGGAAAAGAGCGGAAGCGCAGCTGCATTCGGTACCATCGTGGATGTAACGGAAGATGGGGAAAGAGAGCCAGACTTTGTCGAAATCTAAACATGATGAAGAAGATGCTGAGTAGTTGAGTTCGACTTTCCACTATGTGGTATAATATAACCTCGGGTGTTTGAACTTGTGAACGAAATTTAATGAACACTAGCGCTATCGATAACCACTTAGTACTAAGGCGATCTTGGACATTCTACTACACGAGGGCGATCTTGGACATTCTTATAAGAGTACATTCTACTACACGCACAGAGGAGACAAATCATTTGCAACTTTGGGTTGGTTCCACACAGGAGCACGGGCAATTGCGCATTTATAACATCCACATCCACATCATAGGAGTGAATTGTAGTTCTCATTGAGCGATCAGAGAGCCCGTGCTTGCTTACGTATTCGTCCCACACAATGAGAACGAATGGATCTTCCCTGTGAGGAGCAGGTTCAAGAAAGATCTCCAGAGATCCGTGGCGATCGAGATATTCTGTCAGTACTAGGGTAGAACTACCAGAGAGTAGACGGAACGTAGAAGAACGGAAGATGCGCTTGCTTGCTCTTTCGGCTTCGGCCGCTGTCGGTGCGTCAGCGGAGACGCCGATCCAGAAAGTGGTCAACCTCCTCCAGCAAATGGCACAGAACCTAGAGGGGGAGAAGACAAAAGACGGAGAATTGTACTACTAGACAATAAATAGTGCGATCCCCTAGCAGTAGCAACTACACGTACACCTACTTGTGGCACTTTTGCCGGGAAGCTGCGGCTGGAAGAAACATATATAGCTTTCTCTATGTGTCTGTGAAGTGTTTGCTTTCTCTGCGCCCACCGCTGCTGGTGCGTCGAACTAATCGAAAAATTTGTCATGTAATGTAATGTCAATAGAGAATATCTTGGTCGGGGACGCTGGTGGCGGCGCTCAATCACGGTGCGAAATCCACAATGTGCGGAAGAAAATAAGCGCATACTCTAGGAAGAGGAGACTGAAAATCAATTCTTTGAAGTGTGCGCTTATTTGCTTTCACACACACCTCACGTTGTTGCCCTCGACTGCTTATGCTTTTCCCGCTCGTGCCGAATAATTATAGAGATTTGATTCTAGTAATTTTTCTTCTTTACGACCATCCTGACTACAATTTTCATTCTTGCGCTGCAAGTATCTGCTTTACTTTTGACCGTTGCTTCAAATATAATCGTAAATTGAAATGTTCGTGGAATCATAGGAAGGATGCCTTGATTATTGATCTGTGAATGCGCATAATTGTTTTTGTTTGTCCCTGCACGTAGGCATCCACTTCGTGAGCTGGCTAATCTTGATGCATCTTAGCGTTTAATTTATTAGGCTCGAGATACTACTTAATTAACTCTAACTTACTAACAAACTAATGCGCACACCTACAATCTAGTTCTTTCCATCATTCTCCTTATACGAGAAACGCAGCTAGAAATATTGATGTTGTATTTGCGTAACCAGGACATACATTATATATACGATTCTTGTGTAGAACTACTAGAAGCATAAGATGACGAAAATAGTCTGACCATTGAAAGCCGTGGCTTCATCCGTTGGTAGAGTTGCTATCGTCCACGTACTTTGTTCTAGAGCATTTCCTGTCATATGGCCCCGTAAAAGTTATTAGTAATTTTTTTGATCTTGGGTCATTGGCACAACCGTCTTTACATACATCTTACTGACGAATGCTTCTAGGTATTCCGATCTCCAGTGTTGGTGCAAAACGAATACAAAGGACAAAACAAAAGCTATTGCTGAAGGAAAAGCTGCTGCGAAAGCGCTGGAAGGCGAGATATATGAGCATGCTGGAAAAGTAGGGGAATATGAAAGTTATGATGGTCTCAGATACAACTACTACTACATGCTTGTAGATGATAGTCTGTCGAGACATCCAGAAATGTTTTTCTTTCTTATGGATGCAGCAAGAGGGCGGGTATCCCTCTCGTCCAGAATAGGACCATCGAGCGGATGAGAGCACTTCCATTCCTCTTGATCAGAAGTGAGTCTGCCTGGATAGCGTGGGATTTCGTTGGGCTTCTTTTCAGTGGTCATAAAATAGTTCGAGCGTCTAAGAAGTCAATGCGAAGAACGCAAAGAAAAAGGTAGCCAAGTTGGAGCAGACGCTCGCAGAGTCAGAAGAGCAATGCGAAGCATCAATGAAGGATATGAGACAAGAGGAGGCCGAACTGGGCTCAACAGTCGCGGCACTGGACAACGCATTGAAAATCCTAGTTATGGATTGATCACTTCTACCTTAAATCGATAGGGGCTGGTTGTGTTGTTGTGTTGTGCGCCCGCATAAGTGCAAGAGACAGAGGGTTCTACTTACTTCTACAAAGATTTTTGTCGTTTTGTGGGGCAGCACTGTTGCCGTCTTTTAGATTTTTTAGAATCTTTAGAGATTTTTTAGATTTTCTCTGTCTCGTCAGAAGAGAGAATGATCGAGTCTAGTTGTACATTCTTTAGAGTCAGATATTACGGTAGTACGTCGACGATTTCCCATATCTTGCCGGAGGTTGACAACACGACAATTTCTCTAATCTGAGAAAGCACCAATCGCTTTTGCAGTCCAACCCGGAAGTGGTATCTGCACTACAAACGACTTTGCATGTTGCATCGGAGAAAGCACGGATTATGTACGGAAAGCGCTACAGCTTGGGAGGGAAGAGCTTCCTGCAAGCCGGCACTGGAGCCGAAGCACAGCTTGGCAGGGCACTGAGCGGTTGGAATCTAAAAGATCTTGTTGGACATTTTGTAGCTTTTCCATCCTTTATTCGTGGGATGTTTAGATTTTTTAGACTTCTTGGGATTTGGAAGAGTGCTGGGATCTAAGGAATATCTAAATAATCTAAAGAATCTAAATTTCTCGATATGATAGCAAAAAATCGAAAATAATACCTAGAAGTAACACTCTCATTCTTAGGTTCTTTCCGACCTGTCTTGGACGAAGCATCTGCGTCGTCCGTTCTCGGCGCTTTCGTGCAGAAGGCTGGTCACTTAGGCAAGTACCAGAGCGGCAGCGGTCAAGTTTTCGGTATTCTGAACTCGATGAAAGACGAATTCTCCGCTGATCTCGCGGAGCTCCAGAAGAAGATCGAAACCGAAGCCAAGGCATGCAAAGAACTGAAGTTATGTGAGTTTTAGGAAAAACGCTGTACGGGAGGACCCTTTTGAATTTCGGGGAATAGAAGGAGAATTATCGATTTTCTAAATTCTTCAATGACGTTCCAGTACGCGCTTCTTCCCTGATTTATGAAATAATTACCGGCAAGGGCAACTACGATCATCAGGAGATGCTACATAGTATGACGAATGATCGCTAAAACATGTCGTGCAGCTCTAACAAACGTCTCCACAACCGCTCAACTGGATGCAGCAAGGAAGAACTTTGAGGAATTCACTGCGTTAGCTGGCAAGGCGAAATTCCTGGGAACTGAAGGCAAGGAAGAATTGAAGAAGATTCGCGCACAAGTTGACGCAGATACAACAGTCTTGTTGTTAAGGCACTTAAACAAAACTATACTGCGTGCGCGCGGTATCTTAATGTCGTGTATCACGATCCGAGTTGTCGTCCAATGAGACGTGAAATTCAAGAGGATTATAGTACGACCTCCTACGAGTACGACGACTTTGTACTAGAATTATTCGTTGCTTATGGTAGTCTGCACCGATCATTGTGCGAGATTCATCGTGTTGTATGTGCATGTGCTGAACAAATTATTGACACTTCTCTAATTCTGGAGGTGAAAGATCAGTGCACGAATATTGACGTCGACATGAAGCTGCGGTCGGAAGCGCGTGACGCAGAAATTGAAGCCGTCGGAAAAGCAGTGGAGATCCTGACCTCGGATGAAACACGTGCAGCGCTTCAGCCCTCTGCCTTTGGTTTTGTTCAAACGAGATCTAGCATCTCGTCGTCATCTCACGAAGCAAAACGTGGAAAAGCGTTCAAGGTGTTTGGTCTTTGATTGATACGCTGTTTGTTGATGCAGACGGCCAAATAGATTCACATCATCATGCTGTTTGATGATGCAACCATTCTCAACATTGAATATTATGTTTCTGAATTGTTCATTTTCAATTTCTACTATAGATTTCACCAGCAGTAGTTTTGTTCCTCAAGTAGGTGCAATCCCGTATCCCTCCACCTAAACGCAGGTTCTGCAACACGCCTTGGATTCCTTGCCTTCATGGGATGAGCTGAGTATGGATTTGCAAAGCGCGAAGATCCAGTCCCAGATGGACACGCAGAAGGCAAAGTTGGCACTCATCGCGCAGTCCGTCCGTTTAGATGCCTTTACAAAGTTATGAGTGACAACTCATTCGCTAGTTCCAAAGTGGTGGGATGAGTAAGAGAAATTTTTGTATTTGAAGTGTGTGGATGTTAACCTCAACTTTATTCAGATTAACGAGGAAATCGATTCTGCGCCTCCTCTCGATGAAGTTCTAATCACAGTAAAGGAGATGATTGACAATTTGGTTGCGGATATCAAAGCGCAAATGGCTCTTGATGTGAAGACAAAGGACGAGTGCAGCGTCAACATTCAAACCAACGAAAAAGAGACTGTGGCAGCAAAGCGCGATCAACAACTTGGCGAGGAAAAGATTGCCTCCCTCGTCGAGCAGATTGCAAAGGTACTGGACTAGTTAGAGGTACTAGATGGCGCTAGACCATTAGCTATGGCTAGATGTTGTCAACAACATAATTTGGATATAATTATGTTCAATACATATTGGGGAATGAAAAACTCGTTCAGTTACAATTCATGCTAGCAGCTTGACCTTCCAATCCAATTCTGTTGAACCACAACCACTTTTTTGCCAGATCCAGACCGACGTTGTGGCGGAGAAGGAGTCTGTCGCGGATACCCTGAAAGACATGAAGAAGGCAGAGACAGAACGTGAAGCCGGCAATGCGGAATTCCAGATAACCGTGAATGAACAGAGGGCCATGCAGAAAGTATTGGCAAAGGCACTGAAGGTTCTGAAGGACCACTACACGGCACTTTATGACCATGATTAATGTACGGTAATTTAATTGAACTTTGCATGAACAGGAGGCAGGAAATGCGAGCCGAGGACGGACAGTCCTTGAGAAGGACAAAGGCGAATACTTCTAATGCCCCGTACAGACATCGCAGACTCCGATGCCAGGATCTCTCAAGGGTTACAAAGCGCAGGACGCTTCCTCTGGTGTGCTTGCGATGATGGATAAGATCATGGGCGACTCGAAAGCTTTGGAGCTCGATATTACGGAGTTTGTACAGCAAAATAAGGACCTTGATTAGTCGAAGCCTGTTGGAGGGTGTATCCATTCACTAGCTGCATGCATATGCATTGCTGTTGATTCGTGCAGGAAAGTGTTTCACTTGTTCGAAACCGATTTCTTTGTTCGTCATATCGCATCGAACCGCTCTAACAAAAGCATCAAGACCGAGAAACAAGCGCAGCTGGACTATGAAAAGTACATCGCTGACTCGAACGCAGCCTTGGACGCAAGCTACGCCACAATTGCCTCTCTCGGAGAAGAAAGGGCAGATAAAGTAGTTGTTCTTTTTGGCGAGTGAATGATTGGAGTTGAACAACAGTTGTAGTTCCTCAATAAAGAGATGGATTTAGCTTGAGATTGATGATTTGGAAAAAACAACAGTATCCATTATGTTGAGACTAACATGATGATGATGAGATGTGATGAACAATTAAGTATAACATCGAGAAAGATTATATTATTTACTCATAGTACTTACTCATACTTACGAATTGTCACGGCATATTTCTTTGATAACCCTTCTTCACCATCTTCCTCAGGTAGAGGAGAAGGCGAACACTGAGAAGGAGGTCGCGGACAAGAAAGCGGAAATTGAGGGTTTATCCAAAGTGAATACGTCGCTGCACAATGATTGCGACTTCCTCCTGAAGTTTTTTGGACAACGCCAGGAAGCTATGGCGAACGAAATCGAGGCTGCACAGAAGGCCAAGGCCATCCTCAGTGGGGCCAAATGATTTGCTGAGAAGTTTAGATTTGTTGTTCAATGAGGTTGAGGTGGTCACCTACGAGATCAGACTTATCATTATTACAGTTTTGCATACTATAACGCGGACACGAAATTGAGGCTACCATCGTGTAAACGCTTAACATAACGTCAAAAGAGGAATCCCTTGGCCATATGTTATACAGATTGGATTTACCATCAGTTTTTTTGTCGTGATGCATGAGTGACCGGTTGAATCATCAACAAGTGACGTCGAAATTAGAGTACGTGTCAAGGTGGCTTCTATTTTGTTTAGTTGTAAGAGTCTCACATAGAAATCGTGTAAGCGTTGCCCTCCTCAAAATGTATCTATGCGTAAAACACAGATTCATGGTCCGCTGTCACAAAAATGCATGTGCATCTACTTTTTGTAGAAGAAGTGAATGGTGACAAGAGTATTGACACATAAAGATTTTCATGGTGATTGGCGATATTGGTATCCACTTTCATTCTTGTACTCAAGTTTTTTCCCTTCAATCGGACACAAGCAACCTCTATTTTTTACTCAAGTCAACAAGCAACAACAAGCTATTTTTTACTCAAGTCAACAACCGTGCTGGAGGTGTTGAACGATTCCTCTCACAAGATAGATTCAGAATTGTCACATGAGTACAGATGAAAGAAACACGCTAAGAAAGCAGGGAAGAGAACAGGCACTCTGGGGATCCGCACAGAAGATTTGTTTGCGTGCATTACATTGGTATCATCGTTCACCGTGTGACGACTGGTTTGCGTTGACTCCAAAGGCTTACCCACGCAGACGAGGACGTGTGGCCTTGCGCAACACTGCTTGATAAGGTCAATCGGATCCTGGATGTTAATGTTGCTATTACAACTCCGACAGCTACTCTACCGCGTATGGCCAACGCTATGAAATTCAAAAAGACGCTTATGAAAATTTTTAATTTGATCTTCATTTGCTAGGAATAGTAGGAGAAGTAAGTAGCTGCCAGGAAAAGGCGAGGCGTACCTTGTGTAGTACATACAAAGAAGAAGAACAAAGACCACTACATTGCCAGAGCAGCGCGATGTTGCGAGGTCTGAAAGCGGTGTCCTTTTTGGCTATGCTCTGCAACGTCGATGCGCGTAAATCCTCACTGTTTTATGGCATTATACTCCTGGTCGTGACAGCCACATTAAAAACAAAAATCTGGAAGGTTCCAGATTTAGAATTTGTTCCAGGAGATTTAGATATTTTAGAGAAAATTTAGATGTTTAGATTATATACGAATACGAGAACTCGAACTCTCATCTACTCGAACAAAACTGAAAATAACCGAGTTACTGACTGAAATAAGGGAGGTAGCTTTGACAGGGCTACTCTTCCTTGTTCAATATCTCGCTTATTTTAAGTAGTTACTTGCTTATTTCAGTTTATCGAGTACTCTCTCTCTCTCTTCTAATCCTCAACGCAGTGGCAGCAGAAGAAGCAACCAGTGACCGGTGAGGTGTTTTTCAGCGATAACAAAATTTATGGCGCTGGTGTGGGAGGGTCCCAGAGCTCCATGGATTGCCAGAAAGTTCCAGAAAATTACAAGCAAAGCTCCACCGAACCGCGAATCAAAGTACTTGGTTTTCTCTTGGGTGAAGACAATGTCTAATGAATCCAAATCTAAGGGGACTTTCTGAACTTCTATCTATAAATTTTCTAAATGCTACTTCTCTCACCCCTAAACCTACGGAGATTGTGCATGTGCTTGTCAAAATGAGCTTCTCTTTCTTCTAAATTTTCTGAATCCGTGACATCCCCAGGTATGCGGTACGAATTTGAAGGTGACTTTGTACCTCTGGAACGACTGCGCGGCCGGGTCAGCGAAACCACTGGAGATTGGATCTTGCGATAGCTCGAAGCCAGCCAGCACCTGCGAGGAATTTGCACCGGGTTCCGACGGCGCGCCATTGGGCATGCAGCACTTCTTGTCCTACCAGATCTCGAACTGCGAGGCATAGAGGCTCCTACAAAGACTTCCTTTTTTCACCATTGAGTCGTGGGTGAGACTGAATAAACCTTGAAGATTGGATTGTAGAAGTAGTCTTGAGCAGGTACTATGTTTCCGATACGGAGAAGGACCTTTTCTTTCCTTGAGTAGTTCTGTGGAAGTACTAAATAGTCTAATCGATTGAACAGTTCGCTGTAATCCTCTTAGATTCATCATGATCATTGTTTTTTCCACATTCTACAAAGTAACATTGTTTCCAAGTAATCACTGACCCATTCAGGTTCTACCATGAATCAACAACTTTCTCCAGAGATGAGTTCCAATTTTTCCACAGCTGACCCATGATGAAGATGATCATTTACCAGAAAATCTAGGAAGCAATCCAGCTTGACAAGACTAGAAGAGGGCACCAGCGTCACTTACCCCGCCCTCAAGGCGATGAACAAACAGAAAAATGAGTTGAGGACAGTAAAGCGTTACAAGGCGATAGGCCGTATGCTACTGGTGCTTGTGAATCCTAGCGATATGAAAATTGCGACATGTGCGAGGGAACTACATCGGTAGCAGGAAAGAAACAACATGGATTATGATTGCTTGCAATCCTCAGTAGGAAAGTTGGTAATCGGTCAAATGACGGTTGTCAGAAAATGCTTCTTGGATGTCGGTAACTGATGCTCGGTCCAAGGGAGAGAGTATGGAGTAGGTCATCCCGGTTTGTAGAAGAACACAAACCCAGTACCCAAAAGAAAAGTGACCTCTAGTACTCTATCCCAAAAGTTGCGAAAAATGTTACAGATGCGCAAAAAGTTGCTCTGTCGCAATCATGATAAAATGAAAACCGTCGACCAATAAAATTGTTGTTGATATGACTAATAACTGTGATATCCGTTCTATGTATGTTCGACTAAACAACGCATGAACGAAGTGCAGTGTTCAAATTCATCTTTTCATGAAACAATTTTCCATCATCATGGTCATCGACCGCGGGCGTCAGCGCCTGCGAGAGCAGGCATGTATTGACGGGCATGACACTCGGCATGCGTCTTGATCGCAGACCACGTTAGCGTCAGCAAAAACAGGCTGCATAAGATGCGGCCGCTCGCTCGCCCATTCATCATCCTCGCTGGGTGGCTTGAGGCGGAACTGGTTGCAACGACCCAAAAGAAGGTTGGGCGAGGCCGATCTGCAAGGTTTTTGGATGAGACAGAGGATAGTGAAGAAGCTTTCAGCGCGGATGTTGTCATCGACGCCGGTGGCGAAACCAGGACACTCCAACCGCATTCGTCGTTGGTCGATATATCTAAAAAGGAGAAGCAAGCTGCAGTACGTCAATACTTACTCTATCTCCTCTGATGTTCACTTTCTTATTTTTTTGGAACGGTCGATTTCGAAAGCAATTGTCCATTTTTTTGAAAACGGGTAGAGATCCATTGATTTGCCTTGAGAAGTTTCTTTGTTGAATAGATTCGCATCATTTTCACTTTGAAGTTGTTATTTGTTTTGCAGTCGAGTTCATCAACGAGTGATACAGTATTCTTGTCCATTCGACACCAGATTGAGGCTGATCTTGTCCCAGTCGACAAAGCCGTCAAGGATATCAGAGCTTTTGCGGAAGAATACAAAGGCATTTCTTTTCGTCTACTTCGCGGACCTGTCTCCAGGCCCAGGGCTATCAGGGAAATGGTGAACCATGCGGAATCGGTTTGGATTTTGTTTACAGCGATGGTTTACAGCGATTCAGATTCTCTCTATGGCTGTGAAGCATCAATACTACATCGTCTAGTGGTTGCAGGATTCATGAAACACCTCCCTCAATGAAATGGTTCCCTTGTACTTATACTTTGATGGGTAATTACGTAAAAATAGTATTTATCCTCATGGAAAATCTTAGACAGACACAGACTGCCGAATAGATTCACATCATCACTCACCTTCATACCCACTAACAGGTAACGGCTTATTTTAAAGGCCATGATTTCGCATCAGCTCCAGCCGGCTATTTAGACCAAGTGGTTTCCCAATTCTTGCAAAAAGGGCAATCATATGAGATTACTGTCTGGTATAGCTCGTACTTGTTGCTGCTGATAACCATTTTGTTAGCCCGTTTTTTGTTTCTTGGTATCTTCGACCTAATCTTAAAGTTGAATCTCGATAGCCATAGCGGTTGCTATAGTTAGGAGGCCCGTCGCCGTCACGCGCGTGTGGGTAAGGGCTCTCCTCGTTTCTGCATTTACTGCCGCCCAGAAAAGGAAAACCAAACCGCGGGCGCACAGGCGTAGAAGGTAAGCGACCAAAACCCTGGAAAAGATGCCGTCGTCCAGAAGCTGCCGAGAATGGCAGGGGGATCGCAATCGCGTCGGGGGGTTTTGAGCGGTGTTTTGTGGTGAGTCTTGCACCCACAGCAGACGGGCCCAGCTTTTGCGTGCATGTCGTGCCCCCTTTCCCCGGCTTCGTCGATTGGGCCTGTCGGCCCGCCTTTGGCACACTGCATTCACTCTGACGCAAATTTTTCCGTGTCGTGTGATGAGGTCGGGTGTATGAATTGCGACAGACGACAGGGCGCTGTGTTTGTGGGGCGCAAGGTCATCTTGCATACAGGAAGGGCAACGCGCTCCAAGTCGATTCGCCTCTTCCGCCTGAAGGAGTCCGTCCACGGTTGTCGGGCTCCGTGGGTGCGAAGCGTGGCGGCCCGCTCCGTGGTCTTGCACAGTGTTCCAGTGCGCGCTTTTTTCGCTTTGGTCTCGGGTCTGTTCTTCGCTGGTCTTTGTTGGTTTCCCTTAATTGGTGGCCCGTGTGCAGGCTACACAGCAGGGCAGCTCTTTACAGTTTCGAGGCGGGCATCGGTCGCGGGACCCTCTTGCGCCTCTTCGGTCGGACGTGGCTTGTCTGAAGTGCGTGGTCGTCGTCGTGGACAGGGTGGCGGCGTCGTTGATATTAGTTGGTATTATGGCAAACGGCGTGCATCGTCAGTCGGGTGTGTTTGCGTGCCGTCCGCCAGCCCGTGCGCCTTGCTTCAACCAGGTTGAGGTGGCACCGGTCAGGGCAGCGCCGTCGCATCGGGGCCGCGAGTGGTCTTCTTTCCTCTCTTTGGGTGCCGGACTCTCTTTTGCTGGCTTTCGGGGCCACGGGGATAGTATAATGGATTTAGCTTCTCCTCCTTTTCTTGGCGCTGTTCTTATCACTCTTCATCAGCGTGATACATTTGCCAGGGCTCAGGGCTTAAGGCTTCCCGATCTAAATTTTCGAGGGGGGACCTCCAGCCCCGGGCCCTTTTTCTTAACGGACTGCCGGGTGGACAGGCCATCAGGCGTCCACCTTTGCGCCCCCGCGGCTTCTTGCTTGTACCTTACGAGCGACGACCCCGATCCACGGGTCTGCGATCGATTCACGGGCCCACGATCGATTCGCGGACCCATGATCGATTCCCGGACCCGTGATCGATCTGTGGGCCCTTGGTCGATCCGTGGGCCCTTGGTCGATCCGTGGGTCTTTGATCGATGCGAGGACCCTCGGCCGATCCCTGGACCCTCGGCCGATCCTTGAGCCGTTGGGCAATCTGTGCGCCTTTGATCGATCCGTGGGCCCTTGGTCGGTCCGTGGACTCCCGATTGGCAATGCCCGGCGGGTCCTTGCCGTGTTCTCCGTGACGCGTGGCCCGTGACGTGTGACGCGTCACGCATCAAAGAAGAGCAAGAGGACCGCCCTTATAGTGGGGGGGGTGTAGGCGGTGGGACTAAAAACTTGGACAGCGCTTCGGCGTTCGTTCCACCTTGCGGAGGCTTCCTTCCCTGGTGCATCTAGTATATGCAGCCCTTCTACTTCGTGTTCGTAGGTGTGATCGTGTTCTGATCTTATGCCAGCTCGATCCGCCAGGAGAATGTGAAAAAGTATGCTATCTATCAAGAATGTCAATAAATATGAACCATGTGTTAATACGTAGCTCTGAAGCTTTTGGATGTAAATATAGAATTTCCCTTCAACTTGTTCCACCGAACAGTTACCCCGTCGTGAAGAACGTAGAGGTAGAGAAGACATTGAAGTTAGAGTCGCTGCCTGCCATGTTTGCCAATCTTTTCTCGGAGCCTCCGCCTGATGGAGACGCAGGAGCATCATGCACTAGGGTATCAATGCTGTTCAAAGGTGTGGGAGCAGATATACGTAACGATTTGTGGATGGACATGGAGGTCGCCGACGCCTCAAAAGTTCCGACAGGAGAATTGTCCAAAGCGAAGTTCCTTGTCGATCATTTTTTAGCCTATGTGGCCTTGGGAAGTATTGACCTACACGAGGAAGCGAGGTATACCGATTCATTGACTCAATTAGAAATACAAAATAGTCATATCTTCAAAGAGATGATCCTCCTGATGCATTAGACACGTTCATCTCAGTGTATGGACAAACGCTACGATGCGTGACAAATCAATAAATGGATATTTTGTGGTCCCTTCACGTAACATTTTCTTCGTCATTCAACATATTTATACCGAAAATCCAGGTCTTCGTCTTCTTCTTTGGTGGACCTCTTGTCGAATTTACAGGAGAAGCTTAAAAGGGAACGATTGCCGGATGGATATGCGGCCCCACTTCACCCCGCAGAGCAACAGCAGATTGATTCATTTCGCATGTGGTTGCACCATACGCCGGAGGTAAGATTCTTGTTTTTTCGTTTTGCGTTTCTGTTTGGAGTAGTCGTTTGGGTCTTTTTCTTCGATGTCTACGTAATTACTTCCGAACGTTATGATAAGTAATGAGTTTGGTAGCCTTGTTGATATTTTTTTGGATTTATCTGATGCAAAATATTTATTTATTGTGCGGCTAGTACTGTATCGCCCAAACCCAACATCAGGCGCTCGAGTTTAGAAATGGAATGAACATGAAGAATAACCAGTGGTCGGCGGAAGCACAAGTAGATGCTACTCTCAGGCTTATTGGAGGACCTCCGCAAAAATTTAGCTATCGGTACTAAATGAGTCATAGGTTCATCATTTTTTGTGGTTCCATTGAAAATTAGATGCCCTCTGCTATCAGGTTTTTACTTGCTTTTTGGTCGTCTCGGGTGGTTCGCTATCATCATATCATGAGGTCAGAAATGGAGATCTTACAGCATTGTAAAAATGATTGTTTCAAAAGTAGCATTACTTACTCGATGTGTGGCCGTGTTATTGTTGGTTTTTGTAAAGATTTCTTCAGTCTACTTAGATCTTAACCTTTTGATTTGAAGACGTGGTAAGGAGTGGTCTCATTTGTGCGAGCGCACAAAATCGGGAGAAGATCATAATAAATTCATTACACTTCCAACCACCAGTTCCGAGATGTTTCCCAAGCCCAACCGAGATGTGGACCACAGCGAAATAATTTCATCGACGGAAAATTGGCACACTCGATTGGACAGATTTTTTTCACTTGGAAATAAGTCCCCAAGTGAAAATCGTATCGCTGCGACAAAGGACGCAGGCGCTGGAAGGGTGAATATCAACTTGATCACAGATTGGAATGCTGTTCGAGAAGTTGGTCGGGATAATAGTATCCCTGTCATCCAAGACGCTGCACGTGAGTTTTTGTATCTTGTTTCGTGGGGCGTCATTGAACTGCACCCTGAGTGAAAAGGTATTCCACCTAATCGTTTGCGAGACATATTTACTACAGTAGAATCGTTACTACATCACATTTCTTTTGATTGATGATATTCAAGATCGTGACATACAACAATCACAACATCAGCAATTTGTACAAGAACGAAGCAGTTCTTGTTCTTCTGAAGGTATGTGCAGAACCTGATTACGTATATTCTTCCTGGACATACAACATATTTATTCTACAGACAATGATGACGAAGTTTGAGATTCTTACCTTATTTCTCCTGAACTGAAATATTATAATATATCCAGTTGATCTGAAGTCGTGATGTGAGATGGCGGGTTCTACTTGGGTCGATGTTTTCCGTTTACGATGCGATGGAGCTTTTGCCAGTTTTCTAGAAATACGTCTTGTAGCACAACAAGAACCATGATTCGTCGAATCCTACACAGCTGCTAGGAGAAAGCAGTTGTAGTGGGCGGTGTCGTGGAGCTATGCTGTTATTACTATGCGATTGCGTAGTTTGCAGGGCAACATGTCGATCTCCAGTGTCCTCTACCCTTTGAAGCAAGTTGGAGATAAGCGTCACAAGCGAGATAAGTGGCGTGTTGTGGACCGTGTCCGAATTGTAAATATGCCCTACTACGACCCATCCAAGAGCTTTCCCTTCCCCAGTCTTGTCACACTCACCCCAAGAATAGGTATGCAACTACTACTAAAATTCCTCCTTTCATTCGCCTATGTACAAGTTCTCGTATACTCTGAAACTAGTACTGATACTCAAAAATAATCAGATCTATAGTCGGCTTGTGGTGTGTTCATTGTTCCTAATGCGTCCGCTGAAGATGTCCTTCGAAATGTGGCTTTCCGGTATTGTCCATTTGTACTTCTCTTGTTCATCGAAGAACATGGATTATTGAATCTTGCTTCCCAATCAGCGTGCTTATCGTCTTGCTCATCCGACTTTTGGCCTTATTTTGCCTCTATTAATGTACAAACTACAACCACAAACCAACAAGAACACTAGAAGCAACAAGTAGCAGCTCTAGTAGTTGTATAGCAAGATGCAGTGTGGTCATAAAAATTTTACTTGCTGAAAAAAATTTATTGGACTGACCGTCATTCTTTTTTACGTCTATACTATAGTTTTATCATAATTCCTAGGTTCATCTTATTATTTATTATCATTCAACATAAGTGTAACGCGATCACTTTCACTAATAAAAATACAAAATGTTGTGGTTGACGAGGTTTCTTGGTCGTCCTGCGGATCGTGGTTCTTTGGCCTTTCTCATGCTCGTCGTAGACTCGGAGGTTTCTGGAGCAAGACTGGCCGCTTTGGACGCTTCCCCTTGCAGCGATCCTGACTTAGCAGAAGAGGCTACTTCTTCTGCTGGACGAGTGGCTGGCTTAGGGAAGCGCTCGTCTTCAAGTATGGATCATATTATGCCTGGGAGACCATTGGCTGCACCAAAGAGGACTACAAGTTCCTGCTATACAACCGAGATTTCTGTCTTCACCAGCGACGAGGCCTTCGCGAACAACGTGAAGGGTGAGCCTTCTGGTGGAGCAAGACCAGGCGAGGAAATAGTGCGTCGTGGCACAAAAGGCAGAAGTAGAAGAAGTGAGTCGACATCTTCTTCTTCTGGGGATAAGAATATTGTGGTTAAGGACTGGCGCTATTAACAATGTAGTTACATTTGACTTTATTGAGATCGAGTGCTAACGGTAATGACATTTAATGTGAAAGAACGAGTAGCGCCGCCGTAGAGACAATGGATCAACTACACCCTCACACCTTCAATATCAGAGAAATTCGGAGAACACAGAAGAGCTTCAGGGAAGTCATAGGTCCAATCCGAACCGACTAACGTCATCAATGTGAAAGAACGAATAAAGTTAAGTACCCGAAAAACTTCAGTTGTAGCTTTGTTGGTGGTCGTGTCAACGGTTTGCTAGTGAGTAAGTAGTAATTGAAGGAAGCAGCCTCACACTCACAGACGACTCTAAATAGACCTCCACGAAGGAATCCGAAGGCGATGCTGGAGTATCCCCGTCAAGCTTGAATGGCATAACTATCGAGTTTAGCGACACAGTGCCTTCCTCTTCGCCGAGCACAACTACATGTTTTACAAGAGACCCTGATTCACCAGCATTTTCCGGTAAAGCAGAGCATGAGCCAATTTCTTCCGGAAGTATGGACAACACAATGCCCACTTGGATGCGATCGCAGATAGAGAATATCCGTAAACTTGGCCTAGAATATGGCTTATGATTTATTTCAGTTTTTTTCAGGCTAATTTGATCATACGTACTTGTACTTGTTCTAGAACTGGATTATCACAAAGTTCTTGCTGTGCTACCACCAGTCGTACTAGTTTCTTTTTTGTGTGGGTACTCATTAGTTCAAGTTCTAGAGTCTAGACTACCACTCCTACATCTCAGTATATGAAGACTTAGTGAGAACTAGTTATCAATGTCAAGTCTGCTTTGAAACTATAGACCCTCACTTTCTAATATGCTGCTATTGATGAAACAAGTTCAACCGCGTGCACCGAACAACAAGATGATCCGGATCAGCATTGGTTGCTTGTTATTGATCGAGCTCTCAGTGGACGCAGAAAGCATTGTCCAGCATGGATGCGGAGCCAAAGAAGAAACAATCGACGGATTCTACGTACATCTACATCATCAGAAAGTTAAGCTGCCAAAGAATTATGAGTTTTTATAGATTCATAGTGATAAGAGTAGTAGCTGTTGACGTTGAGTCGGTGAACTGGTTTTGTACTTAATATCCAAGACTTTTCTGCACCATCTAGTACTCCTTTAACAGATCAATTGAGAACTCCACGTCATTGATGCAAGATCAACCTCTATCTAATAACATGAAAATGTTCCACCTGATGGAGTGGGAGGCGACTCAGGAGGTAATCGGCCCTTCTTCATTCCCGAATCCTTCTCCTCCGATTCTGAGCCAGAGTGTGACGATGCTGAGATCGTCAATGATACTACAAGTAATAAAGCATCCTCAAAGGATGTTTTCTCAGCATATACTGCTCAGCTGAGAAGTTGCGGCACAGGTACTCGCGCTTCGACAACTCCTTCAACGACTGCCGGTCTGTGTAAGAATAGCACAAGTAATCCTCCTATCTTCGCTGGTACTAGTGTCTGTGGTGGTTGTGCTGCTTCTGAAGACGGTATATCATCTTCAACTGAGAAAAAATTCCAAAAAAACGATTGTGGTGATCACCTTAATTTGTCAACCGCTAGTACAGCAGCTTCTGAAGCAGGAGCACTTCCGCTTCAACCTCCAGAAGATCCAACAAGCAGTAGTAGTGAAACTGCAGCAACCGTTGATGAACAACAGGAGCTACAGCCAGCTTTTACGACTAGTAAAATCAATGAGGGTCCTCGTGGAGCACCAGCACTAGAAGGAGGAGTACTTAATATTCAGTACTGTCTTGGACTTGGTAAAAGCGAACACGATGATGAAGCAGTAGTTGGAACAGCTCCTGCACCCCGCTCGCATGCTACACGAGGCAGACAACCTTCACAACCACGTAAAGTCGGTGGTAACAGTCGACGGAGACGTTACGAAGTTCGAGGTGAGGGTCCTCTTCAGGGCTCAAGCGACTTCAGATCAAGTACATTTTCAAGTGCATTTTCGTCGTCATCTGGGGCGCCGAGTTTTTGCGATGGTCTACAGCCGAGTTCGCGCTCTACACATATAGCTGGCCTCTCAAGGGAGGCTAGTTTTGTTTTATGGCTTGTTGCTGTTAGCTTGTTACTAAGTACCTTTTGCTTTTCATTTATTGAGTTACCCTTGGTTGCTCTTATTCTTGAGCTGGGCATGTACTTGAGAAGTGAAGATAGTGTTGATAACTAAGTCCACATCTATCCTGGTGATCAGCCCTCCTCTAATCGCCTCTGCGCCAGAGGATGATGCTAGCGCGTTGAAGGGTACCAGTTTCCTCTCTGTTACAACAGAGAGCTACGCGACAGCACAGGATCTTCAGCACGAGCACGCACCATTTGTACTCAGTACTCCTAGGAGCAGTACAGCTCCCAGTGATCCACAGTCTCTGACCATCGGCGGTAGAAGTACAACTAGTAGCCCTACTAGTCCACGACTAGTGTTGCCTTCTACTTCTTGTTCAACACAAAGGACCACTAGTAGTCTACTGCCAACAACTACATCGGCAACCTCCAGTTGTTCCACCGAGGTTACAGGAGAAAAACGTATGCGATATGTGCACACAGTTATCGATGTTGGTGCTGGGATTCTTGGTCGATGGAGAATTCCTTCTATTGCGGCACTTTACAACCAGGAAGTTCCGCCTGTGGTTGTAGCACCAAATCCGGCTGGTGTTAGGATCCATGATTATGCGGATGCTGAGACTTCAACTTCATCTCAACAAATGTGATACAGGTCCATCTTGAAATCGTACAACATCAACAAAAGATTCTGAGAATACAACACTAGCGTACAACTATTGATTTTTCTAGTCAATGCACAACATCAAGAACTCGATATAGAACACGGACAAATTTTGAATCACGCGCAGCCGGTGAACACATGGAAAAATTTGTGTCATTTTTAGCAGCGGTACTGCTACTCTAACATCTTTTTTTTGAAGATACAGACTTAGAAGTGGTCTGCAACAACATACCTCAAGGTATACGTATAGACTTTACTTCACAAACGGTGAAGATGAAGAAGACCAGCAACGGAAAGACCCCTGCCGCGGTGAAAGAACGGAGATTTCACATGTGACTCAATTTCCTGGGAGAGTTAGCACTGATGAAAGGAGATACTGAGAGGAGATACTTGGTTGCAACATTGAGAGAGAGACAAGAAGTTCAAGTTTACAGGTGATGTATGACTTGGTTTACGGCCTCTGATCTGTTTTGAGTGTGTAATCCCAGGAATGGTAAATGGGACCAAGAAGAACTGTGTCTTGTTGAGAGTCACTGTCACAGAGGACGAGAAGGGAAAAAGTATATATAAGTATCCGATGGAGCACGGAAAAAGCGCACGACCTCTTCTGAGACCCTGAGACTCATCACTGGTTGGAGATGCTACTAGTACTTAACATATACTACTCATGGAAATGACGTTGAAATGAGGTGTTAGTTTTAGCTCCTCGCACATGATCCACATCATTGACTCAAATTATTATGCAACACTTCTATGTACTTATTTAAAAAGAAGCAAGCTGCCTCTACTACCTCTAAAGCTGAAGCTTCACTGGCAGGTTAAGTAGGTAGTGTTGCTGTTCCCAAGGAACATATTCGTGTTTACGGAATCCCATTCCTGCACCTAATATACGATAATTTTGATGCGCTGAAAATAATCAAAATCAATGAAAATGTCGGACTCAGCGTCGGATGAAAAAACTGCTCAGATGAAAACAAGAGCGTGGAAGGCTCAGAGCCACGTTTCTCTACCGTACCACACTAGGTGATCTATCGGCAGATAGGTTGTAAGAGACACTCTCAGATCTTGCGGCGGTCTTTCTCCTTCCTCGAATACGCCTGGTGCCTCGAAACACGAAGGCCCTGAAGATGTTTTGTACAACTACAGCGTTGCTGCTCCTTGCCTCGCTGTCCTGGCATCAACAAGTCGTTGCGCGTCTTGTGTTGGAACAGAACAAGGAGGAAAATCACATCCATCTCCGTGTACCCCAAGGAAGCAGGTTGGCCCGACTGCTTTCTGCCATCGCGAAGAAACAACAAAAAGAGGAACAAGAAAAAGAGGACCAGTCTAGAGTGCCGACAAAAGCAGAAGAACAAGAAGCTCCCGTCGGATTACTGCAAAATGAAGTGCATAAAAGTAAGAAAATGTTGATTGCGACAAAAAAGGGCAAAACAAAGCAACAGCGAACAAAGCGAGATGGAAGCGTTGCAGGTGATAGAAAGGGGTTGACTACAGGTGCTGGCCGTGTTATGGATGATTTTCTCCTATAGAACTAGAGTTTCTGCACGACTTTTACCTCTCTGCGTCTACGCATGCGTAGCAGGATGCACTCTACAGTGTCGAGTTCTTGTCTTGTGTCATCGTTTCCGTGAGGCTATAGATGATACTTCAGTGAACGAAGTCCCATGATGACATGATGTCAACATCGAGGTTCTATAACTTACGACTTGAAAGATAATGGCATTCTTGAACTAACTAATGTCGGCAGGGAGGGTTAATCTCTTTCATCTAAATGTTCTTCTTCATCTTCGAAAAAACGACGAGGCCCGTTTGACAATGGAGTGGGTGGAAAGCAGCATTGGACGCAGCCAGAGTTGCCTTTTCATGTTAAGAATCTGTTTCCAGATTTTTTATACTTCTCAGAAGATGGAGTTGAGATGAACTTCTTGCCGGGGGTGATTCGATATGATCACTTGAGACGCAATGAATGATGATGATGATGATGATGACTCAGGGCAATCCTCGTGGGTTAATCCCGAATCAACCAACATCATCACCGTCATCATCGCCATCACTGTCATCGTCATTATGCATGTAAATGCTCCGAGTATTCTAATGTTTCTTCCGAATTGAATCGTCCCCAGTTGGAGATGGGCTATCGGTCGCATACTGTTCCCGAAAGGATTTCCGGTACCACGATTAGTACACACAAGAAAGAGGAGGAGGAAGAGGAAGAAGCAGAGGAGGAAGAGATATGTAGGGAAGGGCTTACTCATGAGTCTTGTGGTGTTGAATGAAATAGAGAGGAGATGTTAGATCAAGACGAGTTGATTATTTATTTCTTGACATATTTTTCCATTATTTTACTATGAGAACAGTGAGACGTAGTCCACTCTAAGAAGACAGCAACAGACGAATTTCAGCATACGAGCGGAGGGACGTCGACGGGCCCGCCAAATAACGGGACCTCTGACGAGAGCACCACAGCGGCGCCAGAGGACCTGTATGCGAATAATCCGTTGTTTGATGCCGATGGAAACCGCATTGGTGAAGACGTGTTTCATTAAGACTGCTCTTCCTATCAATCTCTATAAATATTTATAACGACCCTATGTACTTATATATAGGTGATGTAGACAACGTCTTCGATTAAGTTCCCTAGGACTGCTTTGTAGGCTAACAAAAGAAATAGAGGTAAAGGTCACCACAATCTTTAGCATCAAACCACGACTGGTAGAAGGCATACGCCTTCAGGTTCAGGCCACAGACGATGAGGGTCTACTAGTTCATGATATTCATTCAACCTCTAATTCATGGGTGGTCCGTACGACGTGTGGAAAGGGAGACTGAAAGACATGGGCGGGAGTAAGGAAGCTCAAAAGCTAATGCAAGACAAAAGTTTTCCAAGGTACTTTCTATGCTTTTCCAACACGGTCTCCTGCGAACTTATTTTATTACGAGTTGTTTTGCCTGTATTGAAATCCATGTCATCTTTATTTTGATCACAGACATCCGAATAGTGAAGATGGTGCAGCGTTTATCTCTGCGTTTAAGAGCGTTTTTGCGTGCTTTGGGATTAGCGTCTTCATCTTCATGTCCATGCTGGGTGCAGGAATCCAGGACTTTCGACTCGCGACTGTCCCGATTTTCGCGATATGCTACTTGAATCTGAATTATGCTTGGCGACACTAATGTTTCAGTGCCAGGATTAGGATTGAAAACTATCTGTCTTCGTCTTGTAAGCTATAAGATCTCCTCCAGAAAGGCAATATCCTTGAAGTCAAAAGAGGTCGACATTCATGATCCCCGAACGCTCTTGACATTATCTTCAACCAGTTATTTCCACATAGACCTAGACGAAGCATTCATATTATTTTCCTCAACGTATTGGGTGGTGGTGTTGTGCGGACCGTGATTGTATGGTTCTGGTCTTTGGTATAGCCTGAATTTGATCCTAAGGGTTCTCTTCTTGTTTTCCCTTATGATCAAATTCGGGCTACCAAATACCGGAGCCATTCAGTGACTCCTGGCCTGGATGAAGACCTACCAGCATGGGCCGAAGAAACTTGCCTGGAATTGGGAGGTTACCTTGTGGTGGGTTCTTTCGTCACGTTTATTGATGCTTACTTATGCTCACAAGTGGTCTGGCTTTATCAGCTGCTCATTTATTTCTTGCTCCCTGGTGGCAGCGAAGCATTTTCGAGTGTCTGCTCAACAGCTATAATTTGCAATAGTTCTTGTTGTACAAATAGAGGTCGCAGCTTCTAACCCATCTCCAATGCGAATTGGGTCGCTACGCGCTTCTCAGTGGATGCGGAATAGCGTTCGCAAGTTGGTTGTTTTCCATGTGCATTCACATATGGGGTTTTATTTTGGTTATGGCAAGAAAGTGAAAGAGATGAAACACTGCGACATCAAACTGTCACCACAACTAAGTACTAGTATGACTAGTACTCCCACCGATGTATGAATGATTACGAAGATTTTTGATGGGTTATAATTTGATAAGATGTGCAGCAGCAACATGGTCGTCAGATATTTTCAGCTCTTCGTCTTCCTCGCCCTCTAACGTCTCCTGGGTCTATTGCAATGGGTACTGTAATCCGGCACTGGAATGGCGAGTCTTCCTCTTCTCGGCAACTTGCTTGATGGGCCTAGCGGTTTACGGCGTCATCGCACTAGCGGGGATTGGACTTTACTTATGCTGAAGGAGGTGTCTTGTCGATGTTGTTGAGTAAAGAAAACGAGGATTAAACGTGCTAGTACTTAATGAGAAACAGAGTCTTCTTCACGTCGAACAGAAGCGCATGATACCACTACCGGTTAGAAGAAGGAGAAGGCAGCCGGAGTGATGACGCGACGAATGAAATTCATCTATATCTTTCTAAGTCCCTACCTCCAGGAGAAGGAAGCAGAAATCGCGAGAGTTCTGCAGGCTAAAAGACATCGCGAGCGAAACAAGCATGAACCTGTCATCGTATCCCTGTCCTCTCTGCAGGACATACAGTTATGTTTGGATGTGATAGTGTTGAGGTCGTGGGTGCTAGTTGTTGTTGAAAATGAAAGAGATGAAGACGCGTCGTGGTCATCTAGATGATCAACATCAGCACTTTCTTTTTTCGGAATTTTTCCTTCTAATCCTAGAGCTTGGTGGTGCTGGAGGTGGGGCACGAGGTGGGGCATTCATGATGCCGAATAGGGGAAGGAGTCGACCGAGCGGCACAGCAAGTATGGAAGCGATGTTTTTATGGCAGAGGTTTGATTTTTTTTTTGAGTTTGATTTAGCTTGGGTCTGCTGTGTGAGATGCTGCTGCCGAGGCAAGAATGATTGCAAGCACGCCACAACTAGTTGTAAATGTAATGGAATGTTGATCATGATGCGACCAGAAACTACAGAAGTTGACTAGAGCATTTTTATATTGTTCCGTTCTAATAACAGCTGCAAAAGCAGCCGCACCTCCGCCACCTGAGGCAGCACTGGATGGGCAGAGGAGTGGCACTGCAGATGACCAGACGAGTCGTACCGATGATGCATCATCTCGCTCTCCACCTGGCTCGCCAGATGCTGCTTCTGCTTCTGCACCAGGGTCACCTCAAACGCCGCAATTTGCTTCGGCCGTCTCACCGGAAGAGGAAGACAGTGAGAGGCGATGAACGTCTTGATGAAGGGCAACGGATGCCTACTTTTGAAGAGGGGAACCTAAGTACTCGAATACGAAACAAGAAAACTTGTTTGGGGGTCGTGAGTGTCACTATAATTGCAGAGCAGTCTGGATATCTACAACTAGCAGCAATTGAAAATGAAATCGTATCACATGTAGATGTACTATGCTGATGTTCTAAGAAGAATTTGCTACATGCATTTGCTAGACATCTAACGAAGGAAGATCCTTTTCGATAAAAAAATGTACAGATTTGAAAAGTATACTAGTCCTTTTTCGACGAGCACGAAGACAAGCACGAGACAACTACAAGGACGCATTGTGATTTTCATAGGTCCTCTCCATGACGGAACGAGAGCCACACCATGTAAACGATGCAACATGTTGATCGAACATCATACCTGAAAGATCTAGATACATCAACAGTAACAAATTCAGTCAAGTAAAACAAAAACTGTCGCTGGCACAACTACCGGCTTTCCATAACTTCGGAAACCTTTTTTGTGCGTAAACGCGTCCCGAATGTGCTGTTGTTTTTGCCGTTTCTAAATGGAGGTCGGATGCTGCTTCCACCAAGAAAGTAGTCTTCTATCCAAACGCAGAACGCCAACGCACTGGCGTTAGTTCACCCCATCATTATCAACGAATCAACGAAGAAAAGCAGTACAACCTCTACTTCTTGAAATAAATGTTTGTTCTAAAAAGGTCAAAATCAAACTAATAGCCCTCATGTCGCAGTCCATCGCTACGACGGGCAACGCAGTGTTGCCCGTACGGCGTGCGAGTGGGCAGCTCACGTTGCAAGTGCAAGATGACCGCAAATTTAGCCTGAAGGAGGCTTTACTGAAAGCGACGGCTTCGGTGTCATCTTCCATAGGTACTGCTTCTGCGGGTCATAGTGCTCCTGGACATGGTGGTCATGATGGCGAAACGACTACTTCTTTTAAGGCTGTACCTAATACATCTTTGGGCGCATCCACCTTGAAGAAGTGTATGGAGGAGTATCCTAAGGGAATGCTCCCCCATACTTTGCAAGGATGCACTTGAAAGATGAGTTAATACGGACAGCTCTAAAAATTCTTCATCACAAGGAGGTGGGAAAGTAGGATCCTCTTCTAGTACAACTAGGAGTAGCAGCGTTCAAGAACAATCACTGACCCCTATCGTCATTTTCTTGGAACAGGTTGAGAACGTGCCTTTTGCAGGCTTTCTTTCGAATTACAATGCAGCTGCGGTTCTTGATCAGTATCAGAAATATGGAGGATTTGAAGGAGTAGATTCCGCTGTGGATCATGGGAGCAGCAGCTCTCGTTAAGGCTAGAGGTACTAGCTTTGTTTCATCCACCCTTGGACAGTGTTTGTGTTGCACATCACATTCGCAGTGGAATCAACAAACGGTAAAAACTCTAGTAGGGGGATGACCATAATTCTTCACCCGTGCTTCTCACTAATACCAACGTCGACCGCCCAATGCACCGGTACTGTGCAATTTGTGCACTCCCGATGGCCGTCGGGAGCAAATTGGAGGGAGTATGCCTTCGACTGGCATGCCTAGAGCCACAAGCTCTGTTGATTCTTCGACCTCTGTACGTATGCGTCTGGTCAACAAAGAAACGGGCTCCGCTGGCCCCTTCGTCGTGTGGGATTACAGGAGAGGAAACACCTGTCCCACTTGGTTTAGTGCGCGCAGTCTCGAGCGGCCACATGAAGTAGATCCTGGAGGAGTACAACATGGTGTTAGTAGTACATGTACAGGAACTGGAGTCCCCATTCGTCGCGCCCCCTCAGCAACAGCAGCACCCACGCTTCACCTTGAAGTGCAGATATATTCTCCTGGGGCGTCGAGTTTTTTAGCAGGAGAAGATACGATCTTAGGGCGTGGTCAAGTCCCGCTAGCCGATGTAGGGATGGGTGTTATGTTTTTGTCTGATAAGTTGGTTAGCTAGGCCCTCGTACCTGTAGCTTCGCAAGCGAGAACGCGTTCCATCTTCTTCTAAGTATAAAACCACCGTTCTACCGCTCTCTACGGAGCCCTCCGCTTTCGATCGAGTAGTTGAGTCACTTATTTTTGCTCTGTCACCATCTGGGCGAAGTGTGAAAGACTTTTTGCCGCAAGAGCAGCAGGACCCACCGAAGAAGAGAATGGTCGCAGAGGCATCTCGCTCAACATCATCTACGACGGCTACTCGTACAGTTAAGATTGATGAATACACAGGAGTAGTTGGTGCGTGTCTACTCTCTATAAATATGTAAACAGCTCTCCTTGGGCGAATACGTTCCTTTCCGTACCAGAAAAGGAGAGCGTCATCTAATATTGCAACTACCGCTGCGAACGCATCGCTAGCGAACAATGCAGCTAGTGTGCCCACACTCGATAGTGATCCAGATGGATCTTCTAGTTCCAAAGAGATCGGTCAGGCTATTGTCAAATTGCGGCGATTAGATGTGCAGGACCTGGTGACACGGAATCGGCAAAAGACGTTACGGGTCGTTCAAGTAAGAGATGCGTTGTGCTGGTGCTGTCTACCAGTTACAAGAAGATAAAAGCAATAGTAAGTAGTAAGTAGTTAAGTAAGTAAGTAATTATGTAAGTAGTAGCAAAGGCACTAGTAAAGATAGCAAACGTTTTGGATATTTTTTAGACCAGCAGCATTCAGCAAGAAAGTTTTCCCCATCTAAGAAAAGTCTACTTCGTGCGTCATGGCGAATCATTGTGGAACGAAGCGCAGGATGGTGGACTGTTTTGGAGGATGCCTGGGCTTTTTGATGCACCTCTGAGTTCCGCAGGCCGCAGACAGTGTGAGGATTTGGCAAAAGTCACGAGGCAGATGTTTCGAGGTAATTTTTACTTGTACTTACTGTATTTCGTTTCCGTAGGCTATTTCGTTGCATGTCCTTGTTCTTATGCCGAGTATTATAGTAGAGCATTTCCTAAGATGGATGATGGCTTGCATGGATTGCAATGCATTGCATGGATGGCATGGCCAGGAGGAGCGAAGGCGTGACCTTTTTAAAGGGGAAGCGCGCACTTCTCTGCTTGAACGCAGCGCCTCGCCTGACAAGGCCACAGGAGGGCCGCTGCCTTGCTTATCTTGTTGCGCTCTGCCCGCCCGCGGATAGGGGGGCTGCTTCTCGTAGGGGTGAGGCCGCGCATGGGCCACTCCCTTTCGGTTCGAGCTGGCTGCAGGGAGGACCGGACGCAGAGCGCCTGACGCCTGGCCGCGTTCCGTTGGAGATGCCAGCAAACTAGCCTAGACATTCGCAGCTAGATAGAAGCCGGGCCCCTAAGTAAGTGCGTGATGGTCGATAGGCGTAAGTGCTTAAGATGTTAGACTATGAAGCCCCCCACTGCCCCCCTGGGATGGAATTGCCATGCTTGCGACCATTGTGCTTACAATATATTGATGCTTATACTTTTTCGCTATGGGCCCGCGTTAGAAGTAACAGGAACGCAGTGGCGTTGGGCTTTCAGTCTAGCCCTGATTTCCGGCTGGGTTTAAGTAGGCACACGACAAGGGCGCTAGTTTCCTTGCGTACACAGGCTACGGCGCGCATCTATGGCCCTCTGCGTTGCCGGCGTTGGGGCGGTGGTCTTCGGGGGGTGTTCTGACTGTAGCCTGCGTATGCTGCGCCTGGATGCGAATGCTTCGAAGTTGCTTGCGCCCAAGCTGTTGGAAGGTGAAACTCGACTACAGTAAGTGCGGACGATGGCGCCCGAAGGGCGCCCCGAAAAGAAAGCGACTTAGTTCTAAATAGTGCCATCCATTGCCATGCATGCAATCCATACCGTGCATTTTAGAAATCTGGAAAGAGCGAAGTTCTCTATTATAGTATACCTACCTTTACTAGTGAGTATGGTACTCGTGCGAACTTGTTTTGATCAGGAGCAAACACCTGGACCTGCACATTTTTTACCTTCAACCACCTTCAAAGATTCCCCTCCGAGCGTGATATTTTGCTCGCCGTTGACCCGCGCGATTCAGACAGCTGTAATCGGCTTTCAGGATTTCGTCTACAGCACGCCTTTGCTTCTACTTCCTAGTGCGCGGGAGAAGCGTGGCTCGATCGCGTCTGTCGATTCTGCAGGCATCGCTGTGGGTGAGGACATCATTAATCACGTGCAGACAGAACTGCAGAAACTGTATGCTGAACAAAGTATGGATGGAGGATCTACTAAGTCAGGAACGACTACGACAGCTACCACCGCTGGTGGAGGCGCTTCTACGTCAGGAACTGTGACTGCAACTATAGGTGCAACTCAACACGGTGAGCAAGAGCATCTACCAAGACCACATGCAACTGCGATAAAACGACAGCGAAGTGATCAGTCGCAGCAGTCATCAGGAAAGTCGCGGTCACCCGCTGTGGTTGCTGCCCGCCCATCCGTGGCGAGCCTGAAGCGGCGAGGATCAGGAACATCTAGTTAGGAAGACTACTTCACTGTACAGTTAGACTCGTAAATATCAGCTTTTGCATTTGCTTACCACCGATTCTCTTTGTAACACTAAAAGTGCCTTTTCGTTTTCTTGCATAAAGAAGTTCATGTTGATGATACTGAGATGAACAATACGCCGTGCTCTAAGTCTGTGCAAGCAAAATGGAGGCAGGCGAAGAGGACGTTGTTCCTGCGTTTGTGCGGAATTTCCGCGAGTTGCAGTTATGGAGAACAATAGTGGCTATTCTGATCATCATGGGGTGTCATACATATTTATATATTTAATTCACAGTGTTCCTATTCTCATTCTCGCGTTCCGTTTTGGTTTTCCTTCACATGATTTTCCATTTCCTCCAATCCCTGTCGACACAAAGCAAGTTCAACAGCCCTGGTGGACATCTTGGGCAGATAGCCGTAGCGATTTGTTGCGGAGATTAGATGACTTCATGTGCCAGCTGATTTACTCGCCCTACGATAATATCGCAGTGGTCGGACATTCGCATTTCTTTCGCGAGATTTTCAGGAACTACATCCACAACGAGTTGTTTACTGTCGAAGGAAGGAGTGACGATGCGATGAAAGAGGATCATAAGAAGACGCTGATAATTATGGCGAGACGTCGTTGGATCTTCAGTGGTTAATGTGGTTTCTAATCACCTACTCGTGCTTGTCGCAAATTTACAAGATTTTCCCTTCTGAAGGCAGGGGCACAAGTAGTGGAAGACGAGTAGTTAAATTTTGAAAAAGTAACAAGGTGGACGAGGTAGATCTCTAAGATGAAGAAGCTTTGCAAAGACAAGATTTCGAATGCAGGAATGCTGAAACTGACGCTTCGGTGCGACCTGGCGGTGGATGCTGGATCTTATGGTCTGTGCAGCTTTGTTGTTGCTCGTGTTGATTCATCAATGCGGAGGAGGAGGATAATTTATTAGAGAGGAGTTTATAAAAAAATACGAATACCTCACATACTGATACTCGTCTTTCTACTCTTTCTTCTAATGAAAACAACAACGGCCAATTTCGAGTGCGGAACTGTGTGGGACAAGGACTCGCTTAGTCGGAGATGCAGGGATTTTTGGGTCGATGGATATGCTACGTGCTTGCCGTGGGCCTACAGGATCAGGAGGTGGGACGAATGTGAGACTCCACGATGCTGGAGAGTTGGTTGTGCCTACTCAGCTACAACCAGGCTGAGGGGAGCAAATGAGACTTCTAGATCTACATGAAGATTGTGTATTCGAAGACCTGAAGATCATGTGAGAAGACTTTGGCACAAAAAATCACGCACCACAATCATTCGTCACCTTGTCCGATTGCTATTCTTTACCTGTGAATATCCGGGTCTTATCCAGAAGTTTGCGTCAAAGAACAGGGTCCATTGTTTTCTTCTTGATACTCACGCACCCACGCGCATGGCTGAAGGAAGAACCTTACACACAACGCGCTGTTGAAAGTCGTCTTTGATGTTTGTCGTTGCTACTCAATATTGTCGGGAATATGTTGTTCGCAACAGTGGCTGATCTGCAGCACTTTGTAACAGGATGAATCGCGTTCATGGCGCGTTTTTGTTTGAGGTTGATAGATGTGCATTCCTCTGTGACACTAACATTTGGACAACAACAAAGAAAATTAATGAAAGCGGCATGGGTCATAAGCACAAGAACGCGAGCAGACATGCGCGCAATGACTCACTAAGTAAGAAATTCGCAATCAGCAGCAAGCAGCGTCTTCTGAGCAGCGAATATTTACATGTCTGCGTTTCATCCTTATAATATATAAGTTTTGAATTTTGCTCGAAATTTTCGGATCTATTCACAAAGAAAACAATTTTGAAAATTGATCGTTTTATCGTCCGCACACAACTCATAGGAATCCGTTGGGGTACTAGAATCTGTCTACTTTCACGAATTGAATAGTTCTTGATCTCTTTTTTTTTCCTTACACAGCAAATCACACAAAATGGCCGACGAAGAAGTGCAAGCCCTCGTTGTGGACAACGGGTCTGGTATGTGCAAGGCCGGTTTCGCTGGTGATGATGCTCCCCGCGCTGTGTTTCCGTCCATCGTCGGACGCCCAAAGATGCCAGGAATCATGGTCGGTATGGATCAAAAGGACTCCTATGTCGGTGACGAAGCACAATCCAAGCGTGGTGTGCTCACATTGAAGTACCCGATCGAACACGGTATCGTGACCAACTGGGATGATATGGAGAAGATCTGGCATCACACCTTCTACAACGAGTTGCGTGTGGCTCCGGAAGAGCACCCGGTCCTGCTCACCGAGGCTCCGCTGAACCCGAAGGCAAACCGTGAACGCATGACCCAGATCATGTTTGAAACCTTCAACTGCCCAGCCATGTACGTCGCGATCCAGGCCGTCATGTCCCTGTACTACTACTAACTTTTTTTACCACGTACAACTAGCACTGCTAGTACTACAGCTTGAAGGACTTCATTTGAGCAGCCGTGGTGTACTCTTGTGGTTTTCACACTATCAGTGCATCAATGATTGGGCCTGATATTTTTTTTCCCTGTTGCTTGCACGTGATTGATAGATTTATCTTTCAAAAAAATAAATTACAGTTCTTGATGATTGCGTCTCCTGTGTCTCAGGTACGCTTCCGGTCGTACCACTGGTATCGTGATGGATTCCGGTGATGGTGTTTCGCACACTGTCCCGATCTATGAGGGTTATGCCCTCCCTCACGCCATCCTCCGTCTGGATTTGGCTGGTCGTGACTTGACCGAGTACATGATGAAGATCCTCACGGAGCGGGGCTATTCTTTCACGACGACCGCCGAGCGCGAGATCGTGAAGGATTTGAAGGAGAAGCTCACCTACGTAGCACTCGACTTTGATGCAGAGATGAAGCAGGCAGCACAGTCCTCAGAAAACGAGAAGACCTTTGAGCTTCCAGATGGCAACGTCATCACCGTCGGAAACGAGGTACTACTGCCCCTAGCTAATTAGATGGCAACGTCGTTACCGTCGGAATCGCATGAAACGAAGTGTGTAGTTAGACGCAGAAAAAGGTTGGTGGCCTCGTCTCTCAGGCTGAATTACAACTCTTAAAAATACTAAGAAATCATCGCTAAAGAGAAATCACTCCTCACTGCCTCACACTTTCAGCGATTCCGATGCCCAGAAGTTTTGTTCCAGCCGTCATTCATCGGAAAGGAGTCCTCCGGTATCCATGATACCACTTTCCAGTCGATCATGAAGTGCGACGTCGATATCCGTAAGGATCTCTATGCCAACGTCGTGCTCTCTGGTGGTACCACCATGTTCCCGGGAATTGGTGAGCGTATGACCAAGGAACTCACGGCTCTTGCGCCATCCACTATGAAGATCAAGGTCGTTGCACCGCCGGAACGCAAGTACTGCTTTACGCCTACAACTAGAGGATAGTTTCTTCCTGATGTTGAGCTGATGTAGCATGGAACACTGATGTTGAGTTGATACGGTCATATTCATAGAATCGCAAGCAATTATTGTCTGCATTATTCTTGCTTATGAGCACCTTGTAGTCGTCTTCTTACATGACCCTCCAGCTGCTCGAAATTCTGATCAAGGCACTGAATGTGAATGAATGATTGATCATCTTTATTTACAACTACAATCAGGTACTCCGTGTGGATTGGTGGTAGCATTTTGTCCTCGTTGTCGACTTTCCAGCAGATGTGGATCTCGAAGAACGAGTATGACGAGTCTGGCCCGACCATTGTGCACCGCAAGTGCTTCTAAATGATCTCTTGTAACTCGACGGATGGCGCTAGCTTCTAACAACTACAACTGATTGAAAGTGGAGTCAGGAGGGGTGACGGAAGTGGAGCATCAGAGTCCTTTCTACCTCGAGCAAGTATTCATCCGGGATTGTAGGCCCATTCTTTCTTTCGCTGTCCTCACTCAGGAAAAGTACTAGGAGGAGTACCACGGGAGAAATGGGAACGACCTCATGATGGTACTACGCTGCTAGCAACCACGATCTGTTCACGCCGAATCCACCCTTTTCACTTCTGTTATAGTTGGATGAAAAATAATAGATTCTCAGTTTTTTCAGTACACCCGCCCCTCACTACTTACTATCATTCTAATCCCGAATTGTTTTCATCTGCTATCCTCATTGTTCGCTTGCAGGATACGAAACATCTTTTTACCTAGTTCTCGTCAACGTCAAAGCACCATTTTAACTCTATGATAAATCTGTGAAACTACGTTAGAAGCCCTCCTGGTGCGCTATTCCGTAATATTTCATCCCTCCTGTTGATCTACAACATGTCGATATGAGTAAACAGACCTCCTTATTCGCTTTTTTAGGATCTAATTAACCTCACGGACACGTCGCACACGTCTTAAAACCTATTACTCGTCTCACCATTTTGATTGTCAGTATCAGGATCAAAAGTCCTTTTGTTAATGTACCAAGGACCATCGATTCACTCGACTCGTTGGTAGAAGAAGGGCATGTCTGTGTAGGACATTGCGGAATATTGGTGATGAACTCTACAACCATGCTACAACTTCTGAAGTCTAGAACAAGAAACTCCGACGATGCCACGACGTTGCTGCAGTATACGGCCCGTCGCGTTTGGTGCGAAGGCGACCGCTGCGCCCTTCTCTTAATGCAATGTTTAACGGGTGACACGTTCACGTTTCCGATGGGGAAGAATTAGAAGCCTGGGAGCCGAGAGAGATAGAGAGAAAAGTCTGAGAGGAATGCGGATCACAAAAACAAAAAAGTGAGAGGAAAAAGGATGTCAATAAAGGACAAAAAATGCGTATCAGTCGAAAAGCAATCAAGAATAGAAAACTGAGGCGCAAATATTAGGCAATCCCATGAAAATGTAACACATTATCTTGAAGGACATTATGGGTGACAACTAGAATAATCAAGAATCACCATGTCAGTCTCTTCTCCTCTTGGAGGGGACGCCGGACCCCTCACAGACTACGCTCTGGCGAAGCAGCGGCTTGCTGAGAGGAGCCGCGAACTGACACAGCAGCAGCCTCAAGCGCCCCTGATGCAGCCGCAACCTGCGGCTGTTGTAGCACCAGAAATTTATGCCTCTGTAGTTTTTTTTTGTTTCAATCTCTGTTTCTCGTAACAAAAACTAGTACGTAGGTAGTTGCAATCTACTATCAGAGACTGTTGTGATGTTGAATTTTTACTAAAGCAACAACATCTGCAGGAAGAAGTGAGATTGAGAAGACAAGATCGCCCTCGAATAGCTGCCACCGGGAGACCCACTCGAGTCGATCGAAGCGTTGCTAGCGCAAAGCGAGCGCTTGATGACGCAAACAATGGCAATACCAGGTCGTGGAGCTTACACCACATCGAAGCGCGCCTATCACCAACTAAGAACAGTAGCCGTTAACGATGCAACTGCGGAAGATTACGTTAACTCGCCTGGAGGTGGAGCAGTGGTTGGGAAGAGTCGTCTTCCGGTAGCCGGTGTTAATGGAGGAGGTGCTCCTGTGACTACTCAGTATCCTGGAGCACATGTACAACAAGGGCAGATGTTGACAGCATCCTCATCAGGTGTTTTGAACCATGGCGCGGCGACATGTTGTTCGAGTGCACCTCTGCCACACTCATCGACGGGTTCTCTGGTTGTTAATCACGTAGCAAGCGGTGGAGGTGCGGCGACATCAAGTACTGCGACGAGTAACACTTCTTATGGCATTCCAGCAGCGTCTTTGTCAAGCACAATGTCAGGAGGACAACTCCTCGGTGCACCTCCAGGGGGCGGTCTTCACCTATCTTCCTCCAGCATATCTGCAACGGCAGCACCAGGAGCACTCGCTTCTTCCAGAAATCATGCTCGGCTAATGATCCAGCCGCCATCGACACGTCCACTAATGGGGTCGACGCCTCCTAAACTGACGACGCCAGGGATGTCTTTGTCCACGACGATGCCAATTGTTACAGCGAAATTATCTCCGAAAATAGAACACAGAGGACAGATAGCGGCGCCATCTACAGCAGCTTCTACTGGCTCGCAGATAATGGCTTCTGGTGCAGGCGGTTTCAATCTTCCTGCTAGTGTTGCTGCTGCTATGGCGACAACTAATACCGCAATGGGAGGTATGACTAGAACAACGAGTGGCGCGATTGCCGGTATTGATGCAGTGGGCGCAATTCCAGATGAGTATGGAGTTGATGAATCCATGGCAGTGTCGAGCAATTTGCACGTGCCACTGTTAGCCGCGTCCTGCGTGCAGAGCAGTGAGGAAGAACCGGTAATTTTTGCATACTGGTCATGGATGCGATCGTCCCATCATATAATTTTCAATAAAATGTATCATGATGATCCCTCTCTCTGTAAATTTTCCTGCATAGGATCATGCTTCCTAAGTACTTTTGCAGCAGGTAACCGCATCCTCCAGCATGCCTGGAAGTGACGGGGAACCTCATCAAGCATCTGGAATCGTTCCAGAGGGTGCCATTTACAGAAGTGGTTTCACACCTGCGCTAGAGAGTGTGCCAGAAGAGAAAAGCAATGTTGGATCCCCGGTAAAGCAGACAGATCAGGCTCACGCCACGACAGGTCGTCGCATCGTTGCAACATCCTCATCTTTTGTGGAGCAACAACCACAAGACCCTGGCATCACTGCGGCAGAGCAACAACAGCACATAGTCCAGACGTATGCAGGTGCAAAGATAGTACCGCAGGATATGCTTTCGCCCGTTGAAGAATGCGCAGGTGAGAAGGGCTTCAGCGCTGGTGTGCCGGAAGAGGCGGTAGTACAGGCGCAGCAGGAGGACCCTGAAGTACCGCTACCACAGGCACAGGCGGCACAGATGAATCTGCCCCCCGTTCGCGGCGCAGCCGGATCTTACGCAGGGAACAAGAGCAGCAGTTCATCGTCCAAGCGAGCACAGTCGCAGAGTAGAGACCACGTTGACAGTGAGGAGGACGGCCCTTCAGCTGTACCACATACGGGAGCATCGTCAAGGCCACGTCTGAAAAGGAAAGCCCCGACTGATACCCGACCACCTCTTCGAACTGGATCTGCACCTGGAGCAGGAGATTCGCGAACATCGCAACCTCCATCAAAAGGAGCAGTGAGTTCGTCCTCGAGTGGAGGTACAACTAGAGGTGGAAACAGCAATTCGTACAGTACTGCGTACAGTCGAAGAAAAGCTGCAGCAGCTAGTGGGGGTGGACATCACAGCACGACGTCGGATAACCACCAGAAAGAAGCAGCTACATCAAGTTGTGCACCAGGACCAGCAAGTGAGCACGCAGGCAGTGCGAGTGAGGATGACGTTTTCACCCTAGCGGAACGAGTCCGGCAACAACGTGGAGAAGAGCAAAGGCCTTTATTCCATTTCATGGCAATGAGTGAGTTATTCTCTGACGCCAATCCAAATGCTAGACGTACGAAGTTGATGAGTGGTAGGGACGCAAGGGTAACAAAGATGTGGCTTGAAGCGGGCTTGATGCATCCTAAACTCCGCGAGTTGAATGAAGCAGCAGCTAGAACGGGGATGGATAATGTCTCCAAATTGCAAACTTTGCTAGAAATGACAGATACCTTTTGGTTCGGGTCATATGAAGCTCCGATAGAACACGAGGTGGAGGAAGAGGAGTTAAGATAGCTGGACATGATGTTTTTCAGTGAGTGTCAGTTTTCAACCTGACATTCAAGAAGATTCGCAACTGCGCTTTGTTAAGAGTGCTCTAGTCAGTGTAACGGCAGAAACTCCTACCTCTAAGTGAGCGCAACGGTGTTGCCCCGTCCGGCGAGAAGCCAGTCATCTATTATGCGGCCGGCCTTTATGTTGCGGAACAGTTGAAGCATCTAGCACACATTGAGGATGGTAATGAGAAAGCAACCGGCATTATTCTGCATTTTGTGCTGAATGAAAGTGCCGAAAAGTTTCGCGTCAACAATGCCAAGACCTGGCTAGAAAACACGCTGGCTTTGCATCTTCAGCAGACTGAGACGCATAGTGCTCAGCAGACTCAAGAGGGGCAAATCCCTGGGCAACAGCAGCAACAGGTACTAGAGGATGGCGGATATGGTAGAATTGGTATCGATGAAGAGATGGATCATGATGCATCAATGCAGCAAGGGCAGCCACGCATGCGCCGGAATGAACATGATGCTCAAATAGAGCATGGCTTCACTCCTGCCACCACAAGTAGTAGAGCACCGTTAGCAGAACGCCCTGTGCTGCTTTCCTCTGCTGATAATTCCGCATGTAGCGCATCAGAAGATGTTGTGAGTGCAGCCGCGCTTCCTTCACAACAACATCAACATGAAAATGCTGGTAGTACAATAATACGACCACCTGCACCAGCACTTCATACGGCTGCATCAAGTGGAGGTGCCTTTCTGAGTGCGGTTAGTGCATCGACGTTTGAGCAGGATCCACAGCAGGCTGCTAGAGACGAAGATATCCTAGCCGAACTAGCGGAAGCAGCTACACAGCAGGATCATGGTGTTTTCAGTACTAGTGAGGAGGAAAGAGATTCCTTGTTTCTGTCATTGCAGGAGGCCAATGGTGACAACAACGGGAAGAACAATGAGCCATTATCGTCTACAACTTCGGGAGAACAAGTTGTAGGGCGGAAAATAACGGACCACCAACCAGGCCGTCCTCTGCTCTGCGATCCTATTGTGAAGACGCTCCCGAGCGATCATGGAAGCAGAGGGGAAGAAAACGACACTCCTGTGCCTGGATTTGAGAATGAGAAAACAGCAACAGGAACAGCCCAGCTCCATTATCCCGAACCGTCTACCTCTAGTGGCCTCCTGTTCAACAAGAACGCCGGCGCAATGGCAATGGCCCCTCCTCCTGTTATCGGCCCCCCGCAGCCACAGCCTCCTCTACTTCAGCCGACAGGTGCAATGAGCCAGGTCTTGCCCATTCCGAAACCAGGGAGCATTTCTACGGGAAACATCGAGCCTGCGCCTGCACGTGACGTCGAGTTGATCGAGAACAATCAGGCGACGGGCGGCACGTGGAACAGAACAATGGATGGCTCGCAGATGACAGCTACACGGGAAGCTCAACCTCCACTATCGCCGTCTCAAGTTAAGACCACGAAAAGAGACAAGATTTTCGTCAAGAAACTTGAAGATGTCTAATATCTCTATGTCTATCAAGTAGAACTACTAGAAACAAGAGAAGCTAAAGCCTTCCATCCTCTTCTAATCCCTTTTCTTACCAACAGAAAATTGAGCGCGCAATGGGCGTGGCATCTGGTGAGTCCCCGCTCAGGAAGGATTCGTTTTTTGAGGAAGCGGCGAGACAAAAACTATGGGTCTCTGAGAAGGAGTGGGAAAATCACGGGTTTCCTGGGTACTTGTATATCGTGTTGAAACCACTAGGAGGTTGTCTAGTTTCAGGTTCCTTCAGCTTGATCGTATCAATCTATCAAGGTACAGGTCCATTTTTTTTCATACATCATGATCATCGAAGAATAACAATAACAGTCTTTCGCCCCGGCGTAGTAGAACCAAGTATGAAAGCATCTTCTACTACTATCTTCAACGTCAAAACTCGAACAACAAGGTTCCCCGGCGACTGGCATCCACGAGATTTTTCAGAGTTGCGCAATGTGCCAGACCGGGAAAGGAGTCCTGTTTTTGACGAGCGACGGAGTGCCGCGGAGGCGGATTACTTGAAGCGAATGGTTGTTGGTCGCAGAAAAAAACTCTTAGAAGAACACTGCTATCGCCTATCTCATGGCGCTTTCGCCGTGAAACACAAGAGCGATGCAGCAATTAGCGATAGCATGGCAAATGCTATTCTCTGTAGTCCCAAGGTTCAGACATCACAGACAGGACTAGATGCTGGTAGTAGTTGGGTGCCGGAGGATGGTATTGCGTCGAGCATTGCAGGAGGTCACCAGGATCTGCAGGCAAGTGGGATAATGAAGCTGCCGAGTCCGGTATGGACACACTTTATTAGTCTATGGCAGTCACAGTCGCAGTCAAGAACTAGAGACTCAACACAACGAAGTGAATTCGTCTGACACGACCTTATACATGATGATCATAGAGCTGGGAGGAGAGGGAACAATGAAATCAAAACATCATCAAATTAAAAATACATTTCAGGCAAAGCCCGAGGACTGGGCGTCTGTCGACGAAGTCGTTGTTCGTGGTATGATGGCACGCGGCCATTCGTCTGGGTCTACCCCAACGCGCACAATCAATGAACGAGGATCCGGCGGACGGCTACCTAACACCACCTCCGACGCCGCCTGTTCTCCAAGAACGAAAGCCCTCGCTGCCCAGCGCGCAGCCTCTTGCCGTGGGGAGTCTCCAGGTCCAGATGGAGCACAGCTTGGTCTTGGAAGTAGCCAATATTCATCTTCACCGTTCCAGCAGCCGAATAGTTTGCATTCGATGTCGCAGCAACAACAGACAGGAGGACCAGGAAGTAGTCCAGGGATGCTAGCGCGAAAATTAGGTATGGGCAGTTATGAACAGGCGAAGCCGGCTCGCGCATTAGTGACTGGTGGTGGCGCAGCGCCGCCTTTCTGTATTGACGCAACAACTACTGCCACTACAGGGACAGGGGGAGGTTCTGCCAGTGTCAGCAATCAAAATCATGCAGCATTGCGGCCACCGCGTGCGCCACCTTCCTCGGGTGCGTCGAGTGCTAGGGCACGAGGACCTCCGAACTGTGGACAGCCTCTGGCGAGTAGTAAGAGTCGAGCACGAAGTAGTTCTGCTCGTGGTGCAAAAGATCGCGCTGCAGGTCAGGGACAGTTGTTAAGACCATGAGCATGATGGCAATTGGCAAAATAGGTATTAACCTTACCAACATAGCATGCATTCCATTTCCATGTTCTCCAGCGTCTAGTATTAATCAACTTAAATCATAATCAACTACATGTTGTTGTTTCTTCTTCTAAATTCAGCCGTATCATCCAGTCAATCGAGTAGTTCTAGTAGTCGCGGTACAAATCCGACTTTAAACGTCGTGCATCGTGTAGAAGTGAATGCCGCATCACCTTCCGGAAGTGCTTCGTCATCAGCAACCCAGCGTCCTCGTACAGCAGTGCAGCAATCCTCCTCAGCCACCGACTTGAGAGCAGGGTCCGTTGGAAGAACAGGGGAAGCACGGACTGGCAGTCAACATCGATCTAGTAGCGCCAGCGGTGGAGACAAAATCAAAATGCTTCCACCAAATGGGAATCATCGGGGAACGAATACAACAACGATGAACATGAGTCCTAGACTTCTAAAGAACGGTAGTACAACCAGACGTGGCGCCTCAGTTTCTGCACCTTCGTCATCCAGCAAAACAGGCCAGGGGAATGCTGGAACGCGAGGCGCTTCCGCAACGAGGGCCCAAGAGCAAGCATCTTCTTCGCAGTATGCAAATGTGATGGCGCCACGACGGATTTTACCACCAGGAGGAGGAGGAGGAAATAGTACTATGACATCGAGCTCATCGAGTACAGGCAAACACCGTCAACCGCAATTAGAGGAGCTCTGGAGTAAGGATAGTCTAGATGACAGTGGCGCGATCGCGCTCTCAGCTGATATGGTTTCGCCAAAAGCATCTCCGTCTCGTCAAATAAATCGAGCACTTCAAACAGGGAACATCGTTGGAGGAGGTGGGAGTAAGAATCTTGTAGCGCAAGCCTTTCGACAACGGGCTGCGTCGCCGTCGGTAGGTGGTGTGCGTGGAGGTGCAAGTGTGCGGCAATTGTCGGCGAGATTACGGCAAGAATTTGATTACTTAGTATCTTTTTGTATCTTTTCGGGTTTTCGTCGCAACAGTCCTTCCTTCTTGCATCCTTTAGAGAAACATCAACATGATATCATGTAGCACGCTAGCCTGATAATCTTCTACCTCTAGTACTTCTTCTACATCTAGCTACTTCTCCGCATCTACTTCTGCGCATCTTTCTAATGACCACCCGAACAAGAGAAGGCTCTCAAACTAGGCGAAGTGTGAGTCCGAGCGTCGCGGCTGATATTGAGCAGTTAAGAGGAATGGAGCACATCATCCAACAGTCTCAGAACTTGAGGAGTCGCATTCTAGATGTAACGCGCGAGTCGCAACGTGTGAAAGAACAGAGTCGAGTGGTTGGCGCAATATCGCCTTCCGCTTCTGCTGTTTCGAGCAAGCAAGGAGTACTAACGCGAGGAGGTCTAGTAGTACAACAGGGTGGATCTTCTTTTCATGGGTCGTTTGACATGACAAATTCGACAAAAAATGAGCAGGAAAGTTCTCGAGGACAAGGAGGTCCTCAGAAGAACATGAAGAGAGGCTCGCCCTCGGGAGGATCTTCATCTTCTTCGAGTTGTAGAAATCTGAATCCTGCTGTAATGCGTGCATGCTCACCCTCTATTCGGGAACGCGCGGCAGCCGTAGAATCCTCATCAGCGGCACTAGCAGCAGCGCATGTCCAACTCAGCGATAGGTATTTTGAAGAGAACCTGCAAAGATTAAAAAACGGTGGAGCCTCTGCGATGTTGAACAACAGTTGTGAGCGGACTCACAACAATATGCATGGTTCAGGGTCTTCTAGTACTTCTGAACAATTTATTGCGCAACAGCAGGATCATGATGTTGGTGCTGGATCATCTTGTTCAGTAGTTCGTTCCGACGCGGCCCTTTCCACAAGGACTCGAGCCGGAGCAGGAGGAAAATTGTCAACAAGTAGTAGCTCCTCTGAGCGTGTATCGTCTACAACCGGCAGTAGGATTAGACACAGAAGTAGTAGAGGAGGTGAGCAACGTTCTCTTCGTCTGAACAACAATGCGTCTAGCATTACCGAAGAGCAAGAAATCGAGGAGGGCGCTGTGTTGGAGGCTACCGAAGATGTCTGGTCCCAGCTAGAAGGTGTGCGTGCTGAGTTGGAACGAGCTAGACCTAAGACATTGGTGAAGCGCGGAAGTGAGCCAACAGCGACGACTGGAGCTGGAGGACACATCCTTTTACAAGACCAAGCTAAGTCTTTTTATCCAGAGCAACGGACTCATCTTGAGGAGCGCTCGCAGAGCAGTAATATGACTGGTAATTCATACATGATTGCGGGAGGTGGAAATAGAGTGCTCGAAGTAGAAACTGCACAGGGACACCAAGCATCGTCGAGGAAACCTCCAGGAGAAAGTGTGGTTCCGTCAACCGCTGTTCCCGCTAACGCTATTAGTAGTGGAAGTAGCAAACAGAGTACTAGAGTAGTACTGGATTCTTCTGGAGCGGCTAGCGCTGGAGGAAGCAAAAGAAGCACGCATTCGAAGCAAGAAACTTCTTTCTGTCCTCAAGATAGAACATCTTCTTCAGGGCAAGCTGGAGCGCATCATCACGGAGCAGCCCCGATTCTTGTTCCACCAGTTGTCGCGCCAAATCTTGCCGCGATGAGCGCGCTCGAAGTTGATCAGTTGCTAGCTGCAGGAAAAGCAATGATATCCGATCCGATAATCACAAGTCAACCGAACAAGTCGAAGTCTACGAAGTCTACTTCTTCTTCTGGTACCGTGTCTGACGGAACAAGTGCAACTGCAAGTACTGCTGTTGTCCTCACAACGAGCAACGCAACTCGAACAACCGCGAGAACAACTGCTGTTAGTGTGAGCAGCAATGGCTCTAATGTTGGTCTTCGAGGACATGTCGGCGCTGCTCTTCCACCTAGTACTCTAAGTAGTAAAGGAACAACTTCTGATGTCCCTCCAGAGCAGGAAATAGCAGCACCGACAGCGACTTCGCGTAGGGTGAAGACTGAAAGTGCGACGCGAGCCAGCGTAGTTGGGTCTTACATGGTGGGAACGCCTGAAGTCCCTGGTGCAGGTATGTCCCAGAAGTCGATAACAGCCACCTCTAGCCACGCTTCTGGGCCTGACATCAATCAGGTCTATGGAAGCGATTGGGTAGCGTCGATGAAGATGCTGACACCTGGAACTCCTGGAGTGGAGCTCAGCTCGAGTTTTCATCCCCGCGCTGGTGCTGTAGGACAGACGAAAAAAGGTGATGAGGCGGTTGATGGGTGGTTTGGATAGAGGAATTAAGTCAAGAACGCTTGAGAAGACACAAGAATTCAACATTTCTGAGCGTGATGAAATTTTCCGATTTTTTCACTTGAAGACAACATAAAGGATCACAATGATGATCTTGAATATTTTTTTCTCAATTTATTGTTTTAGCAAAAATAGCAGCACTGTGATTATTTTCTTGATTCGTCCTCAATCTGAGATGAACATTGTTAATGTCGATGAATGATACAGCTAGAGTTGGAGCTGCGGGTAGACGCAACGCACGCTGATTTCCAACTGCTTACGCGAATGCAAGTGATGTTGGTGAATAAACGCTGATTATATACCGCAAAAAGTATTGAAGATACGTTATTTTCCAATCAATTTCACATTTGACTTTGACAGGAGTTTATACTAGTAAGCTAAGCATAAGATGGACCAAGGGTCATTGACGCCTGAGATAAAATACAATCCAGTTGTTCCAACACGACAGTGTTGAGTTACTTTGATAAGATTCATCTGAACGAAATGCTTTGATAGAAGATAGGATTGAGATTGCGCAAGCTACTGCTACGAAGCTAAAAAAAGTATCTGAAGAGAGAGAAACAACGAACGCTGAAAAAGAGCATATTGTTTTACATCGGGTGACGCACATACGAAAATCAAAATCTCGTTGGCTAATACTTGAGTATGTGTATTCCAAGTTGTACATGCTAATTCATTGGTGGTTGCTCATAGCAGTTTGTCATAGGTGTTCTTTTTTACTCAACATAGTCAACAGACTTGTACACCATAGATAAAAACAGACCTTGTAATTAGAGTATTGTTTAAGCCATCTTCTTCTTCACGCATCAATATGATTGGATAAATTTGGTATCACATGCATAGCTCTTCAGTGGTAAGTTGTATTGTACATAGTAGCTAACACGCGCATATAGTCGGAGTACTTCACAGAATCTTCAATCTTTTGTCTCCCGGATATTGCTGGCCGGAGTTGGTGTCGACCTATAATTGCAGCTAGTATCACGTATCTATAGGCCGGAAGGGTGTCTTGCTTCTTGGCTCCTGATCACAGCGTGCGTGCTACGCAGTGTTTTCTCTGCACTAACAGGTGATGAACCAGGTCTCTGAAGCTGCGGCTGACGGCCTTTCAGATTTTTTTGAGAGATCCTTGAAGAGCCCGGAGAGATGGCAGGGATGCTATTGTCAAGGTCGTACAAGTACTTACTTTGGTCTGTGATGGAGATCATGATGCATCATTATACTTCTCTGAAATTGTGATTCTCCATTTTACCCTGGTAATACCATCCACTAGACAAGGTCATGCCGAAGCCGACACCAGGGTCTTCGCGCCATCCTTCAACATCTGCTTGCACTCTACGACCATGCGCAGCTTTGATGGTTGCACCACATCCACTGGACGCTTCAGCCAAATCGGGCGAGAGCTTTCGCTCTTCAACTTTGGCTTTCTCCTGACCTGCTTTTTCGTCATCTGGCTGTTGGGAATTGAAAGCCATTTTTTGGGTTTGGGATCTTCAGACGATGCTTCGAGTCGTGATCTAAAAAGCTTTCTACCTCCAGTTTTGCAGGAGAGCAGGGATTTGGAAGCGCTTTTGGCGGCTTCACATTGCTATCTTGCGATTAGCTTCAAGTCGTCAGAAGATGGTGTCCTCCATGCAGAGACTCTGCGCAAAGGACTGGAGGAACGTCTGCGTGGAAGGGTTCCCCAGTTGAATGTTTCGATTGTTGGAGCAGGTGTAAAAGGTGATGAAGATTTGCCTGGTTCTGCAGTAAACTACGTGGCATCATCTGAAGCGCCACAGTGCTCTTACTCATTAGAAATACTAGGTGCCGAAGCTAGTACGGAGCAGGGTGAGAGTAAACCTGCAGGGCATCTGAGGCTCCAGCTTTCATCAAAGAGTGTCGAAGGCCGTCTTCTCATCCCCAAGACAGAGGTGCAAAGCGGGAAAGAAGAAGACCTCACACAGTTGATAGCATCTGCGCTAGAGGCTACTTGGTTTAAACCTGTAAATGGCGAAAATGTCCGCAGACGATGGGGCTCAGATCCCTTGTACGTGTTGCAGTTCCTATTCTTGTTACAAGATCTTCATGAAGAGCAAGAACACCTACTACAGCTACAGGAGGCCGCTGAAAAAGAAATCGTTCGACCACTGCGCCATTTGTTTGACCTGGACGTAGAGTGGCAGGATGTTTACCAAGCTGGCGGCAAAGTAATGATTATGGGTGTAACAAATTCATCATCTCCAAATGAGTCATCTGAGAGATTCTAAGTCATCTGGAAGAGAAGGAGTCATCTCTCTCTCTCCAAAGATGAAAGTCATCTGGAAGAGATGAGAGAGAGAGAAAGACAAGAGGAAAAAGGGACAACAAGAGAGATCCCTGAGATGAATTCCCGATATTTTTATCTCTAAAATGAGCAAAGAGTGGGAAGACGTAACCTCTGATGAAATCCAACAGCATTTCCTATCCGAAGCGAGTGCGTGGACTAGCGAAGTCGTTTCGCGCGGGGCTCACAAGCTCCCACACTTGAAGAGATTTGGTGCACGATTGGTAGGAGGTGGCGGGGAAGAAGTAGATGCGGTGGATAACGAAGCAGTGGTAGATCAAGATCAAGATCTAAAACAACTAAAAGGAGGAGAAACGACAGATACCAGCAGCAGCACCACCTCTTCTAGCGAAACTGAAGTCGATCAACTACAGGTGAAAAAAGCAAGTACAGGAGCCCCGCCAGAAAGTGCAACTACGCCAGAAGAGACTAAATTTGAGACCACTATTAAGGTAACGTCAGGTTTTTCAATATCTGGTTGGGGCGTCATGTCGATGCGCGATGAACTTCATCTGGACACGTGGATTTCCTACCTTCGTCGCTGCCTAGGTCTCAAGCCGATTTGGGCGAAAGAAGCAGAAGTAGAACTGAAAGTGGACGAGGGAGGTGCTTCTAGTTCTAGCAGAAAAGTCTCGATGCGGGTCAGAACAACTCCAGACTTCAGCAAGTCTTCACTGGAGAAGAACACGGAAGACGCCATATTAACGTCAGCTACAGGAGCAGCAGATCTTCTATCGGCTCCTGACAGCACACGAGCAACTACTACACAAGAACATCACCGAGAAGTAGTCGTTTTTCTCCCTTGGGAGATTTTAGCCTTGGGACGCTTTTTCTTGGGTGTTTTCCTCCATAGAATCCGAGAAGTCGAAGAGGAAATGCAAGAAAGGACAAGAGGTGGCGTGTGGACGCATGGAGTACAAGTCCCTCTACGTGTCCGTCAGAAAGTGCAGTTGGCGGGAAAGAAGGTGCAACAACTCGTCCTCACAGCAAAGACTGATCTCTTCTCTCGCTTGCGAACTGTGCGCCAGATCCTCTACCTCATGGAGGAAGCCGCACGCGATGAATCGATGACTGCAGGATTGTACTTCTCTGGCGAATTCACGGCAGCAGTCTACCTGCCGATCGTTTTGCCTGCTTTGATTCCTTTTATAACATTTTTTGGACGAGCAATCAGGGCTTGGAAGCATGGTGGACTTAGTACGAGAATGAATCAGAATAAATGTGACTGAAGATGTAATTGATGTTGATGGAAATTGTCGCAGTATTTTTCAACGATGAATAGGAATCATCTGTCTGAAGTGGCAATATAAAACATCACCTTATAATTGTTCTGTAAGTCAAGCCTGTGTTCCCGCGACCTGCTACGCATCACTTTTAGTAAGTATGAGGCTCTTAACGCCACTTCGATCTACTCCAGTGAGTCTAAAACTTCACGTCTTGCATCAGGAGCAATCTTCCCCATGATGAGAATTGGTAATTTTTGTCAAAGTACGACTCTGTGGCCCGCCTCTCCTGGTAAAAAGGCAGAATGTGCCATTGCTTCTAAGCGGCATCAAGATGAATCTGAATCTGTTGTATGCCATCTTCACAGTTACATCACGATCCCTGGAATTTCAATCTTGTGCAAGACTGCAATCTAGATGAAGTAGAGGAAGTGGTCGTATCTTCTCAATGTAGTGGAGGTGTATCGTCTCCAAGCAGAAGGCAACCCATCAGGTATTGAATCAATCATGGATAGTCGTGATGATCATGATACGTTTACGTACTTGTTCGTAACCTCCATATATTTTATTGACAATGCGGCCAGTAGGTGCGGCAAACAGTGGGACCTATCTAGTCGTAGTCGGCGATACTAGGTGTGTGATGTATAGTGTTACAACTACTGCATTAGCTGTTAGGTAGGGATGCTTCTCGTATCTTCGTTCTTTCCCTGTTAACCATATACACTCGGTTTTGCATGTAACCTACAACATCGGACTTCTTTTTGTTTTCCGTTTCTTCTTGGATTTTCAGTTCAACAAACGAGTTTGTACATCACACGACCACAACGACTGAACAATCTCCAAAGACCAAAAAATGGCTGAAAAACGTAATCGTTGGGGCGCTGAGCCCGATGCGCCTGCGGTAAAGCGTAATCGATGGGGCGCCGAGCCAGATGCTGCACCCGCACCGCCTGCTGCAGCAGCTGCTATGGCTGCCATGGAGAGCCTCAAAAAGAAAAAAAATCTAGCAGAACAAGTCAATAACTTGAGGTACTGAAGCCTTTCTTACGATTTCAATCTTTCTCATGATATAGATATACCTGATTCGATGTCTGTAGCCACTGCCAATAGCAATAGTCGGACCATGTCAAAGGTATGAGAATCTTCTGAGAGGTCATACTCATTCTCATACTAGGCATCATAATATGCAAACCATAACCGCCTTCAGGGCTCCTAAACTCATCATCGATTCCCTGGGTCGCGAGCTGGATGAGAACGGCAAAGTGATTCCGATGCGAGCGCCGAATGTCGCGACCTTAAAGATCAATCAGAGATCACGCACTGACGCAGCAGCTGCGTCGGGTGCTACTGGTGGAAGTAAATTGGCTTCGACGCATTTACTAGCAAGTCTTGGACCACCTGCGGCAGTGAAAGTTAAGGATAGCTACAGCCCTAATCACGGATTGTCTTTGTCTTAGTCTTACTCTTGCATGAGGTCAACATGCAATAGCAATAGATCTAAGGTGGGAATTGCTTTCACTCTTTCTTCGGATACCTGAGTCTTCGATCTCGAATCGTCATTTGATAAAACATAAACAACTTTAACGGAAACGTCTACCTCTTCTAATACAAGTTCCGGCAAGAAAGGCATCCCAGGCGGTGCGCAGTCGATGGTATCCACACAGCACGCGAGTGCGGCCGCTGGCGTCGCATCCATGATATCAGGGATCGCGTCTCACATGCGTGTTACTGGAGGCACAGCAAGTATGATCAGCAATGCGCAAGTTCCCGGGACACAAAGCATGATGTCCGTACAAAGTTACGCGACGACAACGTCCGTGCAGCCAGCAGTCTCTGCGGTTAGCTCGGTGGTGAATAAACAGGTACAGAGATGATCATTACTCTTTTAATACTTGCGGTTGATCTTGTACTTGATCATGATCGTATCAACGTCTTCTACAAAAAATGAACTGAAAATTTTTACATTTGCAAAATTTTGATGGATACAGATAAACTGAAGATGTAAAAAAATTTTTCCTCTTGTCCCATCTCCAACGACAGGGTCTCGAAGTTTTGCATAGTGGAAGGCATTTTGACCCAAGTGTGAAGCTGTCAAGGGCTGGAGGGCGTGATAAGCGTCGTATGATGGGTTTCAGTTTTGTACAGGATGACAAATACGTCAAGCAACAGGAAGAGAAGCAGAAAGAGGAAGCTAAAAAAGCTGCAGCAAAAGCACTGGAGGAGAAGAATAGGAAGGGAGCGGAGGTAATGATGTTGATCTACAGCTTTTTAGTAGTAGACAATTAATAATTGGACTCCTTGACTCTTTTGTAATTTTGTTTCCTAGTTAGATGTGCTCCACCGATATTAGTATACAAGATGAATGAGTTTGAGTTATTTGTTCAAATTGAAGCTTGCCTCTTTGATGTGGTGTTTTCAAGCGTACGGTTGATAACGACATCAACATTTACATTCAAACCTACATCAACAGGCTGAAGGCGTACAGCAATCTGGCGCTGAGTTGATTGCGATATCGACGAAGGCGAACCGGCCTGAGCCGGCTCCCATCCCAGTCGTGCGCGAATGGTGGGACACACTCATTGTTCTAAAGCCAGATCCAAACAGTGTCTCCTATGGCGGGAGCTCTTCTTCCTCTTCTCTGGGAGGATATGAAGACGCTCATAACGATGCAGACCGGATTGATGCCAAGAAGATCACGCATTTCGTAGAACATCCAGTGCCGATCCGACCTGCGACTATGAACATGCAATTGAGCATTGTCGAGAAACCCTTGGAGAGTATGCTGACACCGCAGGAGAGGAAAAAGCTGAGACGACGAAATAGGCAAGAACGTGCGCAACAGATGCGAGACAAAATTAAGATGGGATTGCTGGAACCGCCACCGCCGAAGGTACATACTAACAAATACATTGAAAACATAGTATTGTTGATTTTCATGCACCATGTCTAAAAATGAGAATGATTTAATAGCAGTAGAACTAGTTTGCCTGCATCACATCATGAAGTTTAATCTCACTATTTGTACAAGACCTTCCACCGCCCACCGCAACAGGTAAAATTCTCAAACTTGATGCGTGTCTTGGGCGATGAGCAGATCGCGAATCCTACGGAGATTGAAGCTAGGGTGAAAAAACAGACTGAACAACGACGGCTCGAGCACGAAAAACGCAATGCCGCTGCCAAACTTGCTCCCGAAGAGCGCAAATTGAAGAAACAACAGCGTTGGGACGGAAACACGGTCGGCGGTCCCGCACCCAAGACAGACGGCACATCTCGCGTGAACGAAACGCACGTTTTAGTCTTCTCCTTGAAAGACGTTTCGAACAAGAAGCATCTGTACAAGATCAACATCAACGCAGAACAGTTTCAGCTCACTGGCTGCATGATCCTGTGTCCGGGACTCGCGAATTTGCTGTGCGTAGAAGGCGGCAAGAGAGCGATCACGCGCTACAGAAAATTGGTTACGCGGCGTATCAAGTGGAACGAAAATGCAGGCGAAGAAAGCGACGACGAAGAAGCAGACGCGAACCCAGCAGAGGAGCCTGCGACGCTCATGTGGCAAGGTATTTTTTACACTTTCGACTGGACTACTCTCTCTCTATACACTTTAGACTTTAGAAGAAACTTACTTGTAATTCTATCAAGAATGACATTGAAAGTGTCGTGCAGATCACATGTTGTATTGACATCTGCTCTTTCTTCCACTTATCTTTGGTGCGACGTTTCCCACACACCAAGATGAAGACCACCGACACCTCCAACTTCTAAAATTTTCTTCCCCAAACAACTGCAGGTACGATTGAAAAGCGACTTTTCGATAGTTTCAAAGTGCACAACGTGAAGACCGAAGCTGAGGGAAGACAGCTGTTGTCCTCAAGAAACTGCGAATCGTACTGGACAATGCTGGAGAGTTTCCGAGATTCTAAGCAAGATTTGTAAATCGAGAATTGCGGCAGGGCTAGAGGGTGCTTCCGCTTAGAAGGTGTAGCATGGAGGAGGGCTGCACTTTTTCCCTTGAAAATTCACGAGGAATATATCCATAGAAGAAGATGGAATAAGCGGAATACAATTACTCTTACTCTTCATCGCAGCCTTCGTTGACGACCTCACAGTTTCACCCATAACAACATGTGAAAGCCATGCCCATACCCCTTGTCGCCTCCCGAATTTCGACATACTCCCATTGACAATACAAATTCGAAGCATGAAAATGAATATCATAAATTTACTTCTACATATCGTGGCCCAGGATTTTTGCTGCACGAGAAAAGTGGGAGTGCGCTATTCTTGACGCAGAAGGAGGAAGCTGGTTCCTCTGTGTAACACGAAGGGGCTCTCAATTGATACCCTTGTTGCGAGAAAACTGAAGTCATCAATACAAATCTTCCTTAACCATTTTGCGCGTGGCTGATGAGAGAATTGGCATACGAGCAATCAGGAAAAAAGTATGAATCTTCATCCTGTCATCCTGATAAAATGCCTATGAATCACAAATCAAGAGTGAGGAATACCACAATGAAACTGCAGCATCTGATACGGTGGATCTCCAATAATTTAAAGCATTGCTGAAGCAGCAATTGAGAAAGTCGCTTTGTATGATTGTCGGCTGTATAGCTTGTTACCTCATCTTCTTGATAAGTATCATTCAACACGAATTTTTCAACAGAGGACCAACAGGTCACGGTGAGGAAGATATAGTTGTGTACTGGTCGTAGGAAAATATAAGCCATTAGAACTGTGTCCTAGCTTGTTCCGTAGCGAGTTCGTAGGCGTCGTGATAGAAGAAGTTCTGCAGCTTTTGTTCTGAATAGAGAGAGACGACACGGAAAAAGATGGGTTTCTCACTCGCGCATATGATTGAGGCGGGTCTGCTAGTCTGCAATGGGTTGGCGATACTAAACGAGAAGAGGTTTCTGCGGAAATGGGGTCTCGACCAAGCAGTAGTCGGCGCAGGAGCAGGCTCACTGTCGAATCAGGTAGCGACGTTTCTCCACGCGATGAGAACATTCATGAAGTACCCGATTATCCTGGCGAATTTGCTGTTTATTCTCTATGAGTTTACGGTGGGATAGCCAAATTCTTGATCATGCTTACTCCACCAAGCTTCTCTTCTAAAGATGAAGATTCCCCTCAATCGCAGCCCATCCGCAGCCCTACTTCCCTTAAAATATCTCAGACCAGTTTCAAGAACACCTCGACTTACATATTACACACACCAGAAGCATAATTAACCCCATCTCCTTATATCTACGAAAATTACACATACACTTCTACGAATCCGCTTACAATGTCGCATTCGTACGTCCCTCCTGTCGGTGTTCCGCTACTTGTGGCTTTGGAATTCAGCGTTCGAGTGAGAATCTAGAACTTTGCTTGCATCCGTCCGAATCCCTTTCCGAATCCAAACCCAAAAAAGGCATTCTTCTCCAATCCATATGATTTTTTGATGCTCCTGTAATCCTGTTATGTTTCCAGCTGCACTGACGACAAGTCAAGACGTCATGATTGATAGAATTACAAAGCGTATGTTGCGGTTCCTGAAAGACATTTGATCTCGGAGATCTGGTAAAATTCGTATTCGATTATTATTCCGCAGGTAGTTTGGCGACGTGTTGGGTAGAGCAGGTTTCACATTGATTGGTGTATGTAAAGATTTCAGTAGGCCATTTTTGAGTGAATTGTTTGTCTTGGTCGCGCACTTCTCAGAAAAGATGAAGTTTTCTATGTCCTTTGGTCAGCCAAAGTCAGCTGTGACCGGCAAAGCTGCCGCACCAGCGACTGGGAAAGCTAAGCCTTTCTCTATGGGCTTTGGTGGTTCTTCGTCATCGACTAAGCCGCCTGCTGCATTAACTTCTGGAGGTGCAGCAGCTTCCTCATCTTCAGGAGGAACTAGTACAGGTGGAGCTGCAAATAGCTTGCTTCCTGATATCTTTAAGACGATCAATGAGAATGCCGTGGCTGCAGCCGTAGGCTCGTCAACAACAAATACATCAAGTTCTAAGGAAGATGGAGCATCATCACCTGGTGGAAAGACAGCTGTAGTGGAGGAGAAAGCTGGCCCAATCGTAATGGGAGCAGCTTTACCTCCGTCAACAAAAACAGCTACAAAGGGACCAAGTGGCACAGGAGGCGCCGCTTCCCTCTTCCTCGACGCGATGGAAACCGAAGAAAACCAGGAACAAGAACGAATTGCCCAAGGCTACCACCCACGCATCGGTATCACTAAAGAGAATGAGGCCAGAACGCAGAAGCAATTAGACAAACTAATGGCGGAGAATGCTGAAATTTTCCAATACGATGAGCATTTGGATGATGAAGAGATGGCCAGAAAGTACAACAATTTGACACGGACAGACGCACTGGAACAGGTGAAGAGAACAGGCCTCACCGTCATGGACAAAGATTACCATGCAAAACTGGCCGCAAAAAAAAGTCAGTATGTGGAAGGTACATAGTTGTAGAAGCTATAGTTGTCCTCGATGATCAGGTAGTACATTTGGTAATTGAAGATGTCCCTCTGTTATAAAAATAAGTAATGGTAATTCGACGTTCTTTCACCGGTGTGTACTGTTCTTGTGCTCCTCCTCTTTTTCAATTTCACAAAGAAACAACCGAACGCAAACATCTCAGGTATGAAAGACATGAAGGAGCGTCGCGAAGTCGAGCGGGCTATTTTAGAGCAGAGGGCGATTAATAAGGAAATCAAAGCAGAGGGTGGCCCAGAACCAGAAGCTTTCGTCACTGGTGCTTACGCTCGTGAACTCGAAAGGCGGAAAGAGTTTGAGCGCAAGCTCCTTGAGCAGGACAATGAGGACGAAGCTGCGTTTAAGCGGAATAGCAGAGCCGCTTGGGGCTTTGAGGGTGAGCTGCACAAGAATCTGCTGAAACAAAGGCAGGAAATGAAGGAGAGCGTCGTTGGTTTAGGACCTGGCGATGCAACTGCAAGTGCCGGAGATTCAACGACGTCATCTGGTGAAGCACTGATGGGAGGTTTACCATCTGCAGGACCTATAGGGCCTCCTCGACCACCGGGAGTAGTAGCTTCGCTTGGCCCTGAACGACCACCAGCGGTTGAAGGAGTAGATGTGGTGGCTGCGAAGCGGCGTAAAATCGACGATGAGGTGGACCCAGCACCAGCAGACGCCTCATCAGATTTAGCTCAGGCTCAACCAGCAGCTGGACCATCTTTACCAGCAGCAGTGCCTGCAGAGGGAGAAGATACATCGCCATCAGCACTAGCAGCAGTCGGTCCAGCACTCAAACCTCCATCGCCCAAGCTAGCGCCCATCCACATGCCCACCCCAGAGGAGAGTCTGGCGCAGCGCAAGAAAGAAGAGGAACAGAAACGGGTGAAAGCAGCGGAGGAGGAACGTGTAAGAGCAATCGAAGAAGCTAAGAAGAAGGAGGATCAAGAAAAACAGAAAGCAGAGCGTCAAAGTCGTGCCATGGGTGCGAAAGAGCGTTATCTCATGCGGAAGCAAGCCGCGGCAGCGAAGAAGAGTGAGGAACAAGAGGGTGGTGGTGGTGCGGCTGCGCCTGGTACGGGAGGAGGGGAATGATAATCAAGTACGTACGTAGATGTTGTAAGAGTATGACACTCTACTTTTTCACAGCCCTTAACCTTATCATGAATGAAGTTGAGCATCAACACGCTTGCGCTTTGTTTATCAATACAAACACTGAGGGTGAAGAACCCAACTACCTAGTACTACAATCTCCAACCCCCTTTTTACCTGATGTTCGTGCTCCCAAGCATGACGAACAACGAAATTCTCGGATCTGAGGATCGTGAATGATTTGATCTCGCGTGTTCGTGAAGCAACTTCCACGACCTTCATCGACGTGTTCGTCATTTGTGTTTCACCTGTCAGGGACTAAGGCTTCTCTTAGAAGATTTATCTGAACAAGTGTTTTGCTTTTGAATGGATCATCTGAGAGAACGTAGAGGTCACACACGACTTACAGTACAACAAATTTACATCTACATCTTCAAGATCAAGCAAAGCTATATTGGCGGCTGCACAGATGAGGTACTGCCAGTAGACCTCTTGCAAGTAGTCATGTAACAAAGTACTACTTATCATGAAAATAATGGAGTTTATTTTATCTTTTCCTAGTTTGCCGTCCTAGACCTAGACGTCGAGCTTTTGTCTTCTCTCCGTTTGCCGTCCTAGACCTAGGCGAAGCCTCTCGCTCTCGTGCTGGAACAGCTGGACCTGGACAGCACAGTTTCAGCATGATGCAGTTCGATGACGCAGGAGCACAGCTTCCCTCGTTACGTTCCACCCTAGAGCAGCAACCTATGGCTTTCCGGCTTGTCTCGGATAAGAGTGCAGGTGGGCGTGGCCGTATTAGAGCCTTTGGATGGAATAGTCAGCAGGATTTGCTTGGCGTAGTGGCAGACAATGGTACTGCAACAGTCTATCGACCGATGTCAGAGGAGGATGAAGAGACATGTGGAGGAAGTAGTTCGTCTTTACGGGGAAATCTCCATCGTGCTGTATACGGAATAGACGGTTGTGTTATATATATTGTTTGTTGGTATCTTCGCTATGCATTGGGTAGTGTTGGTTTTTGCTCTTTCCGGCTTAGTACGTTACTGTATGCTCAATGGATTCATTTCCTCTGGGCCTGGTCTCAAAACTGATTTGGTAGATCAGGTTGGAGACACATGACATGACATTTTTCTGATTTCTCCATCTTCAATCATGATGTCCATAATTCCTGTACTACTGTTAAGGCTCAGCTTTCAATGGTCATTGGGGTTGGTCACTGAGATCGAAGAGGCGACCCCTTGAGAGGACAGGGGAAAACGAAGGGAAAGGGGAGAGCTTTGAACGGGGTCCCTTCCGTTCAGAGTCATGATGACCACTGAAGGCTGAGCTTTAATACTGCTACGTCCTCTTCCTGTACAACTACTGCTATATCGCTATGCATGGCAATGGCTTGAGTGATTTTTCTGATTTCTCCATCTTCATGATGTCCATAATTCCTGTACAACTACTGCTACTTCTTCTCTAAATGATTCATCGTCCGGCTGTATTACTGCTACTTCTTCTCTAGTAAGTTATTCATCGTCCGGCTGTATTACTGCTACTTCTTCTCTGTAAGTTATTCATCGTCCGGCTGTATTACTGCTACTTCTTCTCTGTAAGTTATTCATCGTCCGGCTGTATTACTGCTACTTCTTCTCTAAATTATTCGTCCGGTGTCTTCAGCGATCAAGCCTATTCCGTGCGCTGGGATCTGAGTGCACGAGGACGCGTGATGCGCACGAGCACTAGCACTGCAGGAAGAGGAAGTGTGCCTCTCTTAGGAGGTAGGAGGAGTTCGGCGGCGTCTCCTCTGCCAGGTGGACTGCTTGGGTTTCCGAGTCCTATAGAGGAAACTTCTTCTGGGCAGGTCGTCCTGGGATCGCTTCCACGAAGTCTAGGCAGTCCTGAGAGCCCTGAACATTAAGGCATGACTGTTACATCTGCGGCTGCATCGTGCTCAACTTGTTTTTCTTTCAGGTTGGTCACGGGGGTTGACTCATTTGGAGAAGATAACACCAGCAAGTCGATATTACCGACACTAACTTCTCTTATCAACAACGATCACGAGATACAAATTTTTTGTCAATGCGACTCGCTCCTCCCGTCCTCGTACCTCTAACGGCCACACCTCAAGCTCACAAAAGTGCACCTCGAAAACGATCCCTATCGCGAAAAAGTCAAGCTTGTATGGTCTCCATGCGGATCCTTATTCGCGGTCTCAGGGGAAGCTGGAATCCACGTATTTGACGTGGAACAGCCAGACCGTGGTTGGCTGCACGACGACTTCTTCTCGGGTGTTGCGAATATTGCAGCGTTGGACTGGAAAGAACAAGAGAACCATGTTGTTGATGGGACTTCCTCTTCTAGTCGGGGTTGTTCAAGTTCAACAATGGGAGGACTTGACGGTGCTATATCTGGTGAAGCAAACTACAGTCACATCATTGGGGGTCTGGATCCTCACCTGCTGTGCGATTTCGATTCCGATTATATGCTTCACCCTCGAGGAGCGTCAGCAGGTCTTTCAGGTTGGAGTACAGCGGAGCAGCATGCGTTTTTTCGTGGTCTTGGGTCTACGAGCACAGCCTCGGGCTGGTGTCCACTAGTCGAGAAACACCTTGCGATGGAAGAAAGAGTTTCCGATAGAGTCTCATCGTCGTCTTCGGGAACGGGGTTTTCGAGAACAACAAAGCGAGCAGGAGCTTTCCATGATCGGGGAAGCATCTTCACAGCACCAGGGTCGTCATCTTCATCTTGTTTCCTGAGTAGCAGTAGCACAACAGCTACAAGTATGACTCTGAACATCACGGAACCTCCCATCTTGCGTTCTGCTTCTGACCTTCCACCGATTTTCAGTATGGAACCTGCTGATTGCATTCCAAGAGGCGTTCCCCGAGAAGACTGCTCTCTCGACGTTGCCAGCTCCGATGGTCGTTTCGGCTTGTTGGCTGCGTCCGATGACCGCGGTTCGAGTGTCTGGCTATTTCTCAACGGCTCCCTACCTCTAGTGCGCACAAGACTTGCGGGTTCTTGTCAGACGTGGTCTAAGCCAGATTCACCACCCTATGGAGGAGGCGGTTCGCTGCTGAATCACAATTCCGCTCTGTCTATTGTACCTCCAACTACAACTTGTGGAGGAGGGAGACAGCATACTAGTGGTAATGGACAAGAAGGAGCTTCTGGAGACTCACGAGATAATGTTGGTTCTAGAGGCGTCGCAGCCGCCCGTGCATCGATTCCTTCAGTTAGCTCCTCTTCACAGAGCCAAGATGAAGTTGCCTCTAGTAGCGAAATCAAAGGCAAAGAACCTTTAGACATTGACGGTGTTGAAAGAGAAGGTGGCATAGGCAGTAGTATCTCTGTTAGCGACATTGAGTTTGTTCCGGCTGAAAGCAGTAACGCATCAAAGAACACCTTAGACGAGTATATCGCATTGAGCAGCGGCCACGTTACGATGGATGAACAACAGGGTACAACAACGAGCGGTGCGGAGGAAAGTGATGCGCAGGATTTTCCGGGAAGAACCAAGAGAAAAGATGCTCAACATGCAAATGTCACACCTCCCAGGACCATCGAGCGTGTTTCTGATGTAAAGCTGTCAGCTGATATGCGATTCCTGGCGCTTCTCGTTGAGGAAGGACCTGCTTCAGCTACAGTGGACGTGAAGAAATCCAATGTTCTTGTTGAGCAGCAGAGCGATCCTCGTTTCTCGAATTCCAAGATTCCGGAACTTGTATCACCTTCTCAACAACGGCTGCAAGAAGAGTCTCCTTTCAAACAGACGGAGCCATCCTCTTCCTTCCGGCTCCTAGACCTTCGAGCCTTACATCGTCGCCGTCGCGACATTGCTCAGGCTGCGTATGGCATTAGGCACTGTCGCAACGTGGTGAATGCCATGAGAAACTTCGTCGACCAGATGGGGAGAGTTTGGGCGTCTGCCGAACGTGTTTTGGAGACACGACTAGCTACGCTCGAAAAGCAAGTAGCGACTTGCTGTCCTTCGGTAAGAGATGAAGTGAAGGACGATGATGATGGTGGCGCTGACCATAGAGTTCTTGATGGACAACAAGCTGTAAAAAGAGTAGAGAACAACCTTGTTGTGGACGAGGATGATGAAATGGAAGTGGAACATCCTGAACGTCTCTTACTTCCAGAAGAACAAGAAGATGGTGAAGGTAATGCAGCTAATGCTAATGGAGGAGGTGTTCGACAGAGTAGGAGACCACGCGATGAAGCTCATGACGAGCAGCTCCTTTCTGGAGGACCTGAGAGTAGAGCTTATCTCCTCCCTGGCGAGTACGATATCCTGATGGAGGATGACACGTGCTACAACGGTTCGTCCACAACTATCAGCTCCACAGCGGGTGGAGGAAGAAGGGCTTTCGGCTCATCTAGTAGTCCCGCAAGTTTCGCGAACCTAAATTCTCAGACTCCTGGTGCTACTGGAGGTATTGGTGTGCCTGCGTCTGCAACTCGCTATAATTTCTCACAAGGAGGTGCTGGTGCTGCTGAAGGTCAAGAATCCAAAATCGATCATGGTGCTTTTCTTTACGCTTTCTACACTGGGCGAGCGGAGATTCATGGTCCGAATCTACCGAGACTCGAGCGACAGCTGCTTTCGGCGATTGAGTACGTCCAAGTCGCATTGGCATCCAGATTTGAGAATGGGATTCACCATTTGCTCGTCACTTGCTCTGATCTTTTAACAGTCAAACCGGAAGAGGGGATAGTCGATCACGAGTGGGGAAAGACATTTTATGGTTCAGGATCATAGGACTATGTACTTTTTTACATTTGCCGACTATGCATTATGCAACAGGAAACTACAATAAGATTGATTGCTTGCCAGTGCCTTTTCTAATCACCCGTCCCAGCATTACGCGAGGTTGCAGAGGCACTGCTGGAGGCGATGGAGGTGCTCGTATTAGAACTCGCTGACGCACGTACTTATCTCAACGCGCTTTTCTTCGTGTTGAAGAAGATATCAAGCAGCGACAGCTTACCAGCAGTCACAAAGCAGCAAGAGCCGCCATTATTATCGTATTTGGAAGAAAGACCGAGCTACTTCTTCTCAGGAGAAATTATGGGGATGGAGACGCTTGATGAAGAAATGGACATAGACGGAGATGCACAAGTTGCAGGAAACAAGAGAGTAAGCGAAGATATTGATGAAGATATTGATGAAGGACCATCTGGAAGCAACAACGAGGATGAAGACAACGTGATTGGGCCTCATGCGATGTTTCCTGGAGCTAAAGTCGGCGACATCGCACAGCTCAAGGCATCCTCATCGAAAAAAGAGAGAGCGAGTATTTCCGATCACACAAGAAATGCTAGTGCTCCTTCGCCCAGTTCTAGCAGTAGCTCGTCTCTTCATCGTGGCTATCAACCGCAACTTGGTGGGAAGAAGACACATGAAAACACAAAACCAAGCTGCTCGAACCAACAAGCTGCTCCTGGCTCTGCTCCACCTCGAGTAGTCAAGGGTCCACCCCGCGTTGTCGGTCTCTCAAATGTCCGGAAGGTGCTCTTTTCGGCTGCTCCAGCTTGTGCGGCTTCCCCTGCTGCATCGCCTGGGGACACGCGTGCAGGGGATTTGTACGCTGATTTCGTACAGAGGACGATTGATACTGTCTTGAAGAACACAAGCAAAAAATCTAGAGATGCTAGGCAGAGTAGGAATACGCGTGAGTTATCCTTCTTGAAGGAGTATTTTGCTGGAGCTGGTGGAGGAGAAGATAATGGAGGAGGAATATTACATTCCACTTGTACAAGTACAAGTACCACTACCAGTACCAAATCCAAAGGGCGGTCATTCTTCCGAGTCTTCCCCCTTCCCGATCTTCTCGCAGCTTGCAGTACTCTGTTGGACGACCTTGCTGATAATGTGTGCGCATCCACATCGAAGGTCGTCGCGGAGATCGACGTGGAGGGGTCCCTAACTGGTGAAGGGGTTTCGCCTAGCACTAGTAGTGCTATTGCAAAAATTGCAACAGCAACATCATCATCTTGTTGTACTTGGCACACAAGCCGACCAGAGTTTTTACGGGTTTCATTGGTTGCAAGCGAAGACGCAACAAATTCTAGTGGTCAAGAGCATGAAAAAATCCGTGGTCAACATGAGATCCAGCTAGACTATTGGCAAGTGATCGAGCAGGACGAGAAGGATTGGTCTGACATCAGGGTGAGCATGAATTCATTTGCTGATACCAAGACTCCAGGTCCGGCACAGCTTCGAAAAGTAACACGTCGAATAGTTGCTAACTCGCCATCTTCGAGTCGATCTCCAGGTGTGGTTCGTTTTCACGGAGTCCAAATGTACTCTTTCTCGCAAGCACTGGTTGTAATTTCAATGCGAGAAGAGCAGCTTGGTGTTGGTTGTGGAGGTACGGCTACTTGTCATTTGGTCATGGTTCCATTGTGGGAAACGAGTAGCGGTGTAAACCACCAGGAGCAGGACGAGAATCAAGAAACGCATGATGTTGTAGTTGAGGACCTGAGCGCCTTTCTCAAGAAGAAACTTGTGACGAAAGCAGGACCACAAGGATCAGCAGATGAAGCAGAACGACTACAAGATGAGAACTACGATGAACTACAATTTCCAGCACCTGATGTCAAAGTCCGGCAATTGCCTGACATATTTGCGGATGGGACGACGCAGATCGAGGTCTCACAGCAGCGTGGCGTGTGCACTTTGTTGCACGAAGGCTCAGGCAGACTTCTCACACTGGATCTGGAGGACGACGAGTTAGATGAAGAAGAGGAGTTCTCTGATGATGGATTTGGTCTTGGTGAGGAAGAGGGCGGACGTGGTCAGGTAGCTGGAGAGGCCCATTCTCAACATGGAATGGTCTTAGAATAACTTCAACATGGAATGGCCTAATGGTCTTTAATCTTGGACATGGAATGGTCTTAGAATAAAGTAGAGGTCTTCGTCTCTGCAGCGTCTCTATTATTCTTGCGCGCTTTTTCTTGCGTTTGTCTCGCCATGGATTCCTAGACATTCATTCGTCGCGCAACTTTCAACCTTCTATTTCGCACACTTAAGCACGTGAATCGTAACAGAGTCGTTATTCTCATCTTCTTCTTCGCAGATACCTGCTCGTCACTGTTGCAGTATGTCGAACGAACACGTCGCGTCAGCATGCCGCTTTCGTGGTCGAGCTTGCTTGCAGCCTTATAAATTTTTATTGGATGTTCGGATCCTTGATCGGTGTGTCGCTGGCTCTGCTGATGAAAAAGAGAAAGATGTTGAGGGCAACGCCATTCGGTAGGTGAGCAGGATGCAGGATCAATTCAGAGATCACCAGCAGGATCTGATAGATAGTATCCTCAGTCGCCTACAACTGAGGTGTTTCATCGTCGGTCGAATGGTGTTGATCGGTTAATGTTTACGTGAGTAGAGCATCGAAGGGAACAAAGTACTTACTTAGGAGGTCGTACTAAGTCTAAGCAGATCATCACAAGAATTTTTCTTGCAAAAGATGAGGCTAAACACCTTACTTAGCAATATTTATAAGGTGAAACAAAAGTAAAATATTACATCTTACTTTATGATTACAGACTACACAATCTTCGCAACGACGACCAAAATGGCTTCTAGAGTTCTCGTCTCCACCTCCTTCGCAGAAGAACATATTCCTGCGGTGGAATTGGAACATGGTGTGGTAGGCCCACCATGGCCACTGCCACACGCTAAGAGCACAATGGCTTCTAGAGTTCTCTCCACCTCCTTCGCAGAACAGCACCGTACTAGAGCGGAGCTTGCGCATCAGGAACTCCCTCACGGGGTGAGTGTACCATGGCCACTGCACCACCCGAAAAGCATTCGCATGCCACTTCATCTTCGCGCACGTCATAACGTACGTCTACGTCCTCTATCCCTTTCGTTTTGGGGGTATTTCGAAGATGATGATGGTGATTATGACTATTACGCGAAGATACAGGGGTGGAATAATTTTGGCAACGGCAGCAAAATGTAGGTCCCCGATTGCCATCTCTAGGGACCATCTCTGTCCCCTTGAATTTCGATGCCGTACCATGGTGTTTGGAGTTCATTTTTTAAAACATGTTCAAAAAGACCTTACTTTTTTACTCAATCTACCATCCTGAAACAGGTATCTCAGGTACTTCACAAGTAAAGAGCAAAGCAAGCGTTTCCACTGCAGTTAATGTTCGTCGTCTTGTTTCACAGAGACTGTTTAGTCTTACCTGTTGTTTTAAAGTTAATGTTAATAGCTATTTAACTCTATTAAACGGAGACTGTGGGTGCAGAAGAGCATGCATCTTCGAGCAGATGCAAAGGCTGGACGAGAATAGCACGCATCGAGAAGACAGCTGACTTGATGAAGGTTTTCACTGTAGTACGAGAACAAGTGGATCAGAAAATAAAGATGACTGCCTGAAGCTTTTTCAACTGTTCTTCATTGGAAACAGAGATACTCCTGCAGATTAATTATTCCCGTTGCAAGGATGAATCTAAGAAGCAGAAAAGCGCACTAGGGATTCAGTGTTGCGATTCAAGAATACATGACTAGATGGATCGGGCCATGCGCATACAGCAAGACAGTCGGTTCATCAAGTGAACAAGCAGGCCGGGAACAAGATGAGAGAAAAGGAAAAAACTCGATGAAAGTGCTGTAGACAGGAGGAGAGACGAGAGATGATTACTATAATCCATGACCCAGTGGGATCCCCACACGAATAGAATTCCTTCATCAGGGCGACTTGAAAAACGTCTATGCGCGACCACTTAGATGAAATACCAATCAAGATCTCAGAAGAATAGCGCTGGTAACCAAGTAGCAGAAGAAAGAAGAGATAGCCTAGTGTCCTTACAGATAGAACGTAACTAAAGTCAACAGTTCGAAGATGGTGCTGTTTTGCGATCCAGATCCCAATCCGTTTTCTTCGGATTGGCCCGTCCGCCGGATGATTTTATGTAAGGTGTGCCTCCTTATTATAGTGCTGTGATTTACTACATTCATAGTTTTTGAGTAATGAAGAACTCCTGTGAGCAACATCAAGCGATAACATTTTACGTAGTCAAAAAGCATCGCCTAATACTTAACTTCGATGCACCAGATGGCGGATATGAAGAGTACGTTACCAGTGAAGCGGCTAGGGAGCGTGCAGCTGAAGAAGACCGCCAACGCAGGGAAAGCAAATACTTTCGGAAATTATTGGAAGAGGTACCAATAGTAAGAACGTCTAATGCTTTGTCCTATGCTACTGCTCATGTAAACGTAAAAATCTGACGTATTGGATGTTGTGCCCTTATGATTGTGGTCTTTATTGAAGCAAGTTCTTCTAGGCGTAGTCTTGTCAATTATCTGAGTGATTTCTAGTTTTTTATGAATATACTCTGACTCTGATGCAATTACTACTACAGCAACGAATCAAGCTCAGCCGGGAAATTCGACCTTCAACGATTAACAACTTTCAAGTCAACCGGGCGTCGTCTTCAGCGGATTTAAGCTTGCAGCCGGGCGACACCTCACAGGTGCATGACAGCGAGATGAGGAGTAGCTTTTCTTCATCAATGGCTGAGGAGTCTTCTTCCTCAAGTTCCGCAAACGAGAACAATAAACTGAAGTCTTCTTCAACATCTTCAGCAGGCATGAGGAGCTCGATTGACTCTAAACAAGCTGGAGATCTTGCGTCGTTATCTCTATCGGGGGAGGAGATGCTGAACACATCTACGGACTTAGGATCTCGAGGTGTTGAACAGGGTGGAGGGCGAGGCATGCAAAGCCTAAATAACACCACAACGACGAGTGAAGAAATTGCGGGGAGAGCGAGCGGGTCGGCGTCTGGAGGTGGTTCAGGTGCTCCTGCTTCATCATCTTCAACTACACAGCAAGAGAATCATAAGAGCAGCTTAGTGTTTGCCGCTTGCGAAAAAACGGGACTCTGCTTGACTGGATTTGTTGAGACGCCTCCGCGTCGTGCTGGTTTGAAACGTAGTATGCAACTAGAGGACTCATATAATCTACGAAGCGAGGCATCAATACGAGGTAAGAAAAGACCCAGAAATGCTGGCGATTTCGCCCTTGCGCGCTTGATGAAGAAGCATCATGATCCAGATGAACTATTCAGTCCGACAAACGTGCAGGCAAGAAGCGTTAGAAGGAGAGCGTCTGCGCCACGCTCCAGCTTGCAAGCGCGTGATCTATCGCATCGCCGGGACATAGACAATCTTACTGGAAAGAAAACCGGCCAACTAGGTACTTTATACAAGACTAGATATTCAAGAGTCTTTTTTTCTGGAGTTAGACTTCTGTCCAAAATTCTAGTATTTCTTAAGGAAAGTCCATGCACTCTCGTATCGTTATGCAGCATGCAGCTACTTTTTACTAAGATATATCTTATCATAATCGCAAAAGCAAAACCACAGGTACTGTCATCACCCGCGGCATCAAGAGTAATGGCGTAGCGACTTCTAGCTCCAGCGCCACCAGATCGGGTCTGCCTCGACACGTTCGAGCTCTAGGCTTCAAGATGGAGCACGTTGGATCTGTGAGCATCGTTTCGTCCAGCGTAACTGAACTAGATGAAGCTCTAGCTGGACAACGTGCCTTGACGATCAAGCAGAAGGAGCCATCAGCTCCTGTTGTTTGCTTTAACGAAAAAAGTAGTGAAATGCAGGCGAGTACTAATATGGCCATGGGGCAAGATGAAGCTATTACAACAGGTGTCGAGGTTCTTCGTGCTGGCAGCTACGTTTCGCAACTGCGACAAGTAGACACGACAGTGACAGGCATGCTCAACGTTGATTCTTGTACAGGCATGACGTCGCATCTTCTTCATAGTAGAAAATCGGATGAAGCGGACCTGCCCGGATGGTGTCCTTCAAATAGCACGTCACTGACTGGCACACGTCCAGCGAACCTTGGTAATACGAATTCAACAGATGGAGGCGAACTCAGGATGCAGCTGCTAGATGAAGTAGATCATGACTTCCATGCTACTCATAAACCAATAGTAGTCAAGTGGACATATCCGCACTCGTACTCCGCACTGCTGTTTCGGCGCCGGCTATTTCCGAAGTCACGAAGAACTTATCTGCCGGCTGGCAAGGGTCTTCAATCGATGAGCATTGCAGCGGAAGAGCAATTCCAGGAGAAACGGTAGAAACTTGTTGCAGCCCATGACAAAGTAGGGCTCTCTGAGCTCATTCGCAATGTGTTTGAACAACAAGAAATGGAGCATCGTCGAGCCAGTGAGCAAATGCAGAAATACCTCAAGGAACTGGAGACAGCCCATCTTGCACAGAACATGGCGAAGCGATTAGCGTACGAAGAATCGCTAAGGAAGAAATGGAGAGAGCTTGCTAGTGATGTTGAAGATGGTGTTCTAGAGCTAGACAACGGCGACTGTGGTGATCAAGAAGCTCTGCTCGTATTGAATCGGGCTGAGTCGAGCGCATGCCATGACTCCGAACGCGGCAAGGCGTACCTACTAGAAGAGACGTCTGTTAGACTAGATGGCGAGCAAGACGTAGTCAAGGGATCATCTTCATCTGGGTTGCGTCCAGTAGGATCTTCATCACGGCATCACGCTGCAGCGATTTCAGCTTTAACACCAAATAGTTCACAAAAGTCGTGGCGCGCGCAGTTTCGCAGTGGACAATCTCCACTGCATCTATCGCTCCACCGAGCAGCGTTCTCGGTTCCTGGTGATGGTCATGAGGATAGAAAATCGTCTCTAGGAGCAAACGCTTCTGAGCTTTCGTCGAGCTCTTACTCTTCGCTGAATGTAGGAGCGTCTCCAGCTTCACAGCTGCTTTCTCAAGATCGACATCGTTTGTCGCGCGCCGTCCTGAAGGATCCGGAGCAACGTTCGTCGCAACCGCGCAGCTGTGACTTACAACTGGATCCACGTTCAGAAGAGGTTTCTTCACAACGGTCAGAGGGCATTTCGCATCACAGCTTTCGCTTCGGCACCGATAAAAATGGGAAACGCTCGCCGTCGCCATTGCGAGAAGTTCATGGAGACAAGTGTGCTAATCCTTCTCAGCGAAGCGCAGACGATAGCTTTTTGAAAAGCTGGGATGAGTCGCGAATAGATGAGAACCAGGAGTCGGATGATTCATACTTGGACGAATTTACGATGTTCTGGCCTCGTGGCAGAGGTGGTCCGAGAGACTGTAACAACCGTGCTCCTGCTGATGAACAACATTAAGGGCCTTTACGTGGTGATCGTAGAACAAAGACCCGCAGCGTTCAGGTTCATGTGCTCAAAGTTTCTGCAAGCGCAATTAGTACAAACCAAGTAGGCTCCTCTCCTCATCAGCATCAGCAAGATCAGAACGCGGCCTGTAGTTGCCATCTGGTATTGGAGACTCCTGAAGAGGAAAAAGTGCCGCGGGTGCAAGAAGAAATAGCTCCGCAGGACTTTGTCAAAGTGAAAAGTCGTCGCCCGGTACTCGCATCCTTTGAAGATCATTCTCGAGGGCAGCGTGAAGAAAATGCTGTCCGTCCATCTCCATTCGATCTGGCATTTGATGGCCAGTGGTCAGTGAAAAACGAGAAGAAGCATGTTCTTGATCAGGAGAGTCACGACTCGCTTGAGCGGGACACGAACGGCGCAGATGCCGAGTCGATGCGTCTTTCTGCCTTCGACATCGCGTTTGACAGCATGTCGCTGTTGAAGAAGACCGGGAGCAAAGCCTGCACATTCGACGCCAGACAGGATGATGCAGCGAGTCGGTCGCCGCCTTTACTCGTAGGTCCCAACCCTTCTGATTCTGAGCAGGGTGAGTCTTGTGCGGGATCGCCTGGACTTCGTGGAGGCCGCGACAAACGGCAATCGCCTCGAGAGACTCTTAGGGACGATGCTGATCACCTTCTGCAGGAAACTTGGAGGCGTCTATTCCCGTTTGCCGAGCCCGCTCCAGCTAGAAGAGTATGTGGGATGATTCCATCTTTGATCAGCAACAACACGGCAAAGGATACTAAACTGATTTAGATCTACTATATATCTACATAGCAGAGCATATTTTTACTGTGTGGCAGTTGGAGGACTATCGCTTTGCACTGCAAGCACATCTACAAGATTTATTTCCAGTCTGATAGAAGAAGCCTCTAGTGGAAAGTAGTAGTACTCGAGTTGGGCTGAGTCTAATACTCGCTGTCCCTGGATTTGCTTGTCGTATTCCCCTATGACTTGTCCCGTGAGCGTGAATATGATTTCTTCAAGCCCAGTCTTCCTACGTTTCCCCGCCCCTTGAGCTTCATATTTGTCCCGGTCGTCATGGGATAGCAATTCTTCTGGAGACCCGCGGGGATCGATGTCGTCTTCGAAATGCCGATTGCCGAGCATCGCAGAGGAAGAAGAACGAGAGGAAGAGCAGCGCCACCAGACGAGACTCGGTGACTTGCCATTTGTTTTGAAGCAATCCAGACCTTTGAGACGAGGCCATGCAGGCGCAACTCTCATGGAGAGCGATTGTTGCAGCGAGCGTGAGTGGACAGGCACGTGCGATCATGGTTTGCTGCAGCGGCGCAGATCTCTTTTGGTGTGCGGCTCTGTTGGAGACAGGAGTAGTGTGGGAGTCTCTGCATCGCAGGAGCAGTATAATGATGATTCGTCTTTGCCGAGCGACCCGCAGATACGCTCCAGAAGAAGGAGTTCTTCAGTCCTTGACTTTGAGGCTGAACGGGAACAAGGTGTGGGTAACGCAGCTGCAGCCCCACTTCTTCAACCACGATCATCAGGCTGGAGCACGGAAACTAAAGCAAGTCACCTCTTTGAAATCTTCTTCCCAGACAACCCAGAGGAGGAGTTGAAGTACGTAAAAACCCAAATGTCTAAGAGTCAGGTCAAACAGTACGTAGACAACATAGCTTCGCAGGATGTGCCAGAGCTCGCGGACTGCACTGTACAAGTAGACGAACAAATTCTGAGCGTTAGGGTTGAGATCATGAAGCTAGTGGTTGGACGGTTCAAAGCGATAAGAAAAAGAGCTAAGAAAGAGCTAGCTCAACATCTTCAGCGGAAGCCGGACTCTACAGGTTCTAGTAGTGGACGTGGTGACGCCATAGCAGAAGAAGTTGCTGATGCCGATAGCGATTTGCTTGCTCAAGAGCAGGAGGAACGGCAGACCATCATGGAGAAGCTGGAATCTGTTGAACAACATCTAACACAAGCAAATGATCGACTGAGGCAAACCTATGCACGTGCGAAGAAGTGTAACGAGCAGGCTTTTGGTCGAGGAGAGCAAAGTAAGAAGACAGCGAAGAGCAACAGCAAGCGCTAGTCTTCATCTCCTTCGTCGAATCTTAGTGATCAAAACCACACCAATAAGGTGGCAGGAGCTGGAAACTCAGCTCCTGCAGCAGAGGAGCCTAGTAAGAGTAGCTCCAAGTCCCGCGGTGTTCTGGAGAAGATGACGAGTCCGATTTTTGGTGACGCGGAACAGAATGGCAGACCTCCATCTTCTGCAACTAAATCAAACAACATGAAGAAAATTGAAAAACGACCGTACTCCAAGCAGGCGAAGAGGGCTTCCTCAGCCTCGTCATCTTCTTCATCTTCATCGATACATGATCGAGGCCCAGCATCGAAAAGGCATAAGAAGAACTAGTGGAGGATGACAAAAAAGATAGTGTATGACGATGTGGCGGAGAAGGACCACTCCATGGAGCAGATGGTAAACACACTGCGGATGCAGCAGTTGGGGAAGTTTAGATATATTTAGGCTCATGCTTTATCTATAGGCACATACAGAATTGCGGGCGCCTCTACACCAAGAAACTAGATGCGCCATGATTTAGATACAGTTACGATTGAAGAGGTACGTAGTTTTTATGCACTCTGTCATGCTGCACTCGACCCATACATAACAAAAAGGATCGTACTTTCGCGCGCCTTGTCCTTGATATAATGATAAAACACACTCAGAAAGTATCGTAATCCTGACTAGCGTGGCAAAAATCAAGAATGAACCCAGTGCGTGTAGTTCCTTTTCTTAGATGCAGTAAGCAAAAAATATTCTGTCTTGGTATTAGAGATATTACGGCTCGAGTCAATCAGGCGATGTTGCTCATTATATGGAGTTTAGAATTGTACTTGTAAGATGTTAGTTTTTCATGCGGTGCCTGCATAGACTAACGCTTGTTGACCTTACCGCATCGAATTTTCTCCGAGATTTGTAAGGTTTTGAAAATGTACTTCGAGGTAGGGACAGATAGAAGATGACGCAACTAAGCAGAATAGTGCTGTCTTCATGCTTGATTGCCTTATAAAAAATAGCGACGATTATCTATATCTTGGTTATTTGAATAGAAGGACGAATGAATCTCATCGCGGTGTGCATTGCCGTAACAAGTTTCGAAATTATTGGTATTGTCATGTTGTTCATTTTGATGCACTACTTGTTTGACTTTGATCTTGATGCGAGTAGATAAATAGTAGCTATTCTACCACAGTTCGTTGGTCGACAAAATTGTAAGCGTTGTGAGTGCATGAGAAGCGCTGCAAGCTAGAAACAGAATGACGCTTGCAGCTGCAGAGCAGCGCTCGATATTGTTGTCGTTTGTCCTTGTCGCAGCTTTTGTCAGAGAGATGATTCATGAGTCTGAGAGCGATGCTCCCCACACCATCTGGAGGACGAGAGACAGAGAGCCGCCTGGGAACGCTTTCCTCGAAAGAGATTGCTGAGGGAGTTTTTTTTAACCAAGGACGTAGTTTTTTAAATGCTGCAGACATTCTAGCTTCATCATCATGCTGTTGTTTGTGGGTCGCAGTGGAGTGACTACGTAGCTGCAGGCATTTACTTTTCTTGTTTATTTTCAATTTTCAAGCTACTTGTGGCACCATTCTGCTGTCTTAGTGTGCAAGACTAGTTCCGTCATCAGTTGTATATAATGGAGAGCGAAACTTTGTGTCTCATTTTCTCTTGATGCGGAGTGTTACGCATACACATCGTCATCAGTCCTTTACACCATCGCACACGAATTAGGGACCGAGAGTAAGTACTCATGAATAAGTAGAAAGTATCGAGTTGCACTAGTGCTTCCACTACGACTAACAGGATGGCGATGCAAAACTTGTCTGGAGCCCAATCCAAAGCCCTCGAGTTACGGCCGCTGTCAAATTCCTTGGAGTTACAGTGAAAACCTGGAATACTCTTAGGGAATACGAGGAAAGTGAATAGTTTAGCGCCTGTAACTCCTCGGAAGCGTCTCTGCACTTGCGTTCTCTAATATGTGATCTGGGAAAAATCAAGGGCTACAGTGCAACCGGACCCATTTACGTTATGGCAATATATGAATTCTATACATCAACTGATCACTATCTACAGCAGCTACACTCTTCTTTTTAAATAGGAAGAGGGTAGTAGTATCATTTTTAATTTGAAGTCTTCGCGTCATCCTCATCTATGATCGATGGATGCGTCGTCAACTACCTCCTTGCAATCACGCGCCCTTCCTACTTGGTCTTCGCTAATTCCACCTGGTCGCCGTGTATTCTGCAAGGCGGCGTATTCACTCTTTTGGGAGGCCAGACGCCTGTACTAAATTTTTTGCTCGTTAGATTGATTTTGTTGCTTGGATCAGATCCATGACTCAATCGAGCCTGTGACTTTAGATAATAGCTTTCAAGTAGAACTTTACTGGGTGGAGTTAGCCTAAGTCATACTTAGAGCTGGAAGCTCGGATTTCTTTAGATCTTGTCTTTAGATTTTTTAGATTTACAACAACATCGTCATCAGATCGAGCGTTTACAGCCGGTTTTGCATTCCACGACGAGATGCATCATCGCGCTGTGCTACCTCCGCCCGTCGCTTGCCAAGTGGATTCTCACCCGCGATGGATGTGAGAAGGCTATTGCATTTTGCAGCAGCTTGTTACGGGAACAGGATCCATCTCCTTAATCATTCGGTATGTCTTACTTTTTATCCCTTTTCTCATTGCGAGTCAACCCTCCTGAGCCCTAATATCGTCTTCTAATACTCTTGGTTGGAGACCCGAAGCCAGTGGATATGGCTGCGAAATACGAGGCGGTTGGAATCTTGCGCTTTTTCCTCAAAAAAAATGAATAGTTGATACTACTTTACTTTGTTTCAAGTAAAGGCAAGCATCTCCATCTTCTTCCTTTTCATCCACATCGTCAATCCTCTTCAGCTCGCCCAGAAGTTGAACTTTGTCATTGATGACGTTATGGAGCTGACGTCGCTAAAAGTGCAGGAGATTACGGATTTACCGTTATGGTGCATCGTCAGTTATTATACATCAGAGAAAACACGAAACACGCACAGCAGGGCTTTCCTAGACAGACTATAGGTCCCTTTTCAGTCCTCTAATCACTGCGGCCACTTGCGAATTGATGATGGAGGGATGCAGTATTGTTTGGAGCAGATTTTCAATTTCAAGCTTGCTATTTTCAGATGACAAACTACAACAACACTGACCAACCCACTCATCTTTCTTACTCGCTCGACAAGTAAGCAAAATACAGCATGTCCCTCCTTCTCCTGACGGGATCGAGACCACTGAGTTTGAACTTGCACTAGGTCACGTGATGAAAAGCGAGAAACGCATTGCCGATACTTATGGCATATGATCCATCCACTCCCCACATTCTATCCACAGAGATCGCCTGAGGCTGTGTAAACTACTACTGTTTCCTAGTCGTTGCTACTTATATAATAGCTCTTCTTCGTCTAAGTTGTCAAGCGCCAGGAGGAGCTGCGCAAGCGCAAGAAAGACGAGGAAGAGGCTGAGAAAGAGGCGCAGCGCAAGCTGAAGGCGGCTAAAAAAGAAGAAGAGCGTGAGGCGAAAGAGGAGAAAAAGGCAGCGGAGAAAAAGGCTCTGAAGGAGAAGGTCAAGCAACTGCTGAAGGACCAACAAGCTGGAGGCGAAACGAACGTACTAAGAAACTGCTTTCTTCCATGGAACATGACGTAGCATACTGAAGTCGGACATAATTCGTAGTATTTACTTTTTCGTCGGAGTCAACGTATTCTGTCAACGTATCCACACCAATCTCATACCTTGTCAGGTCAATGCCATCACTGGTGGCGCGATCGTCAACAGCGCGGACGCCAAGAAGACCGACAACAACAACAACGCGGCCAATTCCTCTAACGCTGGTATGCCCGAAGCTAGCAACGCTCTGAGTTTGCTTGGCATGATGGCTGGCGCTGCTAGCTCTGATGATGAAGATGATTCATCAAGCGACTCGAGCAGCGAATCCGATTCCTTGGATTTCTTCCAGATGGTAACTATACTCATTTTTTTCATAAGTAGCTTGATTACTCTAGGAGCTATTGTTACAACACGCAATAGATATACAACGACGATCTCTATGGTAGTTTGATACTTAGCGTTATGATCTCAAGTTCATGTATAATCACTGAGTCGACATATACCAATACCTCGAACAAGGTCCAGTACCAGGCGGATGCCATGAAAGTTGAGCACGGTGGAAAGGGATTCAACACGATGCAAGCCATGCAGACTGTCGGTGTCAAAGTGGATGAAGTAGTAGCTCGTATCTTTATAGGAGGATGACGCTGTTGATGTAGATCGAGTTGCATTGATGAGGATCATGATCGATGTGTTTCTGTGCATTATTGTGTCTGTGTATGATTTTCAAGTTCAACTATAGCTTTAAGCTAAATCTTAGTCACCTATCCTATCGTCTCCTATCCTATAACCAGGTTGCTCCCTCCGTGGACCAATCCAAGCTATTGGGAGTCTAAAACACACCGGAGTTTGACCAGAAAAAGAAGCAGTTGCCGGAGTATTGTTGTTTTTTATCTATTTCTTGTTTTTTAGTTTTAACCTCGTAGTCGTTGATTCGTGGAGGCATTAGATTCTATCTAAAAGTTTACCCAAATCTTATACCATGTGACCTGGGTTGAGAGTAGATCTTCTTTTGAGTTCTCTAGTCAAAGCAGTCACTTTATCTCCCATCTTGGTCAATTCATTTCAGGACGCCCGAAAGCCTCAAAGCCGACATGATTTTTCAAAAGACGCTTGAGGTCCAGTAAGAAAAGGAAAAGATCAACGAGCAACTGGTTGAATTGCAGAAGCGCAAGCAAAATTATGGCCTACGATCATTCGAGGATCCAAGTTTTTCAATGAGCGTGTTTTTAACTGATTCCCTTCCCTGACATAGATTATCTTTCTTTCAACCTAGGACATCCACAACAAACTTACATCTTTCTTTCAACCTAATCGCGTTCCATTCGCTAACAGCAGATCGATAAGGCGAAGGCCAAGATGTTTGGCACGGCGACCAAGAAAGCCAAGTCGACGACTAAGACGACGACTAAGATGAAGACCAAGAAGAAGCAGGAGAAACCGGCCGGCTCGAAGAAGGCAGCACAATCGAAGAAGGCTGAAGGCACCTCCAGCAGCAGTAGCAGTTCGGCTACGACCGCGCGCAGCGTGGTCGAGAAGGCGATCGTCATCAAGGGCGAGAGCGCCTAAGCGATCACGCTAGATGTGATGTGGAAGCAGGTAGTCGTGGCGGAAAGATGAGTGAGTAAAAGGAGGTGGAAGATGTGGTATCTTGATAGGGAGCGAAGTTTGTGTCGAACAGTGGGGAGTTACTTTTAACTAGTGAAGAGTGTTGTCTCCAGGAGTTCTTGATATGTCAAAAATCCATATTAGAAAAGTCGACTGCATTCCAGAATCAGACTTACTGCACTGAGTTTGAGTGTTAGGTTCTTCGACATCGTTGTCTCTGATCTAGTCGCGTGGTTCTTTCAAGATGTAAATTTTGAATTATAATCCCGAAGATTTTGACTCTCAGTGAGAATGTTAAAAAAAATTTTGTTTTTGAATTGATTTTATGTTCTTAATGATATTCAAGATGTAAAAAACTATAGAAGTTCTTCATCTTGATAAGATGTGTTATCTCAATGATAGTGATACTATGATTGATCTTCATACTGTGACGTAGAGAATAGTACTACAACTAATTGCTCGCTAACTTAATTAGGATTTATGAGGAAGTATTAAAGTTTTCGCTTTCAGTTCTTGCGGTGCAAATATTTCATTATTACGATTCTATATTTTCATTTACAATTTTTCACAACTTCCTTGATATAAGACCAGCGTCTCCATGGCGTTGGTCGAAGATTTTCAGCCTCGACCTCTGTGATCGTGTCAGTAACTGCCCTACATCAGTTGTTGTCACAAGCATTTCTAACGAATTCATGTAGGATCTATTAGCTGTTGACGCATTTTAATGAACGTGATGAAGCCTGCTCTTGAATATGGACGGATCGACGTAGTGGAGCGTGCTGAAGTAATTATTATATTAACCTTACCACCTCCACTAGCATACGTAGCCGCTCACATTTGAGAGAAAGACTCATGATGGTGGACCGTTGAGAATACAAGCGTTGCAGTATTCGAAATTGAACAACGAAAAGTGCTCCACTAAAGCTGTAATCAGAGGAGGAAAAAGAGCTACACACGAAATTTTTCTTGCTACTCGAAGTAGCCATGATATGCATTATTACTCTATGACTGACTTCATCGGATCAGACTGCTCATCCAGCGCACTGCCCTCCTGAAAAAATTGGAAGCCTGCGCAGGTCGTGGCCCGCTGGGCTGTGTTTGATTCCCCTACCTCGACTCATACTAAGGAGAGCAGCTTGAGAGGCAATCGCCTGGAGCGAGAGGAGCGGGTTATCATTTAGTCTCCTAAGGTCTCTCAGTCTAAAAAGATGATCTGAATCTGAAAAAGAGCAAGTTCTAGGGTCTATGCAAGAGCGATGCGTCATGTCTAGTCGTGTCATCAAGTACGGTTAAGGCGCTGGCATCTCTAGCGTTCTCAACAAGAACAGCAGGCTTCTCTCACTCACATGGACATGAAGCATTGGGATTCTCACACTATAAAGAGACGTCGCCGTCCCTGCGCAACTACAATCGACGAGACATACCAAGAGAAGGCGTGACTGCTTCGATGGACGCAGTGCAAACAGCTGGTGCCTTCAGCGAGTTGTCTGGATCCCGGGTAGAAAGGCATCTCAGCAGGAGCTGCCACAAGCAGGACGAAGATGGATGCACAGCTGCAAAGGGTCGGACCTGGTGCGATGTCTTCCAGGCTAGTATGATTCAGAACTGGAGCGTCTACAGTTGCTACATCGACGTCGCTGTAGTATTCTGTACATGCAGTATGTGACTCGAGGAGCAGATAGTGCAAGGTAGCAGGCGGGCAATAACATCAAAGACTTTGATCAGGAGACGCTGCAACTGCTTTAAGCATTCATATACATAGCGTGATCATGACTTCGCTGAGGAGCTTGGGTGCTACACCTTCTTCGTCTAAGAGGTTTCATCTCTTCCAAATCCTCGGACTTCTTCTAAGACGACACTTTCCTTTCTGAAGAATCTTAGGATTTCCGAGAAGGCCTAACTTCCAAGAAGTCCTAGAATAACATCGAAGCAAGCCTCATCTTCCATAAGAATCCTAGGATTGCTTCGAGATCGAAGCTTTTTTTGAAGATCCTCATCATCTTCCACGAGGCTTTTCTTGGAGATCCTTGGATCTCTTGGAAATCCTTGGATTTCTGGTAAATCCTTGGATTTCTTGGAAGTCCTTGGATTTCTTGGAAATCCTTGGATTTCTTGGAAGTCCCTGGACCTCTTGGAAATCCTTGCATCTCTCGAAAATCTTCTACTTCGATCTTCTACTACTTCTTGGAAGTCCTTGGATCTCTTGGAGATCTTTGGATCTCTTCGAGATCCAAATCTCTTAGAAGTCTTTGGATCTCTTGGAAGTCTTCTACTTGGATGTCCTAGTATTTCTTGGAGATCCTAGTATTTCTTGGAGATCCTAGGATTTCTTGGAGATCCTAGGATTTCTTGGAGCTCCTAGCATTTCTTGGAGCTCCTAGCACATCTTGGAGATCCTAGCACTTCTTGGAGATCCTAGCACTTCTTGGAGATCCTAGCACTTCTTGGAGATCCTAGCACTTCTTGGAGATCCTAGCACTTCTTGGAGATCCTAGCACTTCTTGGAGATCCTAGCACTTCTTGGAGATCCTAGCACTTCTTGGAGATCCTAGCACTTCTTGGAGATCCTAGCACTTCTTGGAGATCCTAGCACTTCTTGGAGATCCTAGCACTTCTTGGAGATCCTAGCACTTCTTGGAGATCCTAGTACTTCTTGGAGATCCTAGCACTTCTTGGAGATCCTAGGATTTCTTGGAGATCCTAGGATTTCTTGGAGATCCTTGGATTTCTTGGAGATCCTTGGATTTCTTGGAGATCGTAGGACTTCTTGGAGATCGTAGCTCTTCTTGGAGGTTCTAGCACTTCTTGAAGATCATTGGATTTCCTTCGCGAAAAGCTTTCCTTTTCTCAGAAACCTCAGAGCAGTTGTTGTAAATCCTAGGGTAAGTCTTCAGAGAGAATCTTGCGTTCTTTCGAAGCCTTTGCACTTCCGTTTTGCACGAATCCATGTAGTGTAATAATCTCTAGGCATCTCGTTATCAACGATCTAGACTATGTTCTTTGTTTGATTGTTGATGTAGTCTATAAGTTCCTATCATGTGATGAACAAATAGTAGCTAAAGCTTAGCTCTAACATGTTTTGCATGGTGAAGAACGATGAGGAGGACGAATTCGTTGCGAGCACTTGCAGGCGCAAGCGTGGCGTTTGAGCTAGTAGGGAGAAGAAAACGAAGTGAAGAAACACCACTAGACCATGTAGGTGGATTGCGCGGCTTCTTTATCTTACCACTCATGAGGCAACTAAAGAGCTTTATTTCTTAGTGTGTGTTGCACTTTTTTGAAACCCCGCGACCTCACTTTTTGACGAAAGATGATTTTATCACTCATGATAGAAGAGATCGCTGTGCCTGCTGGTGACAGAGCTGAGTCTGTATTATCTCAATCGAAGCTCGTTAGACGCAAGTGCGTTAGATTTGCAGAGTCACTTGTGTTCTGCGGGATGCAGGTTTCTAGTGGCTGCGGGACGCAGCAATCCTTTCATGAGGGGTCTCTGTCTGGTACATTAGTCCGTATCTCTCAGTTCAAACAGGAGCGCGAGCGGAAGCTTTTTCTCACTGGTATGATATAGATTGCTCAGAGGATCCGAGAGATTCTCATCGTTACGATCGTAGTAACTACATCTACACAAGTGCCTTCTTCTAGTTTCGTTTAAGATCTACTGGGCGAGTACTCAGCACTAGTTGCTTGAAGATGACGCATTGAATTTCCCACGTCGCTTTTCTGAGATTAATCTATCTTTTTTTGAATTATTATTGATTATGATAAAGATTATATCTTTACACAACCAGCACACACTTTAACTGAACTACCAAAAAGGAACCATGGGAAAACGTAAAAAGCGCCTGAAAATTCAGGCAGCACTGAAAGCACTCGAGGAGGACATCAAAGACAAGAAGATCCGCCGCAAGAAGCACGCGGAAAAAGGTAGTAGTGAAGGAGACAGTAGCAATGACGACGACGATGATTCTTCCTCGAGCTCAGCGTCCGGATCATCTTCGTTCTCCCTACCCTCCAGCTCTGATAGTGATACGTCTTCCCTAACTAACGAGACATCTCCTCGGCATGGTGATTCGCCAATATCGTCGTGCATCTCAGACAGCAAGTCTCCAGGTGAGCTGCAAAAGTATGAAGCAGCGCCTGCAGGTGAGAAGAAACAACTCCCAGTCCACAAGCACAAACCTGAAGTGACTCTTTCTCGAGAAGAGCCGCGGATCGTCTACACATTTGTGGATGACGAGTGGCGAGCTGAAACTCCGCTGGGTCTAGGCAGTACTGAGCTGCAATGTGGAGAACTTCCTGCTCAAGGATTCAGATGCAGGGATATCCTATCCAAGGCGCTGCGAAGCGGTCCACCTCATCTCCATCATGCAGATATCCTTGTTGAGGAACTTTTCTCGGAGGTGTTGCCGAGGCGTGCTTTACATTATGCAGCGACGCTTTGGCTTATAGTTCCTATCATCGTAATGAATAGAGAGCCAGCTTTATTTGCTGTTGTTATGATTTCCCTGTGGAGGTCGTTGTAGCGATGAGTCTCGATTTTTAGAACTTCGTCAGCTCTAATGACAGTGGAGAAGCAGAGATCACAAACATGGATCACACGCTTTGCGCGAAGCGAAGATCACCAAGTTTGCTCCCTGGGCTGCGAAGTTCCTGTCATTTGCACCACATTCAGAGATTTTTCACAAATCTCGACCTTATTTTCAGTCTGCCGAGTCTGCGGTGAACAAGATAATTCGGATGCACAAGAAGGCTGACAGGCTGGAGCAAGCCCCCAGGAAGAACGGCACTTTGGATAAAAAAATCAGGGATGTAGCCGCTGAAAATCCAGCCGCAGCAGTAGTGGCTGGAGCAGTCGCTTACGACCACTACAACCTGCTACGGCGTGTTGGGCAGCGAGTGGCGACAACACTAGACAAAATAGTCCAAAGTGAAGAGGGAGAAGCCTTGACTCAGAAAGGTACCTTCTTTCACCTTCGTCTGTACCTTTCTTCCTTCCTTTGAGGAGGTCACTTTTTTGTACTTGAAAAACATGGATAATTAAAGATGAGGGACAGAGATGGACATCAAAGATGTCGATTATCCACTAAGGCTCTGGAAAAAAAATCATCATTTTTTGAACCCTTTTACGGACGAAAAAACAAGGCATTTTTTTAGCTTATATTCCTATTTTTCCAAGGTAAAAACTTAAGGTAAAAATCCAAACGATTACGAAAGACTTTTAACTTACCTTTTCTGGTGTCTTCGACTCTATTAAAACGATTCTCATTCAACTTCAGACTGGAGCATCGACCATGATCCCCGCAAGAAGCTTGGCGAGCAGCAAAAAAAGGAAGTATCAGGACTTTCTTTGGACCGGGATCTGGACTCTGTGAAGATTCATGTAGCTTGGTTCATGCTGATGAGGCGTCTGCGAGCAAAGCGGGAAGGCTCCAACGCAGGACTCCCTGCAGGCACGATCGGTGTAGCGTTAGATGGCTTCACAAAAAAGGCGAGTTTAACATGTTCCAGGGCTCGATTTATCATGGAGCAAGAGATGTTCTGTGGCGAAGCAGACCCCTACTCTGATACAGAAGATCCAGATGATCTCCATCTGCAAACAGCAGCAGGCCCAAAGCTACCATCAAGACATAACAGAAAAATCCTGACGAACCATGGAGCAGACGCCTCAAATCTACTAGTGTCAGGTCGCCGAGGTGATCACTCAGTGGCGCAGTTCGTTGGAACTCTAGGCCGACAAGCTTTGGGAATCGATGCGCCGCCGGATGAGCAGGACATCATGAACATTGTCCAACAGCATAAGGAGTTGAGCACTTCAAAAACAAATCAACAGCTAGAAGCAATTGCCGAGGAAGATCATCTAGACCTGGATGCCGCTGCTTTGTTCGAAGATATCGATACTGCTCCCCGAAAGTCTGATGCTGAATTGAGTGCCTTCTTTGGTTCTGAACAGGATGCAGATGAGCAGACTTCAGCTAAAAAGCAGTCATCTGGGAAGAAAAACGCTAAAGCTAAAGGTAACGCAAGTAGTGCTAAGAAATCAAAAGCAAAAAGCAAACAACAAGTTGAGCGGCTTCTTCCACCAGAAAACGAAGACGAGTCTTCTGGTCCTATTTCTAGTGCGCGATTCGGTGCCGATATTGGAGAGGAAGCATTGGTTTTCGATGGTATTGATCAAGCGGGATGATTGGGCGAACAAATCGATCCAGACCAGGTTGCTGCAGATGCAAAAGCACAAATAGGCACATGCATAGGCGGCGATGACGATCTCGGTGGCATGATTGAGCTCTTCACTTGTTTTCTGCCGACTGTAAAAACGCGCTCGTATGGTCACAATGATGCGAAAGATGTACTGCTCCGATACTTAGGGCGACCTTTGAAGAAACAAGAATCAGCTCGCTTTGGGACTCCTTCTTTGGCGATCCTCGCGTATTATCTCTGGATGAATAGAATGATTTTCGGCAACATACACGCAATGTTTATCATGGAGGATGCGTGTGCGGAATTGCGAAAGGCGGCAGCGTGGTTGGAATTTTCAGAACTCCAGTTACTTCCGATGTGCGGCTGGGAGGAATTGCTCTGGCTTCCAGCGAAAAACCGAGAAGAACAAGTCGCGCGCGACCTGCTTTTTGGTATAATTAATATTATTTTCGAAATTTATCTTGTATCGACGAAGAACTTCGGATCGCTTTCCATTCTCCGCGTAAACGGTTCGCAATCGGCACTGGCTGGCGTTTCTTGTCGTTCGAGCCACTTCTTGCCTTCAGGGGCTGCCGGCGTCTTAGCGTGGACGCGCGGAGCGTCTGCCTCTGCGTCGCGACGCGTGACCTCTCTGGCCTTGCGTCGATGCGGCGACGAATGCCGCTAGCCTCTCTGCGAAGCGCGAACGATGGACATGGAACCGCCGCAGGACGCTACTGGCCGGGGCGTGCTTGTGATTGCGTCGCACCTCGACCGCGGCACCCGCGCCACTTGCTCCGCGATTTTATGCGCAAGACTCGGCGCCTGGGCGCTGAGTCCTTCGGCGAGACGCTCCCGCATGCGTTTCCGACGCGCGACATCTGCAAGGCCGAGGAATTTCTGGCGGGGTTCGCTTCTTAGCTTTGGAGACCAGCAGGAGCGTCTGCATTCATATGCTTGGGGCGCGCTCTTACGGTGGGGGTGCGCTGCGTAAATCAGTGGACGGCGACGGACGCGAGGCGGCTGATATGTTGAACATGTGCAGCAAGGGAGGTCGCGGCTTGAAGCGGAAAGACACTGCAGAGGGCTGGCGCGTGCGGCTTTCTGATTGGGGCAGACCAGTGCGGGCTGCGCATTATGGTGCGAAAATGTGGGGGCGTCTCATCTAGAAGCTGCGGGTCTCTTCTTGGATCGCCTTAGCCCTCCAATGTCGCAAAGACCGAGCAAGTCTGCCAGCGGCTCCCTGTGTGCCCCTTAGCTTTCTCGGAGCTTAATGAATACGATATGGCTGACGCTGTTGCGCTGCTGACGGCTGAGGCGCTGGGGTTTCTTCTTTGTCGGTCGGTCTGCGCGGCCAGATTTCCTCGGTGGCGGTGCGGCGGTCGCGCATGTCATTGCAGAAATACCAGGCGCAAGGCGTTGCCACGAAACGCAACTACGAGCATAGTGGGCCGCTTGGACGAAGCTGCGGAGTGCTTTAGTATGGACGCGGACGGGGCTGCTGCGGGACTGGGTCGGGCTGTGTCGTGTGGGGCATCTTCTTACTAATTGGGTTTCGGTTCAGCTGGTTCGTGTCTTGTCGATCTGTCTGGAGCTCGGGGGCTCAGGCTGTGCGGATGCTGCGCCCGGGCTTGTGGGGGTTTTCAATTTTCGTGGCGTGCCGGGCGGGGGACTGGAGTGGGCCTCTTCGCTCCCCAGCTCGTCTCTCTCTGACTGCCAGCCTGGAGAGTGTGGGCCGCGGACTCGTTTCTTCTTGTCGGGGTGGAATGGTGTCGGGTGTTGTGGTCATGTTGGGCAGGTGTTGGCGCTCTGTCGATTGTGAGGCACACGCCACGCGATGTGTCATTGATGCGCACACGGAGGCCGCTGCTCCCTTTTGCTGACTTATTTGCTAGATTTGGTGGGTCTGTGTTATCCCTACGTCAGAGGCCACTCTCTCCTCTCATTTGCTTGAAGTGTGGCTTTTTTCGAGTATCATGCTTTTAGTAATATACGGGCATGGCGGTTCTTGTTTGTCTAAGAAAGTAATCTTGACTATTACCACGTGAAGCATGTTTTGTAAGAAAATAATCTTGACTATTACCACTTGCAACATTTGCCAATAGGTCACCCCGGCGCGCAGGAGTATTTGCACGAGAATGGTGCCTCATCGAGCAAGGCACAGCCCGGTGTGCAACCTATGAAGTAAGC